CTCAGCTGATGTAGTGACAGTTCAAACATTTTCTGCTTACTGTTATATTTTAAGAAAGTTTCCCTCCGTTTAAAGCTGTCTAGCTCTGATTTGATAATTATTTTAGCTGTAAAAAACCTTCTGTCCAAAACTTTTTAAACCTGTGAAGCTGCAGCTCAAAAATAAGGACATTTTTCCTTGAACATTTTGTTCAGTTCTACCATAGCTCTATTTTTAAAGTCATGTTAAGCCTCGAAAACAATTTTACTGTTTTTTTGTTTTCCACAGCTTGCTCCTCAAACCCCAAACAGCTAGATGCTTTCTTTATCGCTTCAAATCACCTTGAGGGAGTCGCAGCATAACAAAGCAAGTGGAGGTAAGCCTCAGGATAAGATTAAAACAAGTAAGCACCTGTTCAAACACCTGTCGTGAATCTGCTTTTAGACAGACACAAACAGCACAGTTTAGATTTTAAAACAAAGAGCAGCGGGTGAGACTCTAAGTTTGTATGAAAGCAAAAGTACTTTAACTTTTTTTTTTTTACATAGAGTCGTGGGATGGTACCAGAACGGCATTTAAAATCTGACGTGTGAACATTTCTGACTTTTTTTTCATTGTTAAAAGATCCGTAAGACTAAATGAGTCACCAGAGGGAATCCACACTTAAGAGCTGACACTTTGAGGTTGACCGATGTTTTGGAACTCCTCACAAAGCACAGCTTGGCAAACTTATTTATAAAGCACTGTTCATCCACATAAACCTTACACATCAACAGCTTTTCAGCCTCTTTCACACGTGCAAAACTCCTGACATTTTCTGGAAGTTTTCAGGAGTTTTGGTTTAGAAATTTTCCGAAGTCTCTGGTTCACACATGTCCCTCTTAGAGAGAAGCCGTCCTCATTGGATTAGGGGTTTCAGAAGGTAGGGCATAACATCAAAAACTCACCCACAGCAGAACCCGCCATGTGATGTTTAGAACACTGAGATCAATGCCATGAGGACAGTCTCATATTGATACATATATCAATGCTGCGTGTAAAGATACATCTTCAAGCCTGTAATGTTTTTAGACTACGTTCACACTGCAGGTTATGATGCACAATTCAGATTTTTTGTTAAATCCGATCTCTTTGTGCGGTCGTTCACATTACAACAACAAATGCGGCATCTAATGTGAACGGAATGCGTCCGTGAAGTGACCTGCATGCGCACAAAGCACAAAATGCTTTCCGCGCCTGTTTGTGTTGTCGAAGAATGGTGGCGTTTGTTGCATATTGTTGACGTATAGGTCGGATGAATGCTACCTGAGTGTCCACACTGCAGTCACATCAGATACATATCCAATTTATATCCACATACAAAAGAGGCCTGGGTCAGATCTGAAAAATGTTCACACTTACATGAAAAAATCAGATAAGTGTCACATATGGTTAAAAAATCAGAATTGACCTGCAGTGTGAACATATCCAGTTCTGTTTTGTGTCAAATCTTTACACTGGTTGCGTCATCAACCCACTCACTCACTTGCTGTGAATTTCCCCAAATATTCCCAATGTTTTGTCACATCAGCTTACATGACTCCCTGCAGAAACTCTGTGAGGAGGCTGGATGGTAAAAATTGTATGATTTAATTCCACACACCTGAAGTAGACCTGCACACTGACACATAAAAAAGAAGTAAAGAAATATACTCTATCACAGATAAAATAATTGACACCACAGATCCGTTGAGTATGAATCCTCAAGTTTAAGTGGATAAACCTTATGGAGGGTAGGACAAACACATACCACAGATGTCTCTTGGGGTGCTCTTTTTACAACTTGTGGCATCTACTTTCAGCAAGGGAGGGTTTAGTCCAAACTGTCTGTCCAAAAAAAAAAAAAAATCACTCAATACACTGTGTCCAGGAAGCCAAAATAAAACGCCAGAGCAGCCACAGTGAGAGAGCGTTTCCTGGACTTTCTAATTTAGTACAGAAAACACTGCAGTGAAAAATGACTGCTAACTGGAGCTGTAGAGAAAGAACCATGTATACTTAGGTACATGACAAATGGTGGGACAAGTATTTGGTTTGTTAATAGTAGTAGCTTTCCTGCTTTTTAAAGTCATGTATCATGGCTTCAAAGGAATATTTTGCTTTGATAACAAGAAAACCTATATACTCCCTCTGTTTTCATACAGTAATGCATAGGTACAAGACGGCCCAGGCACTGTTTTCTCTATGATTCCTGATGGATAATTATTGGATGCAGCAGTTTAGTTGATGGTTTTGGACGATGATCACACAGCGGCTGCTCCTTCTCATTCTGCATTCATCAAAGCTCGCCCCTGTAGTTCTGCTGCACTGAAGCTTAAACATGGCTGTACATTATAACTTGAGCATGTCCCTTTTCTCTGTGATTGAGTTTTAGTTTCCAGTTGACTTCTTTTTTAGGAAGAATAATGATGGAGCTCTGCATCTTACAAGGTCATGGGTTCAAACAATATCTTACTATGCATGCACTTGCAGAAACATACGCAAAATCCACACCAAGATTTAAGGGATACATGTACAGAAAAGTTATTTTAAACTGTAAATTGACTAAATATTGTGCTGAAATTTGGAAAAGTGTTTTTGTATTGTTAATTGATAATGTTTATTACTAGTAGTTTATTAGTAGTAGTAGAGAAAATTAAGGCTGTATTTGACATATAGATGATGCTACCACATTTCCAAATAATTATAATTGACTAACTGACAGCCTGTAGTGTTAAAAATGATGCCAGAGCTTGTGTACTAAAAACTGCAGTTCCTTGAGTGTCCACTTGAGGCTGGCTCCAAAAGCCAAGAGACCCCAATAGGTTGCTGGTTCAAATACAACAGAACAAAATCTGATTATAACCTGCTACAAAAACAGTTTAGGGTACAAAGCACACTTATTTATTTATTCATATACACAATAGGTAATGTTTTTAATATATCCAAGAGAATAGTATTTAGGCAATATAAAGGCTAGGAGTTAAGTATAAATTTGGGCACGGCTGTGCTAATGTACAGGCAGGTATTGTTGTTGTTTTCCATAAGGCCAAAAGTCAGCCTTAGTTTTTCCTCTTTGCTGCTTCTAGAATGATTTCAATTTAAATTTGTCAGTATTTGCACTATAGTGACGTCACTCACTTGTTTTGAAGCCAATTGATGGTGGCTAACAACTACAGTGTGCCGACTTGCCAGTCAAGTCAGCTGTGCCTCTAATTTGTCAAACTCATGACCCAAATATCTTCAAAACTGCTGGGTTGTAAAGAAAAATCACTGCTTTGTCTGAGTTGGCATAATCAAAACTGCCATTAGGGCTGTATTTAGCCTGTCACTACTTGTCCCCTCATTTATGCATGTTTTATCCTCCCGGTTTTACTACCCAAATCCTCCAAAAAGCTGGTTGTTGAAAGTGGTTATAACTAAAACTTTTTTTAATTTTCCAAAAATACACTCTCCTTTTGTAACCTTCAATTTTACTCTGCGTTTTAAATAGTGTCACATTGTTTGCAGCACTTTTGTTTACAATAATGGGTTGTAGATAGTTCTGGTGAATGTCTATCATGACTTTACTGCTCAGATTTCACTGTGTACTTGTGGCATGTTTTTGTTTAGTCTGCTGTCATAGTTTGCCTTGTATCTATACTATATGTACGTGAGGTCCTGCTTTGATTTCCTCTCAGTGGGCTTGACTTGAAATGTGTTTAAAATCAAACCAGAACAACATTACACATCGATCAGGTTAAGCCATGACAGGATATATAACTAATCATGCAAGTTTGTAAGTTTTGCGTAAATTTTATGCTCTTCTTTATAAGCAGGTCGTTGAATGTTATTCATCACTGGTAACTTTATTAAATAATGGGATTTTTTACTAATGAATATGCAGACATGTAGTACATTTTAAAGATAAAATAAGCTCAGCTAAAAGTTGACATAATACCAACTTTGCTGCGTCCTACTTGAGTGATTATTAGAAAGAGTTATCTTAAAGTGAGTTGTATTTTGTTCAGAGTCAATAACAAGAAGCCGTATCATGGAGGTATCACAGAATGCAAACACAGCTCCTCTCCCCCCCTCAGAATATCAGACAGACTTGGTGAAAAAAAATGTAGGGTACTGAGAAAGAGTGAGTGATATAAAGCATCGGGGAGATAATTACGGTTAATTACTGCTCTCTGGAGTCTGCATTCAAAGAAAGTGACTAACTACGGGCTGTGCGACTGCAGAAAGTTTTACGAGGCAGACAGTTGGCACGGGGAGAGCTTTGAAAAATAGAGGGCACTTTGGAGTGTTTATGACAGGTACGGATATGAAAGCTACTTTGAAATTATGAAAGGAATGTCTCTTTGAGATTACTATTGAAGAAGGTTTCAAGTTTATGGTGCAGCAGTTTGATATCGTTCAGTCGCAGAAAACTCAACTTGTCTCGGCAAAAAACGTGATGTTCATATAGGACCCAATGTATTCCATGGCAGACAGCACATACAGAAGTTTGTAACTACTGTGAAATGATTGAACAATTAAATAATACTTTTGATTTTTAATTTTTAGTGAAACTTACAGCGCTAAGTTATTGTTAATATTTTGTCATGTTAAAGTGTCACCTGGAACAGTTTTGAAGCACCTTCTGAGTTTCCTCATTTTGCTTTATTGTGCGTTATTTCAGAAGGATGAAAAATATTATTTCTCTTGCAGCACCTGAACTATCTTTTGGAGTCAAGAAACTGAGAGTCTGCCCTGTGTGTAGTCCTGTACCCTGGTTAGCCTGATTGTTGGTAAGGTGGGTCCATGACCTGAGAGACGAAAGACAGAGGTTTTGGTCTAGTAACCCCAGAGGTGCTGTTAATCTAAACCTGAGTGCTACTTTAAATTTAAGTGGACAAGAAAGTAAACAGTGTTAGCTGTCATAGTACGTTGTTGTTCTATTAAAACCCAAAGCTATGGCGCACTAATCTTTGTAAATACATTCACACACTTTGATTTGTCAAGGAAATCTGAGAAAATAGAAATTTCAAGTTTTCTTTTCTTTGCTTTTTCCCCCACAAATAAGAACAAAGAACATTGAAATAATCTTGACCAACTTTAATTGCTGAACTTTTTTACCACCAAAAAAGTGACTAAATTTCTGTCTATGTGCTTTAAATTTAATCATAGTGGACATTTAGCCTTTTTTTGTTCAAAAAAACAGCCATCCCTGAAAGACAAATGTGTCCTGTCTGCCTTTTTGTCTTCACTTCTCTCTCCATGTGCACCTGAGCTGATGCTACAAAACAAGGCCACGTGGAACTGACCAATCAGAAGAGAGAAGCGCTCCGATGCTGGCCTAGAAGGGGCGTGGTTAAAGGCGCGGACAGAAGTCTGATTGGCTCCCGGATGACTCACTCTTCCGTGCTGGCTCAGAGTGGTGCGCCTCGCTGCAGTGTCCCTTTACCTGAACTTTGGGTCTTACTTTAAAAAGACAGACTTTTTCATGCAACTGATTAAAGAAGTGAAGTAAAAAAGGTAAAGAAACAGACTCTAATGTCAGAATTTGGATTTCTTCACTGTCTCAATGTGCAACACTAAAGGTTTAACTCACGTTTGGAGAGAAAGACGCCATTGTTGCGCGTCTGGGGCGAAATTTACGCATCAGCCTATCATTAAAAACGCTCAGTCACACTCTCTGACGCTCCTCCGTGCACGTGGATCTACGTGCACAGAGGGCATAATTACGCACGCCCTCTCGTTCCCTCTCCCTCTCCTCCATTAGCTCTCTCTCTCTCTCCACACACACACACACACTCTCACTCTTCGTGGGAGTTAGTGTGTAAGTAAAGGAAGGAAAGAGGGAAAGAGAGAGAGAGAAAGGGAGAGAGAGCGTGATTCCAGGTCTCTCTCTGCTGCTCTCTCCACTTTGGGTACTTGTACCCAGTCTGACTCAATGGGGCTTTAGCACTAAGGGGTTAAACGTTAAAATAAAAGATATTTATTCACCCCAAACCCCTTTAGTGTTAAGGTTTTGTGCATTAACAGAGAGCGACATAGGTAACGCTTCAGGGAGAGAGGTAGAGACGTCTCCAGAGGCGTGCCTTTTTGTCTGTTGCCTCACAGAAGGTTCAGTCGGGTCCCTGTCGTCGGCTGGCTTTCTGTGAGAGGATAACTTCCACCATATCCTACATTTACAGCTGAACCGGGCCGGCAATCTACTGCAACACTATGGATACTGGAGATTCTCCCTTCAGGAAGAAACGGAGACCATGGCGCATGGACTTCTCATCCTTCGCCTTGGTGACCGTGGCGCTCGCCGTGTGCCAAACGACCGTGGTTCGTGCAGGTAAGATACTTCCTCTTATCACCAGCTGCCACACCAACAGAGCACAGGATCACGTTATTTAGCTACATCTAAATATGTTTTTCTTCTCAAACGTTTCCATCCTTAGCACGTCGACCTGGATTCAGTGTGCGTAATGAACGAATCTTACGCACCTGATATGATACCCTGTAGAAATTTAGCCACAACAACCCAAGAACGATAAACCTTGCAGTATGTTTATTCTGTCCTAAGGTGAATGCTGCCATCATAGTCATTGGACACAGTCGCTTCTGCCCTGAATTCCTTAATCATCCGAAGGCGAGTGTGTTTCTCCCAAAGCCTTGATTAGGATTTACAAACATAAGATTTGTGCGTCCGATAATGGACCTAGAAAATTAAGGAGTCTGCATCTAAAAAAATGTTCAAACTGATGCAGAAAATGGTGATAATTTAGGGCTTTCTAACAGAGAAAAAAATCTCTGGACCTATACCCTGTTGGATAAATGATGCAGTTACTACACTGTGCTTTTCAGTGATAGTTACTGACATGACGCCCATCATCGTTATCCAAATTAAAGACGTTTGCCCTGGTTGCACGTTATTTTCTGGGCTCTGTCCCTCTCGATCTGCATGCTGCCTGCTGACAGGTGTCATCTCGACAAGTGTTCGGTTTCCCCTCAGAGTTCAGTGATCTGGCTGCAGCATTTTGAGCACTATAGACTCGTCTTTTCCCATTTCTGTATCTTTGAACCGAATTTCTTTCAAGATATTCTACTCCTAAAATAGTCAACAATTGTGCAGACGGAGCTCATTTTACGCACCCTCAGGGGATCATGTGATAGGACGGTGCAAAGAGCTGCATTTGTCATTTTTTAAAAGCTTTTTACCTTCATTTAACATGTTTAGATTGTTTTACTCAGCTTATTAAAAGTGAGTATTGGATGTATGTAAATTACGCATTTGGATAGAGCCTGCTATCTGGAGCTGTGTGTGGCTGAGTGACTGTTTACCAGCCCAACCTGAGCACCAATCCATCCATCACTGTCCGGAGAGGAGGGGTCTGCATCCAGTTAGCAGGATATCTGACAACCTGAATTAATTTTATCATTTCTCCAACAAATCACCAAGTTTGTGTGCTTTTAGTTTTATTACTGATTATTACCCAGATTAATGCATTAATATCAAGTTATTTTACAGTGTAGGCTACTGTGAAGTTTGGCGTCCTCTCCTCACTCTCAGGTTATAGATAAGTTGACCCAAAGGAATGATCTGTATGCGCTGCAGTTCCTCCATGAACCGCTAGTGGTGTGGAGTTATTTTTAACACAGAGGGCCTATTGATTCACCTGAGTCCAGATCAGTTCAGATAGCAGGACTCTGGTGCATTATGGTAGGCAACAGGCTATTGTAAAGATAGAATAAATGAGTGTTTAAACATGATATGAAGTGGCAGTTTGATTAAAAAAGTCTAAGTGGACCTGGAGCTGATTGGATTTTTTTGGTCACAGTATGTTTTTCTGCGTATGTAGGCTAGTCTGACTTCTTATGGAGATTTTGAACAAGTACTCGACAACAGTTTTTAAACTAATTTTTATTTTATTCTATTGTTCTTAGAAATAAACCTACCAAAGCAGTTTCTGTGAACATGTTGGTCTGAGTCAATGGCCCTTTTTTCTCCGTCAGGATAACTTGTGAAGACAGCTTAAAGACCAAGGGGTCTTTTGTAACATAAATTGCCCTCCTTTGGTGTATTCTTTGGCCCCGTTTCCAATTTCAGATTTCGAGAGGCGATTTCACCTTCCCGTCGTCTCCCGTGTGTATTTTGGAGGCGGAAGCCCGAGACATTTCTGCTTGGATGAATAGGTTATTATGCGGCGGAGCAGCTCGGTCGCAGGGCTTTGGGAGTGAAAGCTCTCAGTGTGTCCGTGTCTATGTGGGCCTTGTACAGTTCTGTTTGTATATACGCGTCTGTAAGCTATGGATGTTGTTTTTTTCTTCTCAGGTCAGGGTGTGGAGATGTATGCCACATCTGTGTGAATGTGTCCCTGTGCGTAAAACACCAACCAGGTCTGATTTCTCCAACTAAATTATGCTAATACACGCGTCTTTCAATTATGGTATCATCGAGAAAGTCAATGGACGCCCGATAAAGCCAGTGGTTGTGCGCTGATTGGCCAGACTCATGTGCGCGCCGTGCGTTCCAGTGCGCGTACTAGTTAACGGAGCGTGGCGCAGCAGCAGCAGCAGATGTTAGTGTAAACTCTAACAGCGCCCCACCCAGGCAGTGAAAGACCGATTTAGAGAAGAAAGTGGTCAGAAACTTTCATGTTTATTCTGTCTTCCCTGGGAGAATGCAGACTGGAGGAAAAGAGGGCGGGATGGAGAGGCACGGCCATCCGAGAGCAGCAGCAGCAGCAGCAGGCTCCGAGAGAGGCATGAAAGCCGAGTTTGTTCAAAGGAGGAGGAATCAGAGGGCAATATTTTCTTGACATGGATGTTCCTCAACCTCATTTCAAAGCAGAACCTCCTCAAAGGGCACTCTGTCTCAGTCTGACTAAACATAACCTCTCTCTCTCTCTCTCTCTCTCTCTCTCTCTCTCTCTCTCTCTCTCTCTCTCTCTACCTGTGAATAGACTCAGTGTGGTGGCAGAGTGAGCAGAGCTGTGATTCTTTGGAAGTGTGTGGTGTTTTTAGGTTCTCCTCTTTATATGTGACCCAGTCTGACATCTGAAATCTTGCTCTACTTTGTCATATCTTGTGGCAACATATATCCATATTTGATTTCTTTCAGGCTAATGTGAAGGTTTGATCATTTTGACTTGCCTTCAGTTCATCAAGTGCCCTATCTCCATTAGATGTTGTTGCAAAAATTACTTATCAGACAAGACAAAAAAATGCTCACCAATGAGAGTGTAGTTCCAATTATTTGGTTGTTCAGATTAGATAGACGTCATTTTTTCAAACTCATTTATCAACTGCCTCTGCAAACTTAGGTTTAGTTATTGCAAAACGTAAGTGAGTAAGTAAGTAAACTTTATTTGTATAGCAAAAAAAGTCACAAAATGCTTCACATAGACAAAAATAAAAATGTACATACGAATTGAAAGGCCGAGACAACAACATTAAACAGGCTTAGTAGCAACAAAACAATTAAACAAAAGCCTTAGCAAATAAATAAGTTTTGAGTTGGCTTTTAAAGGAGTCAACAGAGTCAATTAAGCGCATTGAGAGAGGAAGATCATTCCAAAGCCAGGAAGGATCGGTCTCCTCTGGTCTGAAAATGAGTGCGCGGTGTGCATTGCACAGCACCAAACTGTCACACACGCACAAATGGTCAGCAGCTTTCATCTGATTATCATCTGGTTCTCCACAGTTGTCAAACCTTGGCCATTGCACAACCCTTCACAAAACCATTACCAATATTAGTCTTCAGAAGTAAACTCTTCCTCCTCAAAGCCACTAATCTGGACTGTTATAGGGCTGTAACTGGATGCTTGACACAGTCTCTGCAGTCACTCATAGAGTTCAGCCACAGATTGTTTGAATGAAGAGATAACACTCAGATTGTGGCTGTTCACTGAAAACAAGTAGAAGTTAACAGAGAGGAGTACATAAAGGTTTCTGAGGCCTTGTTTCCAAACCATGGTTTCCTCTCACACTGCAAGCTCGTGGAAGTCTTTCTCAGATAAAACCACATGATCCCGGCAGACTTAAGGGAACAAAGTGGGTAGAAGATAGTACTTACTTTTTTCTGGTTTCATAGGTGATGATTTTGTGGTTTGGGTGTACGGATAGTTATGCGATGTTCCTCCAAGGCTTTCTGTTTCAGCAAAAGATGAACAAGGACGTCGGGAGAGTGAGCCAACTTCATAATGATAGACTGTCTGTAAAGGATGCTATTCCTAGTCACTGTTATTTTGTTGATTCTAGGAAGTCAGTGCAGGAGGGTGCAGGGACCAGCTGTGTTTTTTTTTACATGAAATGTTAATGTACATCTCTTTTCCAGACATTAATATGGCCTATGTGGAAATAGTCCCAAATGTTGGTATAAAACCACTGTCTGCACAGACTGGAATGAGCCTCGGTCCATTATGAATTAAAAGACAAAGATTGCGTTCAAATTGCAGGAATAATACTTTCAGTTTTATGGCTTATCTGAGACTATTTGAGTTGAATTTGTGCTAAAATTTATCATCTTATAATACAAGTTACACTCAGTATTTACTTAACCTTCTTATTGACTCAGTATTTCAGATTGGGCTCAAAGTACCAGCATGCATCAGGAAGAAGACAGAGGAAAAACTCTGAGGAGGTAGCACCGGACAAACAGGGACAAAAATAGAAATACATTTTTTAACAAACTAAAATCAAGCTAAAACAACCTCATGATTGCATCCTGTTATAAGTGTTCAAATTGTATAAGGCTCCCCCTCAAAATGAACATGACCTTAATTAACCTTCAGAATGGATCAACCATTTTTTTTCCACATAAGGGCATCATGAAGTACTCATTGTGTGGACTGTGTTTAAGCAGGACCGATCGGTGAAAGTCCTCATGCTCTTGTTCTGCAGTGTATCTCTTTATGAGTGTTTTTCCACCTGAATTATACTCATAAAATCCTGCAGAATGAAGGTTTTATTTCTGATGTGGGGATTTCCACACTGAGAAGACAGTAATGATGATTATTGTGTGATGCACGTCCACTGCTGTTACACTTTTCTTTATTATAACTTATTTCCTCTGGTAAATGCAGTTATTCAGATACCACCGGTCACTATTTTTGGAGATGTTTGTTTTCCTAAAAAGCCATTGCTGGCACCTTGACCCTAAATCTGTTAAGCTGTTCTGTTGACCAGTGTATTGTTAAAATGGAGATCAGGCATGTGCTTTAGCTGGACGTCTTTAGGGTTTACAAAACATGCAGTAAAAATCTTTCTGAGGGTTTTTGGGAAACTAAAAATGAAAAGAAATCAAAGCCGTTTTCAAGAGAAGATCATGATTTATGTGTTTTTGCTTTAAGCTTGTGATATTTGTGGAATCTCAACAACTGGCCAATTACCATAATGATGTGAGTGGTAGAGTTTAATATTGATCAAACCTAAATAATGTCACAGGCTGTGAAATAGTCCGGGGTATCAGTGCTTTTTCTTTAACTGTGCTGTGTTAAAACTGGACCCTTTGTGCAGCTGAAGCTGAGTTTGTCTGTTCAGCACAGACGCACTGGTGAGCCTCAGACAGGTTTCTAACCAGTGCCCCACTGACTCTTGCCCCACGTGACAGTACATTACAGGGAATCACTCACTGTGCCCTGCTCAGGGCCCTGTGGTTAAATGTAGGCCTTGTGGTGTCAGTATCCACCCTCAGATCCAAACTGAGACTGTGGCCTCCAGCCCTGAAACCACACCAGGCTCCAGCATGATACACGTTGGCAGCACACACACACTGGCACAGACCACAATTACAGTACAGCACACAGGGGACAGTAGAGGACTTTGGCATGCGCTGGCTGCAGACTCTGAGTGGAGGGAATGATGAACCCACATAAAAATGCAGTACAATAAATGTTAGCACTGTCCTTTAGTGATGAATAAACCACCCAGACTGTGGGATTTATTTACCTTCACACTGCAGGGTGATGATGGTTGTAAAAACCCTGTTCGTCATCAGTAGGTTTGACCTCATTATGAAGGATCCTTCGAGTTTAGACCAGGTCTGTATATCAGTGACACCTGAAGCACCTGTGAAGAGTCCTTAGATTCTTATGAAACAGACTGGATTTAACAGTGATACCTTTTTATGATGTACAAAAGCAAAGGAGACCATCAACAACAAAACTGACCTTTTTAATGTTGTTATTCTGAATGCTTGTAACCGCTGCAGTGCAGTAGGTGTCAGACCAGATGATTGGCAGCACACTAAAGGAAGGAACAGTCTTGTTTTTACTTTTTTCCAAATCATATATTCACAGTGATTGTTACATTTGACTGTTAAAAAAAAGGAATAAGAATTTTCATGCTAGGAAAACACTTTACAAGACCACCTAAAAGACAGAAGGTGCTGCTTTGTACACAGAGACACCGAAACTGACACAGAAAGACTTCTTACTTCAGTTTTTGTTGCTATTTGACGTCTTGGTCACAATTATTATTATTTTTTTAAAGTCTAGTTTCATTTTGGATGTTTAGTTTCTCCTGAAGATCAAGTGAGTTCGTTCCTCCTTTCAGTTATTGCTCTTCGTCTAGGTCCCCCACTATTCCAGCAAAACCAACTTGCTTTGCTAAACACATTGCAACATGATGAGGAGGTGACAGTTTAAAAAAAGCGAGTATTTGACAATATTTCAACTGAAATGTGTCCGACTGTATTTTAAAAACCCTTTCTCTCTTTTGAGCAAAGGTCTATGAATGCATCACAACAACCTTGTCTGCATGCTGAGCTTGATTTAAACTTAATATTTCTTATAACGCTCTTTATATGCACAGGTCTCATTATTTAGTTGCTTTTGTCGAGGTCTAAACAAGTTTATTTTCTTCTTGAGACTGTTATCTCCTTGTTCTCTTGCACTTCACTCTTGAAACTTCATTTATTTGGAGATTTCAGTGGAACATGATGGTAGGATCCCCCCACAGTCATTTATGTTTTATTCCTTAAAGATATTTCTGTATCTTCTCTCTCTTTTCGTGCAGCTAGTCAGACACTGTCACCTGCTGTGGCCCCTACATGATTATAAACACAACCAAACCTTCATTTTACTCAGCATAAACAATGTAAAGTCTAATAACCCCCTTTTTACAGCATGGGTACTCATAATGGATTTTCTGTCTGTGTACAGAAGGCATTATAAATAAATCGTAACTATAGAGCACCACGTTGAAAATTATAACCTACAGCAGCTCATGTGCCTAACCATCGTGGTCAGCTGGGTGGATGGAGACACAGCTGGTGATTTAGAAACAACTGGAGTTTAGTTTATCCTTTCCCAGAGATTAAATCAGTTTAATTTATAATCCCGTAGGAGATAAGGTGTTCATTTTTTTCTTATCAGAGGCCAGAAAATTATACCGTAATTGATCATACTTGAAAATGCGAAGAGACTTGGTCATTGAACGAGTGCACCGATGAAATTGTGTGTGTTTGTGTTAATCTTTGGTCAATATTGCAGGTTCCTCCTGCTCTGTGTGTCTAACAATGTAGTCGTTGTGTAGAGGTGAGAGGTGAGGGGTCAGCGTGTCAGCTGGAGTGAGTGTCTGGTATTTGGCACAGCTTTACCAAATGAGGAGAGGGTACAAGCACACACACACACACACACACGCACACAGACTTATACGTGCACGCAGAGATAGTTAGACATAGCAAGTTTCTCTGAGGTGAACCAGAGAACCAGACAAGTCTGCACATCCAGTGTGACTGCAAGCCTTGAGGTCAGTTAGATGGCATTTTGATTGCATGCAATATAAATAGGGTTCAGTATATAAACATGTGTATGGTATGTCAACCATGGTTACGTTTTCTGTGTAATTTTCTTCCTGAGCTGCCTTGGATTTCTCTCATTGCTTGCAAGGACACACTCCCATCGAAAGACAAAGTGGATTTAGTAAAAAGACTGATTGATGGAATATATCTATAACATAATTATCATATATTTCCCCTTTAAGGAAGAATTTTCTCCTTATTTCATATTTTAATGGTGTCTAATATTTCATGTAGGCTTTAAAAGGATAGGCTTATTTTCTCACTCAGCAAACTGAGTAAAACCAGAGTTTCAAATTCTGAGGTGTTGTGTACACATAGTCCAAACTTTGCCCTTTTGTGGTCAGACATAAGAGGTGTCTGCCTGTATGTGTCCTGTTCATCACATCCTTGGTTAGCTGACAGTGTTTACAGACTCTGCTTAATGGTCACTTGTAAAGTAAGCATTAGCATTGTTTTTCTTTCACTCCTGTAAGTGTGTCTCTTTGCATAGTGTGTGTACATGTAAACAAGCATGTGTGCATATGTGAAAAAAGTGTGCGTCTCACTCTCCAACAGACGGAGACTGTACTCTGTTAACCCTGTTGGCTGCCACTAAGCTCATTAAATCTATTTTAGCTCCATCTAGTGGCTGGTAAGAGGAACTACAGCGATGCAAGCTGAAAGTTATGTTAAGTTTGGTTTTAGCACAGATCATTTTTCTGTGTTTCAGCCAAGTCTGGTGTGGCATATGTTTCCCATCAGCTGGGTTTAAGCTGACGGTCTGAATGTTTGGTCAGTTGTGGGTCTTTGAGGCCGAGTGGGTTACAGTAAAACAGTAAAAGGATTGTTTCACGTCTCAGACACCTGTTGAAAAAATATCCACCCTATCGAAGAGAGTGCTATTTTATACTCCCAGCCCCTATATCATTATTGTAGATTATTTGTATAGTATTTTTAGTGATTTATAATGTGCTTCAATAAAAAGCTTAACCACATGGGTGAATAAAAATCCGAACACACTCCCAGGGAAATGACTTTAAATCGAATGAAAACAAGTCTGTGTTTCTGAAGTTGTGAAAATTGTGTATTTTGTAGATTTCAGGTTTTATTCTACTTTCTGTTTTCATGCACTGCGACGACTTCTGCAAACTTTCAAGGTTTATTGTCATAGTTTAAATTTTGCATGCTTGCAGTCTTACTTTAGATATTGTTGCTATAACAGATCCTCCACATTTTAAAACCATTTAAGCGTGTTGTTGACATTGGTGACTTTATTTTTAGGTACAACGTTAATCAAATTGAAGATAGTTATTTTTAATTTAGTTTGTCTGTTAATGGTTTTGACTGCACAGACAACTCTTAATGTGTAGTTACAGCTCTAACTGTGACGGTCCTCACGTGCCTACAAGCCCTGTTTCCTCTCTTAATGATATCCAGTAATTGGACTGCATTAACATCAAAGGAGTTGCCGCCATCTGTGAGCGCTTATAGGAAACACTGATGGAGCGGGAAGAGTGAGAAGAAAGAGAGTAAAGAGCCCCCTAGCTTTCTGTTTTTCTACCTTGTCTAGTTTCATATTTGCCACCCCTCATCTCAAGAGGAGTAATGGTCCAGTTTTCACTGCCCAGGCTGTGCGAGTGTGCACCTCTGTGGCGCTGTGTGTTATTTCTGAGGGTGTGTTTTTGTCGTGATTGTGGTCCTCCAGGCAGGAAGGGCCCCGGCTGCAGATGTGAGCCGGGCGGGCAGAGGGGAACAGAGCGGCACATTGTATTGGGTGTACTGGGGGAGCGCAGGCTGCAATCTGATCCAGTATCCTGCCATCACAGAACCACGCTGTCTACTGTCACTGCCTGACCCCCCCAAACACACACACTCACACACACACACCCTTCCTTCTTTCATACCTCTCTCTCTAACTCATTCCCAGCATTCCTGTGCTGATCTGTAAAAGTCTGAGAGAATATGGGAGAATATTCGTAGCTTTTATTGTTCCTCTGGTCTTTAAGACTTGTTAAAGTTTTAAGATTGCACACAGAGTCTGAAAGAGTCCTCCTTATTGCCACTTTCTACCCTTGGATGTCATTACATGTTACAGTCTGACCAAAACTACCAGTCAAGCCTTGATGTAAATGTCAAGAGAAAAAAGATTAGCATTTTAACTTTTAGGAACATCGGATTTCTGTCTGCTCTTTCTCTTTTTATCCGCCTCTCCATTCCCTCATTTCTCACTGCTGTTCTTTGCCACCTCTAAGCAGCTGTTTTTATGGAAGTTCCTGTTTTGGATTGTTAATGTAGCATCACAATACCGCTCAATCTAACTCCTGTTTCCCTCTTTCATACGTACAGCTTTTACATCTTTCTCATTCTTCCTTCCCTCCTAACTTACGTCTTTCCCTCTTATTCTCTCCTCCTCGTCTTTTTCCCTCTGGTGTAGAGTGACGTTAATGGACTGGTCTTGACATCTTGAGGCAATATTAATGCACCATTTGCTCTGTCTGAATAAATATTATCATCTGGGGGCCTGTTTGACCAACTGTTAACTCTGAGACAGTGGGTGTTACCTAAACACTAGCACCACTGATAGGATCGGTGTGAATTCAGGACAAACGGGAGAAGAGTTCACATTAAGGCCAGTATAAAGTGGTTTCATGTGGATATCTGTGCATTGGGTCAGGATTTATTGCAATTTAGTTATGATAAGGGGAAATGCCAGCAGAGTTATTAGCACTGTCATGATCCTGTTCTCTAATGCTTAGCTGAAACATTGGTGTTGAGAGGATTGGGTGATAAGTTGCACCCTTTGTGGTTTTACTCTTAGCAGCTTTTTTGTACCAGTTGGTCATATAGAAAGCAAACTGTTATACACAGTTTTACACTTAAGATTTGCTTATGAATTATGATGACTTTCAAAGAACAAGGATATTAGAGGTTTTAAAAATGGCTGTTTAACAATAATGAAAAGAAATGAGTAGTTTCAGAGGCAGCCTCACTGAAGTGCTTGGCTGTTTTCCTTAATAATTTGCTATGACATTTGCTGCACAGGAAATCTATCCCTCCCACAATAAGTTTATCACAAGAAGTGTCACAGTAGGGCTGTCTGTAAATGAACCTTATTGGCTATTTACAGCAAATGTAGTTCCCAGAAGGGCAAGCCAGCACTGAGGGAGGATGAAAGGGTTGGTGAAATCTGTGACTGCTTTCTGCAAAAGCTTGAAGACAAGATACAGGAGCTGTTTTTGAAAATCGTTTTCACCAAATTTAGATTCTCAGACTGCAATTTATTCAATTGAGCATGTGCAAGACTACAGATTTATAGCATGCAACAGGGATGTGTCTGACTGGGGCATAAAGTCATGTTGGGTTGAGGTATATGTGCACATAAACATATACTTACGCACAATCAGATCACATTTGACAGCTAGAGGGTGTAGCATTTAGTGGCATTTAGCAGAACCGATTCAATACAAATGGAATATAATATCTATATGTGTTTAAATTAGTATTTAATCACCTGCATATAAAAGCTGTAAATGTAACGTAAATGAGCAAATTTAAAAAAAAAACGAAATGTGCTACTTCTACATTGAATGTATCTATGACCTCTGTGACAACACTCCTACAGGAATTATCTAAGTGCTGCCTTTTTATATGGGGGCTTTATTCTCTAACTCCTTCATTTGCTGTACCTGGAAACTGTGATTTTTTACTTTGTAGTTCTGTAAGTCTTGAGAGGATTAAGAGAACTCACTTGGCAGGAAACATCAGATCTAAAAGACCTGTTAAGTTGTCCTTTTGCCTCTGTGAAATTACAACTTGTACACTATCATCCTCTATTCAGAAGCTTCATTTTTACACAACAAACTGGGATGCATCTTACAAAATCATCTAACAATACAGATTTTATTGTAATATGAGTAATAGATTAGATCAAACCTGTAAATCTAGGTGGTGTCATTTCCAAAATAATGGCTGACATAGTGATTTGATTGTGGAAAGAATACTAACAAAAGTAAACCACAGAGCAGACTGAGGCTGGAGAAACAGGCTGGTTGACTCCACTGTGACGGTGCAGACAGAATTGGAGCACTGTGTGTCAGGAGACAGGTGTGTGTGTCTCGGTGAACTTGAATTTTTGTGTGTTCCAGGTGTGTTTGTGAAATACCTCTGTTTCCTCAGACAAGAATCCATTTGACTCAGCTCTATTACATCAACAGCCACTTGTTTCAGTTGCTTGATAAATGTGAGCAGAATAGAGGCCACTGTCTACACTGTGATTTAAACTGAACCTTACTGTACCTGCCCTCCAGTGGTCCTTATGTGCGGCTTGGACTGTTGCCCATTTTCTCTGACACAGTGCCTCCCTTCTTACATTATGCCCAAAAGGACAGTGGAGGCCATTGTGGACATCCACCTGCTTCAATATCACATCAGTTATGTTGGAACAATTAAGATTTCTTTTTAGGTTTACTTTAAAAAAAAAAAAAAGTTTGAACTGTGCAGCTGTCAATGTCCAGGTACAGACACTGAAGTGTTTTGAGTGATCAGCCTGTCAGTGTGTATGAAATAAGCAGTCTAAATCTGTTTAAAGCTGAAGCAAAATCTCGCTGACTTAATCTACAACTTTTCAATCAGAGCTGCAGCAGGGGCCCAAAGTTAGATATCTTTAGTTTCCAGTCTAACCTTTCATTTCTTCTCAGAATTAGTGACTTACATTTCAGGCTTTATGGGGGGATTTACCATCTGCTTGTTGAATTAAATTGCTGTGTTAAGAATATGATAACAGTTTTCTCTCTTACTTTCTTTTCAAGACCCAGTGGATGTGCTGAAGGCTCTGCAAGTTCCCTCCCTCCCTGAGGGCGTGAAGAAAGTCCCTGGCTTCTGTACCTCTCGTCGATCGAGCAGCCCTGATCATGCTTATCGCATCACCAAAAAGGCCCAGATTTCTGCCCCCACCAAGCAGCTTTTCTCAGGTAAACTACAGCTGGATTAGAAACCATGTCATTTGAGATTATCTGAAAACTCTGCCTTTAGGATTACTGTCTGAAACATTATAGAAAATAGGCTACAAGCTGAGCTGAAGAACTTATAATTCAACTACAGGTTGAGGGGTTCTTCATTATTATTATAAGTAGTAGTTGTGGTAGTAGTAGAAGTAGTATTAGTATTAGTACTATGAGTATTATTATTATTATTATCGTTATTATTATTATTATTATTATTATTATTAGCAGTAGTAGTAGTAGTAGTAGTAGTATGCCTATTAGTATTTGTAATATCAGTAGTGGTTGTAGTAGTAATAGATAGATAGATAGATAGATAGATAGATAGATAGATAGATAGATAGATAGATAGATAGATACTTTGTTTTTTAGTTAAATTAAACAAATTTGGTGTAAGTGGTTATTGTATTTCGCTACGGGGACTGCACTGCCCGAATCAGTTCGCAGTCAGCAGTATCCATGGCAACAATCCCGGTAACTGCTACTAGCAAAGCTAACCGTTACTCAAAAAAACCAAGGCTGTGGGTTAGCTCAAACACGGTTTAAGACGGAAAAAATTAATAAATAATGCATTGGAGTCTTGGGTTAGAAGCTAAATGTGAACTGACATGCAAACAGATGTCCTGAAAAGGTCTGTATGTGAATATATTCGTTTTTGGTGCTAATAAACCTTACTTATTTGCCGCTAGCACCTGATATTAGCCTACAGAAAATGCTACAGAATATTGTGAGAGTGACTAATAGTTAGCTTAATGTTTAAATATTCTCTGCTTTTTTTTCGCATATGACAGACTTTTGACCGGTTTCTGTGGTGTGAATTTGAGAGCTCAGAAATATAGACTTAAGGTTACAGTTTTTAATGTGCGCTAAGGAATGTTTTTAGCGGAGTTTTACGAAGTTAAGTGAGACTTTTTGTACCCTGTGCGAGTTTGCTCTGGGATATAAAGGCTAATTATGTGTTGCAAAGCAAGAGCTGAGTAAAACTGGGAGGTACATATCAAATTAACTTCAGCGCACTGTCTGACACCCTGGAGTCTGACACCACTTATGTGGTTGTGAATAAATCCTCAAAAGTCAAAGCTAATTGTCTTCTAATTCTCTGAGATTACCATTCCTTCTCCAGCACTTACTACCAGTTATTATGTGTTCTCATTTTCTATGCCAAATTCACACTGAACACAGATATCTGGACTTTATTTATAAAGCTTAGTTGAGGTGTTGTTTTCACTTTTACCCATCTCTCGTCCACTAATTTATTTCTTAATTTGTGCCCTTTTTTTGGGAGCTATGTATTTTTCTCTCGTGTTTTTCCCAGCCTAACCTCCTTCTTTCCCCTCCTGTATTTCCGTCTGTGATTAGATGAAGGGCACTGCTCAGTTTATTGTCCTTTAATGGATGCTTGTTTTCACCACTTTCTCTCTAATATTAACCCCTTTCCTAAAACACCTCAAACTAGTGCAGGATGGGTCATTGTTGTGCTATAACCTCCTCCCTCCTTCACTGTCTTTGAAATTCTGTTTCTCTCATCCTTTACAATAGGGCGATTTCCAGAGAACTTCTCCATCATGGCTCTGGTTAAAGCCCATGCCGGTCTCCAGGCGTTCCTCCTATCCATCTACAGTGAGCAGGGCATCCAGCAGCTGGGCATTGAAATGGGACGCTCACCTGTTTTCCTGTATGAGGACCATAACGGCAAGCCTGCTCCAGAGGACTACCCACTGTTCAGAGGCGTCAACCTGGCTGATGGCAAGTCAGTAACCAGCAACAACCAGTTTGTGACTGGTTGAGATTAGATAATTGAAGTCAATGTTGGTGTGAGTGATTGGCAGGAATAAATGTGTGAAAGTTGGTTGGAATACATATAAGGTACAAGGGTGGTTTGATAGCATCTTAGTCAGGCCTGTTTTCACATTAGACATTTATTTGCATCCGGTTCCTTTTCTTGTCTCTAGGTGGCATCGCATCGCTTTCTCTGTTTCAAAGAAAAATGTGACACTGCTGTTGGACTGCAAAAAGAAGATGACTCGCCCCCTGCCCCGTGGCAACAATGCTGAGGTTGACACCAATGGCATCACAGTGTTTGGAGCCCGTCTGCTTGATGAAGAGGTTTTCCAGGTGAGAAGCTTGATAAGCTTTGTCAGCAAGTGAAGAGTTGTGCAGTTATTAGTTGTGTGGTTGATTAGTGGTTAGGTTAGTGGTCTCTGATGTGATTGTTAGCAATTCATAAGTTAAACAGACGTATTTTAATTTTTTTTGCACATTAAGTTCTTGATTAAAAAGTGGTGTTATGAACCTGTCGATGTTTCTGTTGATCTGTTTTCCCCCAGGGAGATATCCAGCAACTGCTGATTGCCTCAAACCCCCAGGCTGCTTATGACTTCTGTGAACACTACAGCCCTGACTGTGATTCCCCACTGCCCAAGACCCAGGCTCAGGACCCCAACACATACGTGAGTTATCCTCACCTTGACACAAGGCATATGAAATCAACATTTGCCTTTTTATACATGTGAAAATGTAGGTAATAAAATTCTTAACTGCTTCGATTATTTCTAAATCCAATTCTAAGTCACAAAGGTTATTGTGAGATGAGGTTTCAGTATCTTACACAAGTGAACACATGGCCACAAATATATCCAACTGCACATTTAAGTCCTAAGTCCACTACAGTGCTAGTATTAACCCATTACAGAGTATATATCCTCAGATTTATCCCTATGATAACATAACAAATTTGTAAAATTGTAGGCTCATCTGTAGTTCCAATGAAGCAGCCCCAACAGAATCCTGTGGATTATTTCTTTTTCATTTCTATGGCACTTGTGAAAAGATGAAGAAAAATAGATCTATATAATCAAAGAAAATGATTTGTTTTTCTGTCCACATGCTGTTTCCCTTTAAACTGAATGTAGAACCTGTTGATGTAAGGAAATACTGGTAAAGAAACATAAATAATTTAGCTCAGTTGTTCGCAGCAATTTTCAAATTCCTATTGCCTGAAATTGCACTTTCTTATTCACATGTTTGTTTCATGATGTAGTTTAATTACCTCCTCACGTAAAGGTTATTAAATCAACAAATGGTTAAGTAATATTAATTTGATTTATTTTAGAAAGGCTTTGCCACCTGAAAATACACATATGCCTCATGAGTAAAAATAAAGGTCACACACCAGTGCCATCTGTGGATGAAAGAAAAGCCCTCAGATTCAGTTTGGGTCTCCTGATATTGCCATCAAAGTTCTGCTCCCACTCTCTGTCTTCTGAATGCATCCCCCTCACTGGCAAGAATTTGTATCTATCTACTTTTCTTTTCACTTCCTCAGTCTGTGTGCCCCTGGGCAGCCAAAGAAAAAAAGACGCGTTAGACTTCCTACACATCCTCCCCTCTAAATATGTGCACACTCTTAGTTAGTGAATTTACACTCCAATAGTTACAGCTGTCATGTTTTTCTGCTCTATTGCAGTGTAGCACAGAGAGGTAGGGGAAAAAGGATGATACAAGCCAGTGTCTTCCCCCAGTTGTTTTTTATGGACTAAAAGAAAGAGAACTACTACAGTACTCAAAAGCTCAAGTATGATTGGTTCTATGATTAAATTGATAAGGATTTGGCATGAAGGTGGCTAATGGTGGAGCCTATTTGCTTACTGAGACTGGTTGTTTACATTACATACCTTTAATGATTTGCAAGTTCTACCTCATTCTACTTTCTCATGAACGCTATGATATTTGGGAGCTGACAGGGCCCTGCCACCAGTTGTGGCCCAAACCTAAAGCAGCAAGGGATTTTCATCCACATTCATTCATCTAAAGTACTTGGCCTTTGTTTAAACAACCTGCATGCTGGATCAGTCAACACAAATATTATCGGTAACAGTATAAGCTCCAACACTTTGTCTTTCAAACCCTGTCATAGTCATGCTTTTGATATGACTTTTTTTGAATGAATATAAATCAGCAGATTTTATTCATTGGCCTTACATGTTTCTTGATTATTTTTCTCATTCATCAGGATTTTTCTGTATTTTTACAATATTAGTCACAATCGTTTTGAAACACCAGAAACTCCTGTTGAATGAGAAATAAGAAGCTTTGCAGTCTGTTAAAAAATCCATTGCTGACTCTTGCTCTCTGTCACCATTTTTCCCTTTTGTTGCTTCACCCCACTTTTACCGCTTACCTTTTCTTGTCCCTCCTTCCCCTCTTCATTCCTTCACTCATCCCTTTGGACATCTATTCATCCAATTCTTTCATACACTACCCTTCTTCTTTTCTTCTTGCTTTCATGTATCCTCATTCACATCTCCAACCCATCCCTCCTTTCATTCTACCATCTTCAAATCTTTCCTTCACCCGTCTCTCTTGGTACTTTGATGAGGAACAGGATGACCATGAATACCCTTATTATTACGAGGAAACAACAGACATTCCCTCCTTCTCAGCGTCCCCCTCTCCCCACCCTGGGGCCCCCAATCAACAGGTAAAGAGGGAGTAAGAGAAGTGGACAACACAACCAGGGTTTGTTGAAGGTAAGGAGAATGAGAAAGAGAGGTATTTCTTTCATAAGGAATGCTTAACTGATAACAGCAATTTAGCCTTCAAGATGTTTAATTGTGAACAAACTAAAAAATTTTAGCGATAGTATTTGATAATCCACATTTTCACTTGTGGTATTTTAAATGCCTCTTTCACCCCTCATTACTCCATACCTTCTTTGTTTTAATGTGTTACCATTTCCTGAAACTACAATGACCACCCACACACTCACCTTGCAACCATCTCTGCCATGCACAATTACCTGCTCTTAATGATTTGTTATTTTAAATGTCATTTACATGTTATTGTTTTGAATGTGTCCAAATGTGGCCAAGTGGGGGCACTGTGGTTGTGTTGGTGCAGCTGTGTTGTTGTACAGATGCACAGTTTTTCACACAATTTTCTCCAGCCGGCACCTCGATTTTCTTCACTCCTTCTTTAAATATCTCACCCTTGTTCATCATAAGCACAACCAAATTCCTTTCTAAATGGAGCAGTTTCAAAAACTTCAGCAGGGTGGTCCAATTAAAACATCTCCTGTGAGCGTTTTAATCAAATTATGTTAGTCATTGTGCAAAAAATACAAATAGCCTGACAGTTGAGAACACAAGTTACTAATCTGGATTTTTTTGACAATGTAAATTAAGGTGACTAAGTATAATTTCTTATTTCAATTTGATCTGCGGACATTTTATCCAAACAATAGATTACATGATAATCTTTTTGTCTTTGATGTCAGAATGAGCCCGCAGTATAAAAAATGACATTTTCAGACCAAGTAAGACTAGATTTATTTCAAATGCTGTACTGTGGCCATTCACATTTTATGGTTCCTTCTCAGTGCAATCATAGATACAAAATCCCACCCATAAGGCATCATGGTTGATCATTAAAATAATGATGAATTTGCAATGCTATTTAATTAGGGAATGGGTCAGAATTGTCTTGTTATTTGCATGATTCTTTATTGTCTGAATTGAAGTCCATGCATGCATCTACTGTATGTATCATCAGTTTCCTCAGCAGTTTTCAAGTCAGCATGGGAATGTCAATGCACATGTTTTTGTCTTGGTACTAGCTTTCATGGTTTGAGTGTCACACCTTACATTCATACATTAAGTGCCACATTCCTCCTCATTTGAAATGGTTTGTGTTCAGTATTGAGGACTTCGCCTTCAGAATGATGGCCTTTTTTATCTTTAAGGTGGCTTGTTTATACTGTTTATTTGCATGTGTTTATATTATAGCGGTTTAAGTGTTAAGGCATGAACTGTTGTTCTTATTGAATTTTTGGTTTTTGTATGACTATTTAACACGCAATTGCATGCAAGCCTGCCCCCTCCCTCGCTCTTTCTGGCCAAACATCACTAACCTCCTTTGTCTTTACACAGTAGGTCATAACAACAGTGTGTGTATATGTTCAATATGTAGAGTGTGTCTTCAGCACTAGCCTTACCAGACCTGTCACACCCTCAGTGCCTCTGCTAAACCACAGGCTACCAGTTCATATTAGCACAAAGATGCTGCTTTGTCATTTAATATTGGGAATGGCATTACTGGAGAGATCAGCCAAAAAAAAGAAAGAAAAGAGATCAAATAATTTGGGTCTGAGAATGTGGACTTGAGATTTATTATACTGACATTATATTTGTTGGAATTTTTTCTTATGTAACTATCTCTAAAGTTTTAAAATCCTCTGCTGTATCCAGTAATGCCTGTACAGTCTCAGTAAATCATCCAAACCTTGGCCATCTTTATGTCATTGTTTCTCAAAACATCCACTCTTGTCTTTCTCTCTCTTCTGTCCATCCCTTGTTGGTGCTTTTTCTCCCCCTCCCAACCCGTTTGTGTGTTTTTGTCTTTCTCAACTCTTTGTCTTTGTCAATATTCACTTTTACACATTATACAACACCCCAACCAAACAATAATTATGGATATTAGAAGAATGGCCCGAATGGAAAACTGGCCCCCACAAAAGCCCCCCATGTCAAAGCAAAACCCACTCCAGTTAAGCCAGCCAAGCCTGGGCAGCAGAAACTTGTTGTCAAGCCACCCATGCCCACCAAGGCTCCTAAACCTGCACCAGCCAAACCATCCAAAGCAAAGCCTACTGCAGTAGAAGTCCTCTTATCTAAGATCAAACCAACAGCAGCAGCTAAATCTAAACCCACAGCTGCCCCAGCTAAGAATGGTAATGGCAAAGCAGTTGTTGAAAAGAAAGCCAATGGTGCAGATAAAGCCAGTGGCAATGGCAATGGAAAAGTAGCTGCAGCAAAAGCAAATGGCAATGGTAAAGCTACAGCTGAAGCCAAGCCCACAGTGCAGGCCAAAGTGAATGGAAATGGAAACGGTAAGGTAGTAGCTGAGAAGAAAGCCAATGGAAATGGAAAAACCACAGCAGCAAACAAGGCCAATGGCAATGGAAAAGCCACTGCTGTGTCCAAGACAAATGGCAATGGCAAAGAAACAGTAGAGAAGAAAGCCAGTGAAAACGGCAAAGCTGCTGTAGAAAAGAAAGCCAGTGAAAATGGCAAAGCTACTGTTGAAAAGAAAGCCAGTGTAAACGGCAAAGCTGTTGTAGAGAAGAAAGCCAGCGAAAATGGCAAAGCTCCAGTGGAAAAGAAAATCAATGGAAACGGCAAAGCTCCAGTGGAGAAGAAAGTCAATGGAAATGGCAAAGCTACAGTAGAGAAAAAAGCCAATGGAAATGGCAAACCTGCTGTGGAGAAGAAAGCCAATGAAAATGGCAAAGCTGCTGTGGAGAAGAAAGCCAGTGAAAATGGCAAAGCAACCATTGAAATTAAAGAGGTTAAAGTAAAAGTTGATGGCAAAGCTGAGAATAAGGTCAATGGTGAGGCCAAAGTTAGTGCTGTGGTAGAAAAAAAAGCTGTTGCTACTGGTGCCGCAAAAATTGAAACCACTACAAAAACAAAGACTGAAGAAGTTGTTAAAGTAGAAAAGATAGAAAAGACTGTGGTCAGTGCAGCTAAACCTGCTGCTAAGGTGGAAGCTACTAAGGCACCTAAACCCACGGCAGCACCAAAACCGGAACCTACAAAAATGGCAAAGGCTGTGCCCACCAAAGCTCCAGATTCAAAACCTCAAGGAAAGGCAGAAGTGAAAGAGGTTGTCAAAGTCAAAACTGTTGTCACCAAAGTACCTCTGGTCAAGACAACTGTGAGCAAAGCAGTGACCAGTGTTGTTGAAAAGGTCTCCATCCCAAAGAAAGCAGCTCCAACACCTGCTCCTGTCCAACCAACTCCACCCAGACCAACCAAATCCAAGGTGGTGGACATTAATGTCAAATCCCTTCACAAACCTTTCCCACCTTTTGGCAAGACTGTGCTGAGTGGAACCACAATCCCAGCGAAGAAAGTAACCAACGGTTATCAACAGGTACAACAGGAGGACCCATGTTTGGGTCAGAGAGTCCAGAGTTGTATGTCCCATCATTCCCATTTGCTGCCAGGTCTTTCTGCCATCAAAGATATGCAACAAAATTTTTGTAAAACCTTTATTTTTTTTAATTTTCTTGGGTACGTATTTATCTTTAAAAATTTGACTTGTAAAAATTTTGAGGGATATTCTTGATGGCGGACCGTCTGGTTTTCAAAATGGAAGTTGGTCCATACCAAGCTGGTATTTCCTCTGTTCATATATCATATGATCTTCATGATCACTCCAGCTTCTCCATATGATATGATACAGCGGTGCACATTGAAGCATGGCTAATATTACAGTTTCATTGTCCTTTACTTCACTTCATACTCCTACCTTCAAGCTGCTCAAACTGGATCTCAGAACCTGAATAGACTCCAGCACTCTCTTTCTGTTTGGGAAAATTCATTAACGTACCGTTCAGATGAATGAGCATGGATTGTTATGGCATAAAAACTAGACTTGATGAAACACAAGTACTGTCACATTCTATACACAGGCAACACAACACAACACTAACCCCAACTCTTCTGTCACTCTGTCAATCTCTCTGTTTGTTTTCCTAAGTATCTGTGTGTATTTGATTCTTGTTCCTTTGACTTTGGTATATTTGTATCAAATATTAATGAAGCAGTCTCACAGAAACAAAAAAATGAATACTTTTAGTAAGTTGTTAGATGCAGGTATCATTAAATGTTAAATCTACAAAAAGTTGACATGTTTGGTGAAATGGTAAGGTTATTAATGGGTCAAAGAAAGTTATCCAATGTATTAGCTGATCAAGTAAAGCAACGTTTCTGTGAGGCTGCTGATTGGGGTTGTAGCTCTGCTATCTGGTCTTGGGTGAAACTAGCCATCCCAAAGAGTCCAATCATGATGTTTTCATCTTTAGGGATGGCTAGTGGCTTTCAGTCCTCCCAGTGTGAGCAGACTTCAACAATGGGAAACTTTGGCTTTGTAAGCTTGAAAATGCAAAATTGTTCAACAAAGCATCAAAAAGAAATGTCAGCAAAATATTCTCAATGACTCCCTAAAGATTGCAAATTGCAATATTTATAGTGATTGAGATTTTCAAACTGACTGATATTTCTTTTTAAAAATGGATCCTCACAGCTTTAAAAGTGTGAGTTGCCTGTAAAAATACATTTGTCCCGGGCAACCACAATTTTATAATGTGTTCCATTTTCTTCTTTTAACTCATTATCACTTTACAAGCAGACTTTGAGCTAACCTCGTTCTTCCATTCAAATCTGCTTACTTCCTTCCTGCTCCCCAATTCCTGTCAACTTGACCAATCAGGATGTAGACACTGAATATTCCGAAGCTGGCCACACCGCTACAGAGACTGATTATTACTATGAGGAGATGGTTCCACTGCCAGAGGGTGAGGTGGTTGGACAAGAAGAGACTCCTGTACAGGTAAAAAGGAAATGACACACTAATCTGTGACACAGAACAAGAAGATAGAATAGTCATAAAACAAGCAGGTGGAACTGAAACTTTTACATGAGACATACGTTTAAGTTTAATCCAAATATCCAAGTGGGTTTGCTTACTTTGTACTGCAATTATAAAATATTAGGAATAACCAAGCAGTAAAAAAAAATATATCAACAAGAGACTTTAATCCCCAAAAGAAGAAGAGTTAATATCTGTGTGGTGGTGAGCCCAGTCTTTGTTGTTTAACCAAGTAGTTATAGAACCATGTCTCGTCTTACACTTACCCAGCCCCCCTTTAATGTTGTGGTGGCACCGATGCCTCATTAAAAAAAAAGCCTTTTTTCAACTGAGAATGCACCACATTCATTTGCTGGTATCACCAAACATTTTTATGTGGCTCCTTTTTTTCCCTAACAGCAAGATTCCTGTTTTGTTCTCATCTCATGATCTATCGTTGATCAGGCTGTGATCTTGACATAAGAGCAAAAAATCTTGTGAAAAAGGGATCTGCATAGAAATATTTGGAATGCATTTACAACCACAGACACAAAGGTAGATGAATATTATGCATTCTTGTTAGTGTGAAAAATCCAACTGAACTGAAGAATACAGAAGTTCCTGTGGCTTCCCTTACAGCCCAAAACTTTCAGAATTTGAGAATCAGTTCTCACAGTTCTGACCTGTTTCTCACAGTTCACTTAGTTCATACTCTTAGAGTATTCTAACTATTTTATCTGTTTGAGTTTACTTTGAAGGTTTTTATTTGTAATTTTCCAGTTATTTATTTATTTATTGACGATTTTGATGATCCAAATGTTTTTGCACTTGTTGGCTGGGAAACGTGTTTCTTATATGTAAGAAATGAATGCACACATTGTTTCACCATTTATAGTGATAGTGCATTGTACTTTGGATAAATTCAATTTTGCAATGATTGACTCTTGATATAAAGCAACTGTACAATTTTGCTGGAACATCCATGGTAAGTACAATAGAAAATAAAACAGCTTTTGCTTTAAACATCATAGTAGCAACTTGTTTTCACAAAGTTCCTCATATCAAATCTGTGTGTCGAAGGAATTTTAATGTGGATGTTAAAAGCTCTTCTTCCTTCTTAAGTGTCTGAAGAGTCTTAAGGCAAATCCAGAAAAAAAATGTTTAAACTCTACACACAAGCTGATGATGATATTCTTTATGAAAACATACCATAGTGAGGCCAGCGATAGCTGATTAACAGAAAATTAAAACCAGAAGAGAAACCTGCAAATTCAAAATTCAGCTTAGTGACTCAGTCTGATGGAAACAGAGTCCCTATGGTCTCCAAGGTGTCTTTTTGTGTTTTGTTCCTATTTCCCTGTTTATTTTGAAAAGGTAAGACTCACTTTTTTCTATATATGCTTCCCTTGTTCTTATCTCTCTGTGTCATTCTGTACTTCCCTGTCCTTTACTAACATTCCTCCATCACTCTAACCTCTCTCATCTTTGAATCGCCATCTTTTCTCTTGCATCTTTATTTCTTTTCCCTGAACCATCCTCTCTTGCACCTCTATCCTACCCTATTGTGGCTCTGATAAACCCACCCAGCCTCAGGAGCCATCGTTGGTGGGAGAGGAGGTGGATGCCACCAAGGCAGGCGGTGTGGGTGAGGAGGCCTTCACTGAGGAGTATGTGACTGGGGACGTGGGCCTGAAGGAGTACGACTATTCGTATAGAGACTACAATGAGCCATTAGTGGATACAGGAGAGGTCGATGCCAACATGGGCCCCGCCCTGTCTGCTGTGACAGATGAGGGAGGCGTAAGTAGTTTTGCCTTGTAGGCAAAAAAAAAAAGTCAGTTTCAACCCACTGTGGATCCTGGTCTTGGTCAGATCATCCGCAGTCTTCTCTCAAATGGTGAGAGTCTGCCATCAGTATATTTTAAATTGAAGAACATGGTTTACTGTGGGGAAGTATACCTACACCCTGTATGAGCTAGGAAAATTCTAAATGGACACTTTGGTTGTAAGCTTTCCTTGCAATCAAATTTTATGCCAGGCAAAGTCAATCATTTACAGAATACATCCCAAATGCTCGAAGGACCAAGATCTGTTTCCACATATCAGTGGTTGAAACTGATGTCATTCTACCCGATAAATAGCAAACCCAGGACCCCAAGAATAAAGCCATACTTCTAGTTTAAGCTATTGGGGATCCTGACAACCTAAGATAAGAACTACAGTTATGACATGGACTGCATTCAGAGGTACTTAGAAATACGGCAGTGACCAGCTGCTGTATCTCCAGTCCTAGATGCAGTTAATCTCAGTGTATGGCTTCACAGAGCTGCTTAGCCCAAATGTTTCTGTTTCTCAGCAAATAGAACTACAAGTAATGGACCAGAGTCTGGATTGAACCAGCAGTGTTTCTGCTTTTCTCAAAAGCATATCAGGTTTTCATCATTGAGTTTTCCACACTGAAATGATAGTGTTTGATATGCATCAAACCAATGCTGGTGTGCATATGTAAGTTTATATTTATCTTGGTCTAAATGCATACAGACATTGTCATATGCCTCCTCTGAGTTTGTATTTTTTGTATTTATTTTCCGGCGCTGCTTCTATACTGACTACACTGTGTTGTTGGCTACATATCTGTTTTCCCCAGGCTGCTGTCAGAGGCCAGAAAGGAGAAAAAGGAGAACCTGCCGTCTTGGAGCCTGTAAGTTACACAATTTCTTTGAAACGCCCTTCCTAATGCAGGTGGACGTGCCTTGTGACAGAAAAAACAAGGGTCAGGGAGTCATTTTTCTAGCAGCTCCAAAGATCTGCACTAGAAAACCTTCAGTTACAATCCAGTTTTTTCAAATCTTCATTGAACAATTGACAAAGTGATCCATGATTTGTCTGTGTGTGACTGCACCATATTTTCTCTGTTTTTAATAACATGACATATATGTCTAAATTTGATTACCTCCCTTGTTTGATCACTAGTAGACTCGTGTGAGTCAGTTTAAATGAGTCAAGTCTGTTGAGTAGCTTTTAATGTGCAATCATTATGTTGACAATTTAACTGTGATTTTTTCAGGGTATGCTAATTGAAGGACCTCCAGGACCTGAAGGACCTGCTGTAAGTAAATCATGGTTATTCCCTGATTTTCTCTTTAAAGACATTTGAATAATCTCTGAAAACTATAACAATTCTCCTGGAGTTTACTCTTCTATGTTTATACTTTTATACTCTGTGCCCTGAGTTATCAGCAGCAAACTTTTGTAGAGCAATTTGACTATTTTTTATGGATCGGTGCTGTATAGAGATTAATTGATTGAATACTGAAGAATTCCTCCTTCACACCTTTCAGGGTCCAACTGGTCCCCCTGGCTCTTCTGGACCTCCTGGTTCTGTCGGTGACCCTGGTGAGAGGGTGAGTGTTTCACTTTATCGGATGAAGTGTGTGTACAGACAACTCTGTGACATTCTTGGAAATTGCAGATGTGTTGCGCATAAATAAAGTAACTTAACTTCCACCTGTCCTGGAACCTGCCTGCTCAAACCTCTCTCCCTCCATTCTCCAGGGTCCTTCTGGTAAACCTGGTCTGCCAGGAGCAGATGGAGTCCCAGGACCTCCTGGAACCTCTGTCATGCTTCCTGTGAGTCACACACGGCTTTCCATCCTTAGGAACCGATACTCTCTAAATGTTCATGGATGATGATGTTATTTGCCTCAGCTTTTTGTCTATGCTAAAATACTAGACTTTGTTCGATATCCCATAAAGTTCTGTATGATGCTGGCTCATAATCAATAATGAAGTATCTATCCCTCAACAGACGTTAATTTGAATCACAGCTACAGTTCATAGATCTACTGTCATGTTTTGATTCATTTGACTCATGAGTATTTTTCTGCATAATGTTGAGTGTTTGCTTAAATTAGCCTCCAACTTACAAATAGGAATAGTATCCACTCATGTAGTTTTAATGCTTCTGTATTTTCTTTTTACAGTTCCGTTTTGGACAGAGTGGAGGAGATAAGGGTCCTGTGGTTTCAGCTCAGGAAGCCCAGGCAGCTGCCATCTTGTCTCAGGCCAGGGTCAGTCATCACTTCTACTCCACATTTCCGCTGTAATTTTACTGCAATGATCACTGCAATCAAGTCCTGGATTTTAGTCACTATTTTCTGAAAACTAGTTGTCAAAAGAGGGATTATGATGTTCAAGTCTGAGGACATTATCATCCCTTTTTCCTGTAAATGTCAAAAAGACCCTTAGCTTACTGTTGTAATGCAAGACCACAGGTGTTATTCCACCGTGGGACCCTTTACCACATCATTCCCCTCTCTCTTCTCCAGTTTTGTGTTCTGTCCACCATCCTATCCTGTTGATAAAGGCAAAAAAAAACAAAATGAACTTAAAATTGTCTTTGTCTTCAGATGGCTCTGAAAGGACCTCCTGGACCAATGGGATTCACCGGGCGCCCCGGACCCCTGGTATTTAACCTTTCATTTAGAATTTAGTCAGTAAACTGTCAGATTTGCAACTTATTATTCACAGCACGAAAAAATTGGAAGGATTGATACTTGTTAAAAACCGATGATGACAGTGATGGTTTTTGTTTTTGTCTTAGGGAAATCCAGGAAGTTCTGGTCTGAAGGGAGAAAGCGGAGACCCTGGCCCACAGGTTAAAAAAAATTACTCTTTTAACTCAAATCAAATTATACCTTTTTACTAATTTCTCCTTCAAATTATGTAATCAACCATTTTTAGTTTACTGATGTTAATGATATTGAGTTTAAAGCATGATGCATCAGTTCAGCTCTATTACAGGCATTTATTAAAAACATTTCCTGTGTTTTTAGGGCCCAAGGGGACCCCAGGGTTTGTTGGGACCTCCAGGAAAATCAGGAAGAAGAGTGAGTAACTAACTTTCTTTGCCAAATATGAAAAATATAGCCTAATACTACACAAGAGAACATAAGTATTTGCCAAGTGGTCCAACCCTCTCTCATTTTAAAACATGCGTACTCCTAACAGGGTCGTGCTGGAGCTGATGGTGCCAGGGGGATGCCAGGAGAGCCTGGGACCAAGGTGACCTCTTCCTGTCATTTATTCATGATCATTTCTAAAACCAACAGGATTGGCTAATGATTTTGAGATATCCAGTTTATACTGGCTCCTAAACAAAGTAGTTATAATTCCTTTTGCCTCTTGTGTCTGTGTTAGGGTGATCGTGGTTTTGATGGCCTTCCAGGGTTGCCTGGGGACAAAGGACACAGGGTGAGTCAAAAACCTACCCAATCAAAATGCCACAAACACTAAAATCAGTGTTATTATCATTATAAGTTAGGTGTAAAAAGAGATAGAGAAAAAGAACATCATTTCTTTGACAGACATTAGATTGTTTTAATCTTAAATTGCTGCCAAGATGAACCTGACCATTTTTTAATGATTACTCTGTCATCGCTTTTTCCTCCTCCAAGGGTGATACAGGACCATTGGGACCCCCAGGACCTACTGGAGAGGATGGAGAGAGGGTATGAAGATACCAGAGAATTTAATGTGGCTTCAGCACTACACAGAGCACCTGTTATTGTGTCACTCCATTTCTGTAGATAATGAGCATCTCTTTGTTTTTGTGTGTTTTCAGGGAGATGATGGAGACGTTGGACCCAGGGGTCTCCCAGGTGAACCAGTGAGTGTTTCCATGACAACATAACCAATCTCAAATCCCCCCACTTTTTTTGTCTGGCCCTTAAGCTTTTCTATTTCGGTTTGGAACAGCACCCCATAACTCGTGTCAATATATCTGTTGTTAGTACGATCGCTGCTAAAGTCAAAGATACCTTAACTAGTCTGGGTGTATTAATGTGTAGAGAAGCTGTGGAGATGTCAAAGGTCATAAAAGAAGCTTGTTTGCTGTTAAAATTGAATTAAAGCTTTTGTTAGTTTTTAGTTGTTTTAGTAGTAGTCTTAGTCTTAGTAGTTGTTAGTTTGTTAGACCTGAGTTTATATTTAGTTGTAAATGATTGTTCTTGTTATTGTAATCCTGTTAGGTTGTTTAAATTTATCTTTCTGGCGTTTTTATTGCTGGTTGATCTTGGCTTGTATGTATGTGTGCCTGTAGGGACCTCGTGGTTTGCTGGGTCCTAAAGGTCCTCCTGGAATCCCCGGACCTCCTGTGAGTAAAAACAATTTCAAACCACATTGTCTGCTTTTTTTACAGCTGCATTGTCTTATTCCTCTGTGACCTCTGAGCACCAACTGCATGTTTGGAAACAACACCCTGGGTCCTGATAGCAAAATAAGACATGGGGGTACCCAGAATCTAAAAACGTAGATGTCATGGTCCCATAATCACTTCAAAACAACAACAGGACACCCAGTGTCACCCAGGATTTAGGCGACCAAAGCCATTTTAACACTCATATATCTTATGACATGGTTATTTGGCTAAAGTGGTTCAGCTCTGCCTTTCAGACACACAAAGAACAATACTTATTGGATACAAACCGTTGAAGTACAATAAGGTATCTCCTTTTTTGGTCACAAACATTCTTCCTAAACGTAATAATGCGATCAGACAACCAGCAGTTGATCAGAGATCAGGTGTCCTCTAGTAGAAGCAGAAAGTGTAGCCTGAAACTGCAAGTCTTAGATTATGAGTAGTCTTTGAATAAATTATAAACTACTTTTGTCTGATGCTCTTTTCTTACTCAGAATCGTTTTTTTACTTCCCATTTAAGTACCTCTTCTACACATCACAGGACACACACTGTTCTGCGCTGTTAATGGAGTTGAACAAGGCACTCTCAAGTATAGCAGCAGTTACCTCTGCAGATAAAAACATCGTTCTTTAGATAGAAGCCCTCACTAAGAGAGTTGGTTATTAGTGACTAAAACCGAGTCTAAATTGTGTTGTACTCTGTGCATGGCTGACCATTTCTGTTTGTCCTCTCTCCCTGTTAGGGTGTACGAGGAAATGATGGGCCCCATGGTCCCAAGGGAAACCTGGTCAGTACTCTTACAAATGATCAACTATCTGATCATGTGAACTTGTACTTTTGAACCAGCAGATTATCAGTATCACGCATGAAAAAAATCTTAATTTCTGTTCCTTCCTCTAAGGGTCCCCAAGGAGAGCCTGGACCCCCAGGACAGCAGGGAACCCCAGGAACTCAGGTGAGACCGACTGGTATTATACACTTTTGTCTCTGTCTTTCTTGAGCAAATCATTGTGTGCTGATGTGTTCACAATTATAAATGACAATACTGAAAATATACGCTTCTCTTGTATACAAAACTTGTCTTGTGTGTTTGTTGTTTTGATGATTTATAGGGAATGCCAGGACCTCAGGGAGCAGTCGGACCCCCAGGAGAGAAAGTAAGGGCCAATGCTTTGTTCAAGCTACCATGATGTATGATAGAGCAGTTATCTTGTTTGGAGAAATTATTCCAGAGATTGAATATGACTGACTTTTTAAACGGTCTCATTCATGGAGGATACTGTGGATAGGAATGGAAAAAGGCAGGATTTTCAGAGGATCTGCTGAGACAGACAACATTTTATGTCTTTTGGAGATATATTAGATCAGGTCAAATGGACAAATACTTGCCCAGTTCAAAGTTATCCCTCTCACTTTATTAACCTGAAGTGACCCAAGAGTTTCAGACGTAAGATCCCTGCCCTCTGGCTTCAGAGCTCTGACCATCTTGCTTTCTCCTCAGGGTCCCACAGGAAAACCAGGTCTGCCAGGAATGCCTGGAGCTGATGGACCTCCTGTGAGTGTTCTCTTTTTGTATACTGAAAACTAAATCAGATTGTATCTATCAACACCGACTGTCCTTCTTGAGGTTTTGAGACCCCTTCTCTCTTCTCAGGGTCACCCAGGAAAGGAGGGGCCTACTGGCACCAAAGGAAACCAGGTCAGTGTCAATAATTAGCATCAGCACCACACTTCAAACTTTTCAACGGACAAAATCAATTCACAGACTAAATATAAGTTAGGGGACCATGTCACATCTGTTGGATGAGGTACACTGAGTAAGCCTTTGTTCCAATAGATATTCAAATAAAGTGACACAAAGCATTTTGACTTTATGGTGTGTTTTGTATCATAAACCCATTTTTCTTTGACTTTCTCCAGGGTCCCAATGGTCCTCAGGGAGCTATTGGCTATCCTGGGCCTCGTGGCATCAAGGTGAGTGGAGTCAGGTTTTACAAATCAGCTCACAGGTTTTATGATGGTCAGGTCATTTTGTCATGTCTGAATTACTTTTACTTTGGCTGTAATAAGTATAAGATTTGCTATCAATAAGAACAAACCAACAGAACATTTAAACACCATAAAGCATTTCAGTGTATTGATTATTTAATGCTGTAATTTTAGGGAGGTCAAGGTATCCGTGGACTAAAGGGCCACAAGGGAGAGAAGGTAAGTGATTCATTACATCAAGATATTTCCAAATATACATCACTTAATCAAGGAGTAGCCTGTCATTAATCACATTTGCATTGTGCCAATAATTTGTGGTTTTGTAGCTCACTTACAATAACAATATGTTCAGGATATGCCTGTGTCTTTATTAAACAGGAGTTTGATTCGGTTTTTTGCTGAAAATGTTCTGTCTGTTCTTGTTTGTTTGTGTTTTTAGGGAGAAGATGGTTTCCCTGGAATTAAGGGAGATTTCGGTGTCAAGGGAGAGAGGGTAAGATCAAAATCTGGAGAAACTGGTCTATTGATTAGTTTGTTAACAGGGGGATTGTTGGATTAATAAAAGGGTGTATAACTGACTGATATGTTCAGTACCATGATATTAAGGAAGATTTTTTTATTTGTTTGAATGTTTTTTGTTTTGTCTCCTGCTCTCAGGGTGAGATTGGAGTCCCAGGACCCAGAGGAGAAGACGGTCCAGAGGGGCCAAAGGGTCGTATTGGACCCCCTGGTGAGATCGGGCCACTTGGATTAGTCGGAGAGAAGGTACAACCTATTCAATCTTGTTATTTCCCTGTTTTCTTAAAGTTAAGGAAATAACATGCTGCCCTCTTGTGGTTATATATGTAAGTGCACTTTTATGAGACATGAAAATTACACATGGCACATACAGAGCTTTATAATCATTCAGTGAATACATTTGGACAAAACATAAACATTTAATTAAGCTTTTTTTTGTACATTTTAATGCTAGCTTCTGTAGTTGCTGCAAATAAACTAATTTCTTCATGATATTTTTCACCTTTTTTGTGTATTATAAATGAATCTGAAGCACACCTCAACACAGAATCAGATAGTACTTGATTTTAGTCATGTATTATTTCATGAATTCAGGTTTTTTTCTCTTATGAAATGATTTACTCTGTGAAAGGTTTATAGTATCGATTCAGAATTATGTAATCTGATCAAGTTGAATATTAGTCATGACTGGTTTTATCATGTGATTTCAGGGTAAACTTGGTGTGCCTGGACTTCCTGGATATCCTGGGAGACTAGGACCAAAGGTGAAAGAAACAAATACTTTGAATCATCCTAATATATTTAAACGTTCAAGTGATGACCAAGGCTTTTATGACGATAAACACCGCTAATGTAAGTATTGATTTGGGGTTTTTTTTAGGGATCTCTTGGATTCCCAGGATTCCCTGGCTCAAACGGCGAGAAGGGAACAAGGGTAATTAAATTTTACTCACTCTGCTCAGATCTTTAATTAAAACAGTCATCAGTAATGTCATTGACGATAGACTGAAGGATTGTGTAGGTTGAATACACCTTTGTAGTCAGCTGCAAAAACTAATTGTCATACGTTTTTGTTTGTTTGTTTTTTTCAGGGTCTAAGCGGCAAAGCAGGGCCCAGGGGACAAAGAGGACCTACGGTACAATTTCACATTTAAGCACTCACAGTTAGTTTGTAAAGTCTGTCCTGTATGTCTGATGAATGACTTTGATCATACTTGATAGACTCACGCTATGATCTCTGATTTCATAGAAGAGAGTAACTTAATACAACACTGAGAAAAATTGTAAAGAAACTTTTACCTTTCGATACAAAAGTTACACTCTGTTGTGTCTGTAATCACACCTTGTGGCGAGGCCTGTAGGGTCTTGTTGCTCAACTGGTCATCACTGCTGGAGAGTGAGAAATGAAACATACATAGTTTAGTAAACACATTTTAAGAGGATCTAATTCTTCAGTGCCGATTTGATCAATTTAAAAATTCAGTGGACGTCTCAGTCTGATGAAGCTGTGTCATTTTTCAATCATCTTTTCTGTGTTTTCATGTGTTCATCAGGGCCCCAGAGGGCAGCGCGGACCAAGGGGCTCAACTGGGAAACCAGGAGCAAAGGTTTGTCTGACAACAACTTTGTAAAGACTGTCTGGAACTGTCTCCAGCTGTTTTAATGATGATTACTGTTGGAAAAAAAACAATTCTAATTTGTTATTGATGATTAATATAATTGCATTGATCCAGCCAGAACCTCAAAGTTCAATATTTTGGACTCATTCAATCGGTGACTCAAATTACATCACAATGTGATTTTAAGGCTGAGCAGTTCATGACACAGCTCTGTTGTAAGCAGTGTCCTGTGATCCAAAACCAGATTTTTTTAATTCTGTGTATTTTTTGTTTTTTAGGGAACTTCAGGAAGTGATGGCCCTCCTGGTCCTCCTGGAGAGAGGGTGAGTACTTTATATTCATTTTGGTCGTCATGTTCTGCTGCAGAGCACTTTGTCAGAGACAGATTTAAACCTTTGACTTAATTAGTGAAATTACATGTTAAAATAAACTGATTAATTGCCTCAGTCTGACTGAAACTGAACTTTTAAAAAACTTGTTAACACATTAGTCTGGCTTAAATCGCACTAAATCAAACTTCTCATAGTGGGACTAACATACAACTCAGATAACAAGGTTAGGGATTAATTCCATATATATGGATCAATCAAACTGATTATCGTCCTCATTGTTTAAGATTGTTGGATGACTGACTGCCTGTCCTTGGTCTTCTTGTGTATTCTAATAATAATAAATACATCATACTTTATCGCCTTATCAGGGATTGCCCGGGCCCCAGGGAGCCAATGGATTCCCCGGACCAAAAGGACCTCCTGTAAGAACACAGTTCACTCACATTTTAATGGCCTTTAACGGTGGCATTACTTGGCTTTTCATGAGATTATAGACCTCTCCAGCCATGCTCTTGGGTTTCATGTTTCCTCTTTCTTTCTCTCTCCTCTCAAGATGAAGATATCATTTGTATATGAAGGCTGATTGATGTTTCTTTACAGGGACCACCAGGAAAGGACGGGCTGCCCGGACACCCAGGACAGAGAGGAGAAGTTGTATGTTTTTTTTTTTTTTGTTCTTCCTTGATATAAACTCATGATTTAAAGGTTGAAACCTCAGCATATAAAACACAGTATCTGTAGTGCACATAGAAAATGAAGTGACCTGTTTAAAGGCTTTACAGTCTGAGTATTCATCAGGACAGAGATTTTTCTAAGGCACAGTGCATCCTTCTGATCTGTACAGTAGATTTATATCTTTATTTGCACATTGTTCCTTTTCTACCTAGCAACTTGGAGAATAGTTGTCATTCATTGGAAAGCTCTTCATATATATCATCTGTGGATTCTCTGCTCACTGAATTTCTCTCCTCCAGGGTTTCCAAGGTAAAATGGGTCCACCTGGGCCTCCTGGAGTCGTGGGACCTCAGGTGAGTTTTTGATTTTGTTATGAAGAGCGTTCTTAAATTTTTCTGCGATCACATTGGTTTTCAAAAACTTTACATTTTGTCCTCCGTGCTCACTTCTCTCCTCATCTTCCCAGGGTCCATCTGGAGAGACAGGCCCAATGGGTGAGCGTGGCCATCCCGGACCCCCAGGTCCACCTGGAGAGCAGGGACTTTCTGGTCCATCAGGGAAGGAAGGTACCAAAGGAGACCCTGGACCCCCTGGGGGCCCTGGCAAAGATGGACCACCGGGTCTGAGAGGCTTCCCTGGAGAGAGAGGACTGCCAGGAACCCCTGTGAGTAGAACAGATAGGGTTTTGTCTGCAATGAGCAGTTGGATGGAAATAAACTGAATAAAAGTGTGACACTGAGAAATTCAGGTTGATCAATCACTTTTGTCTTTTCTTCTAGGGAGGTGGAGGACTGAAGGGAAGTGAAGGGCCCGCTGGACCACCTGGACCTGCTGTAAGTTTGAACCCACCGGAAAATTTAATTTTCCTGGAAAAAAAAAAAAGAATCATTTTATCTGGTTAGATGGATGCTCTGATTTTAGTCACAACTGTACAAGTACATCCCGTTAAGAATGATGTATTTACTGAATGAGTACCTGCTTTGGTTGGTAATGGCCTCTTGATTTTGTACTTTTTCAGGGATCTCCTGGTGAGAGGGGTCAGTCAGGTACTGCTGGACCCGTTGGACCTCCTGGCAGACCTGGCCCTCAGGGGCCTCCTGGACCTGCTGGAGAGAAGGGAGTTCCTGTGAGTATTCCTGAAAATATTCAGTTGTGCATTTGTCTCAACAGTCAGTACCAGTATATTTGTGAAAAGGTTTCCTCCAGCCAAAGAGAAATGATCAGCTGTTGATTTTCCTCTTTGCTCGTTTGCTCTCGTTCAGGGTGAAAAAGGTCCTATTGGCCCTGCTGGTCGTGATGGTGTGCAGGGTCCTGTGGGTCTGCCCGGCCCTGCTGGATCACCTGGAGTGCCAGGAGAGGACGGAGACAAGGCCAGTTATTCTGACAGATTCTATACCTTTGTTTATCCACTCTGCTATAATGTTTAGTCCATTGAGTTTTGTGCGACCCCTGTTTATCCAGCTGTAATCATCCTGTAACTCTGTTGTTATTGTAAAGGGACGTTTCTGTGTCATTACAGGGTGAGGTTGGAGAGCATGGTCAGAAGGGTGCCAAGGGAGCGAAAGGAGAGCATGTGAGTGGTGCTGACGGACTTGAGGCCTTATTCCTGATCACAAATAAACAGAAATAGCTTTTCTGCAGTTTTGAAGTTCTGCTACTTGTCCCATGTTTGGTTACAGTTGAAACACACATTAACACAGTCCGTTTGTTTGTTGGTAGGGTCCTCCTGGTCCACCTGGGCCAATGGGTCCTGTCGGGCAGCCTGGTCCTGCTGTAAGTACAAACCTGAACTTGTGGAAAACAAATTAAGAGAGATATGTTGGATGGCTCAACAACACGCTTAGTTTTTTATCTACTGAAAACATATAAGATACAAAATACACACTTTACACTGTTATGATTATTCTAAATCCAAAATTATTCTTTTTTCTTCATCTATTTTGTTTTGATGGGGTTTTTTCTTCTTCTTCTATGATTCAGGGTGCTGATGGAGAACTTGGACCAAGAGGTCAACAGGGGCCTTTTGGAGCTAAAGGTGACGAAGGAACCAGAGGATTCCCAGGAGCCCCCGGACCCATTGGACTGCAGGTACAAGAAATGGACAAAACACAGATTTAGATTTAAAACATTTAGATGAACTTCTGAGCGATAATCTAACATGATTTGCAAAGCTAAACCAAGTCTTTGTATAACTTTGTCTCTTTCTGTTCACAGGGATTACCTGGGCCACCAGGTGAGAAGGGAGAGACTGGAGATGTCGGCCCTCTGGTGAGTTCAAACATTTTTCATCAGTGATTTAGTGACTTGTTTTCTCACCGTGAAATTACAAACTTGATCGATGTCTGAAACTCTATTTTTTCAGGGTCCTCCTGGCCCTCCTGGTCCCCGCGGCCCTGCTGGACCAAGTGGTGCTGATGTGAGTGTTTACAACCCTTTTTTATAAACTTACACTTGAAAAAGATACTGTTGAGTTGACACTGCTAATGCTACAACCTTGATATCTAATAAGTCTTAAAAGTGTCTCTAAAAGAGTCTGGAGGGTTTTGTCTAAGCTTTATATCAAGTTACGTTCAGTTGACAACAGAATCATCTTAAGGTCTTCATCTTGAGATGAAAATTTTTATGTGAAATTAAATTTTACGAGTATCATTATCTAAATATTTTATGCAAACCTTTCAGGGTCCTCAAGGTCCTCCTGGTGGTTTGGGTAACCCTGGACCTGCTGGAGAGAAGGTGAAGGATTGACAGATATTTCGCCAACACTGAAGTCATAATTTTTAGATGATTCTTATTGTTTTTTTAAAAACTGATTCAAGGACTAAAATAAAAACTGTTTGATCCACAGGGAGAACCTGGTGAGGGAGGCCCACCTGGAATTGGAGGAGAGCCAGGAAAGAAGGTGAGTATCTGACCATGTAGCTCAGATTGTGAGATATAAGGAGACTTTGTCTTCACTGAAAGATTTAAAGCTTTCATAAATAAAGAAAGAGTTTGCTGCTCCTGTCTGCAGGGTCCTCGGGGAGAGCGTGGGGAGAAAGGAGAAGCTGGACAACCTGGAACCGCTGGACCTGCTGGAGGCAGAGGACGACCTGGAGATGATGGACCCAAAGGAAATCCTGTATGACACCCTCAGTGAAATGCACACAACAACATTTCCTCACAGATCAGTTTTCTGTCGAGATTATCTGTTTTACTTATACTGTTACTCAATTTTCATCTTTTAAGCTTAATGACTTAATATTTGTCTTAAACTTCAGGGCCCTGTTGGTTTCCCTGGAGATCCTGGTCCTCCTGGTGAAGTTGGACCTAGAGTGAGTATTTTTTTAACGATACATCAGTATCTTTATTGAACGACATAAAATTACATTTTCTTTAAATTTTAAGGCTGTAGTTGAATGTCGTTGCACAGCTGTCAGTAGTCTAGTTCAGTTTCATCCATGTGAACTGTCTCATAACTTCTGCTTTACTGCCCTCTGATCAGATATGACACTAAACCTGATCTGCTTTGATTCAGGGTCAAGATGGTGCCAAAGGAGAGAGAGGAGAAGATGGTGAACCAGGAGAATCTGTAGGTTGAAGGATGCAGCAATGCAGATATGTGTTTATATAAATTGATTCATCGTCTTAAATCTGTTCTCTCTGCTTCTTTTTGCAGGGCTCACCTGGACCCCCAGGAGAGAACGGACCTCTTGGTCCCCCAGGAAAGCGGGTAAGGTCACATCGCCTAAATTATAAGAGCCGAGCTGATTCTTTTTGTAAAATGTTCAGGATCTTCTGTGTTTAGGTGTATTTTTGGACTTTGCAGCATTAAATCTGTTTGGTCATGTCAGCTTTTACAGTGTTTGTTTGTTAAAAGATGTGCTGCAGAAAATCAGTCTGTATTTAATAACATGTGTGAATAAGGATCATGTATTTGACTGGATTCTCCCTGGTGTTTGGAGAAAAACCTTTGTACTCAGGTCATCAGTTAAATCAGCTGATGGGCTTCATTTCAAATATCCAAATAAGCGATCATAACTTGTGATTCTTAAAATATTGTCACGTGTTTTACCTGCCAGGGTCCTGCTGGAACAAGAGGACCAGAGGGACGTCAGGGAGAGAAGGGAACTAAGGTGAGTCCAGAGCTTTAGGGCACAGGTTTTAACTTCCTGTGGTTCAATGCAGAGAATGTGAACAGAGTGCAGTCAGTTGAAACTATTATTTGATTCTGTTACATAACTTTGAAAATAAAAAAATCATTTGTAATGCTGATGTTCATCTTTATCTTTTACAGGGAGACCCAGGTGCTGTTGGCCCCCCAGGAAAGACTGGTCCTGTTGGCCCCCAGGGTGTACCAGGAAAACCAGGAACAGAAGGTCTCAGGGGACTCCCTGGATCAGTGGTCAGTAAAAATGCTTTTTTATTCCATTATGATCGTCTATACAGAATGTCAACCGACCTGGCAACATATTTGAACTGTGTTTGTAAATGTGTTTCAGGGTGAGCAAGGATCACCAGGACCTGCTGGGCAGAAAGGACCACCCGGACCACTCGTAAGAACTCCTTTTATGTAGAGTTCTTGAAGAAAAGAAAAGCTTACACATTTCTCTGACACCAAATCCACCAAACTTTACTCTTCCTCTGTCTCATCCCTTCCGTCTTCCCTTTTTTTTTAAATCTCCTGTTTTCCATATTTTTCCTATGCCTGTCACCTCATCGCTGTTTCCCTCTTCCTTCTCTTATCTTCCTCCTGCAGGGACCTCCTGGTCTACCTGGCCTGCGTGGAGACCCAGGTTCCAAAGGAGAGAAAGGACACCCAGGTCTTATCGGTCTCATCGGACCCCCAGGAGAGCAGGGAGAGAAGGGAGACAGAGGTTTGCCAGGTCCTCACGGATCAAGTGGACCCAAAGGAGAGACTGTGAGGCTCACTTCTTTTACATGATTGAGACATGAGCAGCTGGACTAAGTCACTGAGTTTGATTTTCTATTCTCATGGTTAATACGTCTCATGTTTCATTGCAGGGAATGGCTGGAGGCACCGGACCCATCGGCCCTGCTGGTCCTCCTGGTCTACCTGTGAGTGCTAGTACTGTTTTGCCTTATGAACATCCAATCTCTCTTTCTTCTCTTATATCAACTGGTTCCTCCTGCGACGGCCCGTCACTGTCACTAAACTAAACCTCATGTCTTTTTCAGGGTCCTCAAGGTGTTAAAGGAGCCAAGGGTTCTTCTGTGAGTTCTTGAATATTCTTTGTAACACAGAGACTACATCACATTGTTCATTAACTCAGATCTGATACCATCACTGCTCCTGATCTTTGCCCGTCTTTTCTGTGTTTAGGGAGGAACTGGTCCAAAGGGAGAAAAGGGTGTACAAGGACCTCCTGGACCTCCTGTAAGTGCTTATCTGTTATTTATGAAAGAAAATGGCAAAGACTTTTTATTCCTGTCTGATTGCACCTCATTGTTCAGGGCTTGACACTAACTTTTTTCACAAGGGGGCTAAGTTGAAAAGTAAGGAGCACACAAAGAACTTTAGTTGCACAAAGAAAATTGATCAAATAATGTTCGTCTCATCGTCCGATCTTACTACTAAGTCAATTTTAGGTCAATTGGTCACATGACATGAAAGCTATTGAATGAAAAACAGCCTTTTCTAAGAACGTCAACCGGTAATTTATTGACGGTCCCTTATTCAACACCAGCGAGGATGCCAAGTAGATTTAACTGCACTACTGTTGCTATTCCTGGTTATGGAGATTGAGATGACACCTGTAGGTCCACACTGAATGTCCGTTGAATATCCAACCAAAGGCTAACTTCACCGCGGTATTTACTTAAAATAACATTTCTTGCCTCGGCTAATTTTTTGTTTGCGCACGTGACCCTAAAATACATTTTACAGTTCGCACACCTCTATTTTTAGTCGCAAATGCGAGTGAAATGGTCTTACTGTCGAGTCCTGTTGTTGGTTTTAAGTTCATTAATTCATTTTGAAATTGTTTCACAGGGCCCACCAGGTGAGGTCATTCAGCCCCTCCCTATCCAGAGGAGCCCCAAGTCCAAGCGCTCCATCGATGCCAGCCAGTTGCTCCCAGAGAGTGACCCTGACATGCCTGTATCCGATGCCACTGGCACTGAGTTCCTGATGGGCAGTGAAGGCATGGAGGAGATCTTCGGCTCCCTCAACTCACTTCGACAGGAGATTGAGACCATGCGATTCCCTCTGGGCACCCAGGACAGCCCTGCTCGCACCTGCCAAGACCTGCACCTCAGCCAGCCTGACCTCAAAGACGGTAATCCTGAATCTGCCGTATTGGTCTCAGAGTGGCAATCACTGATGCAGCCTAAACTATCATTTTTTCATTTCCTATATCGTAGATCGCGACCATAGTTTGATTTTTAAGTTTTTATGTTGCTCTCTGACCCCCCCCTGCAGGAGAGTACTGGATTGACCCCAACCAGGGCTGCTCCAGGGATTCCTTCAAAGTTTTCTGTAACTTCACTAATGGAGCAGAGACATGCCTATACCCCAGCAGCAGCGTCAGTACGGTCAGTAAAAATCAAAACTCAGCGACACTGTAATAAAAACTTTGAAATAAAACCTCGACCTCTAGGTTTCTAAGAGTAAATTAAAATATTCAACGAGCTCAGCATGTGAGAATGTTTCTAATTTATTTGGATTTAAAAATGTAAAGACAAATGTGAGTCAGTCAAGATTTTAGATTTGCTCCTTTTCTTGAAACAGTTTGTCCTGTTGTTTTATCACACTGTAGTTTTTGTGCACAGTAATTAAAAAAAGGAAACCATAATGTTAAAACAGTTCACAAACATTTTAACAAAGTTTGTGTTAAATGATACCTGAATCTGTTTGGGGTTTTTTGCTATAAAAATTAAGATTTTAAACTAAACGTGTCAAAAGTGATGTGGATGATTCTGTTGTCAGGTAAAGATGAACTCCTGGAACAAAGAGACTCCAGGATCCTGGTTCAGTCAGTTTACCACTGGCAGCAAAGTAAGTAACCCTCTGCTGCATCAGGACTGCTATTCAAAGTTTTCTCTCATCATCTCAGCTCTTCTTCCTCTTAAATCCCTTGTTTATAACCTCCTCTTCCTTCTACCTGCCAGTTCTCCTACGTGGACTCTAATGGAGAGCCCGTGGGCGTAGTCCAGCTCGGCTTCCTGCGTCTCCTGAGCATCCAGGCCCGCCAGAACCTCACCTACCACTGCCACCGCTCAGTGGCCTGGGCCGACCGAAGCAACAAGAACAGCTACAACAGAGCGCTGCACTTCCAGGGCGCCAACGAGGAGGATCTCAGCTACGAGACCAACCCTTACATCAAGGCCTTGGTCGATGGCTGCTCTGTGAGTCTGCGCTCGAAAACACCACTATCCTGCTGAAAGTGTGCAGGCTGATTTAAGCAGAAGGATGCAGTTTTAGAAAAGAAAAAAAAGACTATATTTATGTTTAAGAGCATCCAAAAAGAATCAGAATCAGAATGCCCTTTATTGTCATTATACAGAAGGTACAACAAGATTGGAGTGCTTCTACATTTTCAGTGCAATAGATACAAAGTGACGTTGCTCTCCTTTTTGTCGTCAAGTATTCATCTTCGGTCGTTAGTGACGTTGTTTTTCTTTTGTCATCAAGTATTCATCTTCGGCCGTTAGTGACGTTGCGTTTCTTTTTGTCGTCAAGTATTCATCTTCGGTCGTTAGTGACGTCGCTCTTCTTTTTGTCATCAAGTATTTATCTTTGGCGGTTTCTCTCCTGTTCGTTTCTCATTTTGCAATCCTTGATGTTGTTACCAGAAACGCATGCCCGCCATAGATTGCATGCAACTCGTACAAACGCACACTGTTTTTAGTAGAGTGGTCCATGGAAATGTACAATTTAAAACCCATACAGTTCTTATTTGTGCGGCTAAACAGTGATGAGGAATGTTCCCAAAGTAATTCTCAGCGGACACGAGTTTCTCGACTAAACACCGGCAGCGCCAGCGACTCGCTCCATGTGCAGAGCATGTGCAGGGGCGTGGTTTCCTCTGCTCTGATTTTGATTGACGGCTGGCAGGGTAGTCTGATTGGCAACTGAGTAAAGAACGAATGTGATTGGTGGATCACTGCACAGCACATGCAGAGTCACATGCTAAGTGTCTCAATCAGGTCCCCTTGAAATTAGATGAGTTCTTTGGCCTCCAACATTGCAGGCTCTTCAGTGTCACTATCGCGCGCACAGGTACATCGCGATGACGATGCTCAAACGATATATCGTGAAGCCCGAATATTGAGGTAGGATTCACATAGCATGGTCAGATGACATTAAAAAAAACTTGGAATGACATGATTGTACCGACCACGCAACAGTCTCAAACTTAATTTTCCCATTTAAATTTTGAATAAGAATTTTACTTTGTTTTCACTGCAGATTGTGTAGCTGAAATTTAGACTCTTATGTGGTTTGTTATTTATTCTTCTTTTCAGTCTTTAGTAATCTTCAAATATCAGGCAGCCTCATCCAAAGTGTATTTTGTTAAACTTTCTAACTGTCTTTTTCTAAAGTGTCAAATGCAATAAATTGTTTAATACAGTAACACAAAAGTAGACAATCCTCCGTCACGATCATGCAGCTCTTGGTTAGTTATTGACTCGTGTTTCTCTGTCTCTCTGCAGTACCGTAAGGGCTTTGACAGGACAGTCCTGGAGATCAACACACCACAGGTGGAGCATCTTCCTCTGCGGGATATCAAGGTGTCAGACTTTGGGGAGAGCAACCAGCAGTTTGGCTTTGAAGTGGGACCTGTCTGTTTCCAAGGCTAAAAACACACAAACACATACACACACACATTACCAAAGGAACAACACTAGACACTCACACATACACACACATGCACTTCGAGACACATTATATATAAAAAAATAACATACATGCCCTGTAATTTGTAAATTAACTTGTAAATGATATAAACACACACACGCAAATCAACAAACACACACACCACATACACAGATGCGGTTGTGAGACGAATGCACTCACACTCAAGTGCCTTGGAAAAGCAACATCCTCCCAACGATCAGTGGATGTCAAAATGAGCAAAGAGGAGAGAAACAAAAAAAAACTCGCAGAGAAGAGACCATCGTCTGAGTGCACGACCGCGAGAAAGGAAGAAAAAAAGCCTGGACCGAGTGTTTTTGGAATAAAACAGTGTTTTCTTCACCAGCAGCCAAAGAGGCCGGCCCGAGAAAGAGAGCAAGCCGGTGACACGAGACACGACAATCCTCGTCTCCTATCTCCCTCTCACTCCTCTCTCCTCCCCGCTGTCTCTCTCTTATTTTATCCACTCATCTCATTCGCTCTACCTCTTTCCTTCTCTACTAAATTAAAGGGTCACACCCATACTCGCATTTCTCTGACCCCACGTTCACACTGTGAGCAACATGGCTGACGGTCACTCTTTCGCCTTCATGAGAGGTTTGAAAATTTGGATCTAAATGCTTCAACCAATCAAATAAAAAAATAGTGAAGATCGTAAAGTTTGAAGGTAACTTGAGTTATTTTGCACTTGCAAGCCAAAACTCCCGCTCATGAATCAGAGTGCACCAAACTCTGGAGAGAAAAGGCCACCCAATGTTCTCAGCTGAAATCTTCTGTGGTCATGGATTTCTCCGAGTGACTTGTCAATCATGTTGCTCATATTGAAAACACTGTGTAACTCTCTGCTCTTGTCCTCGCCTCTCAAAAGAAACCGAAGATATGAAGCCACCAGTTTCCACCCAGAGTTTAAAAGAGACTGACCAAACGATAACTTTGCTTTTTAGATGGATCTGTTTGTCGTTTTTCGTCACTTCTCTTCATTACTATCTTTTCAAAAATGTGATTCCCCGCATGCAGTGAGTCAAAGAGGAAGATAAGTGGAAACTTTGATTTATGAATTTAAAAGCCAATATTTTTATAAACTGTGCTTCGTCTGATTCTGATGTACGTCCTCGTTACTGGTGCCTTAAAAACAGCTTAGGCTTTAAGGGTATTTTCTGTTTTTGCATCAGAGAACCTTTTCAGGGTTTAAATCCATTTATGCAACTAAAATCACCCTTCTATCTTATTTTTCTCTACAGCAGCAAATAAAATGTAAGCTTTACTCAAAGAAACTGTATGGCAAGGTGCTAATTATACCGAAGTTAGTGTTCACTTTCAGTTCTCGAGCCTCTCTAGTCTCTTTCACAGTTTCATGAAGCTTTTTTTTTCTGGGGAAAATGTGCATTACATTCCATTTGTACAGAAATAGTGATATTCTATTGTATTTATTTAAACAAACAGGGTGCTTTGAGATTAAAAGTAAGACCACCGAATATTCCAGTCAAATGTGGTATATGTCATTTGTATTTATTTCCTGTAGCTGACACCCGAGTGGTCAAGTGAAGCGAGTAACTAAGATGTCTGACTATCTGCCAGCCTGAGCTGTGGTGCTTCTGTTCATGCCCTGTCCAAACTCTTCTCGTCAAACCAAAGAATCTGTGGCCATATTTGATTATTTCCCTTTTTAGTGTTTTCATCAACTGTACTGTGCTGTTTAAATTTGCTTCCACTGTAATGATTAAATGGTGACTCTCCAGCTCTGTCACATTTCCTTGTCGTTGCTACTGTTTGACTCGATGTCTTTGGATTTTTCAGACTCTGCTTTTTGCCTCTAAATGCGTCACAGAAATTCAGTTTGCTGAAAACTGAGGTGGTGGAAACATTTACACATAATCTTCTGATTTAGGAACTTTCTGTCTGAGACCAAAGCGGGTAGGAGATTGTTTGTGAGAGGGAGGCGATGTCTCTGCCACCGTGAGTGGCTGTGAGACGATCTTTGAGGGCTTAGTTTTGTTTTTGTTTTTTATTGTTTTCCCTTTTTTTAATGTACCACAAAAAAAAAACTGGGCAGGACGGCAGAAACCTTGAAAATAATAAATCTGACCTTGATTTTTTCCAGAAAGAATAACCTAAAATATTTGTTTCTTTTGTTCATAAGAGGAACTCAAATATGGTGCTGAAAATAGAAAAGTATTATTTTATAATGTGTGTAAGTATTTTTTTTAATTCTTGTTTCTGTAATATATAACCTTTTAAAAGAGCTGCTTGACTCTTGTTTTTCTTCCTAACATGATCACACAGTATGATTCAGAGTTTCTTTGTTGTTGCTGTTTTCTTGTTGGTCCCTCTTCTTGATGTGTAAAAATGGTGTTTGTAAAGTTTCTAAACTTTTCATTTTTAACGGTTTTCTTCACTCATCCATTAATGACATTTATGTGTCTAAAAAAAAGGACATTTCTGTTTAGTTTTTCTACGAGGAAAACATCATTTTTGTTTCCTGTTTCTGGCTCAATTTTTTTATTTTATTTTTGTTTAATCTTTGTTCGTTGCTCCTCATTTTAAAAATCTGGATGACATGCTGTGAACCCATCTTGAAAGGATCCTGCTTTAAGACTGAATGGTAAGTTTGTAAACTGATTTTAAAAGCTAAAAAATTTTATTCTTCTCTGTATCATGTTCTCTTTCACTTGGTGAGTTTAACCTCTCCTGTTTTTTACCTTCCAACAGTGACGCCGCAGACGCCTGTGAGGAAATCATCTTAAAGAAAGAAATAAAGAACATAGAGACACCGAGAGGTTCTGGTAAAGTGGCAGAGTTGTCGACATAACCCTTTTGAAAATTTTCTGTGTCAATCTAAATGAAATCTAAACAATGGTTAAAGAGTTTTAATTTAAAGGTTCAAAACAAAATACGACATTCATATAAAGAAATAGAAAAAACTGTTTAATTGGCACAAAAATTAAGTGTACAGTTCATGTGTTCATTCAGATGTAAAATAACTTATCAGCAGAATCTGTGACTGAAGATAAAGAAAGTGTTCAAACTGAATTATAGAGAAACTGGCTTCTCGTTGTCTTCATCTGAGTGTGGAGAGGACGATTTAACCGATGAAAAGTCCACCTGACAGACAAAATTCAGAGAAAAGTGATTATTTAAAAACAGTGAGTATCTGCATAACTATTCACAAAAATAAAAAGTTGATTATCTTTTTTTTTTTTTTTTTAAACAGCCTTTTAGAGATTTTAGTGTTTACCTGCAACTTCAACACTGGTTCCTGTGATGTATCGAGAGTCATCTGAAGCTAGAAAGGCACAGACGTCGGCCACCTCTGGAGAGCCAGAGAAGAAAAATATGACAGTGTCAGGGAAACACGAAGAGTTTAAACATCCTTTCCTCTTAATTTCACAATAAAAGCTTTAAAAAGTGGAGGCCTGGAGGAGTAAATCTGAAACAAATCCTCTACTTTTTTATAAAACATAAAGAGACGAACAACCTGCTGTTAAAACGAACCAAAGCGATATTCAAAATGTAACTTCACTGACCTGCAGGCTCGCCCATCCTCCCCAGAGGAACCAGAGACTTCATCTGAAACATGAGGAGAGTTTTCTGTCAAAGTTTGTCTCACTTTTTAGATTTAATAAAAGGGTTCAACCAAAAATCTTTTTAAATATCTTTATCACAAACACCTCATCATAGTTTATGCTCTTGATTTGCTCTTGTTTTAAAACTAGTAATTCCTCCTGCTCCTCAAAGATCCACAAAAAGATATTTGACAAATTTTACAGCGACTGGGGAAATGTAGAGGTTGCTCATGAATATTTGCTGAATCTGTCTTTATCTGTGTGTGTGTGTGCGTGCGTGTGTGTGTGCGTGTTTGGCATACCTTGCTTATAACCTTCTCAGGAACTTTGTCTGTCATTGGAGTCGATATAAAACCAGGCAGAACACAATTACAACGAATCCCAAACCTGAGAGGACAGAAAAGAGAAAAAACAGTGACTCCTCTGCTAGATTTTTACTTTAAAGCTCATTTAAGGAATTTCTTTGTTTATAAAAGAGTCTTTTCATGATTTCCAAAAGCAAAAAAGACCATCGATGACAAGAATGACGATTTTTATATCATAACGTTAAAAGTCTGAAACTAATGTGAAGGTGTTAATCGAGCAGCTGAGGAGACAGTCCTATTTTTAGCGCTGTCTCTCCTCACCTGCTGAGCTCTTTGGCCGCCGTCCGTGTTAAACCCTCTACTCCAGCTTTAGACGCAGCGTAATTTGCCTGTCCGAGGTTTCCCACCTGCAAACATGAACCACAAAATACTTATTTTTATGTCTTTTTTTTTTCCCGTCTTTACATGAAAATGAAAATGTTTTAGTATCATTTGTGTGACATAATTAAGACGGATGTTTAAAATCACTGGAGTCGTCTAACTGTAATCATTTTTGGACTTTAATTCATCTCTTTGGACTCAGCTGGAAAAAGAAAACTAATCACACCATCACATTTTTGTTTAAACTATCGAAGAAAAAGTATTAAAGCTTACAGGAAAACAAAACGCCTGCAGGTACAGTATCTCACCTTTCCCACGATGCTGCCCACTGTGATGATGGATCCTTTGGGTGCTCCACAGGCCACCAGAGCCTGAGCAACAGCCTGAGTGACCAAGAAGGAGCCCTGGAGGAGACACACAACCAGCAAATCACTTCTCTGGAGTCGGATCCTTGGTGCTAATTTAGTATGAAGTGTTTCGTTTAACAGAAAGAAACATCGACACATTACACAGGCTAATAAAACACATACTGTCACCTTGTTGTTTTGGTATTTTAATCACTATAACTGCAGATTTCTAATCACTTGAATGTTAGGTCAACACCTGTGAGGCTTGCAGATAACTGGTTAACCTGCTGAACTCTGTATGTGATGGCTCGTACCTTCAGGTTGACCTGGATGACTCTGTCGAAGTGTTCCTCCTCCATGTTCAGCAGGAAGTCGTCCTGAGTGATGCCTGCTGCGTTCACACACACGGAGGGAGGCTGAAAGTAACGAGTCTGCAGAGGAACGGAGCAACAACATTCAAAGAAAGAAAAACTAAATAAAGAATAATCTGACCAACATAAAAACATCAACAGAAGAAGAAATAGGGGGCTGGTTTGGATTTGAATAGAGATGCAGGTTGTGTTGAGGTACCTGTATACTCGTGACCAGTTTTTTCACGCTCTCTTTCGACGATACATCCACCACAGCCGCCATGTGACCCTGTCCTCTGAGGTCACTCTGCAGGTTCATTAGGGTCTCGTTGGCGGAGTCCTCGTTGACATCAGCGACCACCACCGAAGCGCCCTCGGAGGCAAAGCGCTGACACACCGCACGCCCGATCCCACTGCCTCCTCCTGGGTGGATAAAAAGCAGCATGAAGCCACCTGAGAGCACCTGAGCGAGGCAGCATTCAGAGGGGAGACTGTGTGCGCAACAAGTCCCTCTGTAAATATTCCTGACATGTTCAGAGTCAACTGTACAGCTCAACAATTCAGGATATGAGTGATAATAAATATGTTAGAGAATTAATGTTTATCGAATCAGTCAAATGAACTTTAAAAAGCAACCGAGAGTGGGGTAAGATGAGCCACTTTACATATTTCGGATCACTACATCGAGGCAATCATAGTTTTGTCTCTAACTCGTGTATCTGCATATATATTCAAGGTGTTGTTCATCCCTGCAAACCAACAGAATGAGTGTAAACAAACCTGTCTTGATAATATAGCATGACAAAAAAGTGGTCTCCTATGGTCAACTTACCCCGTGTATGGGGTAAGTTGAGCACTATTCAACTGGTACTACAATTCTTTTTATTATTATTGCATATAACTGCTAAAAAGCTGTTTTGTAAAAAGCCATTTTAACAAGAGAATGTCTTTAAGTGATTCAGAACATTCACAGATCTGTATTTATGAGAAGAAAAAGTCAAACATTTCATCAATCTGAACTGAAACTCTGATCCTCTTATCAGACTCCTTTATTTTCTCAGTTACCCCAGAACTACTATTATGACTTTATTAGTCCTCTAAACTAAAATGGTGGACTTTTATAAGTTTTTTTTCCTCATGTTGTAGCTCATAGATACCACAATTGATGTATAAAACAAATTAAAAATGATCTTTTTTGGTCTGACCACGATTCTAATAAAACTTATGTCTAACTCCTTCACCTATGTGCTTCTAACCTTCACAGACTCCATGAATTGATGCCCATCTCTTAAATATTTGGTCACATGATCAATTTCTTTTACCATTTCCAAGCAACAGGGGGTGGCTCAACTTACCCCACTCTCCCCTACAGCTCAACAATTCAGGACATAAGCAATTAAAAAATTTTTCGAGCTTTAATGTTTCTCGAATCAGTCAAATGAACTTATAAAAGCAACTGTTAAGTCAAAGGTCTCACTGACAGCATATTTATCCCGAGACAGCTGCAGGTTAACCTTTCCTCTACATTCATATCACTAAAAAGTCATGCGCATAACATGCAGGAAGATCAGACCACTTTTAACGTCACTGGAGATTTAAGTAAGAAAATTAGTAAGTAAGAGAATTTTTCTAATCTTTTGCCTTTCACAAGTTTACTCTGAGAACATATTTGCATGACAGGAACAAAGCCATGTGTTGATTTGGAGCGATGGACCACCGACAAACAAACAACTCTACATGCAGGAGCTGAATACCAGAAGCAGGAACAGATACGCACCTCCGTATACACCTCTATCTATGAGCGAAAACTACATTTTCAACCGTAAACGTACCTGTGACCAGTGTCAACCTTGATATGAGTCTTGTGGCAGCCGCCATGTTTCCCCGTTTCTTGTTGTGGTAGTTCTCAAAATTTCCACTAGATGGAGCCGAAGGATCATAAATAGCGGACTCAAGGCTGAATGCAAGTCCTACAGTATTAAAGGTCTTGAGAACAAAACCATAAATACAACATCTATCATATGTCATTGTGTTTTTGTGTCATCTAATAATAAATCATTACTTGACGTTAGGGTAAAAGGTTTACCTTTTATTTTGAAAGGCTATACCGGATGTGTTTACCGGATTTCATTTTATCTACCTTGACTGTGCTGTTGTAGTTTCAAAGGTATGCCGCCAGATGACGTATATTCACAAAAAACCTTTTTGAAATCAGAAATATAATAAAAAAAAATTGAGACAAATGCCTGTTAAAATAAATAAATAAACAGATAGATAGATAGATAGATAGATAGATAGATAGATAGATAGATAGATAGATAGATAGATAGATAGATAGATAAATAAATAAATAATTAAATGACAAACCAGGAATTGTAAAAATGTTCCACTTTGTCAAAAAAATAGCATTTATCCATTTCATTTTCCACCGCTATAGATATGCTTTTATGATTTATATGATCTCTTTCCACACTTAAAAGTGACAATTTTATTATACTATACTATGACAGTTTTTAAATGCTAAGATATGAAGAAAAAAAATCACACATTAAAAATCTGATTTTTATCATACTATACTATGATATTTTTATCATACTTTACTGTGACCTTTGTTTTTATCATGAAAAATATTTTTTTAACCTAAAATATGATTTTTTTCCACACTTAAAAGTGACAATTTTATCATACTATACAATTACATTTTTTTAATGCTAAAATAAAAAAATAAAATTTCAAATTAAAAAATCTAATTTTTATCATACTATACTATGACAATTTTATCATACTATATTATGACGTTTTTGTCATACTGAAAAATGAATTTTTTACCTTAAGATATGGAATTTCTATCATACTATACTATGACATTTTTATCATACTATAAAATGACCTTTTTTTAATTATGAAATATTTTTTTTCACTGAAAAATATGTTTTTTTTCACACTATTTTTATCGTTATATACAATGAGATTTATATCATACTATACTATGACATTTTCTTCATACTTAAAAATGTTTGTTTTTAACCTTTAAAAATGAAATTACTATAACACTATACTATGACATTTTCATCATACTTTACGATGACCTTTTAATATCATGAAGTATATTTTTTCACTCTAAAATCTATTTTTACACTTAAAATAGACAGTTTTATCATCCTTTATTATGATATTTTTTCATATTAAAATATGAAGAATTTTTACAATGAAAGATGACATTTTTATCATACTGTTTTCTGACATTTTTGTCATACTATACTATGACATTTTTTATACAAAAATATGAAATTTATTTCCACACTAAAATTTGAAATTTTTAAAATACTATACTATGACTTTTTATCATACTATACTGTGACTTTTTTTCATACAAAAATGTGAAATTTATTTCCACACTAAAATTTGAAACTTTCATTATACTATACTATGACATTTTTCTATGCTATACTATGACAATATTTTTCATGGAAAAAAATTATGTTTATTTTCACACTAAAATTTGAAATATTAAACATACTATACTATGACATTTTATCATACTATACTGACATTTTTTTCATACAAAAATGTGAAATTTATTTTCACACTAAAATTGGAAATTTTTACAATACTATACTATGACATTTTATCATACTATACTATGACTTTTTTTTCATTTGACTATATGAAATTTATTTTCACACAAAAACTTGAAATATTTAACATACATTTTCATCATACTTTACAATGACCTTTGATGATCATGAAATATATTTTTTCTCTTCAAAATCTATTTTTTTCACACTTTAAATACACAGTTTTATCATGCTATATTATGATTTTTTTTCATATTAAAATATGAAGAATTTTCACAATGAAAGATAAAATTTTTATCATACTGTTCTCTGACATTTTTATCATACTTTACTATGATATATTTTTATGCTACGATATGAAGAAAAAAAATCACAAATTAAAAATCAGATTTTTATCATATTATACTATGATATTTTTTATCATACTATACTGTGACATTTTTTTCATAGAAAAAAAAATAAATTTATTTTCACACTAAAGTTTGAAATTTTTAACATACTATACTATGACGTTTCAATCAAACTATACTATGACATTTTTTCATAGGAAATAATTAAATTTATTTTCACACTAAAATTTGAAATTTTTAACATACTATACTATGACATTTTTATCATACTATACTATGACATTATTTTTCATGCTAACATGAAATATATTTTCACACTTAAATTTGAAATTTTTAGCATACTATACTATGACATTTTTATCATACTATACTATGACATTATTTTTTATACAAAAAAATAAAAAAATTTTCACACGAAAATTTCAGATTTTTAACATACTATACTATGACATTTTCATCATACAATACTGTGACTTTTTTTTATAGAAAAAAATTAAATTTATTTTCACACTTCAATTTGAACTTTTCAACATACTATACTGTGACATTTTTTTCATACTATACTGTGACATTTTTTTCCACACTAAAATCTGTATATACTACGATATTTTTGTCATACTTAACGTTCTGTGTCCACAAGAGGGCAGTGATTAAAGGCTAACTTTAGTTAACAGAAAGTATAGCAGCAAACAATTTAGAAGGGATTGCTTTAGTCATGTTACGAATCCAGTTGTTTAGTGTCATGAAAAACGATTACCTGCCAACTTATGCCTGAATGACGTGAGTCAGCTGTTGTTTCCTAAGTCAGTATTGAAAAAATATATTGAAAAAATAGCAACTATTTTTTTACTGTATTTCTCAGTCTTTTAGATGATAAAAATACATTCTGGGAATGGTGGATTTTGTTATTTTGGTTCAGTGATAAAACAGACCTGCTCCCACAAGTACTAAATTTAGTAATTCACAAAGGTATTTGTCTTAACACACTACCTTTGCCATACACAGGGCCTGTCTTCTTGATTCATTATTTTCCTATAAAGTGACTAAATTCAAAGAAAACCCAGTTCATTTATTCACAAGTTTATCTAAACTAAAAACTGGCTGCAGTTCAGAATCCCTAAAGAACTCTGGGACTGATTTCCCAGCAGAACATGAGAGGACTCAGTGTTTCGAATATTTAGCTGAGCTCTATTGTCTCTGCCAAGTACTGATGCTGTTGCTTGGTAACTTCTGACTTCACTTCATTTGATTTTTCAATATATAAACCCTAAAAGAGGATTTTATGCAAGAAAGAGTGAAAGTCTTTCTGTTGGATGAGGAAGAACATGACAAATATGGTAAAAATGCAATAAACTTCTGTAAAAGCTGAATCACCATGAGAACTGTGTGCAGCCGAGGTGACCGATCAAATTTGGGAAATACAAGTTAGGCGGAATCACACATTTCCAACTTTGACAGGATAACTTTGAGGTTGTAAAGCTCTTGATTAACACCAGAAAATGTTGTACATAATGTTATTGTATGTTTAAATTTACAATGAAATCACATCTGACCACCAGGGACCGCCTAAATCTTGAAATCCTGGTCCTTGGAAGATTGAACCAACCTTTCTCCTGGGTCTAGAGAGTCAGTACCAAAAATGACAAAATCACAAAGTACCCTCCCAGTCAGAGAAAGATGAACATGTTCCTGTTTATTTATGTACAGAAATTCAGATGAACCATGGAGTCAAGTACAGAGGCTTCAGAATTAAGACTGACAACTCTGGAGTACCTTCTTGAAAACAGCGGCTGACAGAAAGATCTTAGCAGAGCCGAGAAAAAGCTCCTTGAAAAGTTACTGAAAGAAAAACAAAAACATGCTGCAAAGATTGAGACTGTAATATATGTACACTTTTACAATCCGGACAGGAAGTCTGTTCTCAGTTCATGGAGCAGAGTTCACTTAAAAGCTTTAAAAATCTTAATTACTTCAGGGGAAACATTTTCTCTTATTTTTTCCTAAATAGATAGTGATGTTTTGGTGTACATACTCCAATCTTAAGTCAAAGGTGATTCAAAAAAGCAAAAGTACACACGCCTCACATGGATCACAAAATTGTTTAGTAGTTTATCAAACAAACAGTGCATTTTTGTCACACAATATATGACCGTCTCTGTCAGTCTAACAATCAGAGAGGCCGCTGCATCCTTAAAATCAAACTTAAAACACCTTTTCAACTTTACTACACACATTTTCTCAAAAACAAGAAAAAGTTCACCTGCAAAACTTTCAATTTAGTTTTAAATCACACAAAAAAGTGAACTTAAGAACAAACAGCTACTCAAACTTTCAGCTGCCATAGATGTTTAAGACCAAACCCCCCTAAAAGACAAGTTTTGAAGTTTTTTTAAGGTGTTGGCTCATGGAAAAACCAACCCACAACGCTTCACCTGTATGAATTTAAGTTAGCAACATGTTTTATCTGGCAGCTTTTCATACCCCGGTCTATTCAGATATTTATCGACCTTAATGAAAGAGAGACCTGAACACCAAAAGAACTCAAAAGAACCAAGATGTCATTTGGGCACAGGTGAGCAGACAAAACAAGTCCTCACAATTTATTAGCAGATTGGTCACAAGAAGAGAAATCGCAACACGTGTTTACAGAGAAATGAATGAAAAAAAAAAAGAAGACAGCACACATGGGGACAGAAACATTTATGGTTTAACTATTGTGTAATTATGTCACATTTCTGTACAAGTGGCCAACCCTTTAAAACAAGTACATGAGTACACAAGGATGCAGTAAAGAAGTACATGAGTATGCAGATGTCTGTCAGCTCCTCTGTATTGCATGCTTTCTGTTTTCTATGAACCAAGGTGCTTCTGCGTGCAGACTGATTTCCAACGCCTGCATTGAAACTATGAGGAACTTCACAAGGCCACACTTGTGGTGCCGGGTCTCGCACTCACACATGTGCATGCAGATGTGACACACATTCATACGGACACACACGCACATGCACTCACACACACACACAGACACACGCACTTACACTCAGATGTGTTTCCCCTCGACCTTCTAGCACTCAAGAAAAAAACCTAAACAAAAACTAAAACACCAGTTCGCCCACACCAGTCTTTCCCAGCATGAGGGAATAAATAAGCTCCATAAAATGCTTCTTTATAAAAGAAAAATCAATATTTTATAACTGTACACCTTAACTATACAGCATAAAGTCAGGGAGCACGGAAAGAAGGGAAATTTTCTCCAGAACAAAGACACATTCTGGCTCTAGCACCCTTATCCCTCCAGACGCATGCACCACTCTTCTTTTTCAGCAGGAGATGGAGCATCCCCTGCCCTGCTCGACAAGGGCCGACTCTCCAGAGAACAGCAGGACTCCACAATGACCATCCTCCTTTCTTTCCATCCATTCATTCATCCGTCATCAGCTTTCTGAGTCCAGGACAGGACTGGATGAATGAAATGAGTGCAGGGAAAGCCCCATCTCTCTCTTTCTCGGTTCGAACCTCGAGTTGGACCGGTTCTGCCCAGTGCTGCTCTCATCTGACCCGTCCTGCGGCTCACTCGTCGCTGGCTCTGCTGCAGTTCAGTCCACTCAAAGCTAAATGCTTTGGGTCCCTTGCATGACCCTTCTACACAGAAAATCCCTCTGCCTCTCAGCCAGAGTCTGAGTCACTTGTGTCTGAAGATGAGGAGGAGGACGACGATGAAGAGGAGTCTGAGGAGGAGCTACTGGCACTGAGACGTGATGGCTGAGTGTGCTGCTCTGTTGCAGGTTTCTCTGCTGGAGAAGACACACATACAAAATCAACATCATGTGACAAAACTTAACCAGAGCCATGAGACCGGCGTACCTGGATTTACACTCATCAGTCATCACTACAGGACAACTTAAATTTGATAATATGGGAGGGCTTACGTTTATTCTTCGGAGGTTTCTTCCCAGAGTTGAGCTGACCGCTAACGTCCATCAACCTTCTCTCCAGCTCCAGCTGTTTCTCCAAAGCAATCTCTTCTCTGGACTTGCCGGCAATGTTGTTTTTACTTGCTGCTAATGAACAGAAAACAAAAAAGGTATAAGTCTCACGAGTCTATTTCAGCTGCATTACTGGAGTGATAGAGAGCAGAAACCTGCACTAACATGTTTTTGAAAATAACGTCTTTATGGAGTAAAAATTCAAGGACTTAAATTTGATCGTTTTAAATACTAACCGTAGGGCTTTCGGGGTTTCTTCCTCAGACATGTCATGACGTATCTCTCCAGCTCCCTCAGCGTTGACGGCTTCAGTGTCTCAAAGTCGATCTCGATCTCCTCCGGGTTGGTGTCTCGGAGTGAAGGCTCGCGGGACTGGATGATGTAAACGACGCGGCCAAGCTTCTCACCGGGAAGTTTGTTGATGTCGAGGCTGAGTTGACGTTTCTCGTCATACGACATCGGTGCCGTCTCCTCCTCTTCATCAGAGTCGAAATGACTGACTATTGGATCGAGGGCTGGTGGAGGCATGCTAAAGGTCATACCGGTCTTTTTGGATCTGATGGGAAACGTGACAAAGAGGGAGAAGGTTATGAGTGAAAGAGGCCAAACATAAGTGGAAGTACAGTGAAGCTCACTGTCCCAAAGGTGTCAGGACTTACTTGCTCTTGTTGTTTTTCTTGCTTGGTGCTTTCTTAATTGGCATAACAGGACAGGCGGGTCCGCGGTTCGTCTTGGCTTTTGGAGTTTTGGAAACCTTGGGGGCCTTTGCAGGTTTAATGATTGTTAGCTCCTCTTCAATCCTCCGGTGCTTTTCTTTTTCCACCTTTTTCTTCTTCTTCTTGTCCTTCTTCTCTTTCTTCTTTTTAGGTTTGACGATGGGGCCCTGGGAAAGTGCGGTGAGCTGCTCGTGTACGGCTTTGAGCTGAAGGCAGGAGAAAAAAAAGACAAGTCAGGGAAGGCTGAAGATGGCGGCTGTGTGAACATCCGGTTTCTTGTCTACATTCACAGGATACAAACCTGTTCCTGCAGCTCTGCCAGCCGGTTTGCCCTCTCCTCCTCAGAGTCGGAGCTCGGGCTGCTGTCGCTCTCCTCACTTTCACTGCTGAGTTCACTCTCTGATGATGACGAGGATGACGAGGAGGAAGATGAGGAGCTAGGGGGAGCTGGAGGCTCATCGGGCATCTTAGCAAAGCAGAACTCAAAGACGTCCTAAGAGATAAAATGAGAACCGTTTCAAAAACAAAATTTTAAAACTATGGTTTATTCATTTCAGGGATCGTACATCCTTATCAGTGTAAGAGGAACCTTACCTGCAGTTTTCTTGCCATGGCGACCACATCATGATCTGGAGGGTTGTACTTGTAGCAGTTGGAGAACATCAGTCTGACATCAGCGGAGAACTGCTGAGAGTCTCGATACTCTCTGCAGTCCATCTTACGCTAAAACAAAGGAGACGAGGATTTGATCAAAACACATAAACAAATACAAAGCAATGATGTTTCCTCTCTAGTGTCACCTGTAGGAAAGTACCTTGATGGTGCTGAGGTCCATAGGCTGCTTTATGATGTCATGGTAGTCATGAAGTCCGAGCGTTGAAGCGTCGACAGGTTTGTAGAACGGCCAGGCATACGCTGCATGTTTTTTGGACAGCAGCTCCTTCAGGACTCCGTTGCAGTAGCGCAGTTGAGGGCTCAGCTTGCTGCGCCGCACTGGTGGTGGGACCATGGAGTCGGGTAAATCCTTCTTAGGAGGCTTAATGGGTCGTCCACTAATTCCTCTCCTGGCCCCTGATGTTGCTTTGGTTCCCATCATAACTGGTCCACAGCCCATTCCCATTCCCAAACCCATGCCCATCCCCATCCCCATGCCCTGGTTGAGACTGAGGCCTTGGTTCATGCCCAGGCTCGAGGTGTGGTCCATCCCAAGAGAAGTGAGGGTGAGTGGGGAGTTGTGCCCACCACCCATCCCCATGCTGACACCCATGGTGCTCATGATGGGCATGGCCACGGTTGTTGGAGTCGTTGTGTCTGCTTTTCTCTTCACACCTTTTTTCTGAGAAAGATCACAGAGTGAGAAGCTGAAAATGATGCTCTGGTCTGTCTTTGTTGACGTCATTCAGAACAATTGTTTCATTCTCAACACAGACATACGACTAAGTATGTTTAATAATACCTTCGTGGTGGGCTGTGTAGGAGGCAGAGCTGTAATGGTGGGGATGCTTTGGTCAGTTTGAAGGGATGGGGGCAGGCTCTTTGCCAAAATTGTCTGTGGAGGGGTGGAGAGGATTGAGTCTGGGGTTTCTGGGGTGGGAGGTGAGTATGCAGACTGAGAGACAGCAGGGACCTGGTGAGCTGTCGTCACTCCTCCAGAGACTGCAAGAAAGGGAAATAATTACAATTTGTCACTAGTTCAAACCTGTGTTTGCATTTTCAAAAGATGATAGTTGTGAGGTGCAGCAGGTTGGATAACTACAGATATCACTGGACTTACTTGCGTTGCCTCTCCCTTTTCTTCCAGGTTTGCCAGGTTTGATCCGCGGAGGGGGAGGAGGAAGTTCTTCTTCGTCCTGGGGCATCTGGGCCACTTTCTGCAGGAACGCCTTCTCCAGTGACTGGGCCATGAGCACAATGTCATCTGTAGGCTGCATGGGGGAGGTCAGGACAACTTATCAGAACATGAAACAGTTTTGAAACAGCTCTTCTGGACATTTTAAGGTGTCTATTACTGGAATCTGGTGTTATGTAATCAAGCTACTTTGATTAAAGGAAACTCGTTAAGTGGAAATTCCTATTTAGCTTGACTTCCTGTAGTCCAGCTCTATGACCAGAATGTCACAGAAATGTTTTACAAAATCAATCACCAACACTTACCTTGTTGTAAATGTAGCAGTTGGTGAACATAGTATTGAAGTCCTGCATGCATTCGCTGGCACTGCGGTAGTAATTATTTTCCAGTCTCTTCTTTATAGTGCCCATGTCCATAGGAGTTTTGATGATCTTGTGATAGTCCTGCAGGGACACAGAGAAGCTTTCAGAACAGGAAAAACAAAAACTTCTCATTATTTGTAGGTAGGGATGGGGAAGGGGTGGGTCTAATTTACAGTTGAGGGGAAAAAATAATTGTTTAATTCTACTCACAGGCAAGTTGAGTTTGACCGCATCCACAGGCTCATGGAAAGGCCACGCAAAGTGATGTCTCCACAGAGATTTGAGAAGGACTTTCTGCAGGAACTGAAGTTGGTTGGTCATCCGCCCCTGGCGGTTTGGGTCTTTCACTGGGGGCTGAGGGGGTCCCTGATGGGCCATCTGATTGATAGGGGGTAGCCCTGGGCTCTCAAAGCCTTCGTAGAGCAGTGATGGCTTTCGGATACGTTTTCCAGCTGTGCCAGAACTCTGCTCCATTGCTGTGACCCCCGTCATGCCGACCTCGACATGGGTGCTGCAAGAGTTGGTATGACACTGGTTGACTATTTGGTTTAAATTTTTGGCATAATTCTAGAGCAACCTTAATAAAACTTCATATTTGAACAGAGTTTAACACAATGAGCATAGAACTGAATGAGGACAACCTTTGTCAAAGTTTTTGCAGCAACTCTAATGAGACAACAGAAGCTCTCCTGGATTCCCCTTTGCTTCTTTTAGTCGCACATCATCCTGATTCTTTATTAACCAGGACATGCGATTCTTATTCACAGGCATCAGTCACATCTTTGTCATTTTTCCACCAAACTACTGGCACAACAATAGACAAAACATTCACTGACATACCACTTCTCCTGTAACTTAGTAGTGAGCACGACCCCCCCCCCCCAACCACAGCTACACACTGTAAAACTTTGTAAATCATCATGTATGTTGAAAGCCTTCGAAAATATTGCACACAGACCTGCCCCCACCCCCCACCTCACTCCGTCTGGCTGACAGGCACTACTACTCTCCTCTCTCAGGTAATCTGTAACATGCAGACTCTCAGCACCAAACCCTCCCTTGTAAATTCACAACTTTACACGTTGCTGTCCTGAAGCCCGCGTAACTAAGGCATTACATGTTTTCAATTCATTAAAACATTAGAGAGCCACAGTGTCTCAGTGATTTGCTTGTGCTCTCTGATTCTCTCATATTATCAAGTTTACAGGGCAACCCCTGAAATGGCTTGTTGTGTATTCAACCCCAAAACAAGTTGCACAGTTAAGCTGGGTTTAACTTATTCATTGACAAGCAGCAGGCTTTAAAACATATCCGCTCTGACTTTTGTTGTACCAACAGGGTTCATCCGAGGGTTACTCTGGTTATCATACCGCACCTTAGGAAGCACTTTGGCCAAGTCAGAGCGTTAAGGTAAAAGCCGAGCATCATCAGGGTCAGGTAATTTGTTACAGCAACCTCTGCTCACCTTTTCCGAACTCATCCTGTAGTTCTTGCTGATTTCATTTTGACAGGATAAAGATTATTAAAAGCTTAGCTTGCCTTCTTCTGTAGGCTCAGCATTGTTTCTTAAAATCACTTTAACTTGTACCAATTAAAAATGTACAGAGTGCTACAAACATCTGTGGCATATCAATAAAGATGGTGGGCAATGTGGTATCCAAAGTACACAACACCTCGAGCACACAAGCAAACAACTTTTACTGGTACTTCTGTTTTCATAATGTGCTTTAATCTGTTGCTGAAACAACTAAGAATGTCTGACTGTTGTGTCTTGAAGTTACCATCTTGCACATGGCTATACTAAAACAGGACCTGTACCACAGGCCATTTAGGAGGTCTGCATGGCCAAGTAAACTTATTCTGTACATAAATAGACAAGGGACTAAGTAAGGAAGTCCTAAGACTCCCTACAACTAAGCAGCTAGCACGTATGGGAAAAATGTTGAATGATACAACTTATGGAAACACAGTTGACAGTTAGTGTACTTTATTAAAGGAAGACTTAACCATGTACATAATAGAAACAGACAAGTTTGAGTCAAATGAGTAGGGCAAATCAGGCAAACAAACGATAAAATAATATAGGTGTTAACTTAAAAAAACATTTTCTTATTATATCCTAATTGTAATTTTGTTACCATGGCAATTTGTCGAGACCTGTGATAAACCTACTGAGGATGGTGGGTTAGGTTTGAGCGATTGAAATTTCCAACACTACTTGGCTCGAGTGACACTGAGCGCCGTAACCAGGCAACCAAATGTAACACCCCACACACTAGTACCCTGCGTTACCCCTTGCTAACCCTGATGATACACCCGACATCACAACAATATTCCTCCTGAGCATTACACGACAATTCAAATAAGGTGAAACACGCATTATACCGGCAGTTCCAATGTCCTCTGTTTCTTCAGTGTTGTCAACAGCGTCACGTTATTTCAGCCATACTTGTCAAAATCTCCATCGAAAGTCACCAAGTCAAACAGAATCTGTGTTTTGCCACTTCTCTAACAGCCCAGTTTGCGCCGCATTACAGGGCGAACAGCCACTGTTGGAACAGAGCTTTGGTCTGTGTGGCTAATGCTAACAGTGCTAGCCAAACTGCCAGGCCACGGAAAGAGCGGCCGACGGCAAAGGCGCTCCGAAGATGGCGCCGGCTTAGTGCGAACAACAGTTGCGGCTTTAGAGCGCTTAAAACACAGTTTATTTACTGAAAATGGAAACAATGCTACTACATGGACAACGCGAAAACGTTCTCATGCGGCACAATCAATGTCCGTGTATCTCCCCCGCTGTTCTAACAGCAAACACAGGCTGCCAGTAACGGTGTGTACAGAAAAATAATAAAAAGAAACGTTCATAATATTCCCCCTGATGGATAGCTGAGAGTCAATTATACCGGTAGATACCTGTCGAGGTGCGGGTTAACAGCCATATCCATAAGGATGGATCCGGATTCTGTTTTTATTTGGGCTCAACCTGGATCCGTCTCCGTTCAAGGGTTTCCCGGCTCCCCGCCACAGCGAAATCCTTTGATCTGCTTCGTTGAAATGGCGTCTGAGCGACTGTTCCCGTTCTTATATAGACGGAGCAACCACCCCATTGGACAGATATTCGCTTAATGTCCACGCCCTCCGAGTTTCTACTGGTTGTTTACAGTGTCCGTCAGAGTGATTACACCCCAAGTTACCGGGGTTCCACTCACAATCTTTTGTGTAAACCGAATAGCACAGGAACGCTACAGAGTGAGGAAATTTTAAGATTTACAAGACTAATGGAGCTTCGTATCGCAGATTTGCTGCCGGTTGTCTGTTCCCCGATAAAATTTTGTACGGAATACGCAGAGAATGAAGACACTCGTCCTCTTACGTCAATGCGTGCAACACGAATGCTGGGATTGGTCAACATGGCTGTAACGCGGGCTTCCAGGGTATACACTACGCAGGCTATTGGTTCTTACACCAGGTCACGCGCAAGCCTCCGAGAGCCACAAGCCTCTCCCCACGAGCTCTTTACTTACCAGAATATCCGCATTTCTGTCTGTTGAAGGAGACACACGGCCGCCATCTTTGAGCAATGTTACACCGAGTGTGACCTAACAATTTCTCCCAAAATGTCAGATATACAGTATCACTAAAAACACGGAACGTTACGCAGACCGCACACTGACACTGGAAATAAACTGTGTTAATCCTCAGACAGTTGAGAGCTATCTTTACAGGAGGGAAACCGATTGAGGCCTCTTCGGTTTTCAAGCCACAAAGAAACACAAAGATAGTACTTGTTATAAATTCCGCGATGTTAAGGCGTTTTAACTAGTCTTTTCTTTAGGTTCGACGTTAAAGAGAAAACAAATTTTTAAAAACCCTCAACAACCATTGTCTCCAGAACTACCAACACCCACTGAATGACACAGCAGTTTCACACTGACCTCACCCTACTTTTGTTAAATATTTGTTTTACTTTCGAGCCAAGTAATGAGAAAAAAACGACCAGTACACAAGTTATGAACTGGAAAACAGATCAAAAAGGTAATCTTTACTAAGCTAAAAAAAATAAGTTAGTGGCCTTTAAAATCTACATATTAAATTAAACTGTTTAAAATGTGTAATTAAGAAATAACATTGTGCTGTAAAAATCATAAAAAGTGTTACTCTGACAAAAAGCGATTTTATATATTTGATAATTACAAGAACGGTTACCTAACCACATGCGCCCATCCCCCACACCAAGGTTACAAATACCCTACAATGTCACTGAAACCAACGATGAAAAGTTTCGCTACATCAACTCATCATCAAATTTAGCTTCTGCTTTAAGAATCTTTCCCTTGAAAAACGAAAACAGTTCAAAAGTAAAGTAAAATAATCCAAAAAAATAAAGAAATAAATATTTGTAAAGTACGACATAAAAACCTTGAAAATAAAATACACACAAATGTCGCCTGCTAAATCCCAAGATAATGCGAAACCTTTCTTCAATTTATCTTCTCGTCCTCCACCTCGATACTTTTAACCAACACATTTCCCTCAAACATGTCCGCCTTCTCCCCCATTCCCTCAGCAGGGTGGGGGAGGGGAGTCATGTGACAAGATAAGCCTTGGTTTAGTTGTTTATCGAAAGTTGAACACGTGGCACCGCGTTAAAAATCAATAAAACGTATCCAGTATATAATCCATCGATAAAGTAGTCCCAGTCGTGTCCAAGTCCTGAGGTTTTAAAAAGTATTAACCTCAATATGGGGGGTAAGGCGGCCAAAACTCACCAACAAAGAGCACACTTCAGCGAGATTTGGCTCGTTCCGATTGGTCGAGGTAGAACACGTGACAAAAACGAACTCGGTGCTTTTTATCGTTATATATCCAACATTTCCGCTAAATTTATCCACTCATGATCGTGATTATCCGTCACAGCTCATGAGTTGTATCTCGGTTTGTCTAAAAAGATTCAGAAAGGCTGTTTTCTCCAAGTGACGGTGGCGGTTGGTCGTGTCTGTCTGTTGCAGCACGTAGGATGACGCATACGTCCCAGCCATAAACACGTATTCCTGAATGACGCTCTGAGAATGGAGGAGACTGATCCAAGAGCAGTTTGGCGTTTTCATTCAAATAAATGCAGTTTTCAGTGTGACCTGGAGGTGGGCCGTAGAAGAGCTGTGGACTATCGCTTTCCAGGTTAAAACAGTGAGAAGGAATCATTTATACCACTTATTCTTTGTATTCTGCCTTATTGACATTACTGAACAAATATCAATAAATTAAAAGCCTATATTTCTTCTGCCATTTTATTGGAAATCACCTGAAAAGGCAGTCATAGGCTCTGTGCCTCGTAGTTTCCATAACAGTAAATACATTTTTTATAATACACTCTCTCAGATGCCCTTACACTCTTTAACGTGATACTATGCCATTTTGGTCATTTTAATTGATTTTATGTGTTTGGTTGTTCTGCAAGATTTGTGACTCAGTCTTTTTTTAATTAAGTGTTTAATCATACACAGAAATTTGTCAGATAATATGGCGCTAAAGCTATATTACACTATCAAGTTTTTGAATGGTCATGTATGTAAAGACGAATTACTAGTGTGTGATCTCCTGGGAGAAGAATTTAGTTCTTTTCAGTTTTATATTTATGATTTTATGTTTTCCTTTTACATAATAAAATTTCTATTATAGTTTTTTTGCACAAAATTTCCTTGGAGAACGACCCAAGACTGACCTCTTAAACCTTCTGCTTCAATAAATTTAACTGGACCATCCACTGTGAATACCATATGTTAAAAAACGATTACAGTACTGCGATGTCTAGTCTACCTACCCAGCTGCTGGTCTTCTGGACTGCAACTTTTGCACACTAATGCCCCATGACAAACAGCAGACAGTCTTTATATTTTCACAACTGCTGCTCAAACAGCCACAGTATACCAATGTGAGCTAAATGTTTCATGTTTTCACGCTTACCCCATTGTTTGGAAGCAAAATTACACGATTTCTATGACTTTGAGTTTTGAACTATTGAGTTTGTTTTTTTAATGTAGTGATGTAGTTTCAGTGCCATGTAGTTGAATAATATCCTGTTGTGTGTGGTTTTGCATGGATAGGTTCAGACATAACACCCAGGTTTTAACAAAAATTAAACAAAAAACAAATATGATTGGTTAGGTTTCTATTAACAGTGTAAAATCAGCCTCCAGCTTGAATTTCCTGATACAGCAGGCAGGGGAATCAGGAGGGAGGGACTGGTGGATTACATCAGAATCAGCCTCCTCTGACTCATCTGCTCTCTCTCTCTCTCTCTCTCTCTCTCTCTCTCTCTCTCTCTCTCTCTCTCTCTCTCTCTCTCTCTCTCAGCTCTCCTGCTTCACAATGCCTCAGTACTTCGTCACGGGTAGCTACAGTCTAGTTTTCTGAGACAGCAGTGTTGTTTGCATATGTTAAGGGTAAGAAAACACAGATGTTGGTTGTTAATTTGCCATGACAAAATTTGGTAGCGCTCTGCCTCAGTCCTCTTAGTTCCTCTCACTACAGCAAACCTTCCCTAGCAACAGCAGTCCCTTTAACAGAAGTTTACAGAAAGTTATACTGGAAATGAAATATTCTTGTTTGTTGTTAGTGTTGTTTCTTGAAGATGACATCTCGAACAGAGACAGTATGTCTTATGAGATAATATAATGTGTTTTAATTTAATTAAGCAGATACTGTTTTTCTGTACTAAAAACAAAATCTCATGTTTCCTGGAGGGTGAGCATAAAACCACAGCAGCTTAATTAGGGAGTCACGCAAAATAAGATGTAAATGCGTGAACCAGAGCAGGAACAGTTCATGATACTCCCATTAAAAAGAACCAGATACGGAGAAATGCATGGTTTCCATCTGAAACTCAATAGATTGGAGGAAAGAATATCGAAAGGTATTCAAGTAAATGTTTGTCTCTGATTTGATTGCACTGGGACAGCAACTGTGCAACCAGCTGTGAGTCAGGAAATTCTTCATGTTAGCAGAAATAAAATTACTAAAGATAATTTTTAAAAGGGAGGTGAGATTAACATCCATTTAATCCTATATGTGTAATCTCTTTGGCAGCATATGTCTCTGAGCCTTTGTTGTTCCCTCAAAAGAGTGAAGCTGTGTTGCATTTAGTCACCGTGCTGCATATGAAGTGTACTTTATGAAATGGAAACAGAAACCTCAACAGCAGTGTAGACAGAACATGAGTAGAAAATAAGAAAAGGAAAGAAACCAAAATGCGATCCGAGGAATCTGTGTGCGTGTGTGTACACAGTGCACTAATAATCTTTCTCAGGTGTGAAAGTCTGGTCTGCTATCCTGTTGTGTCGCCTCTCACAGCCTGTTTACCTCATTAACCGGACAATGAGTAAAACAGCCTTAAGAGGTATCTGGTTACATGTCTCTCATGTCCAGACTGTTTTTCTTTTATTCATGCAGTTACAAGAGAAAAGACAATATGATACTGAAGTGAAAGGATTGTTCCTACAAAGTCAAAGTAAGGACATGAAAATTCAGTAGTTTCTTTAAGCTCAATGATTCAAAGACAAAGACTTTATCTCTACGCTTCTTTCATTATGGACATCACTAAAGTAAGGCTTTAGTGAAATTTCACTCTGACTCAAGCTTGAACAATTTCGCTCTCAGCTATTGTGCACATCACTTTTTGTATCATCATGTATCGTTATGTCTTTGGGGTTTTGCAAGCTTTGTAAAAATAGAAAGGAATATATTTACGAAAGTCCATGTCTGTAGAAGCAGAAGCCAAGAAACTCCTCATAAAAGACACAGCTGCCTTTTTTTTTCAGAATGGATGCCATTCAGACCAAAGATAAGCCAGGTGCATCATCCCTGCCGTTGATTGGATTGGGAATTAGCAGATAGTGTCAAATACTGCTTCTGAGAAAGCAGATTATCTGGAACCTCGTCCAGGAATTAAGATTACTCTTACTTAAAGATCTTGTGATTGGGGATTAACGCCCAATTAAAAAAAAGCTTGACAAAAGAACATCTGTACAGAATACAGATATAGATTGTGGGAACTGAATACTAATTAAGTTAACGTATGGACATAAAAACTACACTTCATTAAAAAGGTTGAAGGCTCCATCTGTTGGCCTTTCCAGGTTTTAACCTCGCTGTTCGTTGACATCAGTTGTGCTATGTCGCCATCTAGTGTCTGTCAGTATGACTGTTCAGAGATGAAAGTATTATATGCATTTTATCTAAACGATGAAGAATTCACATCTATTCTGCATTATTGTTCTGAGTGTGAAGCATTATTAGTTACAGGTTTCTGATTCTTCAATTTGTGCTTTTCCAAAGGGAATAATTCAAAAGGTTACAAACTAGTTAGGTGACAAATAACATGTGGCTACTTATTCTGCTGCTGGATGGACTTGAACTATATAAAATGCGAGGGTAATCATTTTCACCAAGTTTTTAAATTTAAATGACTAACTATTTAGAGGAAAGTTAAGATCTGACCTCAAGAACAGAAACCAGAGAAGGACATGGTTTTTACAAACACTGTTTTTCAAACAAAACTAAAGAAGTGCATTTAAAAACTCAACATATTTTACTTATCTTTTGTTAACATGTCTCTTAATAACATAAAAACATGAAAAACAGTCTTGTGCCTTCAAGTGAATCCTCCAAAAGATTCTGAATAGACCAGGAGTCTCTTTTTTAAATCTCTGTGATTACTTCAGATCCCTCCCTAGTTATTTTCCTTTTATAACACTAAGTTTTTAACTTAAATCACTCTTTTTAATTCATGACAAAAATGCACCAAGTTTATGAATTTTTATGAAAACTTTCAACCTGAAACCTGTCTGAATAATTGACAATATTCTGTTTAACACAAAATAACATTAGAAAGATTTTAAAAGTATCATGAAAGCAGTGGTTTACATGACACTGCATGAATCAAGGCTGAGTACGTGCAATAGTCAGGGTTTGATGGTTTATTTTTTATTTAACCTTTAACCACATTAGACTTATTGAGATTAAATAAAAATCTATTGAGTGGTAGACCTGACCTAGACAACAGCAAAAAAAAGCACAGAGCTGCAGACACAGACACACAGGAAACCTCAGACCAATTCTGCATGTCTGTATTGTTGACAGAGAGTACACGTGTGCTGTGGCTCATCAGCCTATTTTGTGGAAGTTGTGGTGCTGTGGCTTCACGACTGTTGCACTTCACACTCTCTTGTGGATCCCAGTAAAAACCACGAATGAGGCTGTAGTTTCTTGGTTTGCACACCCCATCAGTTTCTCTGCGCTAATGTTAAATAACATAACATAAGACAGACTGAGAGTCTTATAATATATATAAACAAACCTCACTATAAACTGTGAATTAAAAATGAGCTATAACTCAGCAGAGAGCTTAATGGTGGTCTCATTTATACACATGCACAGAATAAAAGCAGCACCAGACAGAGGGTGTTGCATTTTACTCTCTTAAGTCCCTGGTTTTCCCCTGATGACATCGTCAATGTCCCAGTTAAGTTTTGTTTCTCCACTTTTCCTCATGTTTTATTCAGTTCTGTGTGTCCACTAGGGGGCGCTCAAGCTCCATCATTGTTTTTTCTGTAAAGGCGTTTTGGCGGGCAGTTGCCAGATCACCAGACTGAGGAGTAAGATGGCGTTTACAGGATGTCACATGGTTTCCTGGTGACAGAGATAATGTCTGACATGTTGTTGATAATGCTCTCGACCTTAACTCTGAGTAAAGTTAATGGTGTCACTGCAAAACACACCTGGCCCAAGAAAAGTTGACGACATTATTTAAACTATAAATGTTCCTTTCAACAATAACAGCATGTGCAGATTAGTAAATCATATTGATCAACAAACTACACTTTACATTAGCATTAGTTAGCCTACTGATAAACAGCCATCTGAATGGATGATGTCTGCAGTCTTTCTTGTCAAAATGTATCAGGCCACACTGACCTGAAAGGCTAAAATTAGCTTCATTTTCTCACCCTAATATATTTAAAGCTTAATTTTACTCATCCTTGAATTTTGCTTGCCTCATTTGCAGCAACATTTACTCATTTCAACCAACAAAGTTCACATTTTCCACTCTTGTCCGCACAACCAATCATGACTTTAATATGCAGAAACCAAATTTTGATTCAAATACTGACAAAATGTTGCAAAAACTCCCCCCTGGATAGTCATAATTACCCCACACTTTAATAGGTGTTTGTTGTATTTAAAAAGAGCTCAGTAAAATATGCCTTAATATAATAGTGAGTCATATCTTACTCCCTCTACTCCTACTGCTATGGGCTGAAAGTACTCCTTAGTTCTCACATCTTAAGTGCATTTCAAATAAAAACAAACTTATATTTCTACTTAGATTAAAATACTGTCACTTCTGATTCTACTGTATAAAGATAACATTTAAGTAACTGTAATTGTCTTAAGTAGAATATTAAAGTTTCCTATCACCCTTGATAAAGAGTTCTGACAGCAGATTTTCACTGTTTAAGAAGCTGAAATAACTGCCTCATAAAACTCTGCTTATAGCTCCTCCACCAACATTGCTAGTTTGTGTGCCCTTTTTGGTTTAATCCACAAGATGGCACTCAAAGGTAATGATTTCTCCCCCTGCAGCATGCATCCCAACCTGCCAGGCTCTTGGTTTACAGGAAATCACATGGTTACCAGTAAAGATGCCAAACACAACCACTACAGCGCTGTTGTATTGCTCAAAGACTTGATCATAGATTAGGGTTGTCATGGTGTTTTATTCAGCTGACAGGGGATCAGTTTTGGCTCACCCAGTTTTGCAATCCAAAGTCTAAAACAGACTCCAGATCAGCTTTTTAGAGGCATTAACAGGGACTTTCCTGAACGACTGTTTGATTGTTTTTTTTATCACTATGATGAATTGAGGAAACTCAGAAATTAACCGCTCAGATCAAACCCGACAAACCCGAGCTGCTGTAAATGGTGCAACTGCAACACACCCCAGGGGAAGTTAGGGGATTCACAAACAAGACAGAGGGAGATTACCCGGTTATAAAACAATACACAGCCGAGCCTGGTCAAACCAACAATGAGATCACACCACACTTTTTATTCAGGTGAACAAATTATTAACCATATTTCATGCAACACTTCTCGACCACTTGTTTAATCAATTATTAAACATGATACTGACAGGAAAACTGAATCATCATATTTGTTTATTTCTGTTTAACTCTGTTCATTTCATACAAGCTAAATTCTCATGTGCCTGTCAAACAAAAGTAAGTGAGGTGTGGACACAAAGCTACACTGGTGTCATTTTTGTTAGGCTTTATACTACATGAGTTCCTGCATGACTTTTGCTTTAAAGAGGAGAAGAGAAACACGTTTTTCACGACGGAGACGCTTTCCTGTAGTTACACTTTCCTTCTTGAAATAACTCGCTTTTGATGGGGGGTTTAATTTCACCGAGTTGTTTATTGTAACAGCCAAACAGTAGATCAAGTGGGCCAGAGAGGTCAACATTAGTTCAACTAAAGTTTTTACTCTTACTTATTCATAGTTTGTTGCACATGTGACTTTCAGGAGCTAGAGTCAATATTTACAGCCAGTACTTAACTAAAAACACAACTTCAGTGCTAAAATACTTGAGTTTTTGTCATTTTATTGACTTAATACAAAAAATTACTTTAAAATTTTACTCAAAATATAATAACTGGTTAAATTTATCTACTTTTTCACAAAACAATCAGCTATACTGACTCACTTGACAAAAAAGACTTGCTAAAGATCAAAAGAACTAGACATCTCACTATAAAAACAGATATTTAGCTGTACTAACAGTCTAAATATGTCCAGTGTCATGATACATGTCCACACTGTCACTGAGATGATATTTTTAATGTCTGAATATTCTGTAAACTGCTCTTATTATTCTTACTTCTCATGTATTTACAGGAAGTCTGTTGTGAAACTATGATTTAAGATATTCTTTCAGGTCAGGTGAAAGGAACGTTTGATGAACACAAACATCAGAGTTTCTTCATCACTCATTCACAGGTCCCTGCAGAACCAGGTCCAGGATTACAGTCTGGAGTCATACGTTCTTTCAAGGAAACTCACCCCTTGTTGCATTTATTATCTGTTTCACAGACACTCAACAGGACTTATGGTGACAGAGTTTTTCTGGCTTTAGCACCAAAACTCTGCAGAATCTGTCGACGCTTTCAAAATCTAAAATCACACCTGATGGGGAAGACATTTTGTTAAATATCCCATGTATTTTAATGCACGACAAATTGACTGTTTGTTGTGTCCAGGAGCTGTGTTTCTCTAGTTTTAAAACACAGCACCTCTGATTTTATCCACTAATTGTTCTTTATGTTTTGTCTCTGTTTTGGCTTTTGTCAGTGAAAAAACACCGTTCATAGACTTCTCTAACTCTCAAGTGTGGTCATTAAACCAAAACTCCCCAAACTACTGAATGAAATCAACATGTTTAATTCTAAATGTTAATAAAACAACAGCTGAAAATCCTTTTACGTAATGACCCACAGTGCATCCAAAGTTAAATGTCTTATCACTCATTCTGTCCTTCAGCTCCTTAAATGGAAAAAAACAGAAGGGCTGCAGAATACTTTCGGTCACAAGACCTTCAGGGTTGAGCTTGGCTGAGTCAGGCACCAACTGAGCTAAAAAAAACAATAAAGACAGAAAGTGAAAGAAGAATATGCGGGGACTTTCCAGTTTGGTGGCGTGGTGCTGTTGTGGCATGGTGCAGAACTGGTTAGGCAAACGCTTCTCGGCACATTCGTCTGGCCGTAAAAACGCACTTAGAGTGCTTTTAGGTGCAGATTGAAGTTTAGGAAGCATACGGAAAACCCAAACCCCACAGAGTCTCTCATCATTCGAGTTCCAATAACACGCTGTAAGAAGACTCTGTCCGCCATTTTGTGTCTGTTTTTGAAGGACACCTCGTAAGATGGCGGACACTTTTGGCAATTGTTTTTCCATTTAGGCCCATCCCACCTTGTGATCTGAAGGTGGCGAGCGATAACTGAAGGGGGCGGGCGAGTGCGCTGATCTGATGAGTCACTGTGTCTGATTAACCCCGAAACTCTGAGCAGTCTGAGTTTGAAAAACGATAAGAAATATTTTTTTGTATCCTGTCGCACCATTACGCACAAAATCTTTGATTGACCGAAATAGGATCCATGAATAAGATCCTAATGTTTTAGTCCGTGTAAAGTTTCATTAAAAGACTTTTTTAGTTTGTGTTTTTAAGGACTGCAGTCGGCTCTGTAAAGGTTTGATTATTGCGCCAAATTTGGCATCACGTTGGCATCTTCTGTTGTGTAAATTCCAAGATGTTTGCGGTGCTTTCCATTTCTCCACCATAAACATGTTTTATTATGTAGTTCACACCTTCCTTGTCTGCCTGTAGTTGACCTTTGAGAGCCAATCTGATCTTCACATTCGTTTCCTTCTTTAATTTAAACTCCACTCCCATCATGCCGTGTACTCTTGCCTTTTAGTCTTTGCATGAAAAGCGTCTTGAATTCATTTTAAATGTATAAAGTCCTGACATCTAAAGACTTTGTGCTGCTGTATCCTAACTCCAAATAGAGACTTTGCTGCTGAGCTGCTCTTGCAGTTTGCTCTGGATGGATGTGCATTTCTGTTTTAGTCACTCTGGTTAGGTTGACATCGTGTGAGTTTAAAAATGAAACAAAACACAAACATAAGAGAAAAATCTCACTCTTGATTCTTAAACTGCAAACTTTTCCGCACCACGTGGCTTCAGCCACCATTTTGTGAATGCAGCGTGTTAAGTTTTGACAAAATGGTGACGGATGGTTGCCGTAGCTGTTGTCGATAGAGGGAGTTGGTGCTTTTTAGCACAACACCACAAACCACTTCTACCCCACCTTTGGTGTTTATGACACACGTCAACAGGCAATCGTCCAAAAAGCTTCACTGCCAGAAAATGAAACTCACTGATAGTCAGGGACTTTCCAGGTCAGCCAAACAATAAAGCCAATCCTGTAATATTACTGCGGCACACCAAAATGCTGTCATAGGGGTTGAAACCAGAAATATTACAGACACTGAAACTCTGAGAAGTGATGAGGAAAACCATCAGCTTGGGTGCTGGTTTTGACTAGTGGTAAAGCTGAGCACCCCACATAGAGAGGATATAGTCTTCAAGCATGGACTCGGGTTCAACTTCAACTTCAGGCTCTTTTTTTTGGTTGTGTTTTCTTTTTAGTTTGTATATGGGTGGGTAAGGGAAGGGAGTTTGTAATTTTACTTTCACATTCTCTTATATGTCTTAAGTTTAAAAACTGAAAATAAAATATTCTAATATATAATAAAATATAATAATAATAATAAAAATAGGGCCAGTACAAATATTACAAGCTAAATCACAACAATGAAACTCAAATGAAAAATCAAAATTTCTGCATCAAAATGTCAAATTTCTCATAAGTGCGTTTACAAAATGTGCTCGTAAACCACATGCTCAACACTTTTGTATGTCTAAGTTTTGCAATCTGGAAAATTTATGAATGTGTATGGAGAGAAAAGTCTCTTTTAACAAACTCCTAACTTGACAAATTCCCTCAGGCACGTCAAAATGTATATAATACTTGATGACGTTCTTGTCAGGGTCAACCAATCACTGTTCATTTTTATCCTGCTGCTTTTCAAAGAATAATCTTGGACTCACTCTAATAAAACTTTGGCTGTGATGATTATAAAAGGAGGTTTATGGTGTCTGTCTGTCTAGAGTTGTGTCAGACTTTAGTTATCTACAACAGAAGACTAGGACATGAAATGAAGAAAGTACAAGACATTTATTTCACTTAAATGTTGAGTCAAAGCAAAATAAATAATAACAGGTGTTTTATTGAGGCTGTATGTTTTAAAATAAAGACATTTCTGGAAAAAAAAATCAGCGCTCAGTGTTTAGGTTTTCATTTCTGTACAAATATTTACACACACTCCAGCTTGTTCCCTCATATTCTTAACAGATCATCTGCAGACTGACACATGTCCCAAACAGGACATCAGCTGTCCCTGCGGCGTGTCTCCATCTCTTTCAGTTTGTAGTATCCCCCCTTCTTCTCCATCAGCTCCTGGTGAGTCCCTCGCTCTTGAACTCTGCCTTTACCGATCAAAACGATCTGATCTGCCTTTTCGATAGTTTTCAGCCTGTGAGCGATCACCAGCAGGGTCTGGTTTGGACAGTTAGCCAAGGCCTGCTGAACCTAAAGAGGAGAATAACTGTGAGTATATTTCAAATCATCGCGCAAAGGTGTCAAACAGAAATTGATGTCTGGTACTAGACGTTACCTTATTTTCACTTTCTGTGTCCAGTGAGCTCGTTATTTCATCCAAAATGAGAACCTGTGGCTGTCTGACCAAAGCTCGAGCGATGGCGATCTGCTGCTTCTCACTCTTGGATAACTGACCGCCACCCTCACCCACCTCTGCAATATGAAAAGCAGAAAAACCCATAGTTTTACACATACTTTATGCACAAACAGAATCAACACACTGTGCATGACTTAAAAGTGGAAACTCTTTGTTAATCGAGCTGCATCATCACACCCCAGACAGGTTTTTATTCAGGCACTCAGCCACACGGAACAGCACAAAAGCTGGTCGAATGACTTTACCTGTATCGTAGCCTTTCTCCAGCAGCTTGATGAAGTCATGGGCGTTAGCTTTGCGAGCTGCTTCCTGGATTTCATCCAATGAGCAGTTGGCAAGCCCGTAGGCAATGTTGTATCTGATAGAGCCTGAGAACAGCACAGGCTCCTGGCTCACCACGGCTATCTATTGAGGGGAAATCCCATTCGCTTGACTCAGACAGCAACTCACATCACAGTGAAATTCACAATCAAATCTTTAAAAAAATGAAAAATTCCTGTATAAAAAGTATAAAACAGTTAATTTTTCAGTACAAACTTGATGCTTTTAGTGTCTGTGAACCAGGACTGTAAAGCTGAGACCCTCAGCTTTACAGTGTAAATTTAAGTTATGGTCAAACACACTGTAACACCAAGTTAGACACCCTGTTGAGAGATGAATGTTGCCAACTGCTTGCTTCTCTAGTTATACCAACTAACACTGCAGAATATTGAAAAAAAAAAAACTATCATTGCAATTTTTTCCAACCCTGCAATATATATTGCGATATTAAAAAATCCAGGAATTTTCACCAAATGACCTGAATAGCACTTTATGTTATGCTGCACTGCTGAAATCTTATGGGCACTGATCTTACATCTTTTTGTGAATGTTAGTTGAATGGCTTCTGTCTGTTTTAGAGATATTTTTAGCTTTTATTGTGCTGGGACGTTATTGTGGAAACAGATGAAAGCCGTTGCCGACACACGACAGGTGTTTAGGTGACGTCATCCTTCTTATAACCGAAATAATTATTAAGTGACGTTGCTTTTCTTTTTGTCATCAAGCATTCATCTTCGGTCGTTAGTGACGTTGCTTTTCTTTTCGTCACCAAGTATTCATCTTCGGCGCTAAGTGACGTTGTTTTTCTTTTCGTCATCAACTATTTATCTTCGGTGGTTTTCTTTTGTTCGTTTCTTTAGCAATCGTTGATGTTGTGCCGAAAAACGCATGCCCATCGAGGATTGCATGCACCTAGCAGAAATGCGCACCGCCCTTAGTAGAGTGGTCCATGGAAATGTACAATTTAAAACCCATACAGTTCTTATTTGTGGGGTTAAACAGTGATGCGGAATGTTCCACAAGTAATTCTCAGCTGACACGCGTTTCCCGGAACAACACTGCAGCTACAGCGACTCACTCCATGTGCAGGCCATGTGCGGGGGCGTGGTTTCCTCCTCTCTGATTTTGATTGAGGGCTGGCAGGGTAATCTGATTGGAAACTGAGTAAAGAACGAATGTGATTGGTGGATCGCTGCACAGAACATGCAGAGTCACATGCAGTGTATCTCAATCAGCTACCCTTGAAATAAGATGAGTTCTTTCGTCTCCAACATCGCAGGCTTTGCAATGTCAGTATCGCGAACACATACATCGCGATGATGATGATGCTCAAACGATATATCATGCAACCCTAATACCAACTTTAGTAACGACTGCACAGTTGCAATACACAGCGATCTACATCTACATTTGCAAACCTCAACCAAAAGCCACTCTATTGCCACAAATAATGCTAAGAACAGCATCTTTTTAGCTTAGCCTAATTTCTTTAGCAAAGAGACCCAGTACAACTCACCAGCTCTCTTCCAGCAGCCGCTTGTTTGTTGGGGGAGCCCTGACGAGTCGATCACTGAGTGCAGCGGAGTGTCACAGCTCATGGAAGAACATGTATATTACTTAAGGGAAATGCAATCAGAGTTCTTGTGTAGCTTGTATGTGCACTGCAGATCTAGCAGTTCTTCTGCCTTAGCATTTCGGTCTGATTGCATTTCCATGAGGTAATAATCATAAATTTTCCGCTGCACTCAGTGATCGTCAGGGCTCCCCCACAAACAAGCGGCTGCTGGAGGAGAGTGGGTGAGTCGTGTTTAGTCTCTTTGCCAAAGAAATCAGGCAAAGCCAAAAAGATGCTTGATGGCTAGAATTATGGCTGGGACCCTATATGTCCTGTTGATGAAGTTGGGTGCTGTTCTGAGCATTATTTGTGGCTATAGAGTGGCTTTATGGTTGAGGTTTGCATGTAGAGACGGACCACCGTGTATAGCTATTGTGCGGTCATTGCTGAGGTTGGTGTAACTAGAAAAGGAAGCGGTCGGCAACAATAATCTCTCGAGGTGGTGTCTAAGTCGGTGTTACCATGTGTTTGACCATAACTTTAATTTGTGCTGGAATATCTCTTTAATATACACCTTGTGTGTTGATTAAACTAGATACCTTCTTATGGAGGAAACGGTGCTCATATGATTTCAGTGGTTTATCGTCCAATAGGATTTCTCCATCCTGCTGCTCGTAGAATCGCTCCAACAGACTCGCACAGGTGCTTTTTCCCTCTCCAGACGGACCCACCAGTGCCGTCATCTGACCGGACTTCAGCTCCAAAGAAAAGTCCTGAGACAAAGAGGTTTGAAGTTTAAAGTAATTAAGCCGAAACATCAAAATTCAATAAAGATGAGGTGCTGTTATTTTTTTTTCAACAATCCGGCCACTGGACCTCACCTGGAGCACTTTTTTGTTGGGGAAAGCAGGATAGGCGAAGTTGAGACTGCAGAAACGGACATTTCCTCTCAGTGTGTCAGGTTTTAGCGTTCCCTCTGAGCTGACCTGCGGTTTCCGGTCCAGATATTCAAACACTTTCCCCGCAGCCCCAACTGAGTTCAGCATGTTGCCAAAGACGTAGATGAGGGTCTGGAGAAAGTTTGAACAGCAAACATATGTAAAAGTATGTAAAATCTCAAAATATTTTAGGTAATCTAGGACTGAGAGCTGAGTAAAAAAAGGCATAATGTCTGTCAGGATATGCTTAGCATAATGGGATACCCTGATGCTGTTCCCTAGGTTTGATTGATAGAGAAGGAAGGACACCAGATTCCCAGTGGTCATCTGTCCTCTCTGGATGAACAGCCTGCTGTAGTACAAGATGATGACATTCATGCCCAATCCTGTCAACTGTAACCACACACAGACCAGGACAAATACTTTCAGATAATGTGACCTACAGCAATTTGAGGACCTGATATTCAAAAAATTTTATCAAACAAATAAATAAATACTCACCCGCCGTGCGAGCAGATAAATAGCCCTGACAGTGTCCTGTTTGGTCTTGAGTTTGTGTGTACACATCAGGCAGTCTTCATACCGGCCAGCCTCGTGTTTTTCTGAGTTAAAGCTCCGAACAACACGGATACCAGATACCGCTTCATTCGCAGCTTCATTTGCCCGAGCAATTGAGTCCTGCACCGCGAGGGACAAACGCTGAGAGAGGAGTAAAAGAAATCAGAATTTCACTCAGGTTTATTAAGGTGTGCTTCATCAGAGCTGATCAGATTTCTGTGTCTATGGTTTTCAAAGTCCATTTAGCGTAGACTTTACCTGGTAGTGTGTGTCATAGATGTTCTGTATGAGGCCTGTTAGAGGCGTCTCCATCAGTACAAGGAATGTGAGCTTCCATGAAAGGTTCATCATCAAGGAGATCATACCCATGGTTTTGATGAAAGTCCTCAGCAGCACATTGACATTAAGGCCCACTGTTCTCCCCATCAGGTTGGTGTCTTTGGACAACCTGGCAGTGATTTCACCTTAACAGAAAAAAAGTCATGATCTGCCCTGTAATGTTATATTCTTCCATGCTCTTATACTCCACACTATTTTGTCCTGTTTGTCTTATGTTTCCTTAAGTCTTTCCCTTTTTCTTTCCAGAGATGTCTGTTTCTGTATCTATTATATCTTAACTGAACTTGTTCTGCTTACCTGTCTTTATGGTCTCAAAGAAGCCGATTTCCTGTTTAGTCAAAGCCCCAAATAGCTTGACTTTCACCCGGCATGTGAGGGCATTGATGGCAGTAAGTAAAAGGCCCCCTCTGCATCCTGCGCTCACTGAGCTGATGATCAAATACAAAGTCAGCTGGAATTTACATCCAAAACACAAACATTAGCCAGACACAGTACACCAGGGAGATAATACCTTCCAAGAGAGAAGAGGCCCATGTAGAGCAGTGCAGATATGAATTCATTGTGCTGGTACTGGCTGCCGAGGATGTCAATAACTTTCCCTGTGTAGAAGGGGATGAACATCTCACCTAGAAAGAGACAGAAACACAATCAGACAAACCTGATGATGGGTCTGCGTGGCAAACTAACATTACATTTTTATCATCAAGAAAACTGCCCCCTAATCCAGAAAAAGATGAACTCTTGCAGCTGCTGCTAAATCACCATTAAAATGATCAGTGAGAAATGAAATTTTATTGTATTAATTTAAAATGTGCTGTGATCAGTGTTGACAACTGGAGACTTCAAATCACCTACTATTTCTTTCTATTTCTGCAGCGATTTTTTTTTTCTTTTTATTTTTTTTGCAAAGAGTGAAAAATACTATCATCATCATCATCATCATCATCATCATCATCATCATGTTATACTCACAGATCACAGCCAGTGACAGGAACACAACTCCTCCAATCAGCAGGAGGTAGTCGGGTTTGTACAGGTGAAGGACTCTCACAAGTAGCACTCTGGCTTTCTGCTTTCCCTCACCACCGGCGGCTGCATCGTCAGTGTCCGGGATGGTGATTTCCCAAAACAGGGCAGCAGCCAGCGACGCTCCGGTGCACATCAGCCAGCAGCGTAAATCCGCCGACAAGCCGCATGGTGTCTCCTCGTTGTACAGCACTTTGGTCCCAGTCTCAAATACCGCCGGTAGGAGACTGTGTGCGGCTATAAAACGAATCAGCCGAGGTTTGGGGGCTCCAAGGCTGAGGAGGGTCACGGAAGTCAGTGCCAAGCACCGGAGAGCCGCGGAGACCCAGAGACGCGCAACATGTCCAAATACGCTGATGGACACTCCAGACCCCGATGCGTAAAACAAGGAAAGGTCAACGCAGACAGCAAAAAACAGAGTAACGGCTCTACGAAGGACTGTTTCTGTGAAACCTGCCATTTTGTAGCTGCATTCGTCCCCGTATGACCTGCTGTGCTGCGAGTACCGAAGTTAAAGTTTTCGTCCCTTTCAGTTTCATTTTCTCATCAGTCAAGGGGATTCCCAGAAAACACAGAGTCATAGTTCGGAGTGTCTCTTTATATGTGGTTTTCAAACGTTTCTCCTGCTGATCTTATTCCGTCGACCAGATGGATGAACTGAATTTGTAAAAAATCATTGTCATTGTCTGACACAGTCTTTCCAAATAGGGCCAAAAGACAACATGTGGTTCATAAAGATAAATGTTTTTCAAAATGAGTTTATTTAATTTTACATTTCACACATTTACCAAAAATGTATGTTGGTCTTTGTGAGTGTGTCTAATATCACAGTTCACAGACATTTAGACTGTCCTACAGTGTGTAAGGTGTTAACAGATGACAACTATAAACTAGTTTTCTAACAGCAAAAACAAACAGGAAGACATCAAGAGTCCAAAGTTGTGGTTTTGCATCAAATCTGACTTTCACTTTTTGTTTTATTGTTTTTGTACTAAATATCACATACAGTTTCAAGCCATTGCTGTTAAAAGGAAAAGTACACAGAGGTCCTGCAGATTATATCAAAGAAAGTAAAGTTTCTGCTAATTCACTCTCTCAGTGTCATGGAACTGTTAACTGACAGCAGAATAAGTCCTGCAGCAACCTTAAAAGCCAGAGGGGTCCTTAGATGACCCTGTGACCCTCGTAAAATGAGAGAAGACAAACACGTATAAACTCTCTACAATAATAGTGTCTTTGCAGACAAGGGATAAAAAAAACTGTAATGATCACTGATCAAAGAAGGTGGGTAAGTCACTTCCCAGAATGACTTTCTCCTCTGCCTTTTGTTCATCAATGGTGACCATATAAGCCACTCCTCCGCTGGAGCCATCCCGGTTCATTGCTAGAGACAGAGCTACAAGACAGAGAAATACAATAAAAGACCGGTGAGGACGCTGATGCATGTAGTGAAAAGCAGTAAGTGTCTGGCTTCCTCTCAAAAATTAACTTCTCTGACAAAAACAAAGCTTGGAAATAAAAACTTACTGTTGACAACAAACTGCTGGCACTCCTCTTTGCTCATGCCCCGGCGATACTCTGCATCCACAAAACCGTAAACGTAAGAGCTGCCTGAGCCACCGATGGCAAATGGCTGCCTGGTCAGGAGACCATTCAGGGTTGCAAAAACCTGGAAGAGGTCAAAGGACACAACGACTGTGGTCATTTGAATCTGAGTGAAAACAGGCAAATAACAAGCGCTTCAGCAGTAATACTACAGCTTTATATACCAGCATTTTTTTAGATCAAGCCAATATTGGTGAGCTGTTCCACTCAGGTTTCAAGCCTCTTCATAGCACTAAAACTGCTCTTTTAAAAGTTTTTAACGATCTTCTTTTAAATCTTGACTCGGGTGATTGTGCCTTCTTAATGCTTCTAGACCTTACAGCAGCATTTGATACGGTGAACCACTCCATCCTCTTATCACGCCTTGAGCACACTGTAGGCATTAAAGGCCCCGCTCTAGAATGGTTTAAATCCTACCTTGCCGACAGATCCTTCAGTGTAAAATTGGGGCAGTACTCCTCCTCAGTGGCCCCTCTAACCTGTGGAGTCCCTCAGGGGTCAGTTCTAGGCCCTCTGCTGTTCTCCCTTTACATGCTTCCCCTGGGGTCAATATTTAGGAAGCACGACATCCACTTTCATTGCTCTGCTGATGACGTGCAGGTGTACCTGCCGCTAAGAGCCCCCTCCAAGGAATCCCTTCAGGCCGTGTTCAACTGTTTGAGGGATATTAAAACATGGATGGACCTGAACTTTTTAAAATTAAATGAAAACAAAACTGAGATTGTCCTCTTTGGCAACCCTGACACCGTCCAGGTCCTTGCCAGCTCCCTCGGCCCCTTAGTACCCTATATAGGTTCCCAGGCCAGAAACCTAGGTGTCATTGTTGATGGGGCTCTTAAGCTGGACAAGCAGATCAGCTCCGTTGTGAAGGCTAGTTTTCTTCAGCTTCGGCTACTGGCAAAAATCAAGCCTTATCTTAGGAGGCCAGATCTGGAAAAGGTTATCCATGCTTTTATCTCGTCTTGCCTTGACTACTGTAACTCGCTGTATTTTGGCATCAGCCAAACTGAAATTAACCGCCTACAGCTTGTGCAAAATGCTGCTGCTCGTCTCCTGACCGGAACCAAGAAATGGGAGCACATCTCACTGGTGCTCTCCTCACTTCACTGGCTCCCAGTCAAGTTCAGGATTGATTTTAAAAATTCTTTTATTTGCTTTTAAGTCTTTGCACGGGCTGGCCCCAGAATATTTATCCGACCTTGTCAAGGCGCACCGACCCACCAGATCCCTGAGGTCTGCTGACCGGATGGTTTTAGATGTGCCGAGAACCCAGCTTAAAAGCAGAGGGGATCGGGCATTCGCGGTTGCTGCTCCCACTCTGTGGAATGCCCTGCCTCTGTCTGTGCGTTCTGCAACTAGCCTCACCTCCTTCAAAACGCACCTTAAAACCTACCTGTTTACCCTAGCCTTTGGCTGAGTTGTCACCTGCTTTTACTCGCGTACGCTTTTCTTTTATTGTTGTCATTGTATGTTGCACTTTTAATGTTGCCATATTTGTAGCTTTCATTATTTTATGCTTTTCTTTTTCTCCTGTAAAGCACTTTGTCTGGCCTGTCCTATAAAGGTGCTATATAAATAAACGTGACATTGACATTGACCAGCTGTGTGACCCGTCAAAAAGCAACAAAATCACCTTGTCAGGGTTGCAGAAACACGGTTTGTGGTTGTTAATTTTTTGAGGTGATCATTCTAATCTGAAAGATACTCTCTCCATCCAAACTGCAGACAACTACATGTGTTTACTGACCTGTCCTCCGTCTCTTCTGTCCCAGCCGGCCACAATGAGATGAGCAGACAGCTCCTCCTTGTACTTGTAAGAGATGTTTCTCACCAGAGTGGCAGCTGAACGAACCTGGGGGTCCTCACCTATCTCAAGACTGACATGGGAAGATAAAATACATCCATCATATTCCTGCCATAATGATTCAACACTGTTACACGCAGCACTTAACATCAGGAAAGCTGAGGCTGTACAGCTATTCTCTTTTTCCTAGATGAAGATGTGTGTGAGATAAACATTTTAAAGGGCTGGTAAAATACTGACATCTTCTAATTCGAGTTGCCGCTTGATAAATCTTAATAATCTTTCATACATTTAACCTTTTTATGCCAAAAGGTGTAACTCAGTATTGGTATTTAAGTTTAGGCTTGGCTGTCTATTTACCTGTGAACATCCAGCTGGTAGTTGACAATCTCTGCAATGGTTTGAGCATCTGCTGCAGATCCTGACAGGGCACAGTAGATCTTGTCATGGAGGGGAGAAAGTTTGTTCATCACCCTGTTCATCACTGCCTCCCTGGAAGGAAAGAGGAGAATGTGACCGTGTGGTGCAGATGTTCACATAGTGGGAGAGACAGTGGACACAGATTACAGTAAGGAAAATACAGAGATTTAAATGGTAAACTATGTTTTTAAAGCATGGGAATAGCTGCGTCTTCATGATAGGTAGATAATGTGCGGTGATACAGAACTTGACGGAATGCGCACGCGAGTACGCACGCTCTTACGTACCCTGCAGACACCCGGGAATCGGACCCCAGTACGACCCCTCCGTTATATTCGATGGCAATGATGGTGGTCTACGAATAAGGATGAACAAACATCATTATTCATGACTCTCTCAACATAGACTACTATCAGTTCTGCGCGTGGCACAGTGCAAACGTGCTTTCCGGACTAAAGGCGCGCATTTACAATTCACCAAACTTCCAAAGACACTAAAAACCTCATACTTACCCCAGTTTTCACCTCCTCGGACAACCACCCGGGGCCTGTGTCCTCCTCTAACATGTTGATTCACTCCTGAGACTCAATAGCGACGATGACCGTGTTTGCAAGGGACGTAAAGGTGACACCAGACTTAAACTCGAGTGTGCAGTCGAACAGTCCAGAAATGTAAACACCGTTTTTGATGAAGGAAACCTGTGTTTTGTCGTTAAATGCTGCTTTGTCTCTCCAGAAACACTAACTCATACATCAGACGGACGCCATTTTCCCCGAGTTTAATCGAAATTGAAAGTTAAACTGTCCCGCCCCTGCAATGAGCCGTAACTTTGTTGGTGTCAAACAGTTGACTTAGTTTACGCACTCTTTCATTTGTAATTCACCAGACTCTAAGACTTTTTTTGTGACGTTGTGGACGTATAACATCATGTATAGCTTACATGTTTAAGGAATTAACATCAGTTTTATAGGTAATAAGAGGAGTTTAACCAAAAACCTCACCGGTTTTTTAATGTATTGTAACCCACACATTTTAAACTGTGACAGAGACAGGAGGTTAACGAAAAGTTTTGCTTTTATTCTTATTTCAACTCATGAGCTTAACAGACAGAATGTCTGACCACTTACAGGGAGGGGAAGCAGTTTTGATAATTGGAGTTGTCTTACTTTTAGATATAGGAATAATTGTAATTATTTTGGATGAAATATATATTCAGTTGCAACAAGAACTCGACAGTTAACCGATCACACATTCTAGTGTGTAACAATTTCTTCTAGTAACTTCTAGTAAACAAGTTTCTGTCTGAGCAACAAAACAATTTTTCATGAATTCAAGAAGTTTGACAAAAAATTACTGATTTAATTGCATTATACACAGTCACAATTACAGGTGTTATTCATCATGGAACCTGGGCAGCTTGTCACCAGGTACCACCACATGCTCCACCCCCTCCTCTGTGATCACTGCCAGGTTAGCCACGCCCCCACTGACGTTGTCTCTGCCCATGGCCAGGGAAAGAGCTGTTGGCACAAGGAGGGAGAGAAGAGGAAGAGGGCGGTGAGAAGAGAAAAAACCAGCAGGAACAAAAGGCAGAGGGAATGTAGGTCGGATTCAACCAGCAGTAAGGGACGAAAGATAACATTTAAACAGATAATTTTTTGCTGTTTTTTTTCCCCACAGGTGTGAATGAACCTCAATTTATGAGTATTATGAACTACAAAATGATCAGTTTTCTCATTGGTATTGGCCATTAGAGGCTGGTTAATACTTTGATATACGTCAATTTCCAAGAAACACATTTTCCAAATCAGGTGAAAATTCTGTTATTTTGACACAGAAGTCAAGTTTTTCAAAATTACCATTAAGGGCAAACTGTAGACATTCGTCTCTGCTCATGTCTGGTTTGTATTTGGCATCGACGTATCCATAGATGTACGTGCTGCCGGAGCCACCAATTGTGATTGGCTGCCTGACCAACATCCCGCCAAGAGACACGACATACACCTAGAGAAAGATGAATATCAGTAACACTACTTAAGGCAGGAAAGTGGAAAAAACACACACAGTCATAATCCCTGTCTTGACCACCTCTACCTACCTGTGCACCTTTCTTCCTGTCCCAGCCTGCCGTGATGAAACCGGCCTGTAGCTCATCTTTGTTTTTGTAACAAAGTTCTTTTAACACTGATGCAGCTGATATCACCAGAGGAGGGGTCTCCATCTGCACGCTATAAATCAGGGAGCAATCCAGAGTCACATTTTCAAAACTGTGCTTTCAGAAGTATAAGAAACATTGACTTTAGTATGCAGAATTCTTAGTAACATATGTGTTTATTAACTCCTACTCATTAAGCTTGACTGAAACATGACTATATAATAACTCAAACTGGGTACAATAAACAATAATTGCTTAAAATATGATGCAAACTCATTTTCTCTGTGTAAAACTGTTTTCATGTGTGTCACCTGTGGAAGGCCAAATGAAACTTTGCTGCCTTGGTCACAGCCTGAGCATCTGCGAGTGAGCCGGCGATGCAGCAGAAGATGCGGTCATGGACCTGGATCACTTTGTTGATGGTCTTTGATGAAACATATTCCCTAAAGAAAGAGACACACAGAGGATGAATAAGGAAGAAAAATGATAGACTCAACCCTCACACAAAGGTTAAAATATGGATGTCCAAGTTTGAATTTCCTGGATTCCAATAGCCAAAGTTACTTTTATATATGATGTAAAATAAATTTAGGGTCAAACACACCGTAACACCGAGTTAGACACCCCCTCCAGAGATGAATGTTGCTGACCGCTTGCGTCTCTAGGTATACCAACTTTAGTAACCACCGCAGATAGCAATACAGAGAGCCATGCTCTCAACCAAAACACCACTCTATAGCCACAAATAATGCTCAGAACAGCACTTAATTTAATATAGGGTCCCAGCCTTAGTACTAGACACCAAACATCTTATTAGCTTTGCCTAATTTCTTTAGCAAAGAGACTAAACACAACTCACCAACTCTCTTTCAGCAGCTGCTTGTTTGTACAGAGACCTTGGACGAGTCCATTACAGACAGCTGCGAGGTGACGCAGCTCAAGGAAGAACAGTTCTTCTGTCTTAGCGTCTTGGTCTGATCGCATTTCCATAAAGAAATGTTTATAAATGTTCTTCCTTGAGCAGCAAAACTCTGCTGCAGTCGGTGATGGACTCGTCCGAGGTCTCCCTACAAACAAGCGGCTGCTGGAAGAGAGTAGGTGAGATGTGTTTAGTCTCTTTGCTAAAGAAATTAGGCAAAGCTAAAATGATGTTTGGTGTCTAGTACTATGGCTGTGACCCTATATGTCCTGTTGATGAAGTTAGGTGCTGTTCTGAGCATTATTTGTGGCTATAGAGTGGCGTTTTGGTTGAGGTTTGTTTATGGCTCCTCAGACCGCTGTGTTTTGCTATCCTGCGGTTGTTTCAGTTCCACGTCACATTAGGTTAGTTTGTTTGTTAAGATTTTTAAAGTCGGTATAACTAGAGAAGCAAGCGATCTGCAACATTCACCCCTCAGGGGGGTGTCTAACTTGGTGTTCCAGTGTGTTTGACCCTAAATTAATTTTATGCAGGAACATCCCTTTAACACATGAATGAAATAGTACAACCACGGGGTACTTTTTTTTGCAATATTGCACCATCATTAGAAATTACATGATCAAATACAATCAAATGATTTTGCAGTTTGTAAAACTGTAAGTTCAGTTCTGGAAGATGTAATGAGAAAGGACCATGCACACTCCTCACTACGACCTCTCTGTTGACATCCTTTACTTCTCCCCTGTGTCTTGAATTTAGTTTTAGCTTATGATCTCGAATTTTTTTAAAACTTATAGACTCTGTTTAGCATCTGGCAGCTTCAGTGAGTTGTCACAACTTTCTCATCCTCACCCTCCAATAGAAGCTCTCGAGTCTGATCCAATCACGACCCCTCCATCGAAAGTGGCAGCCAGGATGGTGGTCTGCGGAGAGAGAGTGAGGTGTTCATCAAACATTTTAAAAGCAGCTAATTTAGGTTAATCACCACATATAACAGAACCCTAGCCAGACTGTCAAAAGGTAACACTAAAAAACGTGCTTCCTTCACGTAGCAGCGTGCTTACGTATGCTGACTAAAACTGGCAATGAACTCTGGGATTTGGAGTTCGAAGTTTGGATCTTTAAGAGGGAAATTATCCGGAAACCAAAGTAAAGTGCGTCGTTCTGTCTGTAAAAATATATCAACAAGCAACTAATTCAGCGTCAGTAAAAACGCGAGGTGTCCGGTCGATGTCAGTTCACTTTTGTGTTACATTACGACTCAGGTAAAGCATCACCTGCTCCTCCGTGAAGAAGATAACTAAAACCTTTAATGTTGCCTTGGTGGACAAATATACAAGAATAGGTCCAGATTTACTCACCCCTGTGCTGACTCCTTTCACCTGTGAGTTCGTGTAGTGTTTCTCCATTTTTGCTCCAAAATCGAAAGAGAAAAGTCAGAGAGGACGCCGGGAACAGCGACCTCAAGTGCACCGAGACGCACAGAGACGCCGCAGACTCGTCCAGTATGGCGCTATCAAATATCCTCGAAACTCCTGCAGCCGGCTTTAATTTCGACAACGCTGCGAGGTATGAGCTTCTGTTTTTATTTTCTACTCAACAAACATGATATATACTGAAAATTTAACTAACCCTAACCCTAACCTTGTGTGACGTGGAGCTGAAACGGAGATCAAAAGTGAAACTAACTTTTTCCTCATTGTTTGTGAGATACACGAACCAATATCTTGATTTTATACAAATACATGCTATATTTTATGTAATATTTTGTTTACTGCCTCCCCGCCTCTGTTACCCCTCCCTCTCTTTGCCCCCCGCAGGAACGCATCATTAGAGGGTCGTCTTGAAGGAGGACAGACACCTAAACCTTTGAAAACAGGCACCACGATAGCAGGGGTGGTATTCAAGGTGAGGAGAAACTACAAATGCATGTAGACCTCACATTTTTCAGATCATGAAACATACATTGGACCAAACTTTTAAAGTGCATCAGAAAGTTTCCTTTAACTTTCCTGCCAGTACAGCTCTGCAGTAAGCTTACAAAACTCTCTGACTCTCAAAAACTCTCAAAAAGTCAGCATAAGTTAGAGATATTCTTGCTTCAAAGTTGATGCTTTTAAGCAGACTATCTACATTTCATAAGTCTGAGCACCAGTGAGAGCAGGGATGTATTTAAGTCATAACACAGTTTATAGTCCATAATTTTGTGAGAGATAGAAATGATAATGTTTCTGTTGTTAATTTAATTCTCTATCTGATAGTTTTCGTCACGACTCTGTTTGGGGGATGCAAAACTAGGTGGAAAAGTGGACCATGTAAATGGTATTGAGCCTCTGTGTAGGAAGGGTCCAAAAAAGAACAAAATTAACAGCAGTCAAACTTAATAGGGGCCTGTAAAGACACCTTTGTTTGGGGCCATACACACATTTCTCTACACTATGAAAATAACCCACAAGTGTAAAATGTCCCCAGTTATACTGAGATAAAACAAACACATCGAGACAGCAGCTCTTAGCAACAAATGTTTGATTTCCACGTTCCCTTATAAGTTGTTATAATGCATGTTAGGTAAATTTATACGATCAAATTGATCACATTACTTTTGTGTTGATGCAGGATGGAGTGGTGCTGGGAGCAGACACTAGAGCCACCTCCGGTGAAGTGGTGGCAGACAAGATGTGCGCCAAGATCCATTACATTGCTCCAAATATATAGTAAGTCTAAAACATGCTGCACTGAAGCTGTACACAGAGAAACGTGCCTTCAGATGCACTCAGTTTTATCAGTCAGTGTTGTATGAGACACTTTGAGACAAATAGACGTAAACCGTCTGATCATATCTTCCTGTTCAAACCTGAAAAATATTAAATAAGGAGATACTAAAACCAACTTTATGATGCCAAGAATACTCAGGATGCAGGTCGTGGTTGTGATCCTTTTCCTTCCCTCCTCCCCATGTCTGAATCCCCGAATTTTTCTCTCACACTCTCTCCTGTATCTCTCACTAGTTGTTGTGGAGCGGGCACAGCAGCAGACACAGAGAAGACTACAGACCTGCTCGCCTCCAACCTCGCCATCTTCTCTCTGAACAGCGGCAGGAACCCTCGTGTGGTCATGGCTGTCAACATACTGCAGGATATGCTGTACAGGTTTGTGTTACACATGCATATGTACCTGAATAATACAGACTGGTAAGGGAGTTTAAGACTCAAGTATTGAAAAAATGATTAGCAATTAAAGTCTTCCCGTGATTTGACCTCTTGGCTTACAGGTATCACGGTCAAATTGGGGCCAATCTCATACTGGGGGGAGCAGATTGCACTGGAAACCATCTGTACTCAGTTGGGCCTTACGGAAGTGTAAACAAGGTGCCTTATCTCACAATGGGTATGTGAAAAATTCTAAATATAATTTAATTTTTTTGTGTCAAAAATGCTTTTTTTTGTATGAAGAGCACTCATTTTATCTTCTCATAGAGACTAATCTCTTTTTTACTTTAGTCATTAGTCTGATTTATATCAGTGTGTGTTTTAGATTGTATTTCATAGTTTAGCTCTTTTATATATTCATAATGGTTTCACATTGCTGAATTTATTAATGTATTTCATGGACAAGCTTCCCCAAACCACTTGAGATCAAAATTTAGTTATGTTGTGGTTTTTCTCATAAAATGGCAAAATACATTTTAGTTTGCTGTCATTAGTTTTATCTTAACTTCATCCAGACTTTCTTTACCTGACTGTGTTTGATATCTGTGCAGGATCTGGTGATCTGGCAGCTCTCGGGATTCTAGAGGATGGATTCAGACCTGACCTGGAGGTATGCCACCTAGATAGCTGGTCGCACACTTTGCCACACTCACTGTTACTTAGTTTACTAAAAACAACTTTCTTTAAAGCACCTGTAATCTGGGAAGAGCAAAGTAATATGAAAAAGGGGCCAAAATAGCCAAGGCCTCCCTGATAATTCTGAAAGTGAAAAACTTGAAAGAGCCTTTTGTTATTGAGAGTTATTACAAATAGCTTTAAAAATTAATTTATTTATTTCCTTTCTATGTCTGTTTCCTCCTTTTTCCATACCAACTGTGATATAATCTTCACGCTCTCAGTTGGAGAAGGCAAAGGAGCTTGTGCGTCTTGCCATCCATGCTGGGATCATGAGTGACCTCGGCTCAGGCAACAACGTCGACATCTGTGTCATCACCAAAGAAGGAGCAGACTACATCAGACCCTATCAGGAGTCAGAGTACAAAGATGACAGGTAGGTTCAGCTCATTAACACATTTTATTTTGAACTTCTTTAATACCTTTTTCTGATTTACTGTGAAAGTTTAACATCAATTTAATCTATTTCTATATTTGTCTGTCTGTGTCTGTCTCAGGAAAATGAAATACAGATATCGTCCTGGAACAACACCAGTCCTGACAGAGAAAATCGTCCCCTTAAAACTGGAGGTTGTGCAGGAGACGGTGCAGCAGATGGATACAGCCTGATCGTCTCTGCTCTATCACATGACTATTGCACCATAGTGCAGCACAAATCTTTATTTCATCGCATTTTTTATACAACACTTTCAGTACAATTAACAAACATCCAAGACAACCTAATAACACTTAAATAAAGGTTGAATCTGTTGTGATTTATTATTTCAGAAACTGCAGTATCACAGTCAGCATGAAGATTGCTGTTGGTCCAGAATTAGAAAATTTGACATGTTATCACAATATGGAATAATAATGGAAATAAATCTGGGGATAAATTCAATTTGAGTCCTGTGATCAATACTCTTCATGTTGTGTAAATTTCCACTTCATACTGTGTTTTGACTCGACTGTCTTTGGGATTTTAACCCTCCAACACGAGCCCTGAAGCCTTGACAAAACTGAACCAGACATCTTAATAAAACTCCTAATAAAACTCAGTGAAATGGTCATAAAGGTCATAAAATACAGACGTAAATTATACAATAATTTCACCTGTTGCGGTTACACCAAACCTGGCTGTGGTAAATCCGCTTAGAGACTGATGACGACAGAACTATGAGGGCCTCCTATTGGCTGATGCGGATTTAGAACACGTTTTTATTTATACTGTTTATTACAGAGTTTTAGGTCTTGGATATTTGTGTTCAATGTATAATTTTAAATATATATGCATTTTTAAAAAGGCAAGGTTTGCACTACATGTAGGCTACATGGGTTTGTTTTCTCCGACTGATGTTGAAGTGTAATCCTGACTGGACTACACAAAACTAGTTTCCAAACCCTTTCACTTTCGAATTCTTTGTAACGTACAAGGAAATGATCTTGGACGGATTGTCACTAACCTTCGTTATTTTGGAAAACTAAACTTGTAAAATACAGATTATACTTAAAGTAGAGGTGTTATACAAGTAGCCTATGATACAGAATGGCTCTTTTTGATGTAAGCGGGTTTAAGTCTTATTCTGAACTTCGACGACAGATTCTTCCGACCGGACAGACGCATCTCATCGACCGAACCAACCACTACAATTTCGGGGCCCAGACTCAAGAGTTTGCTGTACCTTCGGGTGTAGATGTGAGTATCCTTCAGCAGGTTTTCATAATAAATAAATACACTAAATCCTATCCGGTAAAGTTGCTGAAAGCTGAGGCATCACGCGGTGTTTGGTGCCCTTTTACGCGTCTGTGGTTTTCAGCGTTAAATGCGTTTTGCTTCTTTTTTCTCATACATGCATTTTCCTAACTTTGTACAAGCTATCGTCAAACAGTGTGGAGTCATATTATATGCTTTACTCCCGCTTTATCTTGATCAGAAACTCTTAAAACGCTGTTGTAGCATCGTGCGTAATGCTGAGTCGCTTTCTGTGGTGTCATTCTAGCCCTCAGGGTTCCTGAAGTCCTGCAGCCGTGATGGAGGGGTGTGCATTGAATTGAACCACGGTACGACCACTTTGGCCTTCAAGTTCAGACATGGAGTCATCGTAGCTGTGGACTCAAGGGCCTCAGCTGGACGTTATCTTGGTAAAATGTTTAACACCTCTTCTCCCCACAATTAAGTGATTAGAAAAGGTATGACTGCAATAAGTCAGTGAAAGGTGCCATACTACTACTACTACTCTACTACTACATACTACTTTAAATATGTAGTATATAATATACAAAGCAAGACCCTAAACTCTGAAACAATAAATAAGTTAAAGAGGAGTGCTAGACTAACAAATGTGGTAACCATGGTCAGAAAACACTTAATATGCCAATAAGTGCCTCTGCACTGAGCCTTACAGGCGACACTAGGGGAGGAGGAATGGGGAAGGTATGGGACAAAAAAGAAAAAAAAAGAAAGTCTTTACCCAAAGGCAGAAACATATAATACCGATTATCTTCATCAAACTGCGATGCAGCAGAATGATAACTTTAATTCTCTACTTGTTTTTTTTCTGTTGTAGCCCATAGTTAATTAATTAATCGGTCAATGTTCTTACCTTAATGCAGCAGCATCCTTCGCGGGGTCTTTGTGTCATATTTCTCAACTATTTCCTCCGGTTTAATCCTCTTCATACTTGTCCTCACACACTTGCACACACAATTCCGTGTGTTTAATCATTTTTCCTTAATATTTCTCCAGGCACTGACCCCAAAAGTAAAGGCCTCTTGGTCCCAGAACATGGCATCATCTACCTGCATGAATACGTCTTGAAATATTCAGAGCTAAAAGCTCTCTTCTGTTTACCAAAGTTATTTCTGAGGTACTCTAGTAAAATCAGCAGCGCAGAACTGCGATCCTTTGTCCCCAAATCTGACGGGCAACAGGTGTCTGGAGGTAGGCCGGTGACTGGAGGGCTGTGGCCGGTGTCCGGGGGGAGGCAGCCGGCAGTGGCTGGAGGGTGGGGGCCAGAGCCGGGAACGCGGCAGCCGGTCGTGGAAGCATCGTGGTCGGCTTACGTGCTGCTCATAGTGTCCTCTTGCATGGGACTCTTGGATTCTTTAATTTTGACACTGTAAAAAATTCTAATGTCCGTTTTACCCGGTACGACATATTTCTTTTAATGTTGCTGGACTGTCGGTGTCTAGCATAGCTAGCGAGGCAGAGGCTAAGGTTAGCTTCAATGCTGCGTTTTAGCTACGTCGTGTGTACGTAATGACGCAGTTAACCAAGAAGAAAAAAAAATACAACATAAATAACAACTTTAAAAAGTGTTTTAATGTATTTCCCATCTCTTTCTAAAATAGTATTTAAAAAAATATGTTTTTTTTTGTTATATATTTTTTTTTTCTGTGACGATTTAGGGGAAGCTAAGCCTCCCATAGCCTAATTATAGCGCCCCCTATGGTTGTAGCTACGCCGTGTGTTCCTAATGACACAGGTAACCAATAAGAAAATTTGTTTAAAAATCAAGATAAATAATACCTTAAATTATTTAAAAATGCATTTTCCACCTCTTTCTAAAATAATTTATTTTTTAAAAGAACTATTTTATTTTTGTGATGATTTTATTTTATTATCTGTAATAATTTAGGGGAAGCTAAGCCTCCCTTAGCCTATTAATAGCGCCCCCTATGGTTGTAGCTACGCCGTGTGTACGTAATGACACAGGTAACCAATAAGAAAATTTAAAAAACATCAATATAAACAATACCTTCAAAATGTTTTAGTCTATTTCCCACCTCTTTCTAAAATAGTATTCGAAAAAACATTATTTTATCATTTTATTTTATTCTATTTTATCTAGCCTATTAATAGCGCGTCCTATGCTGGGCCTCTTCAGGTGTAATCATACCTCGACTTTGATCTTGGTCACTAAATGTCTCCTTTTCTCAAATATGTCACCTACAGCATCCAATGATGTCAACAAGGTCATAGAGATCAACCCCTACCTGCTGGGCACCATGTCAGGCAGTGCTGCAGACTGCCAGTACTGGGAGAGACTGCTGGCTAAAGAGTGCAGGTCTGTCACTGTGTTTTAAAAGCATGTCACTGTCATTTAAAGGGATATTCCAGCGTAAAATTAAGTTAGGGTCAAACACACCTTTACACTGAGTTAGACACCCCCTTGAGAGATGAATGTTGCCAACGGCTTGCTTCTCTAGTTATACCAACTTTAGTAACGACCACACGATAGCAATATACAGTGGTCTAGGGAGCCACGCGCACTCCTCAACCACTCTATAGCCACAAATAACTACCTAACTTTATCAACAGTACATATAGGGTCCCAGCCACAGCACTAGTCGCCAAAATCTTTTTAGCTTTGCCTGATTTCTTTATCAAAGAGACTAAAACACAACTCACCTACTCTCTTCCTGCAGCCGCTTGTTTGTAGGGAGAGCTCAGACAGGTCCATCACTGACAGCAGTGGGGTGATGCAGCTCAAGGAAGAACATTCATGATCTTTTCTCCATGGAAATGCAACCAGATCGAGACGCTTAGGCAGAAGAACTACCGCGTCTGCAGTGCAAAATGATTAATATGATGTTTATTACTTCAAGGAAATGATAAAGTAATGATCATCAAGTGTTCCTCCTTGAGCTGTGTCATCCCGATGTTGTTGGTCATGGACTTGTCAAGGTCTCCCTACAAACAAGCAGCTGCTGGAAGAGAGTAGGTGAGTTGTGTTTAGTCTCTTTGCTCAAGAAATCAGGCAAAGCAAATAAGACCCTAAATTAATTTAATGCTGGAATATCCCTTTAACTGGACTGCATGTGTATCTATATAATTGTTGATAAATAATATACTTAAAAAGAAACAACTTTTACACTGTATTTATAATTAAATGACACAAGAATTTCTGTGCTCACCTTGTTTAATTATGACTGTTTGGTCCAGGCTGTACAGACTGAGAAACAATCACAGGATCTCTGTGGCTGCTGCCTCCAAGCTGCTGTCCAACATGATGCTGGGCTACAGAGGCATGGGTCTCTCTATGGGAAGCATGATCTGTGGATGGGACAAAGAGGTGAGCTGTTCTCCAGTTGAGGCCTGAACATTTTTATCACTTGGTGTGAAGAAATGAAGTAATTTCAGAGCTTCTGCTTGTGTTTGCAAACTCTTGTTATTTCATCTAAGAGTCAAGGTTAAGCGCTGTTATTTCTTAAACAATACACTAAAAACATGGTATAAGGTCAGTTGCAATTTAATATTGCTACACATAAGTGGGAAGGTTCTGTTGTTGTTTTTTGTATCAGTTTGTAGGAATTTTGCTGCATATTCAAAACAATTTCTCTTCACCCATCACCATGACTGTGTTCTCTTCAGGGTCCTGGTCTGTACTACGTTGATGATAATGGGACCCGTCTGTCTGGACGTATGTTCTCTACCGGCTGTGGGAACAGCTATGCCTACGGTGTGGTGGACAGCGGTTACAGAGAAGACATGACAGTGGAGGAGGCGTATGAGCTGGGCCGACGGGGCATCGCTCACGCTACACACAGAGATGCTTACTCAGGAGGGGTGGTCAACAGTGAGTATACTCCAAGAATGTCCTCTGATTATGTCTGAGGTTTAGTACATACAGTAGGTGTACCTTGTGGCTTTTAGACACAAGTCATGATATATTGCTGATTTAAATGAACTTGCAAACATCCACCAAGTATCAAAACAACATAAAGAGAAGAAATCTCCACATCCATCCCCATGAAATAAAATTACACTATTACTGACAGTCACCTTTACAATCTGTGTGTGTGTGTGTGTGTAGTGTACCACATGCAAGAGGATGGCTGGATCAAGGTGTGTAAGGAGGACGTATCAGAGTTGATCCATCGCTACAGGAAGGGGATGTTCTGAGATCAACTTCTCCAGCAAGATCATAAATATCTGCAGTCTGTTCACGACCAAATTAAACATTTCTGTTCACAGTGACCCTTTTTTTAAATACTTGGTTTTTAAAATGGGTTAACATTGTTTGTGAGTTAAGTTTCATTTATCAACTTGTATCTGGTAAATGTCATCCATGACCAATCTGTTAAGACTGTTGTTGTTCACGCTGATATTGTTGCTCTCCACCCTTACATTGTTCAACTTGGTAATTTTTGGTTTGTGCTGACCAGACATCCCTAAACCATAAAGCTCCTAATAAAAACTGTAGTTCAACCTTCTGCTGTGTCCTGTATTAATTATTAACCTGAACTGATGTGTAATGTGGCTTTGGGACTCATCTGTCAGACTCTAAATCCATGAGAGTGAAAGAGTAAGTCAATGAAATCAGAAGGATTTTATTCTTCAAAATAAAGCAAGACATTAAAGAATTAGGAAAAAAAAATCACATGTATCCCAGATAAAGTCTGACCTTGGTCATTCTGTATTCACTTCTGCTGGTCCGTCTTTGTATTTTAACAACCAAAATTAACATTTTACACGTTTTTATATTTTTTATTTTTAACCAAATTTAAGAAAATTTTTTTTTAAAGGAACCCCGCTTTTTCTAATACTACATTTCTATCATCTATGAGCGTCAAAAATGTAAGCACAAATAAAGGATGGGTGACACTGTCTTTTTAAACTTGCATCAGACACAAATAAGCCCTGAACCTGTTTGGTAAGATCTGTCTTGGTCCAAAAGGTGGGTCACCGTGTTCTGCTACTTTATCATTAGAAAAAGCTAAAGAAACACTGTCAGGTCAATCAATGTAAACTTTAGTTTTTGTATTTTACGGATGCTTTTCTTAAAATACATGTAACGGTTTAAAATAACCAGGATATTGGTGATGCCGCATAAAATATTTATTTTTTACATAGCTTACTGCTTTTAGAACAGTTGTGAGAGAGAACTTGGTCCCCCTTCTACCCATAAAAGGGTTTGATGTCCATAAGCAAAATCAGGTTATTCTGAGTTTTCTAAAAAGGACAAAAAAAAAAAAAAAGAAGTTCATTTCCTGTTTGTTTCTGTCCTTCGATCACACACACTTCGCAGTTAGGTAAGAACATGGTCATTTTTTTCACATATTCTCACCATTTGTTCACTAAACCACTGTGGCATAGTCGGTGAAATGATCTATAAAAAATATTTTGAACCTAAAATATTTCCTGAACTATATCAAATATGATCCACAGCTGTAAAATAATTGACTCAGAGGGTCACAGACCTACTTAATATATTTACTGCTGCGTTGTCATTTGTTGCTAGGCAGATTTCAGTCTGACAGGTTTGCCAGGGGAAAACCAGTTCACCACGTGGTAGGAGGAATGACTCACCAAACTCCGACAGTGACACCTTAGTGCTTCATTTTACAACCTTCTACTACACAACTCTAAAACTTTTAAAAGGAAAAAATAAATAAAACGGTCTCAGATAAAATCAGGACCACTTTCTCATTTAAGTAGGAGGTCCAGTTGCCAGACCTACATTCAACCAGTCTCTAAATATCAAATCATTAAAAATAAGACAGACGTTTGGGTTTTTTAGGGGTTTTTATTAAGACTTTAAAGGAAAGTACAAAAGTAATCACAAAGCAAAAGCAACTTCATTTCTAATTTTAACTTCACCCAAAACAAGAAATTATTCAGAGAACTGATCGTCACTATCTTCTTTAACAGTAGGATCAAATATTTACAACAAGCAACTTTCAGAGATTTAACATCCAACAACTACTTCAAGTCTGACATATAAAAGATGGTGTTTCAGAAATTAGACTTTCATTGAGTTGAACTTTGATGCCATCATGCACAGGAAGCCTTTAAACTTAACTAAAATCAGACACATGAAAGAAAACATAATTATAATAAACACTTTAAAACTTATAAATCATAATTTTCAGGGATGTTTTTGGAGCCTTTACAGCATTTTTTTTGTTTTACATGAATATTTACACAACTGGAAACAGAGTCCTAATTAAGTGCAAATGTGTTGAAACTAAATTCAGATTAATTTCAGGATTTAATGGCAGATTAGGGAGCCAAATTCAAAATGATTGATCAGCTGATTTGATAAAAGTGAACAAACAAAACCAGAGCACAAACAAACGTCTTTCTTTATATAATCATCAGTAAGATCTCTGCTGGTTGGCAGACTTCTGTATTTTAAAGCTGTATTTCTCCAGACTGCTGCTAAACACCATGAGTACTTAACAGAAAATGTGAAAGCATGTTAATGTTCATAAAACCAAAACTGATTTAAGTGCAAAGCTCCCAACACCAGAAGGATCAAACTGTTACTGTGGTTGATGAGTTTAAGATGAACACAGAAATCTTTATCACGGATGAACAAAAATCAGTGTGACGCTTTCACTGATGAAGATTGTGTTTAACTTCTTTACAATTGAGAGAAAAAAAAATCATCTTCATAGAATATTTTTATAATTTCAGCAGGACTTTCATCAAAAGCTAAATACACAACCTGATGTCCTAATTTATGTTTGAGAAGATGCGCTGTAGATTATTGTTATTCATTAGTCAACTCATTTAAAACTTATTTTTTTGTATTTTCTCAATAAGCATCACAAATATGATTCCAGCCCTGATCACTTTATGTTGTGTATGAAGAAAAAAAAAACAATTGTTTCCCAGGAAAATGTGTTGGATCTCCTCCTTGTTAGGCAGGGAAATATGTCCACCAACCTTAAAAAAGCAGAAGGGACAAAACTTTAAAGACAAAATCATTTCTGATATTTTTTTCAAAGGATATGTCAATAAAAAAGGTATTAATGATGGATTCATGTCTAAAGTCCTCAGAAAGTTTTGTTTTCACACAGCTTAAGGGTGACAACAGGTAACAAAACCAGGCTCATCAAATGTGACTCACTGGGTTCAGGGTGGTGTGTTTGTCTTTTAGGCGCTTGGGTTTGGAAGCATTTTCTCTTGCTCCACAGGGGCAGTATAGACTGCTGTAAGATCAGAAAGCAACACGTTAGCAATTAAACCATCATTTAAAAATTTAAGTCAAATTAAGGATAAAAACAAACTTTACTTACGAGATGGAGGACGTTTGGCTGGAAAAGAAACAAAACAAACAATGAACAAATTTGAAATCCTCCACCTGTCACATCCTGAATCTCATCCTGGATTCTGAAAATGTTATCTTTTTCTACTTTTGCCACGAGGACACAAACGAGGACGGGATGAAAAAGACAAACTGAGACTGTCTCTGCTTTGACCTCTCACCATTTTGCTTCTTCTTGTAGAAGTAGACCCCTCCACAGATGATGGTGGAGAGAAGAATCAACACAGCAACAACGATGATGATCGTGTACAAGAGATTCCCTGTGAAGCAGAAAACAACAAAGTGAAGTCAAACTCTGAACAGATGAAGTTGATTAAAGAGAACATTTGTTGTTTGTTTCCAGTCTCACCAGAGTTTGTCCTGATCTTAGTCTTGTCCAGGTTGGTGATGATGTCCTCCTGACCAGCCAGCTGAAACACACACTCATACTTCCCCCAGTCATCAGACGGGACTTTCAGGTCAGCACTCATCTGGAAGGATCCGTCAGGGTTGGGGAGGGTCTCTCCGAGGTCCACCTCCTCATGAAGCTCCTCTCCATCTTTCCTCCAGAGCATCATGGCTCTGTTGGGGTAGAAACCTGAAGCGTGGCAGGTGACCGGAGAGGACGGAGACTTCTGGAGGAGAGACACTGAGGGGAGGTCTGGAGGACAAACAGAGAGAAAGTTTACAGTTTCTCTACGACTTTGAATTACTGTTTATTAATAATCCTGTTTAATCTCACTTTTGCAACAGACAAAAGGGCAGAGGAGAAAAGACAGAAAATTGAAGAGGGTTAAGAGATTAAAACAGAGCAGAGAGAAATTAAATCAGAAAATAAAGAAAAACACTGAGAATGAGAAAGATGCAGAAAATAGAAAAATAAAGCAAAAATGATAAAGCGAAGCACAAAACAAAGATGTTCATCACTCAGTGTAATATGACAGTTAAAAAAGAAGTTTATGTTCATTGTCAGGATAAAGTTACATCAGGTCTGTGATCTTACCTGTTCTCATCAGAGAGCTCCTTCCATACTCCACATACTTTTTCAGCCATTCAGGACAAATTTTGGTGAGATAGTTCATGTCTTGAGCTAAATTTGCTTTGTTCACATCCCACTTCTGTTTGGTGATGACAGCCTGAGGTGTAGGAGCAATCCAAGTTTTTGTTTTAAAGTCAAATGCTACAAAGTCTTCTCCATCGTAACCATACTGAAAGAAACCACTGTTCACTTCATTAGTCTCATCATCCCACTCACAGCCGTACATCCGCTGGACAATGTGAACACCTGAGAGACAAAGAGAGGAGGAAGAGTTCAGTGAGATGGAGTGAGATCACAACTCAATCATACATCATCAGCTGACTGATACACACACACGCACGCACGAACGCGCACACACACACACACACACACACACACACACACACACACACACACACACACACACACACACACTGAAGGAGAGTGTGAGTCCAGGATCAGTGTGTGGACTCCTCCTCCTCCTCCTCTTCCTCCTCCTCCTCCTCCTCCTCCTCCTCCTCCTCCTCCTCCTCACAGTGTTCATCAGTGTGTTACTACAGCTGCTCACAATCAGACAGAGACCACCAGGACCATCATGGAGACTGGGAGGCAGTCTGGGAGTCCTGATTGGTCCAAACATGTGTCAATCATTCTATATAACCTGAGAGCTGTTTACACCTGCAGATGTTTGTGTGATGATGATGATGATGATGATGATGAAGCCTGAGAGGAGGAACCAACCCTGAGGTCAGAACAGAGGAGATAATCTCATCTAATCTGTAGTTTTACTGAGTATTAAGATCTGAGATTGAAGATTATTTTCATTCTCCTGTTATTTTGACATTTACAGATTAATCATTTACTTCTTTTTAAAAATGTGAACAAAGACTAAGATGAGCTTTTCAAACTGCTTCATAACAACACTGAACAATATTTACTTTACAGATAAAAACAGCTGACTGTCAGATTTAATAATCCTGAGTTAGAAAATCATTTAAATTTAGGATTAAAAACAGAAACGGTTACTCAACGATCAAAATCTCTGTCCATTAATTTACTGAGATTAACTAATTATTTACAGAGTGAATTTTTCTGGATTATAAACTGAACTACAGCAAACAAACTCTGAGGTCAACTCCAGTTAATCTCATGTAATCTACAGTTCTGTAATCCATCTATGTTCTGAGGTGAACTCTGTATATCAGTCCAGTAGAGTTCACCTGATCAAATATGTTTCTAACAACATATTTAGAGCTCAGACTGTGAATTTCTGTCATTTCTGATGATATCATGTCTGTTTATAAATGAACTGATACTCGGTTTAACTCGCTAAATAACAATAAAAAAACTAATCTGTCACAATTTCTCAAACAGCTGAGGTCAAATAACACAAACATTCATTTACACTCTTTATTCTGACAAAGACACACTCAAGTCAAGATAATCTAATCTAATCTGTAGTTTCTTTTATAGATTATGAACACAGTGTTGTCAGTACAGTCGAGTTTTACTGTTTCACTTTTTTAATCTCTGATCTGAATGTGATTTTTTTCTCACGTCGTCCCGTCAGCAGCTTTATTAAAACACGCTGCTCCTCCTCTCATGTTGGGACCCAGCACAAGCAGCCTGTGTCCCCTTAACGGTCCTGCTCCTCAGTTTGAGAAACCAGGCAGTAATGTTCCTCTATCAGCTGTGTGTTGTTGAGCTGCTGTGATCCACAGGTTTTCTACAAGAGAGTTAACGTGGAGGGACTCACTGTGGACGCTTCAGTGGACTTATTCTGATCTGATCTAGTGGAGGGAAAGTGTTGATCGTCTCTGTGGGTTATTATGGGATGGACAGAAACGCTGAATCAGCACAAAACAGCAGAGTCCACTTAGTCTGAGAGACACGGATGTTTCTGTTCAGACTGTTTCAGACCAGAAAGACTTCAGTGAGACTGTTTCAACTACATGGATAAAAACGCACTTCTGTACGTGTGTGTGTCTGTGTGTGTGTGTATCATCTGTTTACAGAACTAAAATATAATCAACATTTTATCATTGAAAAGTGAAACATGAACAAACCTCCAGTCTGGTTGAAGCGCTGTGTCAAAATTGGAAACCATGCGTCTTTGAAGCTCTGCTGGGAACCCAAAGAGATCTCAGTCTGCCTCTGCCAGTACTGAGGATCATATTCTGTGATTCTGCTCATCCAGTCCTGTTTAGGTACTTCCCTCTGGGTGTTACTGTCATAGTAATTTATTTGGAGATCATCAACCAACCCAACAGTCACAAACTCTGGGAAGCCTTGAACTCCAGAAGACGCCGTATAGAAATACTTCAGAGAGTGAGACCCTGTAAAGACAAAATAATTCAATCTTTCAGTTTTTATTTTACACTTTTCACATCACTGAACAAAGTTTGAATCCAGCACACCTGAGAAAGAATAACTACAGAGGATTCAACACGACATTATCATTTATCTGCAGTCAGTAAAAACTCTAATTAATGTACAGACAAAAAAATCAGTTATTGAACTCTTAATTCTGATTTTCCTGATGAATGTTTCTCAGAAAGTGTTTCTCTTTTCCTCACATAAATAATCAGAACAGTCAAATATTTCAATAACATGTCTTTAATGACAGATTTGTACCAACGACTGTAGCTCTCTGTTTTGTTCTGATCATGTCAGCGTGAGATCAAACTCTGATCGTTCATGGAGGTTTTTTGTTCTTTATTGTGATTCATTAGAAGTTTATTCTCTCATTATCTGACTGTTGGAGGACAAAGTCAACACACTACTTTACTACTTTACTATATTTTCTCTATTGATATGGATGATTTCAGATATTGATCAGTTTGTTATTGCGGCATAATTCTAAACTCAGGCTGACAGACTGAACTCGTGACTGCCCTCCTGTGGATAAACTCTGTAATGGACACACTCTGTCTAAAGTTTCCTGTTATTTACCAGCAAACTAAAGTTCAGACACCAAAATATCTGCAATAAGAAAATATCAGCTGATACACAATTTTACAGACAAAGATAAATTATAAATGAACAAACCTACAAAACTATTTAACAAATAAATAACTATAAGGATCATTTTGGGATTTCAAGGATTTATTCCAATACTGTAAAATAAAAAATATAAGAGGTGATTTTTATATCTGGTTTGTGTAGGAAGTCACTGATAATGTGTAAGTTTCTATCGGCTTATATGCAAAATTTTGGTGAAATTTAACGACTAAAAGACTGTGGAGATTTAGTTGTTAAAATGAATTAACAAATTTTAAACTGGTATTATAAAAAATAGTCATGCCTAATAAATTCAGTCAATTATGATTTACAGTATTTAACATCTTGAAGACATAAATCAAGAGCTCTTTTTATGGTTTAGGATCAGAAAATCTTTGTTTAAACGCATTTATTTCTATTTTCTGTATTTCTCTGTCTATGGTTTCTGCTGCTTTTCGACGTTAATTGTCCTTTAATGAATAAATTTATGACTTTTCCTGATATGGAGTCTTTACTTTTTATTGGACACAAGATAATTGAACTTTTTAAAGCCTTTCTCAGAGATTGACGTCTTTTTGTGACTCCATGAACAGACAGATTTACTGACCTGAAACTAAACAGTCTACTCACAGGCAGAAAAATATAAATACATATAAATATATTTACTTTTTAACATCTCTATAACGAACATTTGTAAATTTACATCAACTGAACCTTAAATTCATATCTACATTTTCTGAACACATTACTCATTTTTCTCTTTACAATAAAACATCTTAAATAAATCTGAACTCACTCGCTGTCGTGTCAGGGAGGATAAATCCCAGGAGCGTCAGGATGATCAGAGTCTTCATTGTGATCTGCGGAGTCTTAAACTTCGACAAAAATCAAACTTTTGTCAGAGACGAGGACGAGTCCTGCTTCCAGCTTCAGCTCCAAGAGAGAAATGGAGAAAGGAGAGAAAGAGCGACGACTTCAATTTCTGTCTCGACCAATCAGAATTCAGCCTGAGCCTGTTGCTGGGTAACTTTGACCTACAGAGGTTTTGAATGAAAGTGAAAGTTAAAAACAGCTCGTTGGTGATCATGACAAAGCACGGGGAGACATGTTAGACTGAACTCTGAATGTTCCTCTTCCTAATAAACTAAAATTTAACTATAACTAATTTAACGATAAAAAAAATCCTCAATATTTTCTTTGGCCAGTTTTTTACTTTACAGAGTGAGTGTGTTTAAGGTGGTCTCTAGAGGGTCAAAACAACACTAGTTTGTTATAATCTATTTAATATGTGCACATTCATAAAACACTCTTGTTAATTCAGAAAGAGAACATGTTATATCTTTGTCATTTTTATATTTAATGTCTGTGTTTTAAAAGCCAATCCACAAATCAGGCCTGATGTAAAGGTCACTCAAACGGTTCAAAGAGAATCAGAGCAGGTCAGCTCGGTCAGTATATGTGACACCTTTGCTGATGTTTCTCTTTTTGGCTTCGGTGCTGAGCAAACTGATTTCCTTTCACTGACGGTTTTCAAAAAGAAACTTGTTTAAATGAAGAAAACGTTGCCAAGTGTTTATTTATTTCTGACTAAATAAGAAGTGACCTTCACTTTTAAAATATCAACCTAATTGTGGGAGTGATTCCTCGTAATGGAAATAAAATGGTAATAAAAGCAGTTATAAAAACAGACTCTTCACTTCATTTGTTACAGCATTGAACATTTTCTACATAAATTTATAGTCTGATGTTTTTCTGTTCATGCTTTGTAAATACTGGGGCAGAAAATTTGAGGTTTGATTACCAATGGCCAACTACCGTATGTTAGAATCAAGTATTGTTAAATGAAGACTTGTGTGTCAGTTTGTGTTAACTTTACTGTCAAGTTGGTCATATCACAGCGCCCAGAGGACAACGTACATGTGTGTGTCGTGGAAATGCTGAATAGAAACTAAACATTAGCCTCTCAGAACAACTGTGTCAGAGAAGATCTTCAGCAGTGTTACATGCTGTTTTTAAATGATACACTAAAATGCTGAAATAACTTTTAACTCTCTTTATTTCTGAAAATAAACGTTCAACCTCCAGGGGTGAGAGATGATTTTCCCTCCTCTGAGATGTCCACGTGAATCACTTGTAGATGTCTCATGACTTTTAAAAGTCTGCTTACAAATTGCTTCATTATCCCAGTTAAACTCCTGTCTACATGAGCTGCTGATAGACTAGTTGTTGAAGCTCCTGAAGTATTGAGGCTAAAGTCCTCTTCGCAGTGGTCACTAAACTGAGAGTTTATGTGTTTTGCTTTTGAAGGCAGTGAAATCCTCATTTAATGAGTCTGTCCTGACTTTTTAAAAGGTTATCACTGAAAAGAAAACTTTAGTGCGGAGCTCTGGTTATGAAACAGACTAAAACTAATCCTGGTGTCTGTTTATGATGTACTTGAACAAACTGGACCATCAGTAATAAATCATTTTAAGTTGTTATTTTGAATGTGTGAAACCACCGGCAGGGGGTTAGTGTCTTTTTAACTTTACACTTTTACTGGAAAAGATGGTCGTTATGTCATATTTTTGATAATTAAATAATTAAGAGTGAGATACTTTTTTAAAAACAGTACATATTCATGTAGAGGACAAAAAGAAAAGATAAGAGGTTCCATGTTGTCAGCAGAGGGCGCCAAATTCCCACAGGAGTTTTAACTTGTTAACCCTAAATTCTGTTTTACCTGCTTAAATGAAGGTTTCATATGGTCTCCATTCACTTCAAACCAGATTTTTTTTGTTTTAGGAGGGAAAATTATAAAGTTCAGAAATTTTCCTCACAGCTAAAATGTGTCAAAGGAGTTAAGTGAAAAAAGACGTTTCCTGACTTAATATCTCAGTGGGCTCAGAGCTGTTTCCATAGTTGGCTGAAAAACAATGCAAAGAAAATAATTTTACTTCCCACATCGGTCACAAAGTTAGAATATTTTTACTTCTTCTCCTTCAGCCTCTAAATTAACATCAGAACTTTAATCTAATTTCAGAAACTAACCTACTGTTCTTGTTTTGTACCCCCACTAATGGCCCGTCTGGACAGCTTTGTGGTGGAACTGGACATGTTACTTTCAGACATTACTGATGATGGCACACTTCCACATTGGGTGACATGAACATTCACACTGAAAATAACAACAGGAAGTCAATGTCATGTCACTGCTGCCCTCCATCGGTCTCAAACAGGTCACCTCTCACACACAAAGCAGTCAAGAGTTGTGATGTTATCTCCACTCAGCAAATGTGACCGGCACCTCATTTCCCTGTCAGATTATTTCTTCATTCGATTCACCGTTGCCTTACTGCACCTTCATCAAGCTGCTCCACAAGTGACTCCATACAGCTGAAACATTTGGTCTCTTGGACCAACCCAGTCCAAGTCTTTTGGTCCTACCTCACAGGGAGATCTTTTGGGGTATTAGGGAGAAGAAAAGTGTCCAAACCACATTGCTTATCAACAGCGGTGCCTCAAGGGTCAGTGCTTGACCTCCTTTTCTCAATTTCACTCTCTAGGTGGTGTAATTACCTGCTCTTATATCACTGCAATGGGGATGATATGCCAAACGGATCTCATCATGCCTCAGTGATATTTCTAAATGAGGCCAAGCCTATGCTAAAAGCCACTGAGGTGCTGCGACCCAGATTAAGTAATTGACAAATGTAAAAAGTTGTGTTTGATGAATGAAAGTCCTTTTTAAATTGCTTTGCTGAACAAACCCTGTGTTTATTAAACTTATCCAAGCAACAAAAACGGTACAAAAGACAACAAAAACTATGTTTCACACTCAGTCCCTGCAGCAACATTTCTGCAGTCAAAAAACTGTTTCCCCCTCTGGGTGGAGCACCTACCCAGACATTAAAGTTACAACCTTATATAGAAAATACCACCTCCCATGTAAACAGTAATACCACAATTTAATTTCTACAATATCTGCTCCTACAGCCACCTCCAGCTCGACCTGTCCAACACAGAGCTTCTCGTCCTTCCAGCGAGTCCTTTTGTGCAATCATATCCAGCTTGGATTAAAAGAACCCATGTCCACTCGGTCTGCCCCGAATCTGGATGTTGCTGACCTGCTAAAATTAAAGTTTCCTTGTTTGACTTGGTTATGCTCATTTTCTTTCTATAACATCAGAAGGATCAGATCATAAACATCATCCTTGAATGCTCAGTCAAACCTCTGCAGATAATCCCAAATGCAGCATGCAGATTATCTTGTTTGTTAACCAACCCAAAACAACACATGTAACTCCATTATTCATCTCTCTACTGGTTCCCAGTTGTAGCTTGTATCAATTTAAAAAAAAACTGCTTCTGAGTCGGAAAACAACAACAAATCAGCTTCTGCCAACCTGGAAACCCTCAGCCAGGTCTACACTCCCTCTCCCTCACCTAAAACGGAGCACATAAAGGCTAATAGAGGCTAACTCAGTGACAGTTCATTTGTAAATGACATGAAGTAGCTCTGATGGGTTCTGTGTCCATGCAAAACAGATGTAGGAGCACAATTTATCCAGCAGATGTCACTCTTGGCCTGAGTAGAAACTCACTGAGGTTTCAGGTGTTGCAAGACAGAGAGAGCACATGAGGGAGAGTGTGGTGAGAGGAGACATTTTTTCACGTTTCGGATCACTGCATCAAGACAATCATAGTTTTGTCTCTAGCTAGTGTATCTGCATTTATTTCAAGATGTTGTGTATCCCTGCAAACCAACAGAATGAGTGTAAACAGAACTGTCATTATGGCAGCAGGCGGCGCATGGATAGGGTACACAAGTTAGCACACTTGGAGCTTTATCGGCTAACTTAAACATACAGTCACATAGACATTCATCCCTCCACTTACTTACCGGCCGTCCATTTATTCACGCCATCATGCTAGCTCAGGTTTCCCAATGAGAAACAGAGCACGTGATTTCCGGGTGTAAAATAGGTGGGTATGGAGGGTCAAAGTGGTCACATGATGCAAGAAAAATTAATTCCCTTGTTGTTGTTTGCCATGAATATCTAATTATTAAAGCTCCATTGATATGAGTAAAAACCCAGTAAAATGGTAAAAACAGAAGGTTAAAAGGGTTTAAATGTGAAAAAATTAGTTTTTTCCAAACTTATATAATTAATAACGCCCACTGGGAGGAGCTAGGGGGGTTAAAAAGAAGGCGTTCTGAGTCTTTCTAAGGCTACGTTCACACTGCAGGTTATGATGCACAATTTGGATTTTTTGTTGACTCCGATCTTTTTGTGCGGTCGTTCACATTACAACAACAAATGCAGGATCTAATGTGAACGGAATGCGTCCGTGAAGTGACCCGCATGCACACAAAGCACAAATTGCTTTCCGCGCCGGTTTGTGTCGTTGAAAAATGGTGACGTTTGTCGCATATTGATGACGTATAGGTCGGATGAATGCGACTTGAGCGTCCACACTGCAGTCACATCGGATACATATCTGTTTTATATCCACATACAAAAGAGGCCCGGGTCGGATTTGAAAAAATCAGAATTGCACTGTTCACACTTACATGAAAAAATCAGATATGTGTCACATATGGTAAAAAAAATCTGAATTGACCTGCAGTGTGAACATAGCCTTAGAGTCTGGGGTTTGTTGCATGAATATTAACTGACTTTTGTATTGCTGCTGTTTTTTTCCCCCCTGAAGTGAGAATCTTGAGTGAAAGTGGAACTCTTGCTTTGTTGGCGTTTTTTTCTTTTTTGCCTTGAGCATTTTATAAATAGTAATTTACCATTTTTTGCACATTTGTTGATATTTTTGCACTGCACCTTGGAATGCCGGCTGTAATAAATATAACCTTCACCGTATTTTTCTGACTACGCCTGTGTTTTCCACTATATTTTGATTGTTTGTGCGAGAACCCCGTGACAGGGGGCTTTGCGCATATTCAGTAAAATACTCTGGGTGAGGCTGCACATGTGAAAATGTCACTTTTTTTCCTTTTTTTTTCCTTCTTTTTAATTGATATCAGTGAGCAGCGCTGATGACGCTGTTGCGATTTCAGTATCATGGCTTAGCAACATGGACAGCTCAATCTGAGGACATATAATAATTACCTTTGTGCTTTAGTAACAGTAAAACTGGTACACAGTTGGTTTCCCACCCTAGGCACTGTCATCAGAACGAAATATCAGTCCAAACAATAAAATCCACCATCCCCCTGATTGTTTTCACAACTCAACTATTGATTAACCCAATAAGAAAAAATGCAGGCTTGGCTTGAGTGTTTCTTTTTTTTTTGTGTGGAGGTGAGTCTCTAAATATGAAATCACAAAAAAGGACAGGTATTTGGATTTTTGGTGTTTTATTGAAAAGGTATTCAAAAGGAAAGTACAAAAGTATTCACACAACAACTTTTACTCAACCAAAGTTTTCTAAACATCACTATCTTCTCTAACAGGAGTAGTAGTTTTCTGAAACATTTGGAAATTGAGGCCTGATTAAAGTGCAAATGTGTTGAAACTGAATTCAGATTAATTTCAAGATTAGTCCACACTGTGAACTAGTTTCAAACCACTTTCCCATTAGAGGAGAGGTCTGAGCAGTGTGTCCATCGATAAAGTAAAAAGAACATCTTGATTGATTTTTGATGGCAGTTTAAGGAGCCAAATTCAAAATGATTGATCAGCTGATTTGCTGAAAGTTGGTTGGCAGACTTAATGTTGTATTTCTCCAGACTGCTCGACCCTATGAGTACTTATCAAAAGATGTGAAGGCATGTTAATGTTCATAAAACCAAAACTGATTTAAGCGCAAAGCTCCCAACACCAGAAGTATCAAACTGTTACTGTGGTCGATGAGTTTAAGATGAACACAGAAATCTTTATCATGGATAAACAAAAAACAGTGTGATGCTTTCATGGATGAAGATTGTATTTAACTTCTTTCCAGGCGAGAAATTGTGTGTCGGATCTGCTCCTTGTGTGGTGTGTTTGTCTTTTAGGCGTTTGGGTTTGGAAGCAGTTTCTCCCTCTCCACACCGGAGTTGTTGACTGCTGTAAGATCAGAAAGCAACACGTTAGCAATTAAACCATCATTTAAGGCTTTTAGGTCAAACTAAGGATGAAACAATCTCTACTTACGAGATGGAGGAAGTTTGGCTGGAATAAAAACAAGAAAACAATTAATGAACCCATTTGAAATCCTTTGCCTGTCACCTGTTTTTCTGCCTTTGCCATGAGGACACAAACGAGAACGAGAATAAAGGAGACCAATTGAGACTGAATCTGCTTTGACCTCTCACCATTTAGCCTCTTGTAAAGGTAGACTCCTGCACAGACGATGGTGGACAGAAGAATCAACACAGCAAGAACAATGGGGATCTTGTACAAGGGTTTCACTGTGGAGCAGAAAACAACAAAATGAAGTCAAACTCTGAACAGATGAAGTTGATTAAAGAGAATGTTTGATTCCAGTCTCACCGCGGTTTGTCCTGATCTTAGTCTTGTCCAGTTTGGTGATGATGTCCTTCTGACCAGCCAGCTGAAACACACACTCATACTTCCCCCAGTCATCAGACGGGACTTTCAGGTCAGCACTCATCTGGAAGGATCCGTCGTTGTTGGGAAGGGTCTCTCCAAGGTCCACGTCCTCATGAAGCTCCTCTCCATCTTTCCTCCAGAACATCATGGCTCTGTCGGGGTAGAAACCTGAAGCGTGGCAGGTAACCGGAGAAGACGGAGACTTCTGGAGGAGAGACACTGAAGGGAGGTCTAGGGGACAAACAGAGACAGTTTACAGTTTCTCTACGACTTTGAATAAAATAAATAAGAACTTTATTATCCCTGAGGGGAAATTCAATTACTTTTCATTGAAATTACTGTTAGATCTAAATTTTTTCAATATCTTGTAAAAGCCTTTACAGCTGCTTAAGTGTCTTTCCCACTCAATACCTTCTCACTTTTTCTGCTGTCATCACTTAGGGCAGTTATTGGTTAATCAGCCATTCACAAGTGTCTTCTTTATCCAATTGCATGATAGCACACCCTCACAGTCAGCTTTTTTACATAGCAAGTGTCAGACAGACTCAAACGTCGACCCGGTTAGTGCCGACATTTTTGGATCACAATCCACCCCACAAGCAATCAGTGTCAGTGTCAGCTACCAGTCAGGAAGAAACAGAACCAGATATACTGGAAATGTCAAGAGCTCATGGCATCAACCCAGCTCCAGCTTCAAGCATTTTCATCTGCCATGATTTTTGACACCCTAGACTGCGGCAGTGACTCTCTAACGCACCTGACAGAAATGCACCACAAACTCAGGGATCCACCTTCTGGCATTTTATAAGATTAGGAGTTTGAAGAATTCAAGCATTAAACCTGGTTACCCTCGATCCAAGTGAAGCAAGCTGCCTTTGGTAAATTAAATATAAATCAATCAATACGTTTCATTGCCGTCCTTACTCTCTTGCCTTATATCACACAAGCAGGACATCTCAATGCTTAAGATGTCTGGCTTCACATCATGTTTTCAGAGTAAAGGCATCTCAGCTTCAAAAGCCACATCAGACTCATATGAAAGTTCTCCATATATAAATATCCACCTTGATTGTTGATGGATGCTGTGTTTGCTTTCACCTTGTTTAATTGTTCTGTTTTTACCTGTGAAGCAGCCAAAAGCCTTCAGGCTGTGCATCATTCTTTAGAGCAAACGCATCACACCCTATGGCCATCAGGCTTTGCATCATTCCAAACACATCACACCCCAACGCCATTAGGCTATGCATTATTCCGAACCATCACACCCAACTGCTGTTGGGCTATGCATCATTCCGAACCATCACATCCCAACGCCATTTGGCTAGGCATCATTCCGAACCATCCCACCTCAACGCCATCAGGCTGTACATTATTTCAAACCATCATACCCCAACGCCATCGTGCAATGCATCATTCCAAACCATCCCACTTCAATGCCATCAGGCTTTGCATCATTCCAAACCTTCATACCCCAGTGCTATTGGGCTAAGCATCATTCCAAACTATCACATCCCATCGCCATTGGGTTTTGCATCATTCCAAACTATCACATCCCATCGCCATTGGGTTTTGCATCATTCCAAACCTTCATACCCCAGTGCTATTGGGCTAAGCATCATTTCGAACCATCACATTCCAACACCATCAGGCTTTGCATCATTCCGAACCTTCACACCTTATTGCCGTCGTTCTATGCATCATTCCAATCGATCACACCCCATCCCCATCAGGCTATGCATCATTCCAAACCATCACACCCCAATGCCGCTGGCCTTTGCATCATTCCAAACCATCACACTAATGCAAGCTGTTTTAACATTTAATAGCTAGTTCAGCATGTCTTTAAGTAAATGCCTTCAGTCTGTACTGTAACAACAGAGCTGGGCCCCACTAAACCTTCAGGTATAGTGTCTTCTACTTTCTTGTCTGAATTCATTCACTTGGTAGAACGTGTTTCGACCACCGGTAAGCCAAGCCATTCCTCTACTGGTTTCTGCGGTAGTTTCCCGTCATCTTCATCATATTGATGAGGCGTTTGTTAACTCTTTTGAAATTTTCTTCTCCTGAATACTCTCTCTCTTAAAGTGTCCATCCTCCTCATATCTATAACGAAAGATCTCTGGTCTATCCTCTCCACTGCCAGCCTTTTGTGGAGTTTCACTCCTCTTGTATGTTGACATTGTAGGTACTTCAGGCTGTGAAGTTGACATGCCTTCATGACACTGGTCCCCTTTTTTTAGCTGTGAACTGTTGTCTCAGGATCAGACTTGGTATCAGGTGTAACAGGTGTAACAGGCTTTGACATTACTTTGTGCTTCACACCATTCCTGCTGTCAAGCACATCCTCTTTTGCCCTCACCTCTTTCAGCAGTTCATTAAAGGTGGGTGGATCTCGAAGTTTGTGTGCGGCATGCGGATGCGAAGGGCAATCATGTCCTGCTGCAATGCACCTTAAACAACTTGCACAATCTACACCGACTTTCCTGAATACACAGTGGAGAAGTTTATCCAACTTAAGCAGGTACTCAGACGGTTTCTCTCCTTCACTTTGATAAGTGTGTCTGAATTTCACAAGCAGGTCGAGGGGCATTCTCAGTTGTCCAAAAAGGAGTTTCCAAAGCTTGCATGTAGTCATATGAGGTTGCAGTAGGATTCTGTAATCTCAGAAATCTCACAATGTCTGCAGCCGGACCCTTTAGACTTTAAATGATTCTCTTTTTTTCATGAACATGCGTAGCCTTCTGTAGGGTTGAGTTTCAGCAGGTGCAGTGTTACACTCATCCACAAGAGAGCTAATGGCATTGATCAGAGTAGTGTTCATGTCAAGGGGTGAAGGGTTGAGTACGCCTTGAACATCAGTGATACTCTGTCCTTCGTGCCTCAGGAATGACATCTGTTTAGCCTGAAACTCTTTACTTTCTTTAGGAGTGGCGAACACGAGAACAAGCCAAGGCCCGCCCTCTCCTGGTGGTCCAACACAGTCTAGTAAAGTTTGCATGGTCAGGTTAGTATCTGTAACTCAGTTTTGACTACATATAGGAAAAACTGATTTAAATAAAACGTCACTGAAACCAACATTCAGCTCGTCACACACCTGAAATGACATTTGCAGATATCTGTAATTCAGTTTTGACAAGGTGAAATAAAAGTTAAATATATCTCAAATGTCCTTATGACTAGTGCTAATTATTATGAACAACATTGCTCTATTTAAGATATCCACAAATATGTATATGTGGGTTTGTTTCCTTATTTATGGAAGAAGAAAGAAGCAGTCATGGCATTAGTTATAAATCGAAAAAACGTTGAATCATCCATCTTCATCCATCTGGTCCCAGAAAGTCATCAGCCACCACCACCAGCTTCATGTCTGTGATCTTACCTGTTCTCATCAGAGAGCTCCTTCCAAACTCCAGGTATCTTTTCAGCCAGTCAGGACAAATTTTGGCAAAGTATAGCTTGTTCTTTGCAATGAGACCTTTGTCGTTATTCCACTGCTGTTCGGTGGGGACAGCCTGAGGTTTACAAGCAACATACGTCATTGTCTCCAGGTCCAGCACTACGAAATCCTCACCATCGTAACCATAATTATTTAAACCAGTGTTATTATTGGTCTCATCATCCCATTCGCAGCCGTACGTCCTCTGGACAACGTGGACCCCTGAGAGAGACAAAGACTTCAGTGAACTGTTTAAACTCCATGGACGAAAACACACTTCTGCTTCTTAGGAGAAACATAAACAAACCTCCAGTCTGGTTGAAGCGCCGTGCCAAATTTGGAAACCACACAGCTTTGAAGCTCTGCTGGACAGCTTTTAAACCTTGAGTCTCTCGCTGCCAGTATCTAGGATCACCTTCTGTGACTCTGATCATCCAGTCCTGTTTAGGTACTGCTCTCTAGGTGTTACTGTCAAAGTAGACGATCTGAAGATCATCAACCATCCCAACAGCCACAAACTCTGGGAAGTCTTGAACTCCAGAGGACCCAGTATAGAAATACTTCAGAGAGTGAGACCCTGTAAGGACAAAATAATTCAATCTTTCAGTTTTTATTCACACACTGCAGTCAGAAAAAACTCTAATTAATGGAAAGACAAAAATTTGATTATTTAAAAGTTATCAGCAGAGTAATCTTCATGCATGAATTGAACTGAATTTCCCATTAGGGATTAAAAAAGTTATTTTTCTTCTTCTTATTTTTAAATCCTGTGCTGCCATCTGCTTTCTGATATAAACTTTCTTTAAAAAAACAATTTCTTCTCGTTTTAAATGCGCCAATCTGTCAAGTTTAAGTTGACTCTGTAAACAGAAACTCAACAATAACTGCTAATATCAATCAAACTGGATTAAAATACAAATACAGAGCCCCACCCTTCCTCCTAACCTACATTCAACACACATAACACTCACACAAACAGACGCACACACAAAAAACACGGCAGTGTAAAGCTGTGTGTCATCAAAACTGGATATATGAGGCAAAAGATGATATGGATGATTTCAGATATTGATCAGTTTGTTATTGGGGTCTAATTCAGCCAAGACATCAGACTGCTCTCTAGTGGATAAACTCTTTCCTGTAATTTACCAGCAAACAAAAGTACAGACACCAAAATATCTGCAATAAAATAATATTAGATACTACAAAATTTTACTGTGGCTTTATGGCCTCAAGGTTTTCTTTGTATACTTATACAAAAATATAAGAGGTGATCTTTATATCTGGTTTGTGTAGGTAATCGCTGATAATGTGTTTCTATAAGCAAAATTTTCATGAAATTTAATGACTGAAAGACTGTGGAGATATAGTTGTTAAAATGAATTAACAAATTTTAAACTGACATTTTAAAAAATAGTCATGGTTAATAAATAGAGTACATTATGATGTACAATCTTCAACAGAGGCAAGAAATCTTTTTATAGTTTAGGATCAGATATTTTTTTTAAACGTATTTATCTCTATTTTCTGTATTTCTTTGTCAATGGTTTGTGCTGCTTTTTGACATCAACTGTCCTTTAATTAATAAATTAATGAATTATTCTGATATTAGAGGCTATTATTTATTGGACACATAATAATCGGACTTTTTAAAGCTTTTCTCGGGAATTGGCGCTTTTTTTTTTGCTCCATCAACAGATTTACTGACCTGAAAACAAAACAGTCTACTCACAGGCAAAAGACAAAATGTAAATATATACACTTTTTAACATCTCTATGCCAAAAACTTGAAACTTTGCATCAAATGAACCTTAAATTCATGTCTACATTTTCTGAACAGATTACTCATTTCTCTCTTTACAACAAAACATCTTAAATAAATCTGAACTCACTCGCTGTCGTGTCAGGGAGGATCAATCCCAGGACCATCAGGATGATCAGAGTCTTCATTGTGATCTGTGGAGTCTTAATCTTCGGAAAATTCACAACTTTGACATTTGACACAACAAGACCTGCTGGTAGCTCCAATGTTTACATTTCAACTCTCAGTGAGGAGAAAGGTAAGAAGAGAAAAAGAGCGACGGCTTTAACTCCTGTCTCAACCAATAAGAATTCAGCCTGAGGCACTGAAATTATGAATTGAAGTAAGATGTTAAAACAGCTCGATTGTGATCGTGCCATCATGTGGTTAGAAGTTGAATGAGTTCAAGTCTGTTTATACTCTAAGAATCATATGAACCAAATCTTGAAAACTAAAGCTCACCTCCTCTCTTCATAAACTCTAACTTTTATAAATAGTTCTCACATTCATTTGTGCATAAACCTTTACAGATGAAAACCATACAAGGACACAAGTTTCTCCAAACGTCTCAAAGAATGTCATCACTGTTTAAAATTACATGATCACATCTATAAAAAAAAATACAGGCTTGGTTTGAGTGTTTTAAATAAGAAATCATAAAAAAGGACAGGTATTTGGATTATAGGTGTTTTACTGAAAAAGTAGAAGTCCAAAAATAATCACACAGCAAGGCAATTTGACCTAAACAAGGTGAGCACTGATCACCTCTCTTCTTTAATACAAGAACTTTATTGAAATTTATTTCATCCTCTATTTACAGAAGAATTAAGAAGTCTGAAAGCCTTGGGTACAAAAGACCTTCTAAATCTTCTACTTGACCTCAAACAAGGTAAACACTGGTCATCACCATCGTCTTCAACAGCAGAAGCAAACATTTACAATCAGTAACTAGCCTTCAGAAATGTAACATCCCACAATGACTTAAACACTTACAAATAAAAGACAATGTTTCCGAAATTAGACTTTCATTGCATTGTACTTTGATGCCATTATGCACAGGAAGCCTATAAACTGAACTGAAATCAGACTTATGAAAGAAAAAAAACAACACAATTATAATAAAAACTTTAAAACACAAAAATCATAAATTCGTTTGTGTTTTTGGAGCAGACACAGCTTTTTTATGTTGTTCTACATAAATATTTACACTACGGAAGCGTTTTGCATTCACTTACAACAAAATGGAAACTGTTTCTTTAAGTATATTTTTTACGTTGCTGTTTTTCGGACGAATTTTTCCTTCTTTCTGTTTTTCGGACAATTTTTTCCTTCTGTTTTTCCTTTGGACTAATATTTTTTTCCCTTCTTTCTGTTTTTTGGACAAGTTTTTATTCTGCTTTTCATTCTATCTTTTTTATCTGTCTGTTTTTTTGACTATTTTTTTCCCTAACTAAGAAAGATACCTCAAAATCCCATGATATTCTCATACAATCAGATAACGTTAACCACCGTGGCTGCTCCAAATCATCCTATTCTCCAGCTCAACAAGTAGGCCATGTTCGCTTCCAATAAATCGAGCGTAGGGGGGTGGAAGCGACTGTTTTTAAATTATCATGATCATTAAATGAAGTCTGACAAACGTCTTGATTGATATTTGATGGCAGTTTAAGAAACAAATATTTAAAACAAGCAACTTATAAACTTTCAGAGATTTAACATCCCAAAAATACTAAAGTCTGACAAATAAAAGACAATGTTTCAGAAATTAGACTTTCATAGAGTTGAACTTGGATGCCATCATGCACAGGAAGCCTTTAAACTAAACTAAAATCAGACATGAAAGAAAAACAAAATAATTATAATAAAACTTTAAAGCCCATAAATCATAATTTCGTAATTCCAGACTGCTGCTTAACCCCATGAGTATTAATCAGAAAATGTGAAAGCATGTTCATGTTCATAAAACCAAAACTGATTTAAGCGCAAAGCTCCCAACACCAGAAGTATCAAACTGTTACTGTTGTAGATGAGTTTAGGTTTACGACCAAGTTTTGGGGCCACATTAAGAAAAAAAAAAAGAGACTTTGAGATTAAAGTCGTTAACTTAAGAGAATAAATTTGTAATAAAGAAATTACTTATGAGAATAAAGTCGTAATAAAATCATTATGATACTCATGATAATGTGGTGCTGATGTGCCAAAAGATTAAGTTTCTCCTTTTTTTGAGAAACTAGTATTAGAGTACATTTTCACAAAATGCTCCATGGCTCTCATTTCAACAACTGTCGTCTTAAACAACAGGTTAGAATATGAGGACTTTATTCTCATAACTAATGATTTTAGTACGACTTTATTCTCATAAGTAAACGACTTTAATCTTGAAGTCCTACTTTTTTTTAAACTTAATATGGCTCTAATACTCCGTCGTATAAGATGAACACAGAAATCTTTATCACGGATGAACAAAAAGCAGTGTGACGCTTTCACAGATGAAGATTGTGTTGAACTGCTTTCCAGGTAAAAAAAAGAAATCATCTTCATATGATTTTCTTATATTTCAGCAGGACTTTCATCAAAAGCTAAACAAACAACCTGATTTCTAATTTATGTTTGAGAAGATGCGCTGTAGATTATTGTTATTTATTAGTCAACTAATTTAAAACTTATTTTTCTGTATTTCTCTCAATAAGCATCACAAATATGATTCCAGCCCTGATCACTTTATGTTGTGTATGAAGAAAAAAAAACAATTGATTCCCAGGAAAATGTGTTGGATCTCCTCCTTGTTACGGTGAAAATGTATCCACAAACCTTAAAAAAAGCAGAAGGGACAAAACTTTAGTGACAAAATCATTTCTGATTTTTTTTTCAAAGGATGTGTCAATAAAAAAGGTATTAATTATGGATTCATGTCTAAAGTCCTCAGAAAGTTGTGTTTTCACACAGCTTAAGGGTGACAACAGGTAACAAAACCAGGTTCATCAAATGTGACTCACAGAGTTCAGGGTGGTGTGTTTGTCTTTTAGGCGCTTGGGTTTGGAAGCATTTTTTCTTCCACCAAGAGGGGGTTGAAGACTGCTGTAAGATCAGAAAGTAACATGTTAGCAATTAAACCATCATTTAAAAATTTAAGTCAAATTAAGGATAAAAACAAACTTTACTTACGAGATGGAGGATGTTTGGCTGGAAAAGAAACAAGAAAACAAACAATGAACACATTTGAAATCCTCCACCTGTCACATCCTGAATCTCATCCTGGATTCTGAAAATGTTATCTTTTTCTACTTTCGCCACTAGGAAACAAGATAAAAAAGACAAACAGAGACTGTCTCTGCTTTGACCTCTCACCATTTTGCTTCTTCATGGAGAGGTAGACTCCTCCATAGATGATGGTGGAGAGAAGACTCAACACAGCAACAACAATGAGGATCGTGTACAAGAGATTCCCTGTGGAGCAGAAAACAAAAATGTTGTGATCCATGTATTTTTTAGCACAATAAGTTTTAACTGAACTAATTTTTAAAAGGAATTACACACAACAAGCCAGTTATTAAATAATTTCATCAACTGATGTTTTTACAGAGCTCATAATCTCTGAAAATACAAATGAACATGAGCAGTGATGAAAGAAGTGACACTAATTTAAGTTATCATCATATGACTTCTCAAATGGACAAAAATGAATAAATTTTAGAAAAACAATTTTTGTGGCACAAAAGAAAACTTGAAGTTGATCGATTCCTTAAAACTATTTTTTCTGAACACAAATTGTTGAATTTGAAAAAAAAAAGACAACATAGATCCTTGTCTAACACAGGACGGTTTGTGTAAACATCCCACTGTCATCACTCTTGATTCCAGTCTCACCAGAGTTTGTCCTGATCACACTCTTGCCCAGGTTGGTGATGATGTCCTTCTGACCAGCCAGCTGAAACACACACTCATACTTCCCCCAGTCATCAGACGGGACTTTCAGGTCAGCACTCATCTGGAAGGATCCGTCGTGGTTGGGGAGGGTCTCTCCGAGGTCCACCTCCTCATGAAGCTCCTCTCCATCTTTCCTCCAGAGCATCATGGCTCTGTTGGGGTAGAAACCTGAAGCGTGGCAGGTGACCGGAGAGGACGGAGACTTCTGGAGAAGAGACACTGAGGGGAGGTCTGGAGGACAAACAGAGACAGTTTTTTTTATGAGTTTGAATTACTGTTCATTACTAATCCTGTTTAATCTCACTTTTTTAATGCCTTGTAAAAAAATTAATCAATGGGAATGAACCTTATTTACATGAAATGAAGAAAAACAAACAAAAGTGCAGAGGAGAAAAGAGAAAATTGAAGAGGGTTAAGAGATTAAAACGGGGCAGAGAGAAATTAAATCAGAAAATAAAGAGAAACACTCAGAAAGACAAATGTGCAGAAAATAGAAAGAATAACATGTTTAAAAAAGTAGTGAGAAACAAAAAGATGAAGAGAAGCACAAAATAAAGAAAGACGTTCATTACTCAGTGTAACATGACAGTTAAAAAAAGTTTGTTTATTGTCAGGATAAAGTTACATCAGGTCTGTGATCTTACCTGTTCTCATCAGAGAGCTCCTTCCATACTCCACATACTTTTTCAGCCAGTCAGGACAGGTTTGGGTTAGGTAGTTCTTCCAAAATCCTGAATTAGCTTTGTCATTATCCCACTTCTGTTTGGTGATGACGGCCTGAGGTGTAGGAGCATTCCATGTCATTGTCTCCATGTCCAGCGCTACGAAGTCCTCGCCATCGTAACCATAATTATTCCAACCCTTGACTTCTTTAGTCTCATCATCCCACTCACAGCCAACCATCATCTGGACAGTGTGAACACCTGAGCGAGACAAAGAGAGGAGGAAGAGTTCAGTGAGATGGAGTGTGATCACAGCTCAGTCATATATCATCAACTGACTGACACACACACACACACACACACACACACACACACACACACACACACACACACACACACACACACATACACACTGAAGGAGCGTGTGAGTCCAGGATCAGTGGTCCAGGATCCTCCCCCTCCTCACAGTGTTCATCAGTGTGTTACTACAGCTGCTCACAATCAGACAGAGACCACCAGGACCATCATGGAGACTGGGAGGCAGTCTGGGACTCCTGATTGGTCCAAACATGTGTCAATCATTCAATATAACCTGAGAGCTGTTTACACCTGCAGATGTTTGTGTGATGATGATGATGATGATGATGATGATGATGAAGCCTGAGAGGAGGAACCAACCCTGAGGTCAGAACAGAGGAGATAATCTCATCTAATCTGTAGTTTTACTGAGTATTAAGATCTGAGATTGAAGATTATTTTCATTCTCCTGTTATTTTGACATTTACAGATTAATCATTTACTTCTTTTTAACTCCAGTTAATCTCATGTAATCTACAGTTCTGTAATCCATCTATGTTCTGAGGTGAACTCTGTATATCAGTCCAGTAGAGTTCACCTGATCAAATATGTTTCTAACAACATATTTAGAGCTCAGACTGTGAATTTCTGTCATTTCTGATGATATCATGTCTGTTTATAAATGAACTGATACTCGGTTTAACTCGCTAAATAACAATAAAAAAAATAATCTTGCACAATTTCTCAAACAGCTGAGGTCAAATAACACAAACATTCATTTACACTCTTTATTCTGACAAAGACACACTCAAGTCAAGATAATCTAATCTAATCTGCAGTTTCTTTTATAGATTATGAACACAGTGTTGTCGGTACAGTCGAGTTTTACTGCTTCACTTTTTTAACCTCTGATCTGAATATGATTTTTTTCTCACGTCGTCCCGTCAGCAGCTTTATTAAAACACGCTGCTCCTCCTCTCATGTTGGGACCCAGCACAAGCAGCCTGTGTCCCCTTAACGGTCCTGCTCCTCAGTTTGAGAAACCAGGCAGTAATGTCCCTCTATCAGCTGTGTGTTGTTGAGCTGCTGTGATCCACAGGTTTTCTACAAGAGAGTTAACGTGGAGCGACTCACTGTGGACGCTTCAGTGGACTTATTCTGATCTGATCTAGTGGAGGGAAAGTGTTGATCGTCTCTGTGGGTTATTATGGGATGGACAGAAACGCTGAATCAGCACAAAACAGCCGAGTCTACTTAGTCTGAGAGACACGGATGTTTCTGTTCAGACTGTTTCAGACCAGAAAGACTTCAGTGAGACTGTTTCAACTACATGGATAAAAACACACTTCAGCGTGTGTGTGTGTGTGTGTGTGTGTGTGTGTGTGTGTGTGTGTGTGTGTGTGTGTGTGTGTGTGTGTGTGTGTGTGTGTGTGTGTTTGGTATCAACTGTTTACAGAACTAAAATATAATCAACATGTTATCATTGAAAAGTGAAACATGAACAAACCTCCAGTCTGGTTGAAGCGTGGTTTCAAAATTTCAATGTTGGCTTTGAAGGTCTCCTGGGTACCCTGGAAGGTATAACTGCTTCTCTTCAAGTACTTAGGATCATCTTCTGTGACTCTGCTCATCCAGTCCTGTTTAGGTACTGCTCTCCTGGTGTTACTGTCAAAGTAGATCATCTGAAGATCATCAACCATCCCAACAGCCACAAACTCTGGGAAGTCTGGGACTCCAGAAGACGCCGTATAGAAATACTTGTAAGAGTGAGACCCTGTAAAGACAATAATTCAATCTTTCAGTTTTTATTTTACACTTTTCACATCACTGAACAAAGTTTGAATCCAGCACACCTGAGAAAGAATAACTACAGAGCATTCAACACGACATTATCATTTATCTGCAGTCAGTAAAAACTCTAATTAATGAAAAGACAAAAAAATCAGTTATTGAACTCTTAATTCTGATTTTCCTGATGAATGTTTCTCAGAAAGTGTTTCTCTTTTCCTCACATATATAATTAGAAGAGTCAAATATTTCAATAACATGTCTTTAATGACAGATTTGTACCAACGACTGTAGCTCTCTGTTTTGCTCTGATCATGTCAGCGTGAGATCAAACTCTGATCGTTCATGGAGGTTTTTTGTTCTTTATTGTGATTCATTAGAAGTTTATTCTCTCATTATCTGACTGTTGGAGGACAAAGTCAACACACTACTTTAATACTTTACTCAATATTTTTGCTATTGACATGGATGATTTCAGATATTGATCAGTTTGTTATTGCGGCCTAATTCTAAACTCAGGCTGACAGACTGAACTCGTGACTGCCCTCCTGTGGATAAACTCTGTAATGGACACACTCTGTCTGAAGTTTCCTGTTATTTACCAGCAAACTAAAGTACAGACACCAAAATATCTGTGATAAGAAAATATCAGCTGATACACAATTTTACAGACAAAGATTAATTATAAGTGAACAAGTTTATTCTCTCATTACAAATGGGATGACAAAGTGAACACAATACATGTCATTAAAATTATTATTTTACTCATTATTTTTGCTATTTGAGTATCCTGAATCTAATATTTGATTATAATCAGAGCTCAACAATAACTTGTGTTTCTCTGTGAGCTGTTTCTGCTGCTCATTTGGACTTTTTTTTAATTTGATATATTTTTTATTTAAAAAAAAGTCGAGAAGTAATTTCAGTTATTTTTGAATCGTGGTCATCAAATCGTGGATCATCATTTCTGAATTCAGCAAGTAAGACCAAAATATATCCAATACATCACTTCTTGGAACATATAAACTAAAACATGACAATTATTAAAGTTGAACCTCTGATATCAACAGAAAACTGAAACTTATTTATAAATCACAATTATAAACTACAATTTCTGGAAATTATGTTAAGCTCAGAAAATTGTGGGTTGATAAAGCTTCATTTTTTTGTCATATTTCTAAGACCAAGATCCTGTAGTTTTTCTGAGTCTCAGTAAAATATTGGATCAGCAGCAGATTAATCACTTTTAAGATCATTTATTTGATTGTAACACGTCACTCTGAACTGATTTTAGTTATTCAAAGAAATCTATATTAGATTATCTAAAAGGTATCAGCAGAATAATCTTAGTGAGAAATGTTAATTAAATTACTACTTATTTTTAATTCCTGTGCTGTCATCTGCTTTTGATCACATTATTTTCTGATCTGAACCTTCTTTAAAAACAAAATAATCTCTTCTAAACCACAAAGTGCCAAAATTGTCAAGTTGAAGTTGACTCTGTTAATAAAAACTAATCAGTAACTGCTTATACTGGACAAATGAAGCAAAGGTTGATATGGATGATTTCAGATATTGATCAGATATTGATGCTTAATTCTAAACTCAGGCTGACAGACTGAACTCGTAGTTGTTGAAATTAAAGTCCCAAATTTAAAACTGATTTTTTTTAAACGCTCATGGTTGATAAATAGAGTTTAAGTTAAACACAGTCCTTAACAGCTATAGGTAAAAATTAAGAGCTCTTTTTTACAGTTTGTCAATTTGTTTAAACGCATTTCTTTCCATTTCCGTATTTCTCTGCCGTTGTTTTTTTTTTTTTTTTTTTTTTTTTTTTGCTGCGTATTTGTGCTGCTTTTTGACATTTATTGTCCTTAAGTGAATTATTCTATAAATTTTTCTAGTATACAGTCTTAACTATTTATTTGATACAAGCTAATCTGACTTTTGAAAGCCTTTCTCTCGGAAATTGACAACTTTTTCCGTGACAACGACGGCGTTGCTCCATTAACAGACAAATTTACTGACCGGAAACACAACAGCCTTCTAACAGGCGAAGAAATGTCATTTTTAAATACTTTTTAATATCTCAGGGCTGAAAAGATGTGACTTTACATCAAATTAACTTGAAAGTCATATCTACATTTCATAACCACGTTAACTATTTTTCTCTTTACTAAAAACGACTTTTAAAAAATCTGAACTCACTCGCTGTCGTGTCAGGGAGGATAAATCCCAGGAGCGTCAGGATGATCAGAGTCTTCATTGTGATCTGCGGAGTCTTAAACTTCGACAAATATCAAACTTTTGTCAGAGACGTGGACGAGTCCTGCTTCCAGCTCCAAGCGACAAATGGGGAAAGGAGAGAAAGAGCGACGACTTCAATTTCTGTCTCGACCAATCAGAATTCAGCCTGAGCCTGTTGCTGGGTAACTTTGACCTACAGAGGTTTTGAATGAAAGTGAAAGTTAAAAACAGCTCGTTTGTGATCAAGACAAAGCACGGGGAGACATGTTAGACCGAATTTTGAATGTTCCTCTTCCTTATAAACTAGAATTTAACCATAACTAATTCAACGATTAAAAAAATCCTCAATATTTCCTTTGGCCAGTTTTTTACTTTACAGAGTGAGTGTGTTTAAGGTGGTGTGGAGAGGTATGGCAACAGCAAATACAAATTACACACAAGGCACAAAAATAGGTTCAAAAACTTTGCTCAAGTTCAATACTCAAATAAATATATGTATTTTTCTAACTGTCCACCCCTGAATATATCCAAATAATACTTTAAAGATAAGAGTGAAGTTTCATGGCATCAATAAATAAAAGGCATTTCATTTTATTATACTAGGAGGCAGGGCAAAACCTGGAAAGTAGGGTGTAAAAATGTAACATGGCTGTGTCATAAATTTAGATTTAGCTTTAAAATTCATAAGAACTATGAGGGCAGTTATTTTGTTAGTGATCCTAGTTTGTAAACAACGTCCTAAATCAGAATTAAAACGTTCAATAATCATCACCTGCTTGTTTTAATAAGTGATCTTTGTCATTCTTTACTTTTTGTCCACAAATACTGATTAATTTCCAAGAAAAGTCATAATTTCAGATCCTTTACTGCTCTGAAAGTAAGACTAAGGCTACGCCAAGATACAAAGCACATGCATAGACACTGGTCATGCATGCTTGCACTTGTAGCCACACCTATCACTGAGAGAGCGCCTGGAGCCATTTTGTGTTTTTGTTGTTTTATGAATCTGTCTGTTTGAGGGAAATAAAAGAAATGAAACTATTTACACTCCAGTAGGTGGGCGGCTGAGTCATCTTAATTATACTCAGAATGAAATTTGGATTACTTCCCTCTTCTGTCTCTGTGCCAAACTTTGCTGCCCCTTCTTCAAACACGAGAAAGATCAACAAAGTAAACCTGAAACAAACTGCAGCTATGTAGAAAACACCTCCACAGTTGTAATGTCAGTTGTGTAAGTGTCGAGAGCAGTCCTGGAGCTCCTCCTCTGGACCAAAAAAGTAAAACCTCTCTCTGTGCTGTTTCTGGGAAATCACATGATGAGTGTGATAAGTTTCGTTTTAGTGCTCGAGTGAGACAGAGATCTGAAATGGCTCTGTAGTGTTGGAAGGAAGAGTCTGACGCCGTCCCTCCCTGCTGCACTGCATTCCTCTGGTACCAATACTTACAGTACAAAAACATAGAAAACTGAGCATTAACCTCCTGAGACCCAGAGGAAAAAAAAGTGTTTTGATTTTGATTTTTTTTCAGATAAATCATGAGTTGGGGTGGTAAAAAACACATCGCAAAGACTATTTTGTTTTGAAGTCATTTCATTTAAAATCTACAACATGTGCACCTCAGTGCACAACAGGATTTCATTGATCGAATATCTGACACAAAATTCATAAACTGATTATGAAAATTGAAATCTCACCTGAAAACTTTTTCATAAGTAGTATATCAAACATATTGAACATATTTACATGAAAACATCCAAGAAAAGTAGGTCCTGGGTCAACTCAGAACTTACTGACTTTTCACTAGACACCGTTTCATTTATGATACCTGAGAAAGCACTAGGAATTTTTGGAGACACAGAGGAAAATTTGGCACTTCACACATCTCACACATGTTTTACTGTTGAACCCAGGTACTCTGCACCTGAAAGGACTTGGACTGTTGACCATTTCAGGCCTTTTAATGAAGACCTGATTTTGTAGAAACCATCACAGGTCATGGAGTCAGCTATAACTGGGACTCTTGTTTTAGCAGCCCAATACATTCTTGGATAGCCTAGACATGCCATGTTCACAGAGATCCCTATGGAAGTATTGATAAGACTCCCTCAATGATTCTGAAAAGAATCCTCCCTGCCTCTGTCAAAGACCTGTCCACCAGAAAAAAGGTGAAATAAACTGAAGTACAAAGTCCTGATGTCCACTGCAGTATACATGAATAAATTGGTCATTTTCCCTGTAAAACTAAATAAGTTTAGCTCTGAAAACTCACTCAAATTTCTTGTTAGATGTTGATATTGGAAAATTAATCGAAATATAACGAAAAAAAACAACCCCCCCCCCAAAAAAAAAAAAAACCCAACCATTTTAAATATAAATATCTTGGTTACTTCTCTGTTTTCCATAAAATGTGTTTCTGAGGATACCAGCCTTTTTGAGATACAGGAAAAGAGTAGTTGCCAAGGCCACAACCCCCACACATCCACATCATTTTAAAGTTGCGGTTGTCCTCTCTAGGGAACATCAGGACTTAACAGAATGGCATGTATTGTGTGAGAGATACAAGCAAAAACTCCATGTGCACTACAGTGCATAAAAGTGAATTACTGGGTCTAAACGTCGTTTATGGGTATAAAAAGCAACTAACTCAAGCTGAGTAAAGAGATAATACTGAGTCTCGGGTAGAGCTTTAAACTTTTTGAAACCATGTCATCTTTCCTTATCACTGAAACACGTATACAGGTGTATAAACTGGCAGCCCTGTTTCTTATACTCTTGTTACTAACTGTTCTGTATTGTTTTTGTTTTTTTTGCTGTTTGTTCTGTTTGCATCTAACTTACTCACTTCATTTTATTTATGTACCTTTTCAACATATTTTGTCAATAAAAAATTAGAAAACTGTAAATGAAATGTTTAGGAAAGGACATAATTCACACGTAAAGTCTGTATATTTTTTTATTTTTTATATTTTATTTGTTTTATCTTCATTTATTTTAGTTAGACTTGGTTTATTTTAGGTTTGTGTTTCATTCATATTTTAGTTTTTATTTGTTTTTATCCTTTTATCATTTTTAGGACCCCCAGTGTTTTCTCTGAGGGAGCCCTCGGCACCGGGAGCGGTGGTCACTTGTGGTTGCAGGGGCCGGCCACGGGGTTCCTTGTGGAGGTTGCTGTCTGACACATCCCTCCACTGGCCCTGTGTCAGTGTCCTGGTGCTGACGGCTCCTCTGATGGCGCCTTCTCAACTGGTTCATCTGCACTCAGCCTCATATCCATTCTCTTGGTGGGGTGGGGGGTAAGGGGGCATCTGGGATAGTTTTTTGTTTTTAACTTGACTGTAAAGAACTTTGAGTCACATTTCTGTCCCATATAAGTCACTGACCAGTTTTCTGTCCCCCCCCCCGGCCCTGAGCTCCTTCTTCTCTCTGATTCCTCTGGACTGCTGCTGTTACTGTTACTGCAGACATGAACATCAGCCTCACTGTCATTATTGACATTAATAATACAAAATAGAACTGACTACGATTAAGCCTGCAAACTGTAATCGCACTCAATTAATTCAACATTGTCCATTATCACTCATATCCTAAACCTGTAAACTGAACTTCTTTTTGTTTCACCATTACATGAGCTGTTGTTGTTGTTGCTGTTGTTCCTGCTGCCTCCTGTCTCTCTCTCACCCTCGTTCCCTACTCTCTCTCCCTCCCCCTCCCTCTCCATACTCATTCTCTCTCGCCTTTCCCCTATCTTGTTGTCTCTCTCCCTCCCCCTGTCCTCTCCCCCTCTCCCCTCTTCTCTCTACATTCCTCCCCAACCCAGCAGCGGCATGGTGGCTGTCTAGCATGAGTCTGGTCCTGCCCAAGGTTTCAGCCTGTTAAAAGGAAGTTTTTCCTTGCCACTGTAACTCATGTTAGTTGAGATGGGCCAAAACCCATCTTAGGTTGGTTCTTGATCATCAAACAATGAGCGTGGTCCAGACCTGCTCTTGTTCCTTGAAAAGCGTCTTGAGATGACGACTGTTGTGAATTGGCGCTATATAAATAAAATTTGATTGATTGATTTGATTGATTGATTTGATTTCTGTGGTAAAAGCGCTTTATAAATCAAGTTTGATTGATTGATTGATTGATTATGTGGATGCTTTAAAAGGGGATTGGTTCTGCGTGTCATAATAATAACCTTTACCTGGCATGGATGAGGGTAATTTCTAGATTTGACAAAAAGACAAATCTGAAGTAGTTTGTTGTTTTTCTTGAATTATTGTGCCATACACACAGTATATTTGTCTGCATGCTTTACAGACACCCTGAATTTTTGTAGTCCGTGGTTTCACCTCAGGTGGTTTTTCCTGTTTTTGTTGTAAGTTTTGACGGAGCTTTCACACACCAAACTCAAACAGACATCCCAGCCTTTGCTGATCTGGCAACCACAATATTTCAGGGTCAACAAGCGATTTCATGACAACAACTCTCTTAGGCTGTCAGGGTTTGTGAAGTCTGAGTCTACTTCATCCGCCTCATTTAACTCACAAAGTCTGTTTCCTTCTGAAAAATACTTGAACTGCTCAACCTCAACAGTCAGAAGAAGGGAACCAGGTCTTCACTGAGCCAGGAAGAGTCTTCTTGGAGAACAAGACGTCAGGTATGATTCAGACTGAATCTGTTTTTACTGCACACACTGTCTTTAGTGGTGATAGAAGTGTTGATAACAGAAAGATCTCTTGCTCAGCATAAATAAAGGTTGTATTATGTTGTGATATTCTAACGATATCATCTTCATCTGACCATATCATGTCAGCTTGCTTCTTGTTGATATGTGCTTCAGTTTTGCAGTTGAGATTAGTCTTTGTTTAGGTTGTTTAAAGTGTAACCTACTAATTTGTATGTACCTGCAGTAAGGAGTGGCACTGTGAGAAGGCAACAGGACTCCTGAAGCTTGTTGTTGTATTGCTTAACAGACAGCGCCATCTACTGGTGAAATGGTAGAATCTCTCATTGCCCAGCTAAACACAGTGTAATAGTCAAATTTACACTAAATGGTGAGTTTTCCAGTTTTTAGGTGATTGTTTAGTGTAACCCCCTCTGAGGACATCCAAAGTCTATCATGGCCCATTTTCTTTGGAAATATTAACCGGAATTCGTCCTATTATAGAGGATGTAGGTGAAAGTGAAACTAACATGAAGTGGGAGTTGTAGGGGAAAACCATTCATCTCACCTTTACTGTCTTCGTGAGACAACAGCAAAGAAGAGCAGAAGCTGAGAAGAACAAGAAAACAGACAAAGATGACTGACTTTTCTACAATCTACAAACTCAGTGTGGTGGCTATCATCTACCTAATCCAAGGTAACGAACTGCAAGGCTAATATCTGCTGGTTTAACTAAATTATAAGTATATGCTGTAAAGCGATGCTTAACAAACAGAAATCGAGCTGCTTCATGCTTATTTGATTTCCTGTGCAAACTAAGGACGCGTTTTCTCGTGTTACGAAGAAACCCAAACTCCATGAAAAGCACGGCGTAGTTGAAGTTATTGAGCCGATTGCAAAGCATGACAATACTTGAAAACATTAAATAGTTTGTTTTACCTGGGAATTTCTTCACACCTTGGAGTCTTTAATAAGAATCAGCTGTCAGTTTAAATATGACTAGATTAGGATTCTCGCGTATAAACGACTTCGACAGCACTTTGAATTTCAGGCTGTTAAGATTAAACAAGACAAGAGTTTATATTAGCCTGTCGGCCGATTCTAAGACTTGACACAGTTACGTTTAAAAATCGTAAATTTTATCAGCTAACTGTCATATATACTTCTTATTTAGGAATAATTTAAATACTGTATACTTCTAAATGAAGTTTGGTGTGTAGCGTTCAGTGCGACAGTGCCCTCTGGTGGTCGAAACTGAAAGCGAAACGATCAAATTTTGTTGCTTCTCTTTTGATCTAACAAATAAAATAGTCATAAAAAGGGCAATACAGGCATAAAACTTTAACAGACTAACGATTAATGATTTATTTCCCTTAGGAACTGAGTTCAGAGTCTCAAAAAATCAGGTTAAGAGAGGATATTAAACTTTGATAAGGGGTGACAGGAACAGTCAGCCTCAAAATGTTTCCCCTAAACCCTAATAAAAGTGCAATTTTAACTGTCAGGGTTTAATCCTGCCAAGGTCTTACATCACAGCATTTCGCATATCTTGTAACACTGGAGAGAACATGGATTATATTGTAATATGATTGCTCTATTATGCAAAATGTTTGTCGTAGTTTTCTTCACATTTATTGCAAATTTCTTGATAAATCTGTTGTGTGCAGCTTGCAGCAGCAGCTGTCCAGTGTTGGATTGCTGGTATGTGCAGGAGAAGTCGGGTCGAGGAGGTTTAACTGCAGCAACAACCCAGGAAAAATCGCTCATATACATCAGCACAGATGAGCACAGACACACAGCAGAGTCTCAAAGAACTCCATCCGATGTCAATCATGACAGAGTCTACTTTTTTAATGGTGAGTGCATCATTTTCACAGGAATGTGTAAACGCACTGATATCTACTTCAAAATTTCTGTTTATGTGAGGTCACATTCAGCATTGTAAGTAAGTGTCGTTCATTTACACTCTGCAGTGTAGAGAGAGAAAATATCATCACAGATTGTGCATTTGCAAGTCATTATATTCCATTAAATTAGTTTTAAACTTGACTCAATCCTGCTTTTGTGCACATTTATCTGATTTGAGACTTGTGACTGAGAAGGCACTTGTCTTACGAGATTCATAAGCTGCGTTGTGAATCTCATAATCATGTCTTTGAGAATTTTATTTGAAAACTTTTGAACTAATCCAAACTTAGAGCTACTAGTATCAATCTCCTCACCAAAACTATGTTCATTATCAGGTCAAAATCAAGTTTACACCAGTCTATTAAGCATCTACTGTAAAACCAATAGGTGTAACTGATTGATTGATGTCTTACTTTTGAAAACATCATATGAAATAAAAGTAAACGGCAGCCGTGGATTGGAAAAAATAAATAAATCATAAAGAATTTTAATTCTATAATAACGCACTAATGTTTCCTTTCTCACTCCTCTTTCCTCAGACCCTGCCGGCACTCTCTGCCTGCCCTCTCTGAACCCACCAAAAGGCTCGGTCAAGAAGTCCCAGTGTGAGATCAATCCCTTCTTACCGCACCCCTCTGACCTTAGATGGGTCGCTCCACTCACAGATTCCACCATGAGCCCTCTGTATCTTCAAGCTGATTGGTTCACAACATCCCATCAGGATTTCAAACGTCAACTGACCATTTCCAGCATCACACGTGCTCCAACAGCAAGCAAAGAGCACAACGGTAACGATTCCTATCGCAGAAGAAAAGAGCACATGACGGCGCTGTCTTTTCTTGTTTATGCCTGACTCTGTCCTCTCTCTCTCTGTGTCCTCAGTGATCCTCAGTGTGACCAGCAAAACACTCTCAGTTCAGTCCAGACTTGGGGAACCGGTGCTGCTAGACTGCGGCTTCTGGGTGGACCCCTCCTCGCCTCTCTCTGGGTCTGGTTTTGCCGTGGAGTGGCGCTACCAGTTCAGAGGGGAAGGACGGCTGGTTCTGGCTTATGATGGCAAGTCAGACCGCTTGGCTGACACTCGAGAAGAAGGGGCCATGTTGGACTTCGAGGGTCTGCACGAGAAGGGAAATGCCTCCCTGATCCTGCAGGAGGCCAAAGTGCGTCACTCAGGGATGTACATCTGTACCGTGTATCTGCCGTACGTTGTGGCTCAGGTGGCAGTGGAGCTGGAGATTGTTGGTAATGAAAAGATCTTACTCATCATTTTTTAAAGCTAAAGCTGCTTTATTTTTTAAAACCTCTGACCTGTCCTGTCAGATACAGCCTCTTATTAGTCAGCATTTTCCATCAAACACCTGTAAACTAAACTAAATAATCAACCTGATTATCCGTGAATCGTCTCTGATTGTCTTTCATTCTTTTCTTTAATTCCTCTCTTTTTTCTCCCTCTACCTAGAACCTCCATCCCTCTCCATCTACCCCTCACCTCTGCCTCTTGTTGTTCCCGGCCAGACTGTGGTCATTCAGTGTGAAGCGTCTGGTTTTGCCCCCCTTCCCCTGGAACTGAGCTGGGAGTTTAAAGGTGCAGATGGGAAGTCCAGGTCTCTGGGATCAGGCAGTGTAACAGGCCACAGGCAGGCCTGGGATGGGACCTACGGCCAGAGCACTAAGCTGGAGCTCAACACAGCAAACATGGACCTGGGCCGAGGAGGCGAGGTCACCTGTGTGGCTGAACATCTTGGAGGCACACAGAGGGCCAGCTCGAACCTCAGTGTCATCGGTAAAGTAGAAAAAATTTATCAAGCTCTCCTGGTGACAAAGTACACATGGAAAGTTAATGATCTTTGAAAGTCAACAGGTTATAATTTTTAGCCAAGTAAGAAAGAAAAAGTGAAGGGCCTTGTGAAGCTGTTGATTAATGAATAAGTACAGAAAGATGAAAAGGTGTAATGCATTTAAAGAGCAGATATAAATATAGATCATGACACCCACTTCAGCATTTGATTAAATGTAGTATTTGTGGTACACACAATACATGATAAATGTAAAATACATTGTTGTATGTCATGGTGATCCCATAAGACTTGAATTCTGTCTTTTGTCCTTAAAGGATTTAGTGTCCCCTCCATTGAGGACTCAATGGCGATGGTTGGTGTGGCTCTGGTGCTCTATGGTCTCATCAAGTTTGTCTCTTGGACCTTCATCAGCTCAGGTAGCAAAAATACTGAAAAAAAACTTTGAAAAAATATTATACCTCTTTTTTGTTTTAATGAATTGTAGCACATGAGAAGAATAAAAACTATTTCACCATTTTGATATAACAGAAGAAAACATTAAAATTTGCAAAAAGAGAAAAAAAATGTTAACGCTGATGTGTGTATTTTTTCTTTGTGTCTTTTCCGTCACTGTGCGTAGGCTCAGGAGAGGCAGATAAACAAGAGAAGGTAAGGTTACTTTTTGAAACGATAATACACAAAATGTGCTATTCAGAGTGTTTTATGTGAATGTTCCACTTTCTACTTCTGCTTTATGATCATACCTGCTTATTTAATTAACAAATGTCCACTTCATCCTCTTTTAGAAAGACAAGTAAAGAAGAATGAAGTCAGCTGTTGGTAAATCAAAGATCTGGTTGTTTTGGATGTCATGGACGTAGTTTTTAAAGTAACTGTCTTTTTCAGTCTTTTTTTAAAGCTGGTGTTGATGCGTATGAGTGTTCTTTAATGGCTGTGTTGGTAAAACGTCCAGAAATAAGTTTTCTTGAGTCTGTACTCACCCAGTACATGATCATTTGTTGCTTTTTTTATTGTTTTATTTGCTAAGAGGATGGCCAAGACTTTCTTTGTGTTAGAAGGGTTTAAAGGGTCTTTTTTTCTTTTTCTTTTTGTGTTATTAAATGTCCCTAAGTGAGTCAATGTGAAGAAACAGAGGCCAAAAGAGAATACTGTTGCTGTAAATACAGAGATAATATTATGTGTGTATATTTTGAAAATTTTCCCATGTGTGTTTGTATTTGTGTTTATGTCTGTGTGCTTTTTTAAGTCATGCTGGTGTTCTGATCAGATCATTTAATTAATCCCATAATTTTCTAACTGGGAGGAAATGTAAATCAATAATGACATTTGAAGGAAATGGTTCAAACACAGCACTCAAATCTGATGGATTAAAAAATAAACTAATCTGTTAAAAACACACTGCTCCAAGATTTCCTTTTTGTTTGACATGTCTTTAGCTTTTGGACATGTTGGTGTTGTGCAGTGTTTAGAGAGTGAGAAGCTTACACATCCGTGCAGAAAAAGAGAGTGTGTTGATGTGAAAATATGACCCAGAGTTTTGATTGAAAACGTTTTTGGTATCTAAACAAGTTGGCCAAAGCCATAGATATACATAAGAAAGGCTACATGACTCGAGGCGGAGTCACCGACGTCCCTTGACGGCGGCCATCCTACTCGAGTATACCATTCTGGTACTATGTATGGTAGCTGACGGGAGGTGAGTAATCTGCATGATCAAAAATACTCTTAACTCACTGAAATCTTGACAGATTTACAAATGGTTTTGTGTATTACAGACTTCAATAACGTGGCTATGAAAGCCTTTTTTATTTTTAATTATTTTCATTTATGTATTTATTTAGTCTAAGTGACGGTCTTTGTGGATGTGCTTGTGTGTATCAGCTGTCTAACTTGGCTAACAGACTCGCTGTGAGTGAGACCAAGTACATATTACAAAGTTGACCCAGTAATTTTACATCAGTTTAAGAGGCAGAAATGCTCTTTTGTTTCAACATAATATAATCTGAAATGGCGACTTGTGGCAGAAATTTATATTGAAAATTAATATTTATATATATTATTATAGTTATCCCAATGATAGAAATATTACTAACATAACGAACATGGAATGATTAAATGTATTATATACAAATGATTCAATATAAATGCCTTGTGTGTGTAGGCCTATAGCTATTGCTCAACTCTGTTTAATGTTAATTTATAAAAATCCATCGTTAAAATTATTCTTGAGTATTCTTACAAACCAAACCATTCAAAAATCGGTTTAAAAATTAAGCAATCTATGGTTACTCACTTTTACAGACTTGCTTTTATGTGATACAGTCTTTAATCTTTTATCTCTTTTACCTCTATTTTATTTCAACTTACTGTCCTTTTAGCCTCTGTTTTACTTATAATCTTTTCTGATTTAACCTTTAAGGCCTTTTATTGATTTTATTGTTTTTCTCCTGCTCATTTTTGTTATTCCATTTTATCATTACCATTATTATTATTATTTTATTATGATTTTATTATCATTATTAATATTGTCTTTTTATATTTACTATCTATTTCCTGCTTTCTACCCCCTCCCCCTTTTTTTACATTTCTATTTCTTACCTATTTTATGTTTTTATTTTGGTCCTCATGGTCTCATTTTATAATGTAGGGTTCTTGTATTTTCTGGGTTTCTAGGCCTTGTTTTTAACTGAGATTTTGTTTTTTATTTGATTTTATTTCCACGTGCTGATGCTTTGCAACTGTTTGTCAAAGCACTTTGTAAATTTCTGTTTTTAAAAGTGCTAAAAAAATATTATTATTATTATTATTATTATTATTATTATTATTATTATTATTATTATTATTATTATTATTATTATTAACAGCGTTCGTAAGACATCTATGGCCAAAGCTAGCCGTAATCGCAAGGTGCAACTTCCGTTGGCCATTTCAGAATAAAACGCGACTGTTTCCTTTCAGTGTGCTACATCCATGAATATCATGAAACGATATATCTATGGCTACATCACCGAGCCGTTAAGCTTCAAACAAACATTTGTTTAAATTCTTTAATAATGCGATACCTTAACGTGTATTATTTGACCGGTAAACAACAAGATAAACCACCGTGGTCTTTGATATGAACTTAAATTTCGATGTTTTTTGATCTATTAATTAAAGTGACTGGATATTTGCCGTTGAATGCTATCTGTTAAGTGTTATGAGAGATTTCAGGGTTTTCTCTCAAATGAGTTCTGATAAATCGATGTTTTTAAATACTCAAACAGTCACCGGTTATGTTCAACGACAAAAAAAAGACATCCAATTACCAACGACGATACTGCCTGGTCGTCGTCAGTTATCAGCCAATCAGAGCCTTCGTTGTTGCTCCGACGTTAGCGCGTAGACTTTCGATCTGAAGTCGGCAGCATAAAGAAGTTGACGAGCGTTGTTTTTATAGATAGGAAGCCATCGGTGTTTATCTATGGTTTTTAACGAGTCCTGTTAATCGTTTTTATGTCGTGTCTAGTCATAAAAACACACAGAGAGGACCTTTTTTTCGGGCTCTTTTTTAAAATTTAGCTCCTTAAGTCACGATGCTAACTAGCTAGCTAACGCTACTTTAGCCAACCCGGGTCTAGAATCTGAAAAGATGAATCGCTATGAAACAAGATCATGTTTTGTTGCCACGACAGAGAGACATTGAAGAGGAAATCGGTGAGTGTGTGTTTCTTTATATATATAACCGTTAAATCCTCTCAGTCTTCAGTTTAACTGTTGTCTGATTCGCCGTTTTTAATGTTTTACAGTGTGTCGTTAGGTTTCTGTTCTCCCTCCGTTTCCTGGTTTCACTTTACTTAAAGCAATTATACTCTGGCTGTTTAAAGTGATTACTCATTCAGCACGAACAACTGCTATAAAAAGAGGCTGTCATATTTTCATTATTGGCTGAATTTGGGTTAAAAATAGAGGGATATTCTCAGGGGTGTGCAGTTCTCGCCTGCATTTGTCATCAGAAACTTCTTTTTGCTAATACGAATTGGCTCTTATTCAAACCTAAAGTAAACAGCTCCTTAAAGGGATACTCTGGCGTAAAGTTAAGTTAGTGTCAAACACAGCTTAACACTGTGTTAGACACCCCCTCGAGAGATGAATGTTGTCGACCGTTTGCTTCATAAGTGAAACCAACTTTAGTAACGACCGCACGATAGCAATACACAGCGGTCTGAGGAGCCATAAACAAACCTCAACCAAAACGCCACTCTATAGCCACAAATAATGCTCAGAACAGTACATATAGGGTCCCAGCCATAGTACTAGCCACCAAACATCTTTCTAGCTTTGACTAATTTCTATAGCGAAGAGACTAAACACAACTCACCTACTCTCTTCCAGCAGCCGCTTGTTTGTAGAGACCTCGGGCCAGTCCATTACAGACTACAGCGGGGTGACGCAGCTCAAGGAAGAACATTTATGATCATTTCTTCATGGAAATTCAACTTTATTTGTATGGCACTTTTCATACAAAAAAACCCAACAATAATGAGAAAAAAAAACAACCCTCCCATCCACACACACCCATGAACCCACACGCACACAGAGACACTCACCTACACATACGCACAGAGAGACATGGCCTGACACCAAGACATTACGCAAAGAAAGAGCTACCTTTAGGAAACACTGGAGATAAAAGATAAAAATGATAAAAAAAAGAAAAAGTAAAACCTGATGAACTAAAACAAGAAAATAATATTAAATGAACAGATAAGTAAAAGCGCCTTACCATAAAAAAGGGGGTAAAAGAAGTAAAAACCTGTGACAGGAATTAAGAAAAAGACTAAGAACAGAGATAATTAATGGAATGACATGAGATAAACATTAAGAACTTTGATTCAAATAAAAATTTGCAATTAGAGAAAAATATAAAATGGCAATTAGTGAAAAGCCTGGTTAAAAAAGTGAGTCTTGAGCCTCTTCTTAAAAACATCAACAGTCTCTGAGGCTCTCCGGCAGGCTGTTCCACAACCGGGGACCATAAAAACTGAAAGCTGTGTGTTTTTGTTTTGACTTTGGGTAGGTTAAAAGGCCTGTGCCTGAGGACCTCAGGGTCCGCGAGGGTTGATATGGTCAAAATAAGTCAGATAAATAGGAGGGGCCAAGACCGTTAATACATCTAAAGACTAATAAAAGAACCTTCAAATCAATCCTGAATCCAGACATGATAAAGAAATGATCATAAATGTTCTTCCTTGAGCTGTGTCACCCTGCAGCAGTCTGTAATGGACTGGCCCGAGGTCTCTACAAACAAGCGGCTGCTGGAAGAGAGTAGGTGAGTTGTGTTTAGTCTCTTTGCTAAAGAAATTAGGCAAAGTTAAAAAGATGTTTGGTGGCTAGTGCTGTGGCTGGGACCCTATATGTCCTGTTGATGAAGTTAGGTGCTGTTCTGAGCATTATTTGTGGCTATAGAGTGGCGTTTTGGTTGAGGTTTGTTTATGGCTCCTCAGATTGCTGTGTATTGCTATCCTGCGGTCGTTACTAAAGTTGGTATGACTAGAGAAGCAAGCCGTGGACAACATTAATCTCTCGGGGGGGTGTCTAACTCGGTGTTATGGTGTGTTTGACCCTAAATTAACTTTACGCCAGAATATCCCTTTAAGCCCATGGTGAACAGCTCCTTAAATGCATCACATTCATTGTGGTCAACTACAACACTGCCACTTTCCCATTTGCAGATTTTATTGTTCAGAATTGGGTTTATTGCCAAGTAGGTTTACAGAGGACGAATCTGTCATGGTGGTTTGATGATAAAACTATAAACGCAGAGATCCAATAGAAATGAAAATAGAGTCAATTAAAGTTAAAATTTAAGTTAAAAGTGTTTTAACAGCAGTAAGAAGACAGAAAAAGATACACTTAATAAAATGGTTGACTTTTAAAAAACTTAAAACATACAGTAGATCAAATCTGATACAGACAGCTCTGCGTTTCTTCAGAATGATAGGAGCTCAAAATCGAGCAACAAACTTAAAACAACTCTATTGACTTCATGTTTTTATGGTCATCCTTTAATACAGATGAAAAGCATTTTGAGTTTACATGAATCAGAAGTCGTAAAAGTCTCTGGGCTGTGGTGTTGTCAATGAGGGTTTATTTTATCTGCTTGAATTTAGATGTTTTCTTTTTATTTCCTCTATATAATGAGTTCATAAACCATAAGTAAGGCTTTAAAGCAGAGGAGTGTCTCTTTGTTTGAGATGTTCAAGCCCAATTTCTCTCTCTTTGTAGAAACAGTAAGAATTTTTGATGGCGGTGGCTCCCGCCTCGATGGCGGATAAGATCATAGTCCTTGACGATGAAGAGGATTGTCCTCGGCCCTCCTGCTCTGCCTCCACCTCGTCTTCGCAGCATCAAGCCAAAAACTTCTCACCGTTCAGAGCTCAGCAGTCTGCCCCCACCCACATCACCAAGTCACCTTTTGCCTCAGCCAAGAAGGACTCGCATGTTCTGCAGGTGGAAAACCAGAGCTTGTTTGCCGAGGTAAGCTCACATGAAGAGGCTATCTATTTTTCTATCACTCGACATCCCTTTGCACTACTACCTAAAACCAATACTTTAATGACTGACAGCCTGATTGAACAACTGAGACCTGTAATTATGTCTCCACATCAAGAGAAAGTGTAAACCAGTCAAACCCGAGTCTCATTATTCTGTTAATATTTTGACATTTTTATCTGATCCTCTCACACCACAACATTCTCGGTAATCTTTCCCGCCCCTTCTTATAACTCTCTTCATTTCTGCCTGTAGTTTGTGGAGCACTGCTCAGCACTCACTAAGGACTGCCCCGAGGTCTTGACTTTCCTCCAGGCCAAGCACTCAAAGGCCTCCCCCGAGTTCCTGTCATCGGTGGAGTTCAGGAACACTCTGGGACGATGTTTGACTCGTGCTCAGGCCAACCGCTCCAAAACCTTTGTCTATATAAACGAACTGTGCACGGTGCTCAAGAAGCATGCGGCCAAGAAGAGGCAGACCCTCAGCAAAGTTCAGCCTGAGCCTTGTACCTCAACGTCAAACTCTCACCAGTCTACCTCTGCTAACCTGAGAAGTAAAAACAAGACTAAAGATAAGACGGAGGAGGAGGAGGAAGATAGTGGCAACGTGGCCTCAGATGATAAGCAACCCTCCTCATCAGCGCTGCAGGAAGGCACCGAGGAAGATAAACGGAAGGAAGAGGAAGCTGAGAAAAAGGCAAATCGGGCGTCTAGGAAACAGGTTTGTGTTGAACACCGTGTAACATAATAACTGTTGGCATTGGACTCGAAAAAAAATATTCAGGGAGTTCTGTGAAGGCAAAAACATCAAATCACTCATCATGTGTGTTTACATTTTTTAGATGGCGTACCTGGAGAACCTCCTGAAGGTGTACAACGAAGAGATCTGCCGCCTGCAGCGAGCCGAGCTAAACTTGAACGACATGGAAACTGAGGACTCTTCATACATTCAGGAGCACAAACTCAAGCGCAAAGTAAGGCGGAAGTTGGGGCTAAAAAACAGCCGGGAAATAAGAACCGGGTCGTACGAGAACTTATCACAACTCTTTCCTGCATTCTCCTCTTCCAGATGATGAAGATTTATGAGAAGCTGTGTGAACTGAAGGGCTGCAACACGCTGACAGGCCGAGTCATTGAGCAGAGGATCCCCTACAACGGCTCACGCTACCCTGAGATCAACAGACGGGTAGAGTATTAGAAATGTTAACTTGAAAACGAGAGGAATCCCAGTGTATTTCAGTCACAAGAGAGACTTTATCGAACACTCCTGCTAACTGTAGATATCCATAAAGTTCAAGGGTCACTTCAAACACACCATAAAACTGAGTTAGACACCCTCTCGAGAGATTCAAATTGCTGGCCGCTTGCTTCTCTAGTTTTACCAACTTTAGTAACGACCGCAGGATAGTAATAAACAGCGGTCTGAGGAGCCATAAACAAACCTCAACCAAAACGCCGCTCTGTAGCCACAAATAATTGATCAGTTTATTTGTCTCTTTCATTAGTTTTTCTCTTTTAGCGAGTTTGACATGATCGTGAATCTTTGCCTGCATCTCTTCCGTCCGTCAGATCGAACGTTTCATCAACAGTCCTGAGATGCAGAGGAGCCCTCCGGATTACCAAGACATCCTCCAAAAAGTAATACAAGCCAACGAGCGCCACAACCTGAGCCTGAGCAGGAAACAGCTCAACCAGATCGCCCAGGAGGCCTTCAGAGAGACCGGTCACCTCATGCAAGAGAGGCGCCACCTGGACCTGGTGTACAACTTCGGCTCACACCTCACCGACAGCTACAAGCCCGGTAAGACTTCAGGCAGTGACTGTGACTGTGTCCGATTGACCGTCGGAGCAGATTTCCCCCCAAAAAACAATCACAATCAAACTGTGGTTTACTCTCTTCACTTGTCTGCCCTCTCTAAAGCTACAGACCCGGCTCTGACAGACCCCTCTCTGCTGCGAAAGCTGCGCTCCAACCGAGAAATGGCTCTCTCCCGCCTGGAGGAGGTCATCACCCAGTATGCCGGCAAACAAGAGGATGTAGAGGAGCAGGAGAGGATGAAACGACAGGAGAAAGACAGCAAAGACAAAGAGGTACGAGAGTTATTTACAAATGCGTTCACTCTCAACAATATTAGAGGAAATATACATGAGGACGTGCTCGTAATGAGACAAAGGCAACGTGGTGAGAGCTTTTCTCAGGATATATAACTGAATGAAACTGGTTCTGGTTTTCACTCCACACTTCTCGTCTTTCCAGGGCACTAAACCAGACAACGAAGAGGACAAAAAGGAGGCGAACAAAGTTGAAGAGGAAGGAGAGGAAGAGGTGGAGGGGAGCGATGACGACGATGATGAAGAAGATGACGAATCTTCAGACCCAGACATTGAGGAGGAGATTCGAGCCAGCACTCAGCAGGTCGGACCAGGTAAGAGAAAGAAAAGAGAACGATGTCAAGATCACAACAACATCAGCTCTGTGGAAGATGGTTCAGGGGGTGACCCTGGTCCAGATCTTCATTCAGTCTGGTTGTGTCTTTGATGACTGATGGTAGGGCTAGATGATAAAAAGATAATGATATCAAAAATTAGTTTCCCTCAATATCAATATAAAACATGGTTTATATGCTTTAGAGACTTTATGCTGAATTCGAACCAAGTAGCGAACAGCTACGTAGTAACAGGCAGCAGCTACACGCAACCATAACACTTTAACACGTGAAGCGGCCAGAATGTTGGTGAGAAAATAAGAAAATGAGTGCATGATGATATGACGATATCGTCAACAACACAGGCAAGAAAGCGTCGGTGGTGTGGAGGTATTTTAGTTTTTTTTTTTGAGGTCCGACATGAAGCAGAGAAATGTGTAAATTATGTCGAGTTCATGTTCTCACAAAGTCATAAAGTTGGGAAATAACTCACATCTTTTTCACCACCTGAAGCAGCGCCACGCCGCGGAGCACATACAGCGCAAAAGGTTACAAACCCCGTGTGAAGCAAGGAGCCCATGGCGCCTGTGCGGCCGAAACAGACGACCAATCAGTCCGCTTTCTCTAGAGCAACGACTCACAACAAAACGTCAAAGAGACACAAAGACCTCAGAGATGCAGGAGATTATTGAATTGCAAAAGACATGCGACCAATAAACACTGTTAAATCTTATTTTTTATATCATGATATTTCTCGACATCGACTGATATGAAAAAAATATATCCTGATTAACTTTTTCCCATATTGCTCAGCCCTAACTGATGGTATCGTAGACTCGAGGCATAAACTCCTGTCTGACATGTTTGATTGTGGCGGCTCCAGTAGAAACCACCAGAGCCTGGACGAAAAGTGGTTAATACGGCTGTTTGGTATTTCACCTCTCTTTGTAGATGACGATGATGAAGATGACAGCAACGAGGCAGAACAAGCTGCTGATAAAACCAGCAAGGAGGATCAGGCCGACCAGCTGTCAGAGAGCGTCTTCACGGGGGCGGAGGGAAACGCCAACCATGAGGAGGAGGAGCCCGTCACAAGTGGCCTCAGTCCTCCTGATTATGAAAACAAGTCACAAATCTCCCCGCTGTCTGACATCCCCTCTCCCAGACACAGCCCCAGCCAATCAGAGTCCATACAGACTGATGACCACCAGCCGTTGTCCAATGGTAACCTCACAAAACTCAAGGAGCCCGTGGATTCCTCCAATCATGTTTCTCTTGTGCTGGTAAGCACGAGCAAGAACACCGAGGACTCCCCCTCTCCTCCAGCAGCCAACGGCGTGTCCATGTCACAGGCAATCATCATAGAGTCATGTGACACGCAAACGATGATCGACACATCGCCACCGCCCAGCCCCAGAACCAGGGGGGGCAAGAAGAGGAAGAGGGAGGAGGAGTCCCAAAACAAGAGGCACATCATCATCCATGACAGGTACGGTGAGGTTAGATTGAAGTTACCTGGAGAACTTTGGGAGCAACGAAACGTGAGACATCTGTGTGATATACAAAAACAGAAAAAGACGGACCTCGGTCATCTTTGGTTGTTATAGTTTGATTCTAGTTAATGAGGTCGACTTAGAGAATCATGTTTGATCGTGACTTATGTTAATGTTAATCATAGTCATGATCCTTGTGTTTTTCTTCTACCTGTTCATTCCTTTTTCTCCCGTCTCTCTCCCTCCCTCCTCAGTGAGGTCGATATTCCTCTGGACATGGGCGTTTACACCTGCAATTCCCCACCGCCGGCCGACTTCGCCAGGGATGACACGCCAACCCGGGACATAGTCAGCAGCTCGCAATCGACGCCGCCTCCTAAGAAAAACAAGGTGAGAGCGTGTGTGAGCGTGAGGTCAGGCATTAACTGACCAGCAGCTTCTTCGGATCAGAACGAGTTCATGTTTGTGAAATCTGTCCAGTTGTTCCTTTTTTGGTGGGTCAGTTTTGTTTGTGCCGTTTAAAGGCATAGTTGACGATCAGAGAGATTAGTAATTATAATGAATCTCGTTTCTATGGCGATCATGGTCCTATAGTGCGATCTCCACAAAGTGAGGAAAAGATCCGTTCATCCTCACAGGTGCAGGGCTGCAAAAGCATTGACCAATGGGAGCCGTCCGTCCCAGACAGCTCCTATTAGTCAATCCCCTGCTCCGCCTCTCCATCCAATCACCTCGCTGTATCTGACACACCCCTCTCCCGTAGTTTTCGACTCGTCCCCTCCCACTCTCCCGAAGCTCTGAGCAGCTAAAAGTAGAGTAGCAGCTTAGCTACAGGAGCTGTGATGGAGAAGGACACAAAAAAAACACTTCTACTTGCCTTCTACCTTCATCCCATCATTGTGAAGTGTTGAAAACTAGAATAACGTGACCAGAAGACTCTGCCCGCCACAATAAAAGAAGTCAGAGGTCGCACACTTATAACTCTTTCACTCTGTCTCTACAGGTCAACGTCGCCACCCAGTGTGACCCTGAGGAAACCATCGTCCTGTCAGACTCGGACTGACCTTTGACCTCTCACTGTTCTGCAATATATGCCCACCTCACACTGAAACTCTTTTTTTTTGTTTGTTCTAAAAGCACGTCTGTCCACAGACTGCTCCCATCTGCCGGCTCACAAAGTCGAAACTGCAGGTTTGAAAATCATGTGAAACGTTTCTGCAGGATACAACAACAACAACAACAATAACAACAACAACAACAACAGCAGCCGTCTGTAGCTGAGGAAGACAGGGAAAACTACGAGCCGAGTTCCTCATGTCATCCGATTACATTTGAGCGGACAAAAACAAAGACAGGACTCAAAAATAAAAAGACTTGAAAGAAAGCTGCTTAAATGGACTTTAAAGAGAAAAAAATCAGGGTTTCTCTCTCTCTCTTTCTCTCTCTCTCTCGGGATGTTCATTTCTTGACTTGAGGAAGAAATCAGTGCCTGATGTTATGATCTGTGCTGTGGGATGGAATTTTTTCACACATTAAAAACTGGTGAGAGCTGAGGTAGCAGCGCTTTGTTTACATTTTTATAGTTGTAATCACTTTTTTTTTGCCTATTGAGGAGTGGAAGTGTGGGTGTGCTCAAATGATTTTTCAGAGGATGTTGTTTTACTCGTTAATATTTATGCATTAATTTAGTGACGACTCTACAGTGTTATTTTTCCCTCCATGTTCCCCTTTTTTCCGTCATCGTTCTGTTTTTAGGTCGGTAATAAATAAACAAATGTGAGGTTTTTTTTCCCTTTTAGAGATCTGTCCCCGCAGGAGTGATGAAGTTTCCAGATTATTTTTAGTTTGAGGATAAATTTAAAAAGTCAAAATAAGACCAAACATATCACAAGATTTCTCTATACTACTTCATATTGGTCGTTTCTGTGCGCCAAAATGAGTTCCCATTTACCCTTTAAATACACTAATGAGCTGCTGTATGTGAACACTGAACATGGTCAGACATTATAATGAACACGGGTGCCCAAAAATAGTCCCTGCTGAAGTTCAGAAAAGTTTTTAAACAGTGGTGTTTATGTTTTATTCAGATTAAAAGGTTAGGCGACTTTAATTTCGACCTGTTTCCAGATTCATGTGTTTAAAGCTGAACTAAAAGGGCTCTGAGATGAGAGGGGAGTTTGCCGACTGCGCTGTTGATGCACTTCTTAAAATTTGAATTAAAATCAGTCGGCACAGGTCAAACACACAAGTATATGCACATGCACAGAATTGAAAAGGAACTCTGCTTTCTTCCAGACGTGAGAAGTTTCTGTTTTATTTTCATCGGAGTCGTCATGCGGGGCTTTTTCTGCACCTGCTCCCTCCTGTTGATACACTGGGTTTTAGCTTAAACCTGGATGACACTTTATATTATTTTTGGGATTTATACAACCTCTTTTATGTACTTTCCCCACTTTGATCCTGTTTTTACATTTTCTTTTGCGTTGGTGTTCAAAAGTTATGGAAATGTGGACTTTGAATGTAGTTGTTGCAGCTACGACCCGTCAGGCCTAATTTCTGCAGAGGAGGAGGGATCCATTATTGTTCACTGTGAAATTTTCCTTCATTTTTGATATTAAAAGATGTTTTTTACATACAGCTGGTGTGTGTGTTCGTGATTTGACTTTTACTTTCGGGCCTTTAGACCAACTTAATCTGTCAGTTTTAGAAATTAGTCTGAATCTAGTGACTGATTTGCATGAAATGTGCAACTTCTTGGTTCATTATTTACTGTTTCTATGAACTTTTATTTAGTTTATTTGATTCAGTTAAGAATATGAAACTGAGGCACATGAAGAAATAGTAAAAAAAAAAATAGTAAACTTCAAATCATGATTATATGAATTCACAATTTCTGATTCTTTAGGTCTAGAAACCAGGCCCTGATTAAAAACCACCATACCTACATTTAACAGGTGTTTGAAATCCAAATATGTGAAACTGTAATTGTAGTTGTAAAATAAAAGGAAGATTTCACCCTTTTTTTTAACCTCTAAACCACGATGGATCACACAACATTTAAATAGGACACAAAAATCACAAAATCGTCCTTTTTTCTGAAGTTTTCACACATTAAAAAGGTTTAACAAATCCAAAGCAGTCATAAATTCCCACATAAAGCTCTATATTAATCAGGCGCAATTAAAAAAAATCTAGTTTCTCCTCCTTATTTGTTGAGTTTCTCCTCATGAGGCTGAAAATGAGATCAAATTCAAGACACGTTTCTCACCAAATAATTTATTAATGTGTTATTTCGATACAGGGCAGAGGTGAATGTTGATGTTTTGAAGTTCATTACATTATTATACCCACTCAAGATTTACATCAATCTCTTCTGACACCTGTCCCTTTCTGTTTAACAATCAGCTGGTCGTTCAGAGGACATGAGAGGAGTTTAAACATCTGAGAAATGTACAAAAATAATACAAAAGACAACCCTCTTAATCCCAGCAGCAGCTTTTAGCCTCAAACTCTGTTCAGCTCATCTTTACATTTACTCTTCATACAAGAACACATGAAAGTCTATCACTCAAGGAACCCATTTAGATGAGGGTGTTATAATTAAAAAAATATTAAAGCTCCTGTGTAGAGTTTCGCGTGGCTATGAAACAGAAGATATGAGGTCTGTCCACAAGGGGGCGCCAAATTCAAGAAAAACTGAAATTTTCTTACAGGAGCTTTAAAATAAGCCTGTTTTTGGCTGAGCTGTTTCTGTACCATAGACTGTAAATACTATGGACAACTTAGTTCCGCCTCCCGCCTGTATACGGATTTGAAGCCGAAAAGCTCTCGATATTTCTGCGATTTTTCTCCATCTTCTCCGTTGTGCGCATTTAACGGGAGAGTCGCCGAGAGTCGCTGTGATGACGCTCGGCTCAAACAGCGTATCCCCCGGGTGAGCTACGCAATCTTCGTACGCCAGTAGGCTGTATCAGGTGTCAATCATAGAAAACATGAACCCCCTAATGACTTAAAAATGGAGCTGTACAGAAAAAAGAGGACTTGAGCACAAACCAGTCTTACAGTAACTACATGTCAACATCACAACCAGGGGGGAGAAAAAATTAAATTTTGAGTAATAAATTTCTAAAGTTTGTCCACAGCTCCATGAGATTACTGGAGAAGGCGGGGTTTAGGACCTATACTGCAGCCTGTCACCAGAGGGTGCTGTTCTCGATGTAGCTTCTCCCAGCAACGAGGCAGACTGTGTCCATTCTATATACAGTCTATGGAACATAATGAGAGATTCATTTACTCTGACGCTGCTCTTCAACTCTCTTTTAGTCAACTCTTAAATGTGGGGTAGTCAGGATCTGAGAAAGTTCCAGTTTTTAGGAGAAATCTTGAACGTAAACTCTACCCCTCCCAACCAGTTTTCCCCTCAGCTCCTCCTCTCCCCTCCCTATCTGCTCCAGCAAGCCCCGCCCACAAACAGATGCTCCTGCTCGCTGTACCTCCCGCCTCCTTTGCCTCAGATTGGCTAGAAAAGTCATCACACGCTTAAGCCAAGTGCAGGCTGTCTGCTCTGTGCATCGACCAGAACGTTATCACACTTTTGAATCCTGCAGCCCTAACCCCAAACCTAACCCGACAGACAATGAAGAGCCCAGCACTTCTAACCAATCAGAGGCAAAGGACGGCAGGACCTTCCCCTACCATCCCACAAAATAAAATCTTGCCTGCTGGACCCGAGGTAAACAGTTTAGCTAGCGGCGCTACAACACGCTACAGCAGGTCCCATTTGACAAGAAACACTTCTGTTACAGACACTTGTCTTACTTTGTTAAAGCGGTTTACCTGTCCAGCAGAAAGGTTACAGGGTCACCAAGATCCAGAAGCACATATGCTTCATTGACCTTGACCCGGCTTTTTAGCTCTTGTCCGGTCTACCTCCGTTTTAAGCGCCCGTTATTCCTCCAGAGTCTCCGGTATTTACTTTGTTTTCTTGCTTGTGTCGGCAGTCGTGGCCAAAGGAGGATTCAGACAATTTTCTGAACTTTCTGGTTGGTTTCTACTGTCCGATATTGTAGCACGCTAACTTTGTTTGGGCTCGTGAACGACACGGGGGAGCAGCGTCTGCCTCACAACCAATCAGGTAAGAGGAGGTGGAGAACGGCTTTGTTTACAGTCAGAAAGAGCGGGCCGCTCAAAAAACTACACAGGCATAAGAGAACACAGTGATATTGTGATATTCCCAAATGTCATCAATAACTAATAACTATTAATTGATATTAAAATCTTTTTTATATAAACACCACAAATAAGACGCTTCTTTAACAGATTCCTGCCTACCCCACCTTTGAATAAAAAGACTTCACCTTTCATACTTATTCTACAATCATCTGCATACACTCAGCAGCTTTTCAGATTGGATCAAACAAGAGGAACATGAAACCAAAGCTACCAAAGGAAAATAAATCATGTTTGAGGCAGAGTCTGAGGTAAAACTTGAGGTCACTCTTCACAGAAAACAGATTCAAAAGCCAACAGTCCTTAAAAACTCTGAGCCCCAAACCTGCGTATAAAAATATCCAAACCCAACCTTCACAGAAGGTAAAAACATTCAACTCCGACGTCTTTTTCTCCGACAGGGAAATCTCTAAAGGCATGCACAAACGTCATTAAAGAGGTCATGTGTTATATTTCCTCCTCCACTGACTGTCCTGGTCTGAAGTTACTCCGGCAAGTTGACACATATTGGTGTTGTTTTTGTACACAGTTTGATTTGATACAGTAAACAGAAGAATAAAAATGAACACATCTTCACATCGACATAAACATCCCACAGGGGGGCACACTTCAGTAAAAGGCAGCTCAGTTTCTACAGGTGGACTAAGTTGACTGCACCACATGGTGTAAATTTGACAAATTGGAAAAACTTACAGATTCAGGCCATGAAAATGTAAATAATCTGATTTAAAAATGTCGATAATATTCAAGGATCTTGTGGTCAAATGCAGAAAGAAAGCCCACCTCTTTAAACAGTGACAGATTCTGGGATTTACTGACACCTAGTGGTGAGACAGGAGTACTACCTCTACCAATTTTATCAATCTGCACTTCTCACTTTGCATTTCAATCAATTACCTGTCTTTGCGATATGTCTTAATGAGAGAGAAAAATAGAAAGTGAGGAAATGTGAGACCAACTTCAAACAAAAGTGGAAATAAGGAGACAAACTTTTGAGGCTGTGATCGTTTCCTGTCAACGATGGCATCATTACAGACAAACAAAAAGCACCATACCGACATTTAAAGAATAATACATTAAAAAACGACGGAATATAGAGCAGTTTATGAAGCTGTGTGAAAACAAAAGATATAAATGAGGTCTTACTTTGTTTGTGAACCAGGTACCAAAAAGTGAGGCTTCCTTTACGGATCAATATTTCGTTCAACGACTCTTCAATCTTCTCTGTTCGTTATCTCACCTCACAGGTGAAAGAAATAATTGCTGATTAGAAACATCTGGTCCTGTGTGTGTTTGAGGGGACACCTCTGGTTTTAGCCTCTTAGTTAGGGATATATATATATATACATTTCTATATTTGAGTTTTATTTTGTAGATTTAGTCTAAAAAGGAGGCCTCACATTTTACAGGAGCTGCGCTTGTACTCAAAATTCAGCTCCGACGACACCACCGTTAACCTGTGAAAGTACTTTTCAATCCCAGTCCTGTAACCGCTCAAGTTTGTGTAGAACCGAAGCAGATCAAGTGGCAGCAAATGCATCATTACAACAAGTTAGTATTAGTTTCTGATCTACAGAGTAAACAACATATATCTCTTTATATTTACAGCGATTATGATAAACTTGTCAAAGCACGAGAACTCTGCGAACGACGAGGGAAAGCAGCCGAACTGAACCCAGCGGAGAAGCGATGAGCCGCCTCCTGCTTTTTAGAGGTTCAGAGAGGCTGTTTGGATCGACTGAAGGTAGTTTTCATGACTATCAAAGCTGATCTCTAATGTAGATGTTATATAAACTAGTTTATACGCTGCTTGTGTGTTTAAATTTCAAACATTCAGTCAGGAGAACGAATCGAGAAGAGCCTGAAACCTTAAGTGAAGGTTATTCTGTGCCTTAAATCTCTGCACATACAGCAGAGTGAATCTGGGCTCCTTCAAAACAGGATTAAAAGTGTTTCTTTTACATTTCAGGGCTTCACCATCAAATAAAGCAGCTGTGTAAAATCATCTGAATCGACATGGCAGTGCTGAAAAACAGGAGTAGGTGTATCGCTGCTGTAAAGAAAAAACAAATCTGCAACTTAAGCTGCTTGTTTTGAATCGTCTGAGTTACGAAGGAACATTTTTCACTCGCAGTTTAGTGTTTATGTTGATTAAAATCTTATAATAACAATACATTACAATACGATACTGCAGAGAATCACAGCAATTCAGAACAGCCACTTTTCTACTCTACTTACACGATAATGAAGACGGAGTGAAGCTTTTGACGTTTTTTGGTTTCCTCTCGGTATAAACAGCGTTCTGACACAGATCCTTCAAAATAAACTTTCATAACAACTCTGGTATTTAGAACAAAAGCTCACGGACTGGAGGGGAAGAGGTCCATTTTTAGTGAGGCCACTTTTCGGGGTCAAGTTCCCGAAAGTCTTTGCGGTACGAGGAGTGGAGGATAGTTAGAGATGGCGTCAGGATGACCACTATTTCAGAAACTTGACGGCACAACAGTCAACGGTGGAATCTTAAAACGGCAAAGTTTCGTAGACACGGACATGTTCTTCGTCAGACTTGATAAGGTCTTCACCATCGCTGCTGATGTGAGCGTTGGCAGTTTAAAAGTGCTTCACCTTCTCTACGTTTACCTTCCTGTAAAATCAGCGGCAGAAACTTGACTGTCAGGCATCTGTTGGAAAAAAAACACACTTTTGGTTTAAGTCACGCTACTTTCGTTGGCACCCACCTCACACACGTTTTCATCACACACACTTCGACCCAACCCCAGACCTCCAAACATCCCCGACCCCTGACCTGGACTCGAAACAACCCCGAGAAGCGCCCCCGCGGCGGCCATGTTGTTACCCAGAGCAGCGCTGCTGTTGCTCACGCTGTTGCTGCCGCTACTTCCTGCAGCGGAGACGCCGCCGTGCTGCGGCGACAGAACAGAGCCCGAGAGATGTGGGGAGGAGACAGACACTCCTCCTCTTCCTCCTCCTCCGAGGATACCTCCCTGTCCTCCCTCTCCTGCAGACAGGAGGAGGTGAGGTGAGGACAGCAAATCTGGACCGTCCTCACCTCCGCCTCCTCCTCTCCTCCCTCCCTCGCCGCTACTCCCCCCTTCGCTGCCCTCCCCCAGCCCGCTGCGCCTCTCGCAGTGTGAGCGGTGTCTCATGAAGCTGTCGCGCCACATGAACTTCTTGCCGCAGCCGAGGCAGTCGTACGGTTTGAGGCCCGTGTGCGTCTTCATGTGCTCGGTGAGGTGGTGCTTCATCTTGAACTTCTTGGCACAGACGGGGCAGTGGAAGGGCCGCAGGTCCAGGTGCATGTTAATGTGGCGGTCCCTCATGCTCTTGTGGGTGAAGGTCTTCCCACAGTGGCACATGAACACTTTCCCTGAACCCCCCGTGCTGCTGGCGCTTCCCCCACTCCCACTTCCTCCTCCGATCCCTCCGCCGTCCAAGCCGTCAACTCCTAACCCTCCCTGCACTGACAGGTGCACCGCGCCGTGCTCCAGACCGGGTCCTTTGAAAGAGGCTCCTCCCATCATCCCCCCTGCCAGCCCCAGAGAAGGAGCGGCTGTGTCCAGAGAGAGACCTGAGGATTGGCTGTAGAGGAGGATCTGGTTCCCCTGCATGTCCAGAGGGAAGAGCTGAGCCCGGGCCGAGGCTGCACTCTGAACCTGGCCCAGCAGCGCTGAAACAGCACGGTTGGTGCCCTGGTTCTGACCCGCGGCACTGTCATGGAGGTGCTGAGCTAAAGTCTGCTCCATTAAACTGCCTTCAAACTTGAGGTAGTCTTCTGAGGACTGGCAATAGTCCACCTGCAGACAGACGAGAAGATGGTTTTAGAAGAAGAACTGAAAGAAACAAACCTTCTCTTACAACACATGATCTGGAGTTTGAAGCACTTTCAAAGTTGTGAAATTTTTAAAAAAGTGACTTTAAAATACTTTTTCATAACTTTAAGAGAGTCCTCTATGGAGAATGTGCAGTAAACTGTGAATCATGTTGAAAATTCTGCACAAATCTGATTGATTAAATGATTGATTGAAGTTTATTTTGAATATGCAAACCAAAAATATAAAAAATAAAAGAAGAAAAGTAAGGCCAAACATTTAAACATAAATCATAGGAATACATAATCGAAAGGGAGTGAGAAGAAGAATAACTTATGAACTCCCACCCCTTCCCTTTAAATAGTAATTACCCACACCAAGCTTCAGTGCAACTTGTTTAGATGTCCCTGATAATTAAAGATCAATAAAGTACATTCACTTAATACAGCACATACATAAAAGCAACAAAACAAAACAAGAAAGAAACAAAAAAACAAAACAAAAGAAACAACAACCTCATGACACTTAGTGCCACCCAACACCTTCCTCATCCCTGTACCTTTTTGAAATAGAGTCTTTATACCTCATTTTAAACTTTGTAAACATGTTTGAACGTCGCTTTAACTCCATGAAAACCTGTTCCAGTCTCACCTCACTCTCTGAAACACAAAAACCCTTCCTCTTTGTCCGAATTAAAGTTAATTTTTCACCTTAAATTATAACTTCCCTCATGCATACTGAAAAATCCCGGTTTCAGACTCTCAGCTCACCTGTGAGTCCATGTCGCTCTCGGCTCGGCCCCCCAGCTCGGCTGAAAGGCTCCTGACATTGGAGATGTTGAAGTCGCTTCTCTCCCTCTCTCTGGCCAGCTCCAGCTCTCTCTCGTCTTCGTCCTCCTCATCTTCTCCTCCTTCCTCTCCAGAAACGACGATGAGGTCGTCGTCCTCCATTCGCTCCGTTTTCACCACCACCCACTGTTTGCGAGGCATGATGCTGGGCTGGCTGTAGGTGGGACGTTTCTGAGGTGTCAATGCCGGTTCCTCCCCATCCTTAAAACAGAAATATACAAAATTACAAAAACTAAACTAAACTTCAGAGTCCAACTGGAGCTACGAAACTTGAGAGTAAAAGTCTGAAGGTGCTTTAGTCACATGACTCTGATGAAGCTTCACTCCTCACCTGATAGGAGGAAACACCGAAGCTATCGCTGACCCCGACTTCCTGCTCCGACACTGAGCTCGTTTTCTTCCTCCTCCCACTTCCTCCTCTTCTTACTCTCTTCCTTTGGTGATAAAGCACCTCCTCCTCTTCCTCCTCTGCTTCCTCATCCTCTTCTTCAATTAGGAATCCTTCCTCTCCTCCAGACGGGGTGCAGTAGCTTGGGGTGTTGCTGGCTCCGCCTCCATCCACCGACGCTCCCGCTGCAGCTGCGCCGCTCCCCCCGAAGCTGCTCCCGTCCCGGGGGCTGAAGTAGTTGGTGCTGCTGGGAGACTGGCTCTCACTCACCGACGGTCGGCTGGGAGGTTGGGAGGCGCGCTGAGCTTCGACCACCTTCACTTGACCTGCAACATCCATACTGTTGCTACCAGCTCCATTGACACCACCTGTATCTCCGTCACCGTTGCTGCTGCTGCTACACCCGAGGTTGGCTGACCCTCCGCCTCCTCTGACGCCTCCTTCATCCTGCATGCCGCCTCCTCCGCCGCTCCCCGCTCCTGCGCGGCCCTCCCTCAGCAGCTCTGTGCATTTGTCCACGATGTGCCACATCTGCAGCACGCTGCCCACAGTGAGGTAGTTGACGATGTCCTCACGCAGCATCCGGAGCTGACCGGTGTAGGCGCAGCTCAGCACGCTCTCAAACGCCAACGGGTCCATTACAGCGGGGATGGAGACGGTCGACATGTTCTTCAGTAGTACCTGGAAACGAGTGACAATGAATGATAATAATAATAATAATAATAATAATAATACATCAAAATAATAACTTGATCCTTGATCTTTGCAGAGAGGATCAGCCTATGGAGTCTAAAAGTTGCTATCTTGTCTCTCTGCGAACCAAAACTAAGACCCCTTAAAACTCAAACTCACAACTCACTTAAAGGGATATTCCGGCGTAAAATCAATTTAGGGTCAAACACACTGTAACACCGAGTTAGACACCCCGTCAAGAGATCAATGTTGCCGACCGCTTGCTTCTCTAGTTATACCAACTTTAGTAACGACCGCACGATAGCAATACACAGCGGTCTGAGGAGTCATAAACAAACCTCAACCAAAACGCCACTCTATAGCCACAAATAATGCTCAGAACAGCACCTAACTTCATCAACAGGACATATAGGGTCCCAGCCACAGTACTAGAAACCAAACATATTTTTAACTTTGACTAATTTCTTTAGCAAAGAGACTAAACACAACTCACCTACTCTCTTCCAGCAGCCGCTTGTTTGTAGTGAGACCTCAGGCCAGTCCATTATGGACTGCAGCGGGGTTTCACAGCTCAAGGAAGAACATTTATGATCATGTCTTTATGGAAATGCAATGAGACTGAGATGGTAAGGCAGAAGAACTACTGCATCTGAAATGCAAAATGATTTAAATGGTGATTATTACTTTAAGGAAATGATAAAGAAATGATCATAAATGTTCTTCCTTGAGCTGCGTCACCCCGCGCTGCTGGAAGAGAGTAGGTGAATTGTGTTTGTGTTTCTGACTGTTTGTGTGGTGCCTGACAGTGCACTTATGATTTCAGTTTTCGCTCTAATTATTAGATATTAATCTAACCAGATCAACAGCGACCCTAATATAACATCTGCCATAATTTTAATAAGACAGTTTTATAATTTAGTCAATTTAATTTTTTATTTTCATTTTATTGAAATAGAGGTTCCTGACAAAGTCAAAAAGTCTTGAGGCAGAAAAGCTAATTTAAGTTGTTCTTTTAAGCTTTTAAAAACAAAAAGGGGTCGGTGCAGACCCTAAAACCGGAGGAGGGTTAAAAATACACAACTTGTGTCTTGCTGCAATACATGTTGAAGATCATCTTTTAGCAACAACAATTGTCATTAAAGAAGCTTTAAAGAAACACAAACAAGCTGCTGATTATTCACCACAATTAAATTCTAAATTTAGAAAGTGTCGCTCACACCCACACCTGAACAATAAATACTCAAACTGATGTGAAGATGTGTGAAATCCAACACATCTGCTTGTACTGAAGGAAATCTGCCTCTGAGGAACATCTCGTCTCTATATTCTTGATATGAAATTGACGGCGATGACTCTACACAGCTTTCATATGGTAATGCAGATTATAAAACTGATGTGTCATGACAGCGCCACACTCCCACCTGGTCGTGAAAATAGGGTGAGGAGGCGGCCAGTACGCAGCGGTGGGCTTTGAACACTTGTCCCTGGACGTGGATGGAGAGATCACAGAGCCGGCCTTCTTCTCTCTGCCGGTTCAGACTCTCCAGCACAGAGGCCTGAGCTCCGGGGAAGCTAACCTGAACCACCGAGCCGGATGTGTCGCCAGGGGCTGAGCTGCTGCTGCTGCTGCTGCTGCTTCCCACTTCCATGGGCAGAGACTGCATCTGAGGGTAAACAAACTTTCATGAAATCAGCGGTTAAACTGACGCATTTCAACGCCTTAGAAACTTACAGTTGACCATGAATTCCACCTCTAAAAAATCCTGAATATGATTTTTGAAGTTTTTAAAGATAATTATTGTCATTTTGTAATCACATCTTCATCCTTGAGCACAAAGCGGTTTGTGTAGGAGAGCAGCGTACATGGTACATGCAGAAGGGGAAAGTAGCCAATCTAACAAGCAGCTGACTGGATTTTTCCCTGTCGTCCCCCATCAAAACACACTAAATTTACCCAGAATACACTGCAAATTAGCCGCACTTGAGACAGTCAAGAACTGGACGGCCTTGTGCGCTGATCCTTAAGTGTCTGTTTGAAGGGTCTTTGTTCGATCTCAGCCTCAGTCACAGTGTGTCTTTGTGCAGACTGCTCCTTCTCCTATACTTATCACTAACTGCATGTCCCGTTTCACGTGGGTTTAAATCTGTCCGTCTGTTTGAGCATGAATTCTTATTTCAATATTAAAAGAGTGGTTTTAAATCCTCGCTTTACAGAGGACTCAAATATTTCACAGCACCACCAATGAGAAGAAACTATCTCCACCATATGCATGTCCACAGCAGGGGTTTATCCATACATTGTTCTGACTGATAGCCCAACTGGAGCACTGATAATTTTCCAATCAGAGTATATAATGTCCTTTCTGTTTGGGTTGTCACTTCAGAAATTTAAGTGACATTAAACCCCTCATGGAAATGCCTTCTCTGCTTTTTCCTAAGTAAAACCAACACCATATTAATTTCTTGAGGTAAGGGTCAGATTCAATGGTCAGGTAACGATAAAACCACCCACTGCTGGATCAGACAGTAAAGCAACATTACATTTCTACAAAATTAAGTTGAACTGCCCTAAAATAACTGTGTTCGCCTGGAGGACTAACAGAAAAGACAAAGATAAAGTCGGGATTGTAAAGTCAATGATTTTCCTCCACTAGTTTCCTCTTCTTCCCTGACACTGTACACTAGCGTACCACCAAGATCACATGCTATTCAATGATACTTAATTAGCCAGAACGATCTATAAACACTGTGAAATGATGCTCTCTTTACAAAACTTATGCAATGTTAATGACAGCACTATAAGTGTAAATCAGATTTAAAATTACGACACAAAAGGAGACAACTTTTCAATTATTTTAAAGCGTATTAAATTCATGTGTTATCACACTAACACTGACTGTTTGCATATCAGTTACACTGTTTATATTGAATTTGAACAGCTTATTGCAATTGGAATATATGCCTTGGAAGTCGGAAGTTGGAAAATGACGTCACACCAAAATTACCAGCGTTTCAGTTACCAAGTCGGAAACAAGCAGACAAAATCGGACGCAGAAACAAGATGGCAACATCTACGAAAGTTATTTTAGTGCTTGCCCTAAATTCAGACAAGGCAAGCACTAACATAACTTTCGTAACATCTTGTTTCTGCCTCCGATTTTGTTTCCGAGTCGGAAATCCAACTTCAGGGGGGCGTTCCAGATGAATTTCCGACTTGGAAATCCCGACTTCCAAGTACAACTGGAAAACAGCATAACTGTTTGCATATGACATCAGTTCCTATATTGAATTTGAACAGCTCATTGCAAGTGGAATATAAAACTTTACTTTAACTTTCAATTAAAAACTAAAACTAAAATCAAATTTTATATGTTGAAAAAAAGTGACAGCCACACTCTTTCTCCTGTAAATCATGTCTACATTCACAATTAACTGTTTCAAACAAGTAATTAAAATTTTAATAAATTTAAAGGGGGGCTTCGCCACCGCTCACCTCCTTTTCTTGACGCGCCCCTGGCCCACCGCACTTTGTTGCTGTGTTATCAGTCAGAAAATCAACAGCTGGAGCTCTGATACTTTAAGATGACAAGTAAAGAAACCAAAGCTACACAATGACAGTCAGGCCAGCGTTGGTATGAGCGTGTTTGACAGAGAGGTTTCCTCTTCTGTCAGACTGAGAAACAAAAACAAACCGTCACAGCTTCTTCTTCTTCTTCAGACTCATCACACCGTCGGGATGTGACGTTAGCCTGCTAGCTAATATTAGCTCCGCCGGCTGGCTTCACAAACCGTTACCTGCTGCTGCGGACATTAAACTCACCGTGTTTAGTTGACACTGCAGCCTTCAACAGTACAGTCCGTGACCGAGCTGCCGGCTCCGTGTCCCGCCGGTTTGTCCAGGCTGTGAAGTTTGAGAACCATTTTTCCAAAATGTTCTTCCCATCTGATCTCTCCTGCAACGGCAGACAGCGGCGCGTCCCCTTTAAGAGGATTCCAGACAGACGAGCCAGACTTCGGCCGACGAGAAATACATTAAATAAATAATAAAATTAGCATAAAAATATGCAGCTTTTCCATCTCCTCAGGGTGGTATTGAAAAGACACCACAGATGAGAGGTGTAGGGGGAATCTCTGCAGAAACAAAAGACCTAATAAATGCTTCATATATAACACACAAGAGATTTGTATTATCTTTTTCTCGACATTGTACAGATGCACACTTTCACCTGGCTCTAAAAATATACATTCTTTATGGGGGGACGATTTCAATGAACTTTACAGGATATATTATCAATGTGTTCATACAAACAAAGATGTAAAATGTAATCTGGAAACTATTTTTTTTGCCTGAAATGAGAACAGCATCAGTGACCCCTCAGTTAAAAGTCTGTATGCCAGCAGTACGGTGGCCGAGAACAGCCACTGCTGCAAATAAAAAGAATGCAAAAAAAAAGTCACAACAGAAGTTATGGATGGAAAAAAAAGATGCAAAAAAAAAAAAAAGCCACAAAGGAAGTTAACAACTCAAAAAAAAAAAAAAAAAGTTATGTACTGCAAAAATAAAAGGATGCAAAAAATTATTGGTCCCTGGCAGCTCACTTCTTTTGTGGCTTTTTTTATTTGCATACTTTTATTTTCGCAGTAATTTTTTTCCCCTTTTTTTGCATTCTTAACTTCCATTGTGACTTTCTTTTTTTATATGCACCGCTTTTTGATTTGCAGCGGCTTCGGTTTCCTTCTTTTTTTTTGCATTGCCACTTTTTTTTCTGTTGTTAATTTCCGTTGTGGCTTTCTTTCTTTTTTTTTTTTATCTGCACCGTGTCTTTTATATTTGCAGCGGGCTTTGTTTTTTTTTTGCATTGGTAACTTCTGTTGTGTCTCTCTTTTTTTTTTGGTGTCTTTTTTTATTTGCAGCATGGCGGTTCTCAGCCACAGTATAGCATGACAAGAGTGTACGGACAGAAAAATATTAGAACTTTTCTATCAAAATAAAAAACAAATAAAAGACAGGGACTGTTATATTCTCACTACATTTATTCATATTGTACATGTCTGTAACACTCGATGTTGAAACTGAAAAAAGGACATGAACGTCCTTTTTAAGATGTTACCAAACAACAGAGATTAGTCAAAATTGGTCAAAAACCCTTGTGAGCCATATACACAATAATAAAAAGTCTATCTATAAAACCCCCAGGTATGTTGGTCTGTCTGTACACTTGATTTTCATGGAGGTATAAAAACAGAATAGATTTTATAGTAATTGTGACATGTAAAATACCCAATGAAATAGAAAAAAAGGTTAAAAAGCCCAGAGAATACACAAACATTTATGGTTTTTGGTTTGTAAAAGCTGGCAACATACTATGTGCCACACCAAACAGCATTTAAGAAAAAAGGTGATACAAATATTGACAGTGAACATTTCAGGTGACAGAGTAAGTACAGGGTTTTGAGGACATCACTTCACTTCCTGTTGGCACTGGCCGTCCCAATTACACAGTCATTAACCTGCAAAACAAGAAAAACCCCAAAACATCACACAATGACTCTCCAAAAGGCCTGAGGAGTCACTTTAATCAAGTTTAATCGTCTTTTCTTTCTTTGTGTGAAAACTAATGACCTCATGGGTAAAGACAATTAAAAAAGTAAATAATTGAACCTGATGATTTAAAAGTTTACTCAGAATTTCAACCGACCTTGCTGGCAAACCTCAAGGAGTTTAAGGTTTCTCCGAAGCTGTCCTGCTCTGGCGCGATGTTCACAAACATCAGGCTGAAAGGAAAAAATAAACACCATCAATGTCAGTAAACTCAGGGAAACTTTAAAACAGATTCATAAAGGATTCACACATTTTAATTTTAATATCTTTGTGAGTTGGTCCGCCTCTCAGTGACACGTGGAGGCTGATCTTGCGGTTGATTTAGGGATAAAATGTGCCGCCCAGAGTCGGAGTGAAACAACATGACAGAGGACCTGCAGGAGCGGAGTCCTGCCCTCTTAAAGATGTTTTACAAAGAACTCACGTTTTGCTGTTTCCTCCCAAGCAGCCCTGCAGCAGGTAAGTGAGCTTGGAGTTCCTGTAAGGAATGTAGCTCTCCTACGAAATACAGCAAAATAATCTTTAGTCAAAACAACTAAATGAATGCTGAGCAGTCTAAAAAAAACACCAACTGTAAATAAACCTCTACACTTGGCACTCTTTAAACAGACCTTGTTGGCCAGCGCAGCGATGACGATGCCCAGGTTGGACAGGGAGCCGTTGATGGCGGTCATCTCTTTGAAACGCTCTCCCTGAGACTGACTCTTTACCATTCGCTCGCTTCCTGCCAAGTCCACCAGACACAGAGTGGCTGTGCGCACAAACACAACAGGAAAACATCCTTAGTGAAAGTGACTGAAAGGTTTAAAGTAAACAAACTGACAGTAAAATCGTTCTCATCTCACATTTGCATTTGACGTCTCTGCCGGCGTTGGCTCCCTCGATATCCAGCTGGAAGACTGAATGGGAGCGGGAGGAGCGGTCGTTCTGAGCTGTCTGAGCAGTGGAGCGGTTCTGATTGGCCAGCGCAATTAAACCAAGAACCTGGCGGGTGAGAAGAAGCGTACAAATCATCCGCCTCGAGGAAAATCATAAATCTGCTGGAAATGACTGAAGTAACTAACTGTAGGTTACAGTTTTTAAAACCTGCAAATCGTGGTGCTTGAATGGAACCTACCTGGTCCTCATTGGTGACCTTTTCGTAGGTCAGGTTGGTGATGGAGATCTGGTTGTTGATCGACTTTCTGATTTCATGTTCGGGCCTCTTGTTGGCTTTCCCGGTGTACAGCAGATCCCGCAGAGTCTCGTTGTAAATTTCAACAAAGCTCGCTGTGAAGGTGAACTGAGAGAAACAACAGCATTGAATCAAGCAGTTCAACAAGGAAACAAACACTATCACCTGACAAGTCTTTATCTTGTTAACATGTGTCAAGTATCAATAGACCAACTGTTAAAATTCCCTTTAGAAACAGAGATCAAAACCTCTTAAAAAATGAATCTTTTCTTATTTCTCACCAATGTAAATGTTGGTTCTAACTTGTGTTGCCTCCTCAAAGATGCACAAAATCGATTATTGCAGATTAGCCAAACTTTAATTTGGTAAAAACTTTTTTCTTTGTACTTTTTAAAATCCTAACCCCTTCTTTGTGTGTTTTTTTACAGCAGGATTTACACACTAACCTCCCAGCCTTGAGCTCCAAGTTTCTCCGACGCTTTGAAAATTTGTTGTACGGCTCTGGGAATGACGCCTCTGGTGTCGTCAAACTCACTTCCCTCCATGGTGTACGTTTTTCCACTACCCGTCTGACCATACGCAAAACAGCAGACATTGTAGCCATCCAGAGCAGACTGCACCAGCAGCGAGATCTCTTCAAACACCTAGAAATCGTCACAAAGTCATCACGTATTAGTCTCTGTAAACTGCTCTCATCCAGACAGTTTGGTTGTTGTTTTATTTTTCTTTACCTCCTGCTGTGTAGCCTGGGGACCAAACACCCGGTCAAAACTGAAGTTGTAATTCTTCTGCGTGTCTGCAGTTTTGCCTGTGTGAGACTGAAAAGTGAGAAAGGCAGAGATGAGCTTTTTCCAACTTAAAGTGAATGTTTTGACCTTCTCTCTCAGATGATTTCTTCATCCAGCTGATTTGAAATAGTACATAAAGCAAAGAAACTAGGTATGATACCATGGACTGAGACTGTAGGTAAAAGAAAATAGTTCCCTTAGCCTTTAAGAGATCAGGTATACTGATGAAGGACTCTCACCTCCTCTGTTTTGGCCAGTGTTACTGTTTTGTTGTCACTTAGAGGGAGCTGGATGTGCTTGCTCGCTCCTCCATCCACCAGTGGGCGCACTCTGCAAAACACCCTGATGTTACCCTGCAAGAAGAGGATGAAACAAAATAAACTTTTCAGCCAGAATAATATTTGTTTAGATGTTTAACTGGCAAAAAGAAAAAGAAGAACTGGGAACAAGTGTACCCTTCGAGAGAGGGCTCACAGCTGTCACAGACCCGGACAGGAGACACTGTAACCCACCTTGAGCTCCTGGATTGTGTTGTGGAGCCGCCTGCGCTCCATCTCTCCGGCGTGGAGCTCATCTTCCTGCCCGGACACGGTCTCTTTCAGGGAGCAGATTTCTTGCTTGGCGTCTTGGAGGTTTGCCTGCACTTGGGCTAGAGTGGACTCCTTAACCGAAAGCTTCATCTGAAGAGGAAATACACACAAATTAGTCTCATCTTTTGCAAACCCTGACTTCAGTACTTTTAACCCAATGGAAAAGCTCCTTGGCCGACCATACGTAGCAAATGGCACAGCTATAAAAAAAGATCAGGATATACGACAGATTTTTTTTTACCGTCAGAGTTTGCAGCTCAGTCTCCTGACTTGCTCTGAGAGTCTCCATCACTTTGTACTTCCCCTCGAGTTGAGAGAGCTCCTCCTGCAGTGAGTTCCTCTCACTGCTCACTCTCTCCACCTCGGCCCGGACCCCCGACAACACCTTCAGCTCTTTCTCATACTCACTAATATCAATGTAGAAATGCACATAATAGTAAATGTGAGAACATGATGGCACTTTTTTTTTTTATACTGAAGCTATGAATGTATGAATGAGAGGATTTTGCACCTGATCTGTTTCCTCTGTGTCTCAAGTTCTCTCTCCATTTCCATCACCTTGGTGTGACTCTGGGCCACTGAGCCCCTCAGGGCGTCATTCTCCTGGTTCGCAGACTTGACCTTCGTCTGGTAGTTCCGGAGCTTGTCCTCCATATCGCTGACTTTGCCTTTCAGGTCCCATTTGTTCCGTTTGACGACCCCGCCCCCACCTGTGCCAAAGATGTCAAGAAGTTTAGTGCTTGAACTTACTGGAAACCTCCAGGAGAACACAGAATCAAAGAGAATCTCATATTTTCCTTTATTTCGCTTCATTTTATTGAAGTTTGTCACCTGGTTTTGTGCCAGTAGGTGCAACACTTAGTTTCACATTGCTTCCTCTTGTTGCAGCTGAAGCCACAGTCTGTCTCAGGACACCTGGAGAAATATGAAGGGACACTGCTTAAGAAATTTCGGAGTCGACACTAGAATCATTTCTGATAGGACCTTGTATTTACAAAGGTTCCAAATTCAAACCTTGAATCACACTGGAATGTTTCATCGCTACATCATCCTATCACTATTTTTCCCTGTAGTCCTAACACCCTGACATTTTTATCCTCTCATCAGTCAGCAGAAAGCTCATCTCACCTCTGGAGGGAGCACCAGCCACGGTGGCCGATCCCACTGTCCTGACTGGCTTAGCTATATGAGGACAAAGAGAGAAGAATATGAGCTACAAAATAATCTACATAAACAACAAGTACTTCTATGACTTTAATGTGTGGTAATAACTTAAATGTTGAGACTCTGGATATTACGCATAGTAAACAAATGCACTTTGTGGCCTTGAGTCAAAACAAAAGATCCTAAAAACTCAGATGTAAAATAGAAACCTACAAATGGGCGCCCTGGTTGCTGCAACAGGAGGGCGTCTTCCTCCGATGACTGTAGCAGCTGCCTGAGGTTTGACCGACTCAGGGTCCTTGCGGATCCTTTTCTATAAACACATGTGAAAAGGGTGTTTAAAAACAACAACAATGAACAAGGCAAGGCTATAAATTGATTATTTGTCTTTTTCTTGCACACTAATCATGCACGAACATTTAACAGCACAAATGAAATGTCAACCAAGTGTATCTGTAACAACACAAATGCTTGACGGTGGACGTTGGGTGATTTACTAACACGAGGATGACAGAGCTGTACACGGTCTGTATATCAATTAATTGATTGAACAGTGATGAAACCAACAAACCTGAGCCGGCCCGGTGTCTTGGCCACTGTCCAGGCTGCTGCTGCTTGGGAAGACCCTCTTGCTGACTGGCAAGCGGGACATGATCTGAAAGGGATTGAGAGATGTAACAAGCCCATAACAAACTAACAAAAGACGTGTGCATTCATTGTTAAGATTCAACCAGGACTTTAGCTGTTTCCTGGTTATGTCAAGTGATATTATATGACAGAAAGACTGGAATAAAAAATGTTCACTTATAATGAACTCTGGTATGACTCATGTCCTGTAAAGTTATTTATTAGCAGCTAAATCCCGTCTTAACCCTAGAACACTATCGCAGGGTGATTTTCACCCGACCAAACATGTTCACGTGATTTTCCTGATGTTGCGTTCGTCTGAGTATCATGGGTCCCTGCGTAACTTCAGCATTGCCTTTGACATCTTTGAAGGCATATTTGTTTCCCTGATCCAAAACCTGCTTTTTCCTATGTTGCACATGTTCAGGCATTTACTGTACAAAAAGCTAAAAAAGGTATGAAGAGGAGATGTGTTTCCATTACTGGAGTTAAATTCTGGAATGATGCCAACATAAATCTAAAAACTTTTTTTCGGTTTTAAAGAAAATGGTTTGTAAAGCTATTTTTGAAGCTTATAAGTGTGATTAATTATCTGTTGTTGTGCTTTCTTTGCTTTTCTGGAGGTCAGTACAGTAGCCTAAAAAGTTGACAATACAGGACAGGCTTTTATAAACAGTCTGCTTCTGCCTTTTCAGTCAATGATTGATGACATGATTCTTGATTTAGTGTGAAATGTCAATATTGTGTACAATATTTGGTGTTGTCATGACTGAATAAACAACTACTACTACTGCATGTTTCGGTGATTTTCACCCGGCTGTAGTGATAGAGGGTAAAGTGGGTTTGGGTGGATTTGATAGCTGCATGTAGGGAATAAGGTCAGTAAGAGCGGTCCTGGAATTTGCATGCTATCTTTATTTAGTGCAGTGTTTATGAATAACTATCACAAAGTAGTGATTTTCAAGGTATTCATATGGTGATGAGAAATATTTGAGTCAGCTGGTCATTTTTACTCACTCTAAATGTGTCATATTTTGGTTCTCTCTCCTGTAGATGTTATTGTGCCAAAGACCCTGAGTCTTCACCAGGGAAGACTCACAGAAATTAAGTTTACAGTTTCTTTATATATATGTTTTTTTAGGAATTCTTTGTTCATGAATGACTAATTTCAGTTATTTTGTTGCATTTTTATATGATCCCCTCATGACACTTTTTTTGCACAGTTAAAAATAAAAGAAAACTACTTTGATTTGTCATGTATTGTCCTATTTTGATGACAAGTACCTTTTCTTGGGTATATTATTTCGTGTAAAAATCACCCTGTGATAGTGATGGTGTTACTAATTTTAGTGTTTTAGGGTTAATCGAGTATTACATGTATAATACAGGGCGCGGTTTGCTCATGTCAGATCTCATCAAGCAGATAATTCGGTTAAAGCCTCTTTAATCGACAATAATCGGATAATAGTCATTCGTTCGTATTTCGAGCAGAAAAAAAGTCTCCTTTGACCGCCCATCGCTATTTTAACCGTGGTGCGTTCAGGGACCAAGAGGACTACGATGTTAACCGAAAAGCAAACATCGTCAAACCAATGCGAGCACAACCAGCGGGAAACACAACATTATTATTATTTATTTAGATAGTAACATAAACAAGGCCATTCACTCGATAGACTTTAATAAGCTTCAACCGTTAAAGTTCAGCAACGTTAACTTTACTTAATTCCCCCCGATGACTAACGTTGACAAAAGCTTAACCGTAAGCAACCAAAAAGTACATGAATTATTAGTTTAACCGGTTTTTCACTGTCTCTGTGCGATACGTTTCCCTTAACTATGAGCTAAACAAAGTATAAAAGGTTAATTTAGAAGAATAATTACCTTGACTACGGTCCCTGTTTCGGAGTAGTTCTCATGTACCGTCGCTTCCTGCCGTTTGAATTTGAAAATGGATTGTTTTGGTGGGCATCTCAGATAAGACGCTGTGATTGGCTGAGCTAGTGTAAACCCCGCCCCCGGCCTTGGGTGTGCTTGATATGGCTGCCGGAGTATTTTGCATGAGCGGGACATACCCAACACCATAGCTCAATACTGTAGCCGAGGAGAATGAGAAAAACATGCGAATACTGTATACGATGAATTAAAACTAAAAAATAAGAATAATAGCTCAATAAAAGATTGTGATTGATTTATAACGAAAAGGCATGGGTTAGTGCTGTTGAAAAGTAGACAATGACAGTTAGACCTCTAATGCTTGAGATATTTTGATCTGCATCAACTTTATTGTGTTTAGATTTAAAGCTTCTGTAAGGAACTTTAAGTTTGTGCCAATTTCAGCGCCTCCTGGTGGACAAACAGTAGTTCCCATCGCTTTGCTACTTTGGTTCCTAACATGAGTAAAAATACCTTTTCAAAATTTCATCCTGCTTCATTTGAAAAGTCAGATTTATCTCTTATTATGCATATTTTTCGCTGACAAACTTCTTACAGAAGCTTTAAGTGGTCATTAAAAGATAATGCCAAATTAGTTGTCATCACAAAACCGAAGTACGGTGGCCACAGCAGAGTTACTGGTGCAGAAATAAAAATAAATAAATAAATAAGAAAAACAAAGCCTGCTGCAAATAAAAAAAGAAACGGTGCAGATTAAAAAAAAAAGTCATACTGGAAGTTAACAACCCCCCAAAAAAAGTGGCAATGCAAAACAAAAAAAAAGTTACTTACTGCAAAAATAAAAGGATGCAAATAAAATAAGCCACCGATAAAACTTCTGTTGTCGTGTGTTGCATTGTTAGCTTCTGTTGTGGCTTTTTTTTTCTCATCTGCACCATTTCATTTTTTTATTTGCAGTGGCACATTGGTAACTTTCGTTGTGACTTCTTTTTTTAGCATTCTTTTTTATTTGCAGCAGTGGCGGTTCTCAGCCACTGTACTGAAGAGTCTCTGCATTGCATCACTTCTTCATTAACAAATCTGATAGTTCTCTGCTTGTAAGGAAATAAAAACACTTTTTAAAATCTTTATTATAACATTACTTAATTTAGCTTTAAGAAATCTAAGTAAAGAATCTGACAGAAGTTTGATTTTAAATTTGATCCAAACAGTCACAAAGTTTAGTCGTCACTTTAATCAAAAACTTCAGACAACGGTGTTTTTTTTTTTTTCATCATAGTCTGTTTTGGAACTTTATTCTCCTTTAGGGAAGAAACAGTCTGTTCAGATGAGAAAGAGGTGTAACTGTGCGTACAGTATTCAAGAGTGTAGCATAAGAGGGCAGATGATGAATGTATTATTTTCAGGAGCATCAGTAATTACATTAACAAGAGTATTGAGAATGTGTTATTTTTCATAAAAAGACACAATGAAATACAAGGAGGAGTATACATGAAGACTAGGAGCCGGTCAAACAGGCTGCTTGAACATTTTCAATGGGTAGAGATAGCTTATGCACAAAAACACGGCCGCAGTGTCCCAGGTCACCCACATCACAGTTTCGTTATCCGACATCATTAATTAAGATGTACTTTGAGATCATTTGGAAATGTCTTTGTGCTGGTTTTCATGTAGGAGTACGTTTTGTTTTTTTAGTGGACAATCCAATGAATCACTTTGGATTTCTCTACTGGCACAGATCGCAAACATGACGACTTCATGACGTCATTTACAACATTTGAGGACCACTCTATCAGCCGAACACTGTATGTGTCTTCTTTTCTGTTGAAAAGAATAAACTGGTTTTCATTTAATGTTTCAAAAAAATAAAATGATTGTATAAAATGATCAGACTGATTTGATCTTCCATAAACCCCAGGCTGCTGCTGCTGCTACTCTTTCATTCTCTGGTTGTGCAGGTTCGTTGACATTGAGCATCTACAGTCTTTTTTTAGTGGCTGCAACAACAACAACAAAAAGAAGAAGCTAATTTGGCGTTGAAACTTTGGGCCATATCACAGCTAGAATAAATAATACCAAGCACAACATGTGTTTGGGTTTGAAGTGCAGAGGACAGAGGAAGCAAATGTTTTCCAAACTTCTTCAATGAGCTCTAAAGGTGACCGGGGACACAGCTGACGATTTCATACATGTTAAATCGAGTTCCTTTAGTTTCCATATATGCTTTACATGAGACATACTTCCCTTTTAAAGGATGAAAAAGTATTTTCTATCTATTTTATGTACAGCATACTGCAATACAATAATGCCTCAGATTGATAATAATGTGGATAACATTTGCAATACAGTAATAATGAAAGTAGTAATAATATGTATGAAAAGTTCTTTTAAAAAAAGATTGATAACAGTACCTGTCAGCCATTTTTTTTTATCACACAATCATATCCCCCCCCCCCCAGACAACTGCCCTGAAAACGATGAGCCGGGCTGTCTGTTCTCATTGGAGGAGAGTAAACTGTCTTTCTTTGAGTAAAAACAAAAACCAAAAACAAAAGTGGGGGAAAAAAAACACACTCTGGTAGGACTTTTTTTTTCTCTGTTCCCTTCACATTCATGCGGCGTTCACTTTGCTCTCTCTCTCTCTCTCTGAGTTTGTTCACACGTTCCTCTGTTGGTAGAAAAATACATACAATATGATATATAAAAAAAAGTACAATGATGACAAACATAGGCATGAAGTATAAGCTTCATCAAGTGCTTTCTTTAGTGCCCCTCCCACCCCACCAACCCCCTTTTTTTTCCTCCTCTTTCCATCTCGCTGCAGACTCCTCACGTCTAGTGCATTCTCGATCCACCTCGTCTTTTTCAAAGCTTTGGGCTCCAACAAAGAATCGGCTCCTCAGTTTCTCGCCGTCTGAGGGGAGGTGGGTCTAAGTGAGGACATCATGATTTGTGAAATGCACACTTTGGGATTCAGGTCCAGGTTTTTTTCGCCCAATCCCACGATGCGTCACATCCTCTTCTTCTTTGAGCTAAGCTTCTCCCTCCATGGTGTCATTGAAAAGTCATTCTTCCTCAGTCACTCCTCGTTTTTTTTTTTTTCAAACGTCGTGTTTCTCTCCCTTGTTTTGGCTTGAACTAAAGAGTGGAGAATGTTGAGATTAATGTGATCTGATTACCTTCAAAATTACACCGATCTCTGGATCATTTCTCAGCAGGGAAGAGTGTAATTTTTTGTTTTAACTTTACAGATATTTTACATCTTCATCCTCCAATGACGCCCATTGCAAACAACGCATTTAAAAAGAGACACAAACGAGCCTCTTAAATCAAGACTTCCAGAGAAGAACTGCTGGTAAAACAACAGATTTTTTTTGTTGAGAAATTCAGGTATGAAAACAATTTCAGTCGTGTTGATATAAAAGCTCAAACCGATCTCAGATTAGGCTTTTGAAAGTTTTGGCTGAATGCTGATGAATCGACGACTTAAATCATGACCTAGATCAGATTTTTCACTGAGAGATACTTGGCACAGGTGGGCTCAGGAATCAAGAAGTACGCTGTAAAATATCTGTTTTGCGACAAGTAATCCAAAATAACACTCAGCATTAAAGCTCCTGAAAACGAGAGAATAAAACTGGCTCTAGATGAATTTTAGCTTAATTGGTATCTTTGAACTTTAACCGTTCGAAACATTTCAAAATAAGGTCACTCAAAATCAGAGGAAGAAGAATCTGAACGGATTCCTCCAGTGTGATGAAAAACTGATGCTTTTGGAAACCTCAGAGGACTGTAATACTGAGTGCATTTCAGTTACGTGTTCGTTTGGAGCTTTTTTACACTTCAGACACGGTTAGTAATCCCTCAAACAGAGCAGGAAAACGCAGCCTATGAGTTCATGTGCTCCACCTGTATGGCTGATGTGGAGACAGTGAGGCAGAGGTCTTTGTGGGTCACTGGCAGCTCCCCCACAGTGACTGGTTTGTACTGGATCTCGCTGGCAGCCACGGTCTTGTACTGGTGGAGGTCAAACGGACACTGAACCACGGCTTCCGGGGGCTGCTGGTAGCTGCCTGGGGGTCCAGCGTTAGGGTTCTGGTTATTGTTGTTGGGGTTGGTCTGGTTTTGGAGCTGGCCCGCTCTGCCCCCAGCGCCGCCGCCTCCTCTCCCTCGACCACGGCCCCGACCTCTGCCCCCTCCTGCACCCGGCGTGAGGCCCTGTGCCTGCTGAGCGGCCACTGTTGCTGCCACTGTTAGCGGGTCGGGGTTGTGCTTCCTCATGTGTTTCATTAAATACGTCTCCTGGAGGAAGAGGAAGAGAAAAAGAGGATGACAACGGGAAAAAGGAGGAGGGGAGGTTCCTAAAGGTTCACAAAGAGGCATCAGTATCTATTAAAGTCTGTTTTAAAACTTCCCACAGGAGCTTTAAGAGCTAAAAATATTGTTTTGTGCTGATTTTAATGACCCCTAAGACCTTTTTAATATCTGACCTGATCCTGTCCAGAATTGCAGGTGGAGGATCCTGCTTCCTATTAACTCTCCTGTATCAAAACATGCTTTCAGAGACAAATATTTTGATTATCAGGTTTCCATTTGCTTTTTCTCTTTACTGTTGTATTCAAAGTACAGTTCTCACCAACGCTCTCTCTGTGTTCCTCTAATCTATCAGATCAAGACCAGAGTACAGTGTGCACTCAGAACTGGTGTTTGAGTGATGAGTCTGAAGTCGTACCGAGGTGTAGGATCGGTTACAGAGGCCACAGGAGAACAGCTTGGCATGTTTGACGGTGTGAGTGGACAGGTGCACCTCCAGGCTGGCAGCGTCCGTGTAACCACGGTTACAGTTGTGGCACTTGTACGGCTTATCTTTGTTGTGCTGCCGACGGTGAGACTGTGGAGCGAGAGAGGAGGTTTGGACTGAGTGAGAGGTGTTCATCAAATACACAGAGCTTAGAAATTTGTATAATCAGAGCAAGACAAAACTATTTCAAAGACTGTTTAATAATCTTCTGGTCTTCTCAAAAATACGACAGTGAGAACTTTTAATTTAAATGATGCTACAGAGAGTCAGCGAGAATCAGACCTGTGAGTGAGTTTACCTGCAGGTTGGACAGCTGAGTGAAAGCTTTTTCACAGCCGGGATGATTACACTTGTACGGTCGGTCCCCTGTGTGGATCCTGGAAAAACACATCACTGTATTAGAGTTTGTCATTTATACTGTACAACTGCACTGAACTGAGAATGAAGCACCTCACTTATCTGACCCACAACATTTGAACACCGAGTTTGATATTTTGGGCTTTGCCATGTCAGTTTTTTGGACAATATTTTGACGATAAAATGGACGTGATTTCTGTGACAACACCCATCAGTAGCAATCCCTATTGTCATCGATTTATTTTAAAGGGATATTCCGGTGTAAAATTAATTTAGGGTCAAAAACATTGTAACATCGAGTTAGACACCCCCTCAAGAGATGAACGTTGCCGACCGCTTGCTCCTCTAGTTAAACCAACTTTAGTAACGACCGCAGGATAGCAATACACAGCAGTCTAAGACTGAACACAACTCACCTACTCTCTTCCAGCAGCCACTTGTTTGCAGCGAGACCTCAGGCAAGTCTATTACGGACTACAGTGGGGTGACGCAGCTCAAGGAAGAACATTTATGATGATTTCTTTATGGAAATACAATCAAACCAAAATGCTAAGGCAGAATAACTACCGCATCTTATAAAATAATGATCATAAATGTTCTTCCTTGAGCTGTGGAACCCCACTGCAGTCTGTAATGGACTGGCCTGAGGTCTCGCTATAAACAAATGGCTGCTGGAAGAGAGTAGGTGAGTTGTGTTTAGTCTCCTTATTAAAGAAATCAGGCAAAGTTAAAAAGATGTTTGGTGTCTAGTACTATGGCTGTGACCCTATATGTCCTGTTGATGAAGTTAGGTGCTGTTCTGAGCATTATTTGTGGCTATAGAGTGGTGTTTTGGTTGAGGTTTGTTTATGGCTCCTCAGACTGCTGTGTATTGCTATCTGCGGTCGTTACTAAAGTTGGTATAACTAGAGAAGCAAGCGGTCGGGAACATTCATCTCTCGATGGGGTGTCTAACTCAGTGTTACTGTGTGTTTGACCCTTAATTAATTTTACGCCGGAATATTCCTTTAAAACCTCTGAGAACATGTTTCCTGTGGTAATAAATCAATTGCGTGTTGGGTTGTTTTCTGGTTAATAACAAAGCTGTAACCCTCATGGTCAGATAGTTGGATATACAGTCGTTATATACAGATAAACTCTAAAAAGCTAATGTGTATATCGTACAAAAAAATTAGTAGTTACTAAACTAAATTATTAGTTAAGGTAAATAACTTGCTGACATCCCAATTCAAACAACTCATAGTGCCAGAACTCACCGCACACCTGCCCCCATGCATGCACACACCCAGCCATTCAACCCCGCCCAGCCCAGCCCAGCCCAGCCCAGCCCAGCCCAGTACCGTGTGTGCTGCTGTAGGTGACTGAGCTGCCTGAATGTTTTCTGGCAGTAGGAGCAGGAGTAGGGCTTGGCCCCGGTGTGGATGCGGATGTGCTGGGACAGGTAGCTGGAGTTGGCAAACGACTTGGAGCAGTGGGGACACTTGTGGGGCTTGGCCTCAGTGTGGTTTCTAACACGGGACACGGGGGGTCGCAGGGGGTGAGGAGGTGGAGAGACAGAAACAGAGAGAGAGAGAGAAACAGCGAGAGATTTTTAAGCTACAGCATGACCAAACTTCAAGATGAACTGAAGACCAAATCATGCGTCAGAAATAAGAAGATCCACGATCAATCAATCGATCAATAGCGTTGATGGTGGATCGTTAGGTTTGACAGTGTGCTCTTTGTGCTGTGTCTGAGTTATGAAAACACAGAACGAAAACATACAGCAAGCACAGTCACGCTTTTCTCTCTCTCTCTCTCGCTCTCTTTCTCTCTCTCTCACCAGTCCCTCCCTCTTGTTGTGCTCTGCTTTGAGTGGACTGAGTGCATCTTTGACTGTCTGGCTCTGCTGCAGTCAGATTGTAATGTAAAATCTAAAATGAGCAGCAGGCCAGCAGAGTGCATCTTTCTGTTTAAAATAAATGTCCTGTAGTCGTATACAGTCGTATACGTAACGAAAAAACCCAGGGCATGGTAATAAGGGGAATGAGAACGTAAATAAGGTGAATGACAAAGTTAAACATAAAACTCATGATGGCATGGCTTCAGAATATAAGAGTTCATCATGTCTGTGTCAGAAATATGATCATGAGGGTCTATAAAACATGCAGGTGGACTCAGAGCAGTGATAGAAAGATAAAAAAGCAAGAGGAGGGGGGTTAAATTAAAGGGGAGGATTTAATTTGATAGGAAAGTTTGTTTAACTGAAATAACTGGCGGGCTGAATGGCGTTTCATTTGCAGCTTGCTTGACAGCGAAAGGCCAAAAAGAGGAGATTTTGAAGGAGCTGTGTGAAAAGTTGAGATGAATCCAAAGAAAACAGAAAAACTGAGATGCATGCAGGACCATGCCAAGCGTGTGATAGTATCAGCAGCAGAGGGTAAGGTAATAAGCAGGGCCCATTTCAGAAAGCAGGTTTAGTCCAAACCCTGAGTCTGTTAGGGAAAGTCTGGTCTGTTTCAGAGAGGAGAAACTCGGAGTTTCTTCTGTGAGTTTTTCTCCAACTTTTCTCTACTTATGGAACTACAAATGTACCTGGATTTAAACATTCATTTATTCACCCATTACAGCCATATGTTCAGCGTTTGTCTCAGTAATAACCCAGGTGTTTTGGTAAAGTCTGCGAGCCTAAATCAAACACACCTAATCTTTTTCAAACATATCATATCCTTTTATGGAGAAGCCTGCGGATGAACGGAGATCAACTTTAGGGAGAGGAATTTTCAACCCCAGCTGAATGTTTTATCATTTACAGTTAAGCACCTGCTGAAGCATTACCGTTTCTTTTACATTCTGCTGTGTATGAAATAGGGCCGACAGATATGGATATTTTGGGGCCGATGACAATACCAAATATGGGGGGGGGTTGGCCAATTAGCAAGGTGTGTAGCAAGGCTAATAGCAGGTGGCTAACTCTAACTTTAGCTTGCATATTACATGGTGCTTCAGCGTTAACTCGGCGTGACCGAGACCAGCACAGCGAGGAACATCGTGAAGTGGGTCGAACTGAACTATTTACCGTTGAGGCGGACCACTCTGCCTGCTTCAGATCCGTCACTCTGCTGTGCTGTGAGGTAGTTAGTGGATGAAGGTTGTCACGAGGTTGCTGCGCCATCTACAGGATAAGTCGGGGAACTTTTCAAATGGAGGAACATTTTCGAAGTAATACCGAATCTCATTCTCTGCGTTTTAGTTCTGGAAATATCAGCGAAAATTGGCGAGTTTTGGCCGATTTAATTGGCCCACCGATAAATCGGTCGGGCCCTAGTATGTAAATCCTAACTTAATGAACTAAACAGGATAAAAGAGAGAGGACATTTACATCTGTGAGACCAGAATAATGTTGGGAATAAAAAGTCTTTTAAACAGTGAAGTAGCTGCTGGATGTTATTTACTTTCATATGAGGTACCGCTATGAGCTTACTGCTGTGGAACTACCTTTCTGGATTATGTTATTTTACTTCATCTTAAGCTGCTTTCAAGTCCTGTTTACCTCTGCTAGAATGCACCTAAATTTAAATACACTTTAGGTTCAACAGCCTATGACCATTTCACCATTTTTCACCTGTAAAATTAACACCTGATTGGGTCATAAATGAATGATTCTCTGCATGTAATTGTACAGGGATGGACTACTGTTGTTGCTTTGTGCACGTCTTTACTCAGATCAGCTGTTCTGGAACCAAACTCTGAGAGTTCCCCCCTTAAAACAGAAGGTTGGACTCTGAGTTTGCTGAACCTCCTCTCTGAAACAGACCTCTGATCACCTAAAGGTAACAAACACTGTGCCGTGCATCCATCCAGGCGTTTAAGTGGCTTATTTGGTGATCCTCTAAGTGAAAAACCTAATGATGAAGCTGGCATCACTTGCTGATGATTCGTCGGTTGATAAAAAGAAATGAATATGTATTGATAAAAAATACTAGAAACCCAGATTTCGTTTAAATTTGGTAAAAGTGTTGCACCTTTCCAGGGTGATGATTAGACTCTGCAAAAAGAGCTTCACACTGTCAATGATCTAAAAAAAAAAAAAGATATGTTATCCCTCCCACCAAAACACAAACCAACACACGTGCTTTCCCAACAGAGACCCCGTAGGTAAGCCCACTCACACACACACACACGCACAGACACGCACAGGATGTCACAGAGCACTCAGCGCTGTACCGTGTGTGCTGCTGTAGGTGACTGAGCTGCCTGAATGTTTTCTGGCAGTAGGTGCAGGAGTAGGGCTTGGCCCCGCTGTGGATGCGGATGTGCTGGGACAGGTAGCTGGAGTTGGCAAACGACTTGGAGCAGTGGGGGCACTTGTGGGGCTTGGCCTCTGTGTGGGACTTGGCATGGATCTGCATGTCAGACTTGCTGAAGAATGTCACCGCACACATCCGACACCTGATTCAGGGATGAACGAGAGAGGGAGCGTTAAAACTTTTAAAGCCTGAGAGGCATGTAGAGATAAACTCTGTGATATCCTTTCCTCACCTGTAGGATTTGGGGCCCTCTTTGCTGGGATGATCGTCCTCATCATTTGACAGATCATATGGATCCGCTGAGTGATGCTGGAACACAACAATTTGACTATATAGTTTACAGACAGATGATAAAGGGTTAAAAAAAAACTGCAACAGGAAAATTAAAGTTAAAAGAGACCTCACCTGTCCACCAGCAGCTAGGTGAGCCAATATTAGCGCATCACTTCCCGGAGGAAGGACCCCTCCCACTCCTGTCACTCTTCCCATCATCTGTTTGCTCTTCCTGCCTCGCTTTGATGGCGTTGGCATGACAACTGCAGGTGGGACAGTGATATCCTCCTTCTTGTCTAAAAGTTTTAAAAAAGAAGAGAAAGTTATAAATACATATTTCAGTAATGATTTTCTACATTTTAATTTCAAAGTGTTACAGAGACTGAAGTGACAGTGGGCTGTGTCTGTGTCTCACCTGAGTTCGAGGGGTGCAGCGCCGACACGATCATGGTGGTGGCAGTGGGGTGCCCCGTCACAAACGACTGTGTGGAGGCAGTGGGCAGCAGCGTGCCTTGAGGGGTGGTGATGACTAACCCGGCTGAGGCAGAAATAGAGACCTTCATCTCGGGTTCATTTGGTCAAAAGAAACATTCAAAACAAAGTCTTTGAGCTAACTTGAGCATTCTGGGTCAGATTAGCTGCAGATAATAAAGCTGCAAGAATATTCAGAGTGAGGCCAGAGCCAAAAAAATACACAAACAACTAGTGGAAAGTTTGAATCATTACTTTTTAAAATCTGCTCAGGAAATTATTAGCCGCTCTATTTATCAATTCACTGATGAATTTATGTCTCATGAGTGGAAGATTTTGTCTTTGAATTAAAAAAAATGCAAAAAATGCTGGTCTCATCTTGACCAAAATATCCCTCTTGACAAATCAGCATCAACACCCTGTTAATGTTTTATTTATTTTACACGACCCAAAAAAATGCAATTTTTTCATTTTAAGACTTAAACCAGCAAATATTTTTGCTAAAAATGATTAATAAATATTCCAAATAATTACAAGAATGTACAATCAATCAGTGTTTGTCTGATTTAAATGAAATATCTGAAGTCTGCTTTTGTATTGGGAACACTTTCTGTAAATTAATTCAATTATGTAAAATGTATAATGATATTTGAACATGTGAGCTCTGTAGGTCAGTAGATCTGTGTTGTCATTATCAATGATGATGATAGTGATGGTTTTGAAAACTATATTTTTATCGCTATCGTTATTATTATTACTGTCACTCAGTCTGCTCTTCTTCTTTGTCGTCTGTTTGTTTTCTCCTTTTTTGTTTTTCCTCTGTGTTGTTGTGAAGCACTTAAGATCAACTCTGTAAAGTGTTATATAAATAAAGTTGAGTTGAGTTGAATGTTTCAGAACTATAGCTACACTGTGGAAATGAATGAGGTCCAGTAATATGAGTTTGTTGTTTGTATTGTTCCAGTTTTGTTTTGTCTTGTAGGCTGTTGTGAGTTGTCGTGGTTATTGACGTTGTCTTTGTGTTTGTGGCGTGATGTTTTTTGTGACTTTGCACTGCGATGGAGAGCGAATTGTAAATATAGACTCCAGGAAGAATAGCGGTGGCCTTCGCCAAAGCTAATGGAAATAAATGAAATGTAATTTTGACCAACTAACTCATCAATCTCCGGTAATATCAGATAAAAGCAGCTCGAGTTCAGTCAAAGATTGAATTTTTTTGTAAGTGTGTCTGTTCCTGAGGCAGTAATCTTCAGGTGAAAAACAAACTAATTCAGTAACACCGAGCAGGAATGACACAAAAAGTGGAGATTATTATGAAACAGTCAGAATAAGAGAGATGGCCGTCCACTCACCTGCAGTCATGATACCCGTGGAAGGAACAGGCACGACGGTGATGTTCTGCGAGGTGTGTGACTGGTGCAGGTGTCCCCCGACTACACTTAAGGATGTGCTGTTGTTGCCTCCTCCTCCTCCAGCAGCGCTCCCACCTCCTTCTTGCTTGGGGATCACCCGCAACCCGGCTCCTCCGTCCACCGAGCCTGGGATGGCGAGCACCGCTGTAGGGTAGTGCGGGGAGGAGGTGGAAGACGCAGAGGAGTGAGGGAAGGAGGGCGCGCTGGCCTTCTCTGGACCCAGCTGCTCCTTCGCCTTGTTCAGGAACATGGCGTTCTCGATCTAGACGGGGATGAGTGGAGGGACGGGATGGTGACAGGAGGGAGGAAAGAGGACGGGTGAAGAAATAAAGGATGCAGGGTGAGGGTGGAAGGCCGTGAGAAAGACAGGTGTGGAAGAGGAGTGAGGAGGAGGAGTGAGGTCATGGTTAACAATGAGGATGTTGGATAGGAGGATAATGAGGGAAGAGATTGGTAAAGAGGTAAAGGTGCGACTCCAGTCAGCAGATGAGGAGAGTGAAGGGTGGGAGTTAGATCCGAAAGAAGGCGATGGGAGAGAAGAGAGAACGAAGGCATGGTGAGATGCAAGAAGTAAACGAAAAAAAAAGTAAGAGAGCGGGGTTGAAGAGATGAGAGAGGAGAGGGACAGGAGTGATCACGTGATCAAGTGAACCCTTCCTATGAAAAAATGTAGAATTAAGACATCCTCAAAGTAAACTTAAGCCAACATTTGAAATCGCTGTCATTAACATGTTCAGGCTGAAATCATGTTATCTCTACAGATAGTCAAAATGATCATTGCTGCTGGTTATGGTTTGCACATATTTCTACGACACCATGTGTATTTCAAGACAATTCCAACAATAAGGTTGTCTCTACCTGTCCTTGTACAGTGGGGACGGGAGACCAAAAGTATGATGAGTTGAAATGGGAATCGTCCATTATTTCTGTAATTACAAAGCAACACACTTAGAAAACACCCGTCCTCCTCCTCCTCCTCCTCACTGTGCTCTTCGTTTAATGTGAAACGAGACCATGCACGTCTGCGTTTCAATCATCTTAGTTTGCTTCCTTTCCTTGTATCCTCTCCTCCATCAGCTGACACACTGAACATGTCAAGGTTCAGGATCAGTGAGAAGTACCCGGACTGACCAGAGGAATAACATCGTGGCTGATACAGAGTTTACTAATTCAGTCAGTTTGCTGATTTGTGGGATCCCATGTCAAAAGTTAAATGCTACTGATGCTGTATAATCATATTTAATGAGGTTTACAGAGAAGAGGATGTGAAAGGAATCATGTAAAGATGTTCGATCCTGGAGGGGGTAAAAATAAACAAACCTACAGGACGACAGAAGAGACAAGAGTTAAGAAAACACCCATCGGTACGGCTTTTGATAATGTCTTATCGCGCAGCTCTGCTGCTACTGAACACTGTCTGGGATTTAAGTGTCGCTTTTCCAAGTTCTTTGTCAAATACATGCGATAGAAATACAACCCCAATTCTAAAAGAGTTGAGACACAGTATAAATGTTGACAATAAAACACAGTTGGATGTTTTGAAGATAATTTTAAAGTCTATATTTAAGTGAAAATAGTGCAAAGACAACACGCCAGAAGTAAAACCACTCAGACTAAAAAGTGCACTCCAGAGAGGCTGAATCTCTCAGACCTAAAATGGAAAGTGGTTCGCCACCCTGAGAAACCGTATGAGCATAAAGTTTGATGACTGCAATTGAATGAATTCAAGGATTTTATCATCTATAGAGCAAAAAGATTGAGAGAATCTGGAGAAATCACTGCGCAAAAGAATAGAACAATAAACTTTTAACACTCCAGGAAGTACTTATCCTTAATCCCTAAACATTCAGAGCAGAGGTGATGAAACGTAGTGCTGATACCACTGCTCCAACTGTTTGGTGGCATCAAATTAAAATAAGCAAACACTTTTCATAAAACAAAGTTCAGTTTCAGACCTTGGTTTGTTGCCTTTGCAGCATTTTCAGTCAAACATGGAGCTTTAAAGATTTGCAAATCCTCATTTGTATTTCCATCGACGTTATATTAAGTGTCCTAACTTTTATTGAAATGAGGTCGTAATATTTTAAGCGATTGTTCGAAAGACTTCTGTCTGTCTGTTCATTATCAGCCCTCTGATCTCCTGTTTCCTCATCATTGCTCACAGACACACGGCGAACATGTTTTCTGTTGTTCAAAGAGGGAAGTTTTCATAGCTCCGGTTTTCATTTCTGCATGCACTGCACTTTGTTTCGCACATACTTTGCAACTTTTCTGGCCAGTAGTCAAATGTATCAGGCTTGGTTTTGTGCGGCTTATAAACACCATGCAAAGCATATATGTAATCGCATGTTTGTGAAAACTGAACAGCAGTTAACAAAGGTGTAACAGGTTTAAAGGGATATTCCAGTGCAAAATTAATTTAGGGTCAAAAACACAGGGTTAGACAACTCTATGAGAGATGAATGTTGCTGACCACTTAATTCTCTAGTAATACCAACTTTAGTAACGACCGCACTATAACAATACAAAGCAGTCTGAGGAGCCACAAATAATGCTCAGAACAGCACCTAACTTCATCAACAGTACATATAGGGTCCCAGCCACCAAACATCTTATTAACTTTGACTAATTTCTTTAGCAAAGAGACTGAACACAACTCACTGACTCTCTTCCAGCAGCCACTTGTTTTTACAGACAAACAAGGACTACAGCGGGGTGACGCAGCTCAAGGAAGAACATTTATGGTCATTATTTTATCATTTACTTGAAGTAATAATCACCATATTAATCATTTTGCACTGCAGACGCGGTAGTTCTTCTGCGTTAGCGTCTCGGTCTGAATGAAAAAATGATCATAAATGTTCTTCCTTGAGCTTCATCACCCCGCTGCAGTCGATGGACTCGCCCGAAAGTTTTTGTACAAACAAGTGGCTGCTGGAAGAGAGAGGGTGAGTTGTGTTTAGTCCCTTTGTTGAAGAAATTAGGCAAAGTTAAAAAGATGCTTGGTGGCTAGTACTATGGCTGTGACCCTATATGTCCTGTTGATGAAGTTAGGTGCTGTTCTGGGCATTATTTGTGGCTATAGAGTGGCTTTTCGGTTGAGTGTGTGGCTCTCTGTATTGCTATCATGCAGTCGTTACTAAAGTTGGTGTAACTAGAGAAGCAAGCGGTCGACAACATTCATCTTTTGGGTGTTTAACTCTGTGTTACGGTGTGTTTGACCCTAACTTGACACCGGAATATCTCTTTAAGCATAAGGCCATTAAAAATAAACTACAACATGACACGGTTAATAAGGACATAAACTTTGAGGGAACAATATATCTTACACAGAATATCAGTATAGTGCAGCACCCTTTTATCCTATATGAACAATAAAAATGCAAAAATTATGGAGCTTTTGCACCAATTTTAAACTAATTATTGTGGTGTTATATTTTTAATTCAGGAGGAATATGTTGACAGCACGGCAGATAAATAAAGACAGTGTAAATTATTAGTTATCTGTACTTTTTGGTTTTGATAATATCGCCTTTGCATTATTTTACAAAGTAGTCATCAGATTTATCTCATATCGTGCGGGCTTGATGTTAATCAAAGACGTGTTGTTTATCATGAGCCCCTTCTTCCCTTTAAAGATCTGTGAATAGATTCAATAAAAAGTTTTGAAAACAGCTGATTCATTTCTCAAATATACTACTGGAGCCTGCAAACTTGGGGGGCTGATATTGGAAAAAAAAAAGTGCTAAACAAAGTCACCGTTTCAGTGGCCCGAGAGCCATTTTTGACGAGGGGCACAAGCTGCCTCCAAAACTGTGGCACTGCTAGCACAGAGCTCACAGTTAGCGGTGATTAATGAAACCTTTAAATTTGTAATTTTGTTCACATCAGTTGACGCGGAGAGTTTTCCCCCAAAGCTCCGCATGTGTCACACTGCACCTTAGCAGCTGTCAACAGCCTCACGGTGGTTGTAAACAAACATGGCTAGCGTTAGCAGGTTAACGCTACAAGACGAGGGGAGCCAGCTCACGAGCCTCCATTAATTTTCTCCTTTTGTTCGCGGGCTCGCTCGAGCTACAAGGAGGCCTCTATATTCATAAGCTTAACTAGCATGTCGCTTCGTAAACACAAACAGGCTCGCTGCCTACGCCTCCTCCATTCCTCGCTCCCTGCTCATCTCGCTGTGAGAAAATAAAAAAAACAGAAAAAAAAGTCTCGGATAAAAAAAAAAACGAACACAGGAGAAAAAAAACGTCGACGCCGTTGCCTCTGCACGAGACGCAGCTTCATGCAGACTTCCGGCGGTTGGGACGACAGTTGCTCTCAGACACAGTGAAAATATCAGATCATTAACGACCAACAAGAACTCCCGTGTTAATTACCGGTCAAATCGATTCCCCGTCAACCCCCCCGGAGCTTCCTCGGGTCGGGACAGTTGGGAAACTTTGTCCAAATCCGCCCCTCAAACCCCTCAGATGTGCCCTTTTTTTCTTCGTTTTTTTTTTCTTTTTTTCCCTCCAGCTCTTCTCGCTACAGTCAAGGCCGACCGTTACACTCTAGCGTTTCCGGTTGTTTCTTTCAAAATAAAACTCACTGTTAGATATTTAAAAAAGTGAGTTGTTAATAATGGCTGCATAAGTAGGGATGGGAATTGACACGATTTTATCGATATCGTTGCCATTGAAGATTCTGCTTATCAATTCAATTCTTTAACGATTCCCGTATCAGGGCCTTTCTTTGATTTAAAAAAAGTAGAGTATAGGTTTTCAATGTTAACCCAAATTTTTATTGAGTCATTGATAACAGAAAAAGATGTAGTCTTAAAATAATTAAACGACAAACTATTCATACAACATTTCCTTGATCGGTATTAAGTCAAATCAGGGTGACCATAATCTGGATCTCCAAAAAGCGGACAAGGCTACTAAGAGACGACAGATAAAAGATAAAAGACGGCATCACATAACAGCAAATCTGTGGTAGGCACTTAAAACAATTGTTTCTTTATTTTGTAGGCGCTTTTATATATATATATATATATTAAGTAAGTAAACTTTATTTGTGTAGCACTTTTCACAGACTAAAGAGTCTATAAGGTTAAAATTAATCTTATAGTAAAATAACATTAAGTTCAGATGTAATTTTCTTATCCTTACCTACTTAAACATTACCTTATTTGTAGTCATAATGGATATTTTTAACGTATTTTTCAATTTCATTCTTATTCAGTACTTATTATCCTTTTTTTATTTACTTATTAGAACTTTGCTTATTTGACTTTATTATAATGGTAATTTTAATTTCAATGTAAAGTAAACCTGACACACACACACACACACACACACACACACACACACACACACACACACACACACACACACACACACACATATATTCTATTTTTCTATTGTTCAAAATAAGCAGAAATATCGTAATTGTTGTGACACATAACCTTCTCATATCACCAATTGTCTTGTTCAACTGGATCAGTTCTGATTAATATTGAATAAATTAGCTAATATTGATGAAATTACTGATACAATAGTTGAGAGGGGCCCTGAGCCTAAACGCTGATTTTCGAGTTTAATGTATAAGATCCATTAGCCTCACTTCAGGAGACACGTCGGTCGTTTTAAATTTTGAAGGCTAAAAAATATCTTACTTCCTGTCTCATCGTTGTCACATTTTAGCTGACTTGACGCAGTAGTCGAGGTCCGCACAGTGTCTTCCGGTGAGTTTGTTATCCCCGTCGGTGTGAGGATGAGTGCACCAATTTTTATGTAAATCAAACATTTGTCATGGCCTCAGATTTAGTGTGAGAAAAAAAGGGGTTTAGTTTAGAAAGATGCTTGTGAAAGATGTTTGCGCGAATCCCTGGGGGAAATAATATAATTCAGAAACGGACAGTATTAAATAGTGGAGAAAACACTTTATTACGACTCAAACATACATGTGAGAGAAGTTACTGATGAAAAACTTAGCTGTAAAAATCAGGAAAAAAAGCAACAGCACTTACAGGCTGAAGAAAATAACTTTGAGAAATCAAATAAATAAACATTTATGAGCACAAATCACAGTTATAAACAGAAATCATTCACTATATACCTGTAGAATACACGTGGTTTCCTCTCAGCAATGTCATAATACATAATCTACAGCAGAGTACTACCATATACTTTAGCAGAAATTCACCAGCAAACGACAGAAGAAGTTTAAATAACACAGAAAACTCGACTTATTTGACAATAAATACATAAATATGACTCGTAGAGGATGCTCTGAGTGAGTTAGTAGAGGTGTGAATGGTGAAGCAAGCAGTGCTGCTGTATCAAATATATACGTATGTTATAATACATCTATGTCTATGTGTAGTGCCCCTTTATAGTACCATTTCACATCACACAGTCAATGACAGTAGATCAGAGATTACATTTCATTTTCTATGGCTAATAAACAGTTAATTCTCTCTACTTTGGTAATTACACAGTTAGATAGAGCACAGCTAACTGCAAGATTAAACTGGAGTGTAAGTGTAACAGGGATCAATCCATGCAAATATTAGTTCACCGACACCGATAAATTAATCCCAGAAAGCATTTCAATACATTTGGTTGTACAATATTTAGCAGTGCAGAGAATTCAGTGTCAGACAAATAAATAAACATATCGTGATTATTCTTGTTTATAATCAGTGTAGCGATTCTTCAGTGTTCAAGCTTTTAAAATTACAAGTGAAAAGTGTGACATACATTTCATATTATAAGTCAGAGGGTGGCGGTATCATGGGGTTCGCATATAAGTCAAGTCGCGCTGAATTTACATATGCCTGAAACTTCTGAAAGCTAATAAGTAACTTCGAACAGACCGAATATTTACTCTGATGTTATCTGAAACTCTTTCAACTAGGCTTCCGATAAATTCCTGCTAAAAGTTACGGTATATTTGTTAATGCATGTTGATAGAGGCTTCAGACCACTTATTTTAGAAGCTGACAAACCAGAGGTACCTCTCAGTTTGTGTGTTAAATTAATTGTAAAATGACTCATGTATGATACAAGGTGGGATTTCCTACACGTTTCTAAAATATAAAAGTATAAGATGAAGACATAAAAGCGGTTTTACTGTCTGTTTGTACCTGGTTCATTAGTCTTTAAGCAATAATGATGCATAACTTCACTGAGGTATCCCCTGCTACAGTCGAAGGTAAAAGCTTAACTTTACTCCACACCTTCATTAGAGCTGCTACATAACCGGCAATTATGACACAATTCACAACAAGGTACATCACATAAGGTACACTTTCACTAAAGCGTAGGTAACATAGACTGTATATACTATTCTATATACAGTCTATGGTAGGTAACAGAGGTGCAAACTCTCAGTGTCATGAGTCCTTAAATCCTGACTCTGAGGTTCGCTGCAGATTGAGCTGGATTCCCTGATTCATCACCACTTAAACATCCAATAACTGTGACAAACGTAACGTCCTGATAATGGTTCAAAATGTGACAATTGTATATATCAGACACGTGAACACTTAACTGTATTAAATAATGGGCAGCACAACAGCCGATACTGTTAGAGCTCCCTCTGGTGGCAGGCAAGTATTAGCTCTCCCGTGATAGTTGATGTTTGTTTATTTTTGCTGACAGTTTAGTTTTAATTTGTTATTTGGTAATGAAGCGCAGGGCAGTAATGTGCTGTCGGACAGCTCTGGTTTAAGAAGAGGAAGATCGATGACAGAAAACAAACACAAAAATCGCTGAACTTTCTTTAACCACGCATCTGTTCTGCAGTGGATCGTACAAACTGGAGGGATATTTGTGGTTGAATGTGGGTTTTGGTCAGCAGAAGGGGGGCAGACGTTAGTCTCACAGCTCCCCGAGTCGAATCACTTCTTGGTATGCCTTAGTGCAATATGTCAGCACCCTTCAAAGTGGTATTTTGGCTTCACTCCCAACATGAGGGGGGTGAAGGAGGCGTGTGGTTCACATAAATATACAGCCAATCCAGTATGGATCCTAACATTAGTTGAGGGTCAGAGGACATCCACAACTTTAGCTTATATTATTTAGTAAATACATGGAGATATAAGAGCAATGGGGCTCTACTCTGGTGTTTAAGATTTGACAGCAGGTACAGACAAGAAATCAAGAAAAAAAGTACAATGATGCTATTTTCAGACGGTATTTAAATTTGGTTAATGTGTTTTTTTAATCCTATTTTAAATACTTGATTAATTTAATCACTGCTGATAAATTTAACATAAATTCAGCAAGAAAAACAGGATGAAAAATCAAACCACAGGAGGCGGGTTTGATCCGATTCGTCTATTTTTAGACTAGATACATGTTAGTAGCATGAAGGTTTTGCATGTATGCTTTTTTTAAAACTCTAGTGTTAAGATGCACTTACGGTTTGGCAGCAAGGCAGTGCAGAGGCAATCATGAGGAGACGTTAAATGTAAACAGACAGTGGAAAGATTCACATAAATACCTTTTCATTGGAGTGACGCGTGGACACACAGTTAGACAGGAAAGAAGAAGGTAGGAAAGGACAGATTGTCGAGACGGACAAGGACAGGCACACACAGTCTACTGTTACAGCTGAAGTGCTGCGATACTTCAGATAAGGCTGGGTGACGGGGACCGAAGTTTGAAAAGTAATTCAAAAAGAGGAGGAAGATTCAACACGATACAGACACGCAGTACGATGTAGACAAAGCCACAGGAGGGAGACGGGTTTACACGAGATGTCAGAGAGACGAGAAACGAGGAAAGAGGCTGATGGTGTCTGCAGACTCGTCCGTGAGTCCAGGCAGCTGATAGGACAATGAGAGTGGATTCGCCTGGTCACCAGCAGGTTGATTCTCTTTATTCTGTGTTAGCGGTCACCTGCACAAGGAGCGGAGAGGGGAAAAGGAAGAAATCTAGTTAAGATCAGAAAAAACTTTATTTATCCCTGCAGGAAAAAATTCGTACAATAAGAAGAAGAGTGGAGAAACACAGGAATCCAACATGGTAGAAATAGAATATTTAAAATTTAGTACAAATTAAATAATGTTTCTAAGTGACACCGACAGATCACATATCCCATAATAATCCCTTTGTATGGGTGTGAATGTGTTACCTGGGAGATGCTGACTCCGGTCAGTTTCTCCAAAGTCTCAGGCAGGCGGGCCATGATGTCCAGCACCTCTCCGGACAGTTTGGCCGCTCCCACCTCTCCTCCTCCGCTGCACACCATGGTCACCTTGTTGGCTTCACACAGAGGCTTGCTGATCTCTTCTGCCATCTAGTGGTGGACAACAGATTTAGGGGAAAAAAGTTAAAACAGTCATCAATCCTTAAGAAACTTCTGCTGAACAGTGAAAACTTGAGGAGACCGAGAGTGAATGTCTCTCACCAGAGGCAGTTTCTCCAGCAGCATGTCCACCATGGCTCCGTCTTTGTACTGCTGGAAGGCCTCCGCCTTCTTGGCCATTTGCTCAGCCTCAGCCCGACCCCGGGCCTCCACTGCAAACGCTTCAGCCTCCCCTTTCATCTGCAGGAGAGAGAAACTTTACCCACAAAACAGTGTCTAAAAACAAGAGCGAGGTTTCTGAAAGAGCCTGAGAGCGTCGTTGAGCTTCAGTCCTTCAGAGAGATGAGACGGCTGAGTTTAAATTCAGCTGTAATGATCAATGACTCACCCTGATGGACTCGGCCTCTGCTTCTGCCTCCATTATCAACTTCAGACTGGACCAAGACAGAGACAGCGAAAGAGAGAGAGGGAAATGCAGAGTCAGACAAAGACAGCTCAGCTAAAAGGGAACCATAACTAAAATACAAGAATAACACGAACGATACGAAAACATGAGGGAGTTTCAACCTCAATGATGATTCGACTGACTTTGTTTGCTAGACTCAGTTTAATGATGGCTGGAAAAAGTTGACAGGTGAGGACAAAATCAACCTTGACCTGCATTTGTCTTTTTTTAATTTACCCAACGATCTTTTTTTTAAATCATCTCTCACATCTGTGGGAACAGTAGCAGTAAAAAACCTGCTTCAAAGCCTGACCAACATAAGAGTTTCAGCTTAACTGAAGCAGATTTACGTGCAAAAATTCACTGATTAATTAAAGGGATATTCTGGTGTAAAATTAATTTAAGGTCAAACACACAGTAACACAGAGTTACTGTACTATATGTTCTGTTGATGAAGTTAGGTGCTGTTCTGAGCATTATTTGTGTCTATAGAGTGGCGTTTTGGTTGAGGTTTGTTTATAGCTCCTCAGACCGCTGTGTATTGCTATCGTGCGGTCGTTACTAAAGTTGGTATAACTAGAGAAGGAAGCGGTCGGCAACATTCATCTCTTTAGGGGGTGTCTTACTCGTTACCGTGTGTTCGACCCTGACTAAAGTCTTGCTGCTGTTTGATTTCTTGTTTGCAGTAAACTCATCATGGGGAAATAAAGGCATTAATAATTGTTTTAGTGTCATTAAAAGTCAGCACAGATCTTATTATGCAGTCCAACCTTGTTTTTAAGCAGATGTCGAGGAACATTAAGCCAAAACAGATCCATCTATTCTTCTCACACATATCAGTTTCGCTTGACTCACACGGATAGAAACGACGAAAGCCTGGTATACTCACCGCTGAGCCTCTGCGAGTTTCTCCAGACGGTACCTCTCGGCGTCCGCCGGTTTCTTCACCTTTGCCTCCAGCTCTTTTTCCCTGCGGGCGATCTCCTGCTCCTGCAGCATGATCTGCTGCGTCCGCTCCACCACCTGGACCTGCATCCTCTCCTCCTCGATACGCTGCTTAGTCTTTGCTACCTGGTAATGAAAGATAGAAAAATGCACACTATATTTTGTAATTTCTAGAAGTACTGAACGCACACTGGAGTCCTTGTTTTGATCACAACTGGACGATTCTGGCATGAACTCATTTCCTGAATAACTCACTCTTCTTGGTAAAAACTTTGTTAGACACCCTTTCATACCAATAATACATCATGCTCACATGTCCAGTGAAAACATAACCAGGTGACTTTTTTCCTCTCTTGTGTACCTGCAGCTGGTAGGCCATCTCTGACTCAGCTTTCTTCGTGTTAACCTCGATGTCATACGCCGCCTTCTTCAGCTCATAGTCCCTCTGAGCCTTCGCCATGTCGATCTCGTTCTTGTACTGAGCTGACACTTTCTCCTGCATCGCGTGGGCCTCCTGCAAATACAGAGAGAGAGAAGTGGGAGGGAAATTTACATCAAAACTCTTAAAAACTTGATGAAGATGTTTAAATGTGACGCTAAAATCCTCCTTATCTCACCCTGATCACAGCGTCTCTCTTGTTCTTGGCCTCTCCGATGCGAGCGTCTTTCTGGACCTGGGCTGTCCGAGCTTTCCCCAGTGAATGCAGATAATCCTGCACAGGAAAAAAAACAGGTAAAGATTTAATCCAGCATGCTTTAAATTCTTTATATTTCACTTTGCTGCTTTGTGATTACTCTGTGTGAAGTTTTTCAGTATCTTTCTGAATAAAAAGTTAATTATCAATCCATTTTAAAAAGTTCTGATTTGAGAACTCGTGTGGGAAAATGCTGATACCTGGTCGTCATGAACATCTTTGAGCGTGTAGCTGACCACACTGATGCCCATGTTGACCAGGTCTGAGGAGGCCACCTTAAAAACCTGCTCGGAGAACTTCTTCCGGTCCTTGTAGATCTCCTAAAAGAAAAACTATATATCAACTGGGATGTTGACTTTTTACTGTCGGGGCAGAAGGCAGAAGGTGACGTGATATTTTACTGACATGAACAATTTAACTTTGGACAAAAATTACTGAATCAGTTAAAACAAATCCAAATGGAGTAAATCTCCCAGGTTTCATGATGTGAGCTGGGTCACATGGTTTCATTAAAGGGATATTACAGACTGCTGCGGGGTTCCGCAGCTCAAGGAAGAACATTTATGATCATTTCTTCATGTAAATGCAATCAGACCGAGACGCTAAGGCAGAAGAACTACCACTTCTGCAGTGCAAAATTATAAATATGGGGATTATTAATTCAAGGAAATGATGAAATAATGATCATAAATGTTCTTCCTTGAGCTGCGGAACCCCACAGCAATCTGTAATGGACTGACCTGAGGTCTCGCTACAAACAAGCAGCTGCTGGAAGAGAGTAGGTGAGTTGTGTTTAGTCTCTTTTCTAAAGAAATTAGTCAAAGTTAAAAAGATGTTTGGTGGCTAGTACTATGGCTCTGACCCTATATGTCCTGTTGATGAAGTTAGGTGCTGTTCTGAGCATTATTTGTGTCTATAGAGTGGCGTTTTGGTTGAGGTTCTTTTATGGCTCCTCAGACAGCTGTGTATTGCTATCCTGCGGTTGTTACTAAAGTTGGTGTAACTAGAGAAGCAAGCGGTCGGCAACATTCATCTCTCGACAGGGTGTCTAACTCGGTGTTACGGTGTGTTTGACCCTAAATTAATTTTACGCCGGATTACCCCTTTAATACGTTGTTAAACCCGAATTAAAATGAAAACAAACACCCCTCAGATCCTCACCTCCACAGTCAGGTGGGCTATGATGGCCCGCTGGTGTCCCTCCAGCGTCTCCAAGGCGATCTGAGCGATCTCTGCCTCTGACTTCCCCATGAACATCTGACAGGCTGCGGCCAACATCTGTTTGTTCTGACCCTGGATCTTCATCTGCAGGGAGCAGCGAGTAGTTCAATACACAGTCTAGAGTGAAGCACTAACATGAACATCATAGAGTCCATTCCTCTGTGTGGATATGAACACGATATTGAAAACGCAGCAGTTACAACCCCGTCTCTGAAGACTTCTGTGCATGGTGGCTCTGGATGCATCGACTCCAGTCTCAGTCCACTCTCCAAACTTCTTACATTACTTTTTTTTTTTATAATTATCTCAGGGTCGTGATCTTTCCTGGTGCTTGTGCACTTTTTCCAAACAGAATTTTCCCTTTCAGTCAATTTTCCATTAAAATGCTTCGATACAGCGCTGAGCCTCTTCAGCAGTGACCTTCTGCGGCTTACCCTCCCTGAGGCGGGTGTCAGCGAGCGTCTTCTGGTCAGCTGTCTAGTCAGCAGTCTTCTCCATAATAACAGTTGCATAATCTGTGCTGAACTGAGTGAAACACTGTATTTATTCTGTTTGAGTAGTGATTTACTCAAATGCTTCAAACACTTAAGTTGTCATGAGTCTGAAACATGTTAAATATTTAATTCCTTCAATAACCGTGGGAAATATCAAACTTTTTCATGATCGTCTAATTCGTTGTTGGTTCAGTAACCACTAAAAGAGAAGGACCGGGCCATTAGTAAACACACAGATCTGCATCTATGATAGTGTTCAGGTGAATAATAATGTTTAGTTTCCTTCTCAACAAGTTAATCCAGACCTGTCCCCACTGACCTGAGCTATCCCGGTGACCGAGATGGGCACCCCGTGGCGAGTGTAGACTTTATCACTCTTCACGTTCAGAGTCAGGGTGTTCAGAGAGATCCTGGAGAAGGCAGAGTAAAAGACACAGAGGAAATGACGATTATTTATTGATTACCTGCTGCTCTAACGAAACGCATTAAAGGGGAGTCATTTCCGCTTAGTGTTGTGCTGAGTTGCAGGTGTACTAAATGCAGGACTGAATAAGTGCAGGATTGAGGCCGACAACAGCACTCAGGCAAACAAAACATTAAGTCTGAGATGATGAGGTGAACTACAATCACTGAGAGATCGACGTGTCCTGAACTGGCCTCATGTGTGTCACTTGTTTGTAGCGAGACCTCAGGCTAGTCCATTACGGACTACAGCGGGGTTCCGCAGCTCAAGGAAGAACATTTATGATCATTTCTTCATGGAAATACAATCAGACCGAGATGCTAAGGCAGAAGAACTACCACGTCTGCAGTGCAAAATGATTAATATGATGATTATTACTTCAAGGAAATGATAAAGAAATGATCATAAATGTTCTTCCTTGAGCTGCGGAACCCCGCTGTAGTCCGTAATGGACTAACCTGAGGTCTCAAACAAGCGGCTGCTGGAAGAGAGTAGGTGAGTTGTGTTTAGTCTCTTTGCTAAAGAAATTAGTCAAAGTTAAAAAGATGTTTGGTGGCTAGTACTATGGCTCTGACCCTATATGTCCTGTTGATGAAGTTAGGTGCTGTTCTGAGCATTATTTGTAGCTATAGAGTGGCGTTCTGACTGAGCATGTGGCTCTCTGTATTGCTATTGTGCGGTCATTACTAAGTTGGTATAACTAGAGAAGCAAGCGTTCGCCAACATTCATCTCTCGAGGGGTGTCTAACTCAGCGTTACGGTGTGTTTTAATTAATTTCATGCCGGAATATCCCTTTAAGAAATGTGAGTATTTCCAACCTCTGTATCTGCTGGATGCATGGAATGACGAACACACGACCTCCGGGGATCATCAGCGGAGGAGAACGACAGAAACCTGGGAGAGATAAGAGCGAGACGAGCTTTCAGTTTAAAAATAACTGGTGCTAGACGAAGAAAAACAGGCTTACAGTTTTCAAGAACCTTTTTGAATGTCCAAAAGAAAAACAACTTTTGTAGCATTTGGCAAATCAGCCATGTACAACAAACTTGTAAAGTAATCCTCATTTTGGAAGATTTGCTGTTAAAATAGAGACAATTTAGAATATGTTAAAGCCCAAAGTTGCACAAGTATTTAGTATATTCTGTCCAATTAAAAAAAAACAGCTTTCAAATGGGTACATACAGTGAAAAAAAAACAACAATAGTTTATCATTTGTTATGGTGTGTGTCTGTGTTTAAGGGTGGTGTGGAGAGGGGTTTTGATGCATGACTTACCTGACACCACCATTGCCTCGTTGGGACCACAGGTGTAAAACATGATTGCTGATCCTCCTCCAGACTGCAATCCACAGAAAACAGCAGATTGTTAAAGAAAAGTCTTAGACTTTAGTTGTTCCTGTCCAGAATATTCTGTAAATTGTTCAGAAAATCCAGAATCAATGAGCAGCCTGGGTTTTCAGAACCACTGGGACTGAATGTGCGAATATATTTAACCAGCCTACTTTAAAAAATTAGGTCTTTAAATATTTTTTTTTGGTTTATACATGAGGAAATATGACAGAGGAGGGAGGGTGAGGGAGGCAGCAGACAGCCAAACAGACCAGCAGGATTAAATCTAATTTACGCAAATGTTGCGCAGAAATCAGCGAGAAAAACTGAACAAATGAAACAAAAATCCGCACATTGAGAGTAAATATCAGAGGAAACGTAGTTTCACTAACACTGCACTGATCAGATTACTTGAAAAAATCTGTCGCACCATTAATCAATTTAACAAACGCATTTGTGTTTACTATTTGGACTGTCTGTGGATGATAGCGGTGAATATAATCACTCACTTACCGGTTTGTGTAAAAACGATGAGGTTTAGGCAGAAAAAGGTGAAATCAGCTGGTAAAGAAGGAGTCTGTATGGGTTAAAAATAATGTAATTTTACCTCCTGGTGACGAATATTCCCGTATGGAACCAGCTGATGCAGACAGTAAAACACAACAGTGACTGCAGCTCAGCGGCTTCTAGTGAGCATGCTCATTATTCAAACTCTGCACGGCTGCCATCTAGCGGCCTGGTGGAGGACTGACATAAAAACCGTTCACACACACAGGGAAACTATTTCATTTTTCATTTCATTTCATTTTCATTTTTATACTTTATTTCATTAAGTGAATATTTAAAACATTCAATACAAACAAGGAAAAATCTAAAACATGTGAATGAAAAAGAGCAGAAGGAAGAAAATTCTTATCGAGTCTGCCCCTATGAAAAAATTTATATCTTATCAGGTGAAAGTATTTTAATTCCCATCATGATAATGATGTCCCCTTGGTCTCAGGTTTTTGTGATTGGGTTCCTGTGTTGGCTGGGTATGATTGGCTCTTATAATGTCTTTGTTAAATGTCTTTGTTTTAATTTCAGCTCATGTGACATTCATCAAAGCTTTTATGTCTCTCTCCAATTTTGATTTTATTTTATTGCTGGTCATGTGTCATTTCCCCCAAGTTTTCTCTTTTTGTTGTTTTTATCTTCTTTGTTCTCTTTGTTCTCCAGTGCACGTTAAAGCACTTTGTAAGCTCTTGTTTTTAAAAGTGCTGTATAAATAAAGTTATTATTATTATTTAAAGATTATAATTATCATTTAAAGATTATGATTATTATTATTTAAACATTGTGGTAATTATGATGATGATAATAATAATAATAATTTTTATATGTATTATTATTATTACTATCATTATTATTTTTTTTATTTTTTTTAAACAATTTTAGATATTTTATCACACATTTAACAGTTAAATATGTTTCTCATTGAAAAACAATATTTTGCTGTAACTTACACTCTAACACCTGCCCCAGTGATGGCAGTCAATCAAACTATTTAGAATGATCAATCTTTTAGCTTTCGTTCAAAAAAAAGTAAACTAGATAGATGATGGATTAGTTTGTTTCTCTATCCCTTTCTGTGAAGAGGTGGCCTATTAATGAGCACGTCTGTCTCTTTATCGTCTTTTTTATTATAAAGTGCAACAAAAGCTGAAATAAACGGCTGATTTAGTCTGATGTCTTTGTCATAAAGTTTGCTAAAAGCGAAAATGACCCTCTCTTTCTGTTTTATTGTTCTGTTTTGTTTCATTGTGGAGCTCCAACGGGGCAGTAATGACAGAACACCGGCACTCCCTCTCATCTTCCGGTCCTTGCATTTGAGTCTGGGAAACCCCTTTGGAAAAAAAGAAATCTGCCTCTCAGCCAATCAGCGGCTGAGCTACAGCGCGAACAGCCAATCGGTGAGCGTCATTAGCGTGATGGCCGCGTCCCAAAACTTTTAGTCCCGCCTTCAGGATTCAGCGCAGCAGCCCGTTCACTCTCTAATTTATCAGTCCGGTGGCTGTGTTTGCAGTCTGCAGGTCCTCCTCCTCCACAACAGCAACATCTCTTCTTTATCTCTACACTCTTTCACTTCCATCAACAACTACCATTCACCATGAGGGAGATTGTGCACATCCAGGCCGGTCAGTGCGGGAACCAGATCGGTGCAAAGGTAGGAGAAGAAAGTAGTTAAATCAAATTAAGCAAGATTTTATTGTGTATTCCAGTTTCTTTAAGATTTCAGTCTTTAAAAGTCTTTCTGGGAGTCTTTCTTTTGTCCTCTGGTTGAAAAGTTGCAGAAAATAACTTATTTAATTAAATAAAACTGAACCAGAACATGTACAACTATATTTATACACCCCCAGCATTACAAATCTGAAGACAAATCATTATTACTTGGATTTCTAAATGAAAATAAATTACAGAAATGTGTTTTTTCAACTTAATTTTTGTTTTGGACAAAACTGTAGCTGTGGCATTTTATCAGTGTTGAATAAAAGCACATAAAAACTTAAGAAACATTGGCTATGGTGAGTTTTATAAGCTTTTTTGACCATTCAAGTCATTTTCTTTGGTGGCACCTACTTTTATCCAATAGATTTACATTTATTCTTTGTTGAGAGATGTTTTGAGGCAACTTTATGAAGTGAAATGAATTAGAAAAACTTATGAAACATGCCTACTATTAATACTTTTGTATCTGATTCAGTACCACAAAGTGTAGTAAACCCTAAATCCTGATAACATAAGAGACCCACAAAACACTGCAAAAAGAGTTCACATTTCAGTGATATTTAAAGTTAGTCATACACGTTAAATTAGACTACAGAGATTTAATAAAGCCATAATCCAAGGGAAGCTGTTACAACATTGTGTCTGCACTGACATTTAAACTGTCATCTTTGCATTGTCTTTATGCATATTATGAAAATGGTGTCACATCACAGATTTGGGTCTGTTGACAAAACAGAGACTCGGGTCATTGATCCGTGATTAATGAAGCAGACACGCAGGGCCAGCTGCTGTCTTGGCCGCCTGGTGAGCCGGACTCTTTGTCATTTGGGAAAGAAAGAGGAGAAAAAACAGAAGTGAAGACGGCGAAAAGAAAGGAGAAATTTGCTGAGGCAGAGGAGGGGAACGCAGCCAGAGGGGGCTGAAGGGGGGAGTAGATAACAAGTGTCTCAGTGTCTGCTCTGAAAGCACAGAGGAGGTTATTTAAAATAGCTGCTTTTCCAGTCAGTGTATCACATGCATGGACCCCGGGGCCCCAAACAACCAGTGACACATGAACATCAAGTGATTATCAGCGAAGTTTTCAAGTTTTCTTCAGTGATTTAAATGTCCAACTCCGCACAACCAAGAGCCACACTGTTTGACACTGCAGCCATAATTCAACTAATAATCACAGAAGTATAAAAGATTGATATCTCATCAGGTGAAAGTATTTAAATCCCGTCATGGTGTTTTTTTTCTGACATGTTTCAGAGTCATACCTCCAACAACAGGTCTGACATGCATACTCAGTTTGCAGTTGTATTTCTGGATTAGGGTGCATGGGGATCACTGATTAAAGCTTCACTCAGTGCATTTACATGCACAGTTTGATCAGACTAACCTCATAATTTGTTTTTTTTTCGCTGAATCAGACTTCTCTCCTTGTCCGCGTGTTCATGCAGCTGAGAAAATTGAAGTATTGACGTGAACGTGTCCTCCTCCCCAAAACTAGGGGGGGATATGGGTCTGTTTCTGACCCCATACAACCGTCAACAACAACAGCAGGTCATAAGTTTCTACAACTGCTGCTGGGCATTTTGGAGCAAGAAGATGGAGCATTATACAGTGTTGTTTTTGTTGTACATGATATACATATATATATTTTACTGCAGAAGAAATGCACGCTACTCGCACATGCTTTGTCCGATCATACTCCGTTTACACTGGTTACATTTGTAGAGAAAATCCAATTCCAATCACATTATCTGGGTGTCTTAATCGGAGTTCTACGACTCCAATCGGAGTTTAAGAACTCTGATTGGAGTCAGACTAAGGTGTTTACAAGCACTTCAGTTGTCCGGTCTTAATCGGAGTAAGGCAATAATTCAGTTTTCTCGAGTGTCGTGTAAACATACTGAGTGAGGGACTTTTGGTTTGTGCAGTATTTGGCGCCCCCTGTGGACAAATCTTATCCTCCCCTTTCTGAGCTGATCTCACCCTGTGCGCATAAAAAAAAAAAAAAAATGTAAGTATGTACTATAATTAAAGGACAAATCTTAGTAAACTCCTTATTTATCTTCCACAAATGTCGGTAAAAACCCTCACTGTTCTGCGGATGTCTGACACGCTTCGTTTGGCTGCTATTCTAGAAAAATTAATCTAGATTGCGACACCATCTTTTACCATATAATTATAAAACTTTGCAGAAGTTTAGCACGGACATCCAGCTTAACTAAACATGACTTATGCGTGTTGAAGTACAGATAGGGTGTCTGTGAATCAACATATTTGACTCCTCACTCGCTCCCTAGCTCCTACCCCGGGGTAACAAAATGAGCTTTGGCAGCAACATGCGTCTGTTTCTCAATGGCCCTGATCGGTGAAGACAAGTGTATTTACAGAGGACTTAGTGAGGCTGAGGTCATCCCTATTCCACAATGGATTAACTCAGCGTGAACTCACTCGCTTACACAACCAGGATCCAACCAAAACTCTGCGCAGGTCCGATACACTGCTTTAAAACTTGTAGATATAATCCAGAGGAGGGGAGGGGGATTAGTTTGTCATAGAGTGGTTTCAGGAAATACTAACTTCACACTGCGGTGACTTTTTGACCCTTGTGCTCCCAGATTAAGTCTCGTTAACCATCAGGAATCGCAAAATCTAAAAAACCAGACTGTGTTTATGTAGTTAAAAACTATCCGAGTGTAGATTTCGTTTTAAAAGTTTTTGTGGAATTTTCAGCTGCAGTTTGAAATCCATTCCCCCCCAATCTAACCTTATCACCTTGTTGCCATGGTGATCACAGGTGAATCCAAGGACAGTCAAAGATGGTGAGGTGACAGCAGTGAAGATTAATAAAAGGAGATTTTCTCGCCCACCCAGCTCTCTCTTTCCCTCTCTCTCTCACACACACTCACTCGCACAAAGACGTGCCAACTTCCCCCTGCCCCTGCTTATCTCACCCTCTCCTCCTCACACACACACACATGGACACAGACACACAGACAGAGTCCATGGCACAGATTAGGGTCAGTTGACTGAGCCGCTGTGACAGTGTGTGTGTGTAATGTCTTAAACGAGTTTGGCGTTCAAGTCTCAGCCTGTAAAAACTGAGCTGACTGAATCTTCTCAGAAAGATCTGCTCCTGATGACCCTCCCCCCACTGGAGACAAGAGTTTGAGTTTTACAGAAGTTACAGAGGTTGTTTTGAGGCCAAAGTCTGTGTTACCCTTCGATGAAGTCTTAAACAACCTCTTTTGCATGTTTCCTCCTGTTTACCTCCATGCTTGTTTGACTCTTTAACTGAGCAGATGTTTTAAACCAAACACAGACTGTTGTGTCTCGCTGGTTTTCCTCCTTGATCTGGATCAAAGCGACAGTCTCTTTAACTCTCAAACAACCTCCGGGTTGGAAAGAACAAATAGTGAGTCTCTGCGAGGTCGGACATTTAAAGACTCGAGCACCACATGATATGACGGGTGTGTATCTGTGAAATTGATGGTTCGAGGACACTAAAACAGAGGTTGCAGTCACTGCAGACTCAGAAAAGCGTCTCTAATCAGATTCAGAGAGGTGATTTTACAGAACATGTTTCTGTTTTTAGCCGATCTTATGACTGCAGCAGGTAATCAGATGTTGGTGTTTTTCTCGAAGAAGCACAGAGAGGTGATTGTGAACCTCTGTCCTCTTTCCCCGCCGAGCTCAGACCTGCAGTCATGGTCTAAATATGCACACAAAAACGCATCTCTTTCTAAGATATGCTGGACCTGTGATCGCTGAATTCCTCCAAACACATAATGTTATATCAAGACTAAAGCTGCTTCAGGTTTATAGCTCAGAGAAATATATGACTTAAAGTGTGGAGACTCATCCTGGGAGTTAAAGTTCATGTTTTCGCTGTTTTTCTATCTGTGGGAGTGTTTTCTGCAGGATGACAAACTTTAACAGCAGATTAGTCATTGATGGTTAAGCCACTTTATCACAATGACCGGCTTCTTCACTGATGGTGTCACTGCCTGTGTGTTTTGTCTGTGTTCAGTTCTGGGAGGTGATCAGCGATGAGCACGGCATCGACCCGACAGGAACCTACCATGGAGACAGTGACCTGCAGCTGGACAGGATCAGTGTGTATTACAACGAGGCCACTGGTGAGTACGTCCTGACTCACACTGGGGTCTGTGTCGGAGGAGGATGAGCCGAGACGTCCCCCCTCCTGTGGAGACGCTGACTCACTGCAGCAGCAAAGAATAAATCAGAGAGAAAGCTAAGAGAGCGGGGTGAGGTGCATACCGTTAAAGCTGAGTCAAGACCACATGAGCCCACGTTTAGCTCAAACTTAGTCCTCTGCTGCATGTCAGAAAGCTCCGTCTTTCCTTCTGTCCCTGCTCTCTATACAACAGCTGTTACATCTGAAACATATGTGCAAAATATTGAACATAAACTTCCCCAAAACACCTTTAAATCTTAAATATTTACATAATAAATAAGTATTCTTCAATGAGTCTGGATGAAACTTTTCTTTGGGCTTAAAAAATATGAAGTTGTGGCAGTGAAATCGAACACACTGACATCTAGTGGCTTTTAAAACACATCGCAGTCTTCTCAATGATGAGCTGATATTTATGATTTTGGACTTTTATATGAAGAAAGTTCGCAAACTAACTTGAAATTAAGATATCAGTATTTGTAAATGTTTTTTATAGTTAAAGCTGTAAACCATGATTTAGAAATTAAAATAAAAAATGCTTAAAAAACATTCAAGTTGAAAAAGAAATGGGTCTAAAATAGGGTCTCCTCTGCTTACTGACATGCTAACATCCCCAGGGGGAAACTGTTTTTTGTTACAGTAACTCCAGTGCAAGTAAAGTACAAAGAGGAGATAAATAATTGCTAAAATAAGTAAAAATAAAGAGATAGTATCCAAGTATGTACACTATATACAACACAACATAGTAAAATAGTATGCAGAGTATGTAAAGATTGCCTGTTTCTCCCAAAGAAAGTCTTTTTAGTGACGCAGTAAAACTACAAACTAGTTGATTCTCTCCATAAAAAAACAAAACCAACATTTTTAACTTTATTTCTCATTTGCTGAAGTTGTCAATTCTGTACAAAATGTTGTAACTGTGGAGTTTATGCAGCATTATGGTGTTTAACTCCATCTAGTGGCCTAATGAGGGAACTACATACAGCTTTAGTTTAGTCCTTCACTCGTTTTAACAGAATCTCTGAAGCATCATTTCTCCGTTCATATATTTAAAAAACCACTGAGTGAGAGTTTTTAAAACAAACTGTCCCATCTTCACTTTCTTGAACATTTTGACAGTCATCAGGTTTATTTTTGCAGTTTTTTTACCTTAATGTTTTTTTCCGTGTGTTTATCAGGTGGGAAGTACGTGCCCAGAGCCATCCTGGTGGATCTGGAACCAGGCACCATGGACTCTGTCCGCTCTGGACCTTTTGGACAAATCTTCAGACCTGACAACTTTGTCTTCGGTAAGAACACAACAGGAAAAACCATGGTTAATGTTGCCCTCTAAAGTCAGAGGTGAGATTGTCATTTGGTGCCAGCAAAGAAAACGATACCACGTTCTTTATCTAATTTCCAGGTCAGAGCGGAGCAGGAAACAACTGGGCCAAAGGTCACTACACAGAGGGGGCGGAGCTTGTGGATTCAGTCCTGGACGTGGTGAGGAAGGAGGCCGAGAGCTGCGAGTGCCTTCAGGGTTTCCAGCTCACTCACTCTCTGGGAGGAGGAACCGGCTCCGGTATGGGTACCCTGCTCATCAGCAAGATCAGGGAGGAGTATCCGGACCGCATCATGAACACCTTCAGCGTCGTGCCCTCTCCGAAGGTGACGCATCGACTTCACTCTCATGGTAGACAGTACAAAGACGGTCATATGTTATAGTTAAGTGTTACATCGGAGATATTAGTATATCTGGATTTCTCCTTTCAGGTAATCTCAAATATTAAATTATTGAAAAAACAGAGATAGTTACATTTAGACGGGATTAGTTGTTAAAAATAATCAATTTAACTTTTAAAGATCAGCAGGATGAGAATTTTTGTTGAAGGATTCATCTTAAACATGTAGAGGACATTGTTTCCTGTGATTCAAACTGTGTGTTTGATGATTTTCTGGAGTTTTTACGTCAGCTGACTCTCCACTCTCTCCGTCTCAGGTGTCGGACACCGTCGTGGAGCCGTACAACGCCACGCTGTCCGTCCACCAGCTGGTTGAAAACACCGATGAGACCTACTGCATCGACAACGAAGCTCTCTATGACATTTGCTTCCGCACTCTTAAACTCACAACCCCCACATACGGCGACCTCAACCACCTGGTGTCCGCCACCATGAGCGGCGTGACCACGTGCCTGCGTTTCCCCGGACAGCTCAACGCCGATCTGAGGAAGTTGGCCGTCAACATGGTTCCCTTCCCTCGTCTCCACTTCTTCATGCCAGGTTTTGCTCCTCTGACCAGCAGGGGGAGCCAGCAGTACCGCGCCCTCACAGTTCCCGAGCTCACCCAGCAGGTGTTTGACGCCAAAAACATGATGGCGGCATGCGATCCTCGCCACGGACGCTACCTGACTGTGGCCGCCGTGTTCCGTGGCCGCATGTCGATGAAGGAAGTGGACGAGCAGATGCTGAATGTCCAGAATAAGAACAGCAGCTACTTTGTGGAGTGGATCCCCAACAATGTGAAGACGGCCGTGTGCGACATCCCCCCACGCGGCCTCAAGATGGCGGTCACCTTCATCGGCAACAGCACGGCCATCCAGGAGCTGTTCAAACGCATCTCCGAGCAGTTCACCGCCATGTTCCGCCGCAAGGCCTTCCTCCACTGGTACACCGGCGAGGGGATGGACGAGATGGAGTTCACGGAGGCGGAGAGCAACATGAACGACCTGGTGTCCGAGTACCAGCAGTACCAGGACGCCACGGCCGAGGAGGAGGGCGAGTTTGAGGAGGAGGTGGAGGAGGACGCCTAAATAAAAACAAAAATATGAGCTGAAGAAGTCAAAAAGAACCAAAAAGAAAAAAAAAAACAAAAAAAGAGAGAGAAAAAGTCTTGAATTGAAAGAACGAGGAAGTTTTTGGAGGTTTAATTTAGAAAAGAACGATCGAAACAGCAGAAAGAAGAAATGAAAGTTGGCAGAAGTGGGATTAAAAAAATAAAGAAAGAAATACCAAATAATGTGCCATGGGGCTGCTCTTTTAAAAAACTATCTTCACAAGTTTTTACTGCGAATTCTGAAACCAGACACATCATTTTACCTTCAACAAGATAATCTTTAGCATCATGAGAAACCGTATTTCACAACCTTAAATGTGCAGCCGTGAAGTTTTATTCCAGCGCTTCAATAAGGACAAAGTCAGGAAGATTTCACTGTGACCTAAACGGTTGTTTGGCGACCATTTTTTCAGTGTTACCTGCTTTCATCAGTGTTCAACACTTCTGTTCGTCTGTCAGCGTCGCTCTAAGTGATAAATGTGAATCTTTGTGGTGAATGTTGGAGATCTGTCAGTATTCGTTTCCTCTGATTGAATCATTCTGGTGGGATGTAGACGAATGAGTATTATCATTTCAGTATTTAAGTAGGTGTACTAACATTAACTTTAGTATCAGTATGACATGATGAGCTTGAAGCAGTTATAGGTTCATGTTTTATAAACCTCTGTTGAATTCAAATATATAAAATAAATGGGAATAGTATTGGGACCTTCTCAGGTGAAGTTTACAGTGTGAATGCAGCAGCAGCAGGATTCTCCTCAGACGCCAGCCAACGTCATGATGAGGATCACAGACTGTATTTTCACAGAGTAAGGTCTGGTTATCATGTTAGCGTTAGTCTTAACTGTTTTCATATCCCTCCTGAGATTTTAGACTTCTGTAAACTCGACTTTCTCTGGACTGTTTTGTGTTTGCTGCAGCTGGACCAGAAGTTTGTTTTAAAGATATTTTTCAACAGATTTAATGAGAAGAACACTAATGAAACACAAACAAACTGACATATATGAAGACTTAAACGAGGAAACTTAAGCAGCTTTAGTCCTGAATTGAATTCTTATTAGAAATGAATCAAAGTTTTGAACTTTTGAAGCTTTCCAGCATTTCTGTATCACTACATTGATGTTCATTTGACATTCAGCTTAAACAGATTTATATTTTTTGTCCTTAAAGATATTTTGTCCTGTGAAAAAATGCTAAAGTTTACATTCTGATGAATGTTTACACTCTGAGCCACAGTATTATGTATCCAGATCAAAATCTTCACCATGTTGTCCTTGTGATTGTGAATTTTGTATGTGCGCTTCATTGTTTGTACCTTTTTTTTTTTATTCCTAAGGAACAATCTGACCTGAGATCCAAATGTGACTGTGAAACATTTGTGAGAAATAAAAAGGCATTTGTAGGAAAAAAAGGTTTCATTTGTGTTATATTCTCGGATGGTTGGTAGTGTGAGCTGAAGGAAAAAATCTCAAACAAGATATGAATTCTCAAAAATGAGGAGGACATTCATTAGGCCACATCAAAATAAGACAAAAAATGTTAATTCATTAAATACTTGGCAAAAATATCCCCTGCTGAGGAAGAAAATATTAGTCCAACAAACCGGCTCTGGTTTGCTACCTGCAGCTTTACTCGCAGCCTCACAGAATTCGGGTGTGTCCACTTGCACCTGCAGACAATCCAAGTGAGAGAAGCTTCAGTAATAACAAAAAGGGAAAACAGATCTGAAAACAGAATTCCCCTAAAGGCAAATAACCACACACACCCCATATTTAGAGTGAAATGTAAACATCATGTACATTTAATATATGCTTGAAACCAATATTGCTTGGGTACTAGAGGAATGTGCACCTTCCTTTACCCTTAACAATAATTGGTGAGGACTCTATGGCCTCAAAACAATTTGTCATTATTCATGAAATGTTTTTAGTTTGTGTTTATTCACCTCTGATTTTGAAGCTTATTTCTTTGGCCCTGTAAGCAAAAATTGCCGTTCTATATTAGTTGGTCTCTTTGTTTTCTATTAACAATTAAATCTCCAAGAAGAACATTTAGGTTGGTGTTGATTTGGTAACCCCTAGTGGACAAAGTAGTAACTGTAATGTCTGCATAAATGTTTTTTTTTTTCCCTCGGAGTCTTATCCAGCTTTCTCCAAACACTGAAATGCATCCAAGTGTACTTCTTAGTCATTTAACCTGCAGAAATCTGCTTTCTCTGCAACATGTTTAGAGTTCTTTTGTCTGATCCAGCAGGATTAAACTCAGGATTAAATGTAATCGTACAAAAAAAATGCAGTCTTACTTATTTTTTTTTTCTTTTTGGGAGTGTCTGTATCAGTTTTAGTTTGAATCTCATCTACAATCTTTAAATGACATTAACATGACAGGCCAGGAACTGTATTGTATTCAATTTACAATCACTACACCAAAGAAAATAAATGGACTAGTGGTTGAGACAAATGCTGTTTTCCAATTTTCCTACTAAACTAGCAGTACATACTGGTTTGCCTAAAATGTAGTATACAGTACGTACTGCATACTTCCTTTGGTAAGAGTACGCAGTAGGCCTCGGTCCCACAAACGGCGAAGATCAGTTTGACATTCAGGACCATGGACAGCAGCAAGAGCGTAAACTGGGCTTTCAATCAATCAATCAATCAATCAATCACTTTATTTAAAGAGCACTTTTCATACATGGACTGTATCACAAAGTGCTGTACATTAAAGAATACACGAAGGAGAGGATCAAGGGATACCGAATAAAATACAAGATAAAATACAAATTGCAAAACCCCACCCACCCTCTAAGCCCGCATTTAACAGAGTCCCCACCACACACACAAATGATGAAAAAAATTAAATTAAATAAAAGAGTAATAATAATAAAATAATAATAAAATATCATATAATAAAACTGTTTTTAAATCACACAAAAACAGCCATACGGTTCTACTTCTTTAGCGCCTTTCTGTGACCTGGTTTGACCCTGAACTGAGATAAATCACATCAGAGTCTATGTGGTGAAGATTTGATTTTTTGTTTATCTTTTTAAAAACTTGAGACCATCTAAAGTTGTCGGTTCTAACCTCACAGTGAAAGTGAAAACAGGAAAATAAACTTATTATAAGAGGAGACTCAGACACAACACAAAAAAAATGTTTTCTTTTCTACTCTGAGTTTCTGATTTAAGCAGAAAAAAAGGATAAAATAAGTAGGTTACATGATATGACTTTAAACTAGTGTCAGCTGACCGGATAAATAAATCATAATCCTGAAAAGATCGTGCCTGTCCTCAAGTTAAACTGCAGACCTGCTCTCTATGGCTCCGAGCCACCGCTGACGGATTTTACCGAAGCTTCCCGAGCGTGATCGATTTCAAACGGTCCACAAACCCGACATCAACCGAAAGTCTCCAGTTACTCCCGATCCGGCCCCCATTGAAGTGTGTTGTAGTCGGGGTTGGGGGTGATGGGGTGGACCTGATTAATGAAATAAAGAAAAGAAAAAAAAGGAGATTTCCAGAAAGCTTCCCTCCTGAGCCCCTCCCTCCCACCCTGCCTGCTGCTTTTTCGGCTTTTCGTCTTGGCTAAGGTAATTATCATCATCCAATTATACTTGTGTGTTTGATCTTTTTTGTCTTTTTTTTTCTCTCTGTGTGTTTTATTCAATCAGGGAGGTAGTGGGTTAAATCCTGCAGCTTTCCTCTGATGTTTGGAGTGTTTGCTGGTGCTGATCGGTCCCATACGGTTGATTCAGATCAGGGCGTGAAACCTGCTGTAACGAAGGGAAGGCGAGTGGGATGGCAATATTAACAGACATTTTTACCCAGAATAGTTAAAAATGAGACGTATCCTTGCGTATGAGACAATGAGAAACACGGAAAAACCCGAAAGAAAACGATTAAGTCTCAATAGGCAACAGGGATTATTTCATGTGTGCACCGAATGGCCTCTTTCTTCCCACCAGTTTGGGGAGAAAATGGTAAATCCACGTATTTTACTCAGTGTAGCTGGTGTTTAACGCACTATAAGATACTGCAATGATAGTGTGCTTCTTGTCCAAGCTGTGGTGCATTATCCTGTCCTGTGTGTGGGATATACCCGCCTGTGCTGAGGTATTTTCTGGTGGTTACGGTTTTGGTTACGCAATGCTGTTGTGCGCTACGGCACACTTAAGACGCTGACTAAGTATTTGCCACTGTGAGGGGTCTTTTAAAGGAGTGCTACATGCAGCCTGGGCTCTTCCCTTCTTAATCTGCCTAATAAATCAAATTTAACCCCTTTATTAAATGTGTGTGATTGAGGAGCTGGAAAATTCTTCATGCCAGGGTACACAAAAACCGAATCCAGCATCAGGGTATCTCATCTCCTCATTACTCATTCATTGTCCTTCATTTCCTCCATCTTCCATCCGGACATCCCTGGAACGGGACAACCCCCATTCATGCTGGTCGTGACACACCCTTGGTGCACCAGCAGCTGCCTCCGGCTGTGAGTGGGAGAGGAGGGGACAATGGGTGGAGGTGAAGGTGGAGATGCAGGTGCAAGAAATGAGTAGATTCAGAGTGGGGGGCACTTTTATATATGACATAGTTAAGGATTGGAGTATGTCAAGAACGGACAGAGTAACAGGGGTTTATGTGGTCCTGTTTAAAGAGGGAATTAAAGGGATATTCTGGCGTAAAATTAATTTAGGGTCAAACACACCGTAACACCAAGTTAGACACCCCCTCGAGAGATGAATGTTGCTGACCGCTTGCTTCTCTAGTTATACCAACTTTAATAACAACCACACGATAGCAATACACAGCGGTCTATGAACCTCTACCAAAACGCCACTCTATAGCCATAAATAATGCTCAGAACAGCACCTAACTTCATCAACAGGACATATAGGGTCCCAGCCATAGTACTAACCACCAAACATCTTTTTAACTTTGTCTGATTTCTTTAGCAAAAAGACAAAACACAACTCACCTACTCTCTTCCAGCAGCCGTTTGTTTGAAGCGAGACCTCGGGCCAGTCCATTACGGACTACAGTGGGGTCATGCAGCTCAAGAAGGAACATTTTTGATCATTTCTTCATGGAAATACAATCAGACTGAGACACTAAGGCAGAAGAACTACCGCGTCTGCTGTGCAAAATGATTAATATGGTGATTATTACTTCAAGGAAATGATAAAGAAATGATCATAAATGTTCTTCCTTGAGCTGCGTCACCCCACTGTAGTCTGTAGTGGACTGGCCCGAGGTCTCGCTACAAACAAACGGCTACTGGAAGAGAGTAGGTGAGTTGTGTTTAGTCTCTTTGCTAAAGAAATTAGTCAAAGTTAAAAAGATGTTTAGTGTCTAGTACTATGGCTGGGACCCTATATGTCCTGTTGATGAAGTTAGGTGCTGTTCTCAGCATTATTTGTGGCTATAGAGTGGCGTTTTGGTTGAGGTTTGCTTATGGCTCCTCAGAGCGCTGCGTATTGCTATCCTACAGTCGTTACTAAAGTTGGTTTAACTAGAGAAGCAAGCTGTCAGCAACATTCATCTCTCAAGGGGGTGTCTAACTCGGTGTTACGGTGTGTTTGACCCTAAATTAATTTTACGCCGGAATATCCCTTTAACATATTCAGTTTTCTCTTTTAGTATCAGAGAAATGCGAGTCCTGAATATCACGAACCGGTGCTTAATAGGATTTAGTCAGAAGGATAATGAAGTAGAAAGATTACAAGGAAATGACAAGTCAGAACAAGACTGAATTGTTTCAGATAAATGAGAAAAAAGACAAAGAGAGGAGAAATATGAGAATGACAGTGATTCTGGGATGAAGAAGAGGAGGAGGAGGCAGGATGCTTTCACCCTCCTGACTTGTGAGGGGAAAAAGCTCTTGGGTCTGTCAGTCAGGATGGACGTCTGACTGAAGAGATGGGCTATTAAAGAGGCAACCTCCACACCTCTCACAGTGAGAGGGCTTAGCTGGAAGTGTCCGACGGTATTGATCGATCTGATTGGTGATGACAAAGAACAGAAGAGTTCAATCAGAGTCAAAGCAGAGGACAACGACTTTTACTTTTCAGTTGTGCCTTGACACCAGGACACTGTTCTTCTATTCTTCTATTCTCGATTCTTGCACCTGAACTTGGACAGTAAAGTACAAACTAAACAGAAATGACTGCCAGTTAAGAGGATTCTGAGATTGATTGTCGATATGGGTTTAAGAAAATATTGATGCCGATTTAATTGTGGTTGTCGTCTTTTAAAACGAAGAGTTGGCAGTTCAATCTCAGCTCCCGTTCACATGCCAAAGTGTTCTTGGGCAAGAAGCTGAACCTTAAAAAGCTCTCAGTCACAGAGTCAGTGGGGTGTGGATGTGTTTGGTCCTCTACAGCATCCTCTGTGTGAAAGTGGTGTGAAAGCGGGATGTGATGAAAGTGCTTTTAGTGGTCGGAAACACTAGAAAAAACGCTTTCCTATCCGATAACAGGGTTTATTGAACTGAACTCCTGTATCCTGATACGTATTGAAACAGAAGTCTCATCATAATCATTCAATCACATCTCCCTTCTGAAGCATCCAGCTCTTCTCGGCCTCATGTAACCTTTCTACTCTAAATACCGAGTGTTTTGTACAAGTGTCGCCACTCTGACTCTGTTGTCCATCTCCACCTTTGATATCAGCTACTCTTACCAGTCCGATTTTCTCTATTCAGCAGCAATCTAGATGTAAATCTCCCTCTATCAATGTGATTTATGCCTTTTGGCACCCTGGCACAAACATGCAATAAGCTAATGGCTCTGTTGAACCTCAAAGCGGGTCCAATCTGACCTGCTCCACGAGGCACTGATTGGAGAAACATGCTACAATTACAGTGTTTCTCTAAAGGGCTAAAAGCATTTGGAGCAGTGTTTCTGCCCACTTTAATGCTCAGATGTCATTTAGAGGTCTGTTGATGTGCAGAGAGATGTAGATATGCTTTCTCCTTTCTTCCTATAAATGATGGCACTCTAATCTCTCATCCTAACATGCTGGCAGGAATTCAATGGCTCCGTATTGTTCCCTTCTTAGAGTCTAAAAATGCAGTGGTTTTATTATTCTGTGTATCACACTGCGGGGCAACAAACAGCATGATAACTCTTACTTTACTTTTCATTCAGATCTCTGACATTTTCTGCTCTTTGCAGGCTCAAATTCTCAGTTTCGCACGAGCCATTTTGGAGAAAAGACTGTCTTTTCTTGGCAGTAACTTGCAGGTTTGTTGCCAGTTTTTTGTGCTGGCAACAAACCTGCAAGTGACATCCAGGAAGTAATTTTCCACAGTGTCAGTGAAAACACAAACTTATCCTACAAAGATAGTAACTTTTTACAGAGATTACACAAAATAATACGAGCAAATATGGGGTGAACATAAATTTGTTAGTCCGATTGTCCATACGACTCTGAAGATGACTTTAAAAAAAATAGGGCATGTCCTCTGGATAACTAGAGTAAATGAAAATCTGACTGGAAAATGGAGCCCACTGACATGGCAAGGTAACACAACTCAAAGCTCTCTATGATTTAGTTTTGTTTTACTGAGACTTTGAGACACTTTTTGTCTCCTATCAGCTCAAAATTCATATTTCCGTAAAGCTACACTCTTCCTAAACTTGATTTTTAAAACAGCAAGGTTTCGGAAGAGTTATGTTGGATTAATCTCCCACCCTCAATAGTTGTCTTTAAAGCTTTTCCTTTCTGTCTCTTCCACCATCCATCCATCTCATTATCCCACCTTGATTACTCCACTGCTGACTCCTCCGCTCGGTCTAATCCACTGCTGCAGTCGTGAAAGGTCAGAGAGTCAACTCACGCCAACTGGCTCTAGTCCATGTCGTCGTCACAGGGGATGATCACGAACTATTGTGTCTCTCTTACTCTGAGTTGTAAGTTCTGTCAGTTGGGCGGGTTGTTACGGAGCCAAAATGGGGTTTTCGTGCTGCTTTTATCTTCGCCTTTGTAATGAAGTGTCATTTAACACTAGCCAGGTATGTAACATGTATGCTCTAGATATTTTATATTGCATTACCAAGAGTATGGGTCTGAACATATATGCCTCAAATAGTTGTATTTTTATCATAATGCAGGTTTTAGTGAGCCAAGAGGGCGGGTACATAGTCCTGTGGCTCCACCGGCCTGACATGTTTGCACATGCCTTGGCTCCATCAGTGAAATACATCAGCACACCACCTTGGCTGTATTTTCATATCTTACAGAGGCAGGATGGAGGTGCAGTGTCCTTATTAAAACACAGTCAATGGTCTAAACCGGCTCCTCAATCCAACCTCTGATAGGAAGCTGTAAACTGTAAATTAAGGCTGTCACTTTCTCAAAATAATCAAGTTTATAGAACATCGAACATGAAATGCTGATATAGAATATATTCACCTCCCACCATCGCTGCGCCTCTGCATGGACACTAAACATTTATCTCACTGCATTTTATTGACTTGATCAGGAGTGAGTGCAGCTCAGTCCTGCTGATATTGCACACTCGCGCCTCCTCTGCTGCCTCACAGGTGAGCCTGCAGATTTGTTCTCATTGAAGAATAAGACAGCTGTTTTGTGCGAAGTTTACCTGAGGTGTAGCAGCCTGAATATTTCCAAAAGATGCCTCTCAGATAAGTTGATGTCATGATTGTCCACTCAGGGCGGGTTTGAAGTCAAGAGTGTCATGCAATGGTCAGGTAACGATGAGATTAGACAGTCGAGTGATGGTAAGAGAAGAGCCCCACTGTAAATCGATAAAAAAGACATAGTTAAAAGGAAATTCAGAACAAAGGAAGATAAAACAGATGAATGAAAAAAGTTTAGAATCTTTCTTTATTTCCTCTCATCTCCTCCATCCTCATCTCTCCCACTGGCTCGGGGTCATATTTTGTGATTGACTCCTCACGCTGCAGGAAACCAGAGCTGCTCCTCAGCTCACCGCACGTCTCCTGGCTTTGCTTTGAAGCTGCTCTGTCTATAAAACTTTGTCTGATCATATATTTGGCTTTTCAGCAGTGCTATAGATTTTTCTGTCAGGAGGTGTTGGCAGTGCTCTCTTGGAGTTAATTTGTGAAATCCTGTTTGGAGAGGCAGAACTTCTCCTCAGTTTGATCATGTAGATTAAAGGCGGCATGCTCCTGCTTTACAGATTTGTTTTTTTGATTAAAACTGAACTTTGATAAGACAGATAATCTTTACCTTAAGTAAACTGACCTCTTCAAGCAGATCTATGTGGGCCAGATAAAATCCTCTGTTCTTGTGATGACTACGGTTAAAATATACCTCTTTTTAGAAATCTTTTATTAGATCTTTTACAGTGACAGTCATGCTATTAAAAGCTTTTTTGTTTGTTGTATATTCTGAGTGGGTTTCTCTTTTTTTCAGAGACAGACTCTTCAAGATGAAAGTAATCAGCTCTGCAGTGCTCAGCACCCTGCTCTGCACCGGTAAGCACTAATGTAATCAGTCTCTTGGGATGGGGTTCGGATAAATAAACGGTTGAAACAGGCTTTCTGCAAAACTGAGCAGGTTCCAACACTGCAAGAAAGGAGGCTGTTTCATCTTAGTTTGTAGGATACTTCATGTGCTTTTTTGCTGCACTTTCTTTTCTTGAAAAAGGCCAGATTGTATTTACGTTTGGTCTTTTTTTAGTGGTCATTATTAGAGGCATTAACATTTCAAACACATTCACACTTATTAGGGAAAGTTGCCATTTCAAAAGAGAACACAAGAAATTATTCAGATGTCTCTGAACAAATTAAAGAAACTTAACTAAAACTATAAAAATGCATATTTAAAAATAAACTTATTTTTTTCTTTCACAGTTGTGTCAGCATCTTTGAAAGGTAAAACTGCATGCTTGTTTGGAATGTACAGTGGCCAAGAACCACCACTGCTGCCATTAAAAAAAAATGCAAAAAAAAAAAGAATGCAAAAAAAAAAAAAGAAGTCACAACGGAAGTTACCGATGCAAAAAAAAAAACAGAAAGAAACCAAAGCCTGCTGCAAATAAAAAAGAAACAATGCAGATAAAAATAATGCCACAACAGAAGTTAACGACGCAAAAAATGGTGGCAACGCAAAAAAAAAGAAAAAAAAAAAAAGAAAAAAAAATTCTTACTGCGGAAATAAAAGGATGCAAATAAAAAACCACAACGGAAGTGAGCTGCCGGGGACCAATAATGATGAGGCGTCAGTGTTTAATGATCTAGGCACAGAAGACGACGGCAAGAAGACGAACAAAGAAGTAAGTGGAAAGATTATTGTTTAATATCGCTTTGTGCGCTTTTCAATGTGTCGTTTGGTTAGGCCATGTAGGGCCTGAGTTGATATGAAGTTGAACTGGAGCTAACACTACACCAGCATCCTCCAGTTCAACTTCGTATCGACTCGGGCACTACATGGCCTAACCACATTGAAAAGCACATGAAGCAAAATTAAACAATAACTTTTCCACTTACTTCTTTGCTTGTCCTCTCACCGTCGTCTTCTGTGTCTAGATCGGAAAACACCAGTACATCATCATTATTGGTCCCCGGCAGCTCACTTTCGTTGTGGCTTTTTTATTTGCGTCCTTTTATTTTCGCAGTAAGTAATTTTTTTTTTCCATCACCACTTTTTTGTGTCGTTGACTTTCGTTGTGACTTCTTGTTTTTGCATCCTTTTTTTTGCAGCAGTGGTGGTTCTCGGCCACCGTAGGAATGCAGTGCATGACACAAAATGCTTTTGTGAAACAAATAAGCATGATAAAGTGATTGTCAATTGTTGATATTCCTAATAGTCAAAGAGGAACACAGGACAGCCTTCTTTGGGGAGGATATTCACATTGATGTACCTCCTGGAAACGTGGGTGAGGTGGTGTTCAAACCCAGAATCAGTGGCCAAGCAGAGGTGACTCTGCTGCAGGAGGGTAAGGTGATGAATCCCAGGTGTCACATCAACTCTCTGGGTCACCTGGTGGTGGACGACATTCAGGAGGAGGACGAGGGGGTGTATGAGATCAGGAACACCAGCAATCCCAGCTCAGCCAAGCACCTCATCCTCATCGTCAGGGGTACGCTGTCTGTCTAAGGGTACTTTCACCGAGACAAAAGTTGTCTTAAAACATAAAAAATGGTTTTAATAACTTGTACCAAGACTTTTAAGCCATTTTTTTTATTTAACTGACGTTACTATGGAAACAGCAGTGCAAGGCTAATCCACAAGCTAGCTTGTTTCGTTATATATCGTATTGAAAAGTATTTAGCGAAGTTGGCAACACACTCGTTCGCAAATATGCTGTGTCGTGAAAGTACTACAAAAAAATTACATATTCTGACGGAAAACTACTTCTTAGTCCACTTGTATGGAGATATTACTCAATTAAACTTACTACTAGCCAAACGCGTCAGTTGGTTGTACTTCCGGTGTTGTGCCGTAGAATGCACCCCCTGCATCCCATCCACTCGTTAGCTTCTTAAAGTGGAAGAAAATGATCTGATATTTTAAAAAACACGAGTATTGGATCATGACAACATTTCAAATGGAGCAGCAAACTTTCGTTCTGTTTGTATGTCTCTCAAAAATGCACATATAGAGGTTTACTTCGGTATATAAACTGTACAGTTAGCTGTCAAGGTAGAGAACATTATATTTTCGGGACAGCAAATATTCCGAATTAGAGGGCAATTGTTTTCGTCTTATCTGAATAGCCTCAATGAAATCATTGAAGGCACATGCTTTTTAATCCACCCAACGGAAAGAAAAACTTGGATTATTTCGCCTTGTTATGAATTTTCAACCGCGCTCCCGTCAGGGGTGCTTTTTACGGCAGGGGTGCATTCTACGGCAAAACACCGGCCAGGCTACAAAAAATGTAGCTTCTTTGTCTACTTCCATATATTTTATGACCCGAATTAGAAGTTAATAGCGACGATTTGGTACACAGATTTGTACAGAAATATTGTGTCTAAGTAATTCAACACACTGTGTTTGGTTGGTACTTGTGGAAAATGGTTACTGTGTGAGTGAAGTGAAATTGAATTAAAGGTGAAAATGTCAGAGAAAGGCTTAGCTACATATAAAAAAATACATCAAATTAGGCAATTCTTTCGTTGTATTGGGTTACCAAGCTTTATAAGTTGTTACAGATTTACAAAACACACGAATTAACAGTTGTTCTGATCAGGAAACATTGACTTTACCCAAATCAAACAACAATCCTGTTTATGCCTTTATTTCTTTTTTTGTTATTGAGCAGACTGTGCTTTGGAACAAGTGGTGAAGTATGGAGAAACTTACTACATTCATCTCAACCAAGTCGAAGGTCCCATCACCCTGGAGTTCAGGTACTTTGAGCAAAATTATGACAAAAATAGTTCATTAGTCTGTTTTTATCATGGATCCCATTTGCATCTACACTTGACTCTCCTTACATGACAGTGTTTATCTGAATGATCTCTGCTAAAGAAAATCAAAGTTGAGTCAATGAAATTTCCCTATAATTGATGTTACAGCAGGTGCATTTTCAATCAGCAGCACCTGCAACATTACTGATGAGTTGTAACAACAGTTGCATGTTGAAGAAAAGGTAGTACAGATTTTGTGTTTCACATTTTTTCTTCATATGAAGGCCCAGTCTGATTCAGCCTAATCAGACTGAGATACATCATGCAACAGAGGCTCCAGCTGTTGTGCTGTATAACCAGACGGCGGTGATTGCAGAGGATTATGTGGGACGCCTCAGCGTGTCAGAAAAACGGGTGACGCTGCACTCAGTCAGGATGACGGATGAGGGGAGCTTCACGGTGCTGGACCGTGAGGGCAAAGTGAGAAGGAGGAACTGTCTGAACGTCAGAGGTAGGGAGAGATCTGTGCTTTAGCTTCTTGCACCCTCTTAGATTTAATTGGCTGATCCATCAATCTCATTTATGTGCTGTGGACATTTTTGTGCAGCTAATTTGAATGCACTGCTCTTTTGTATCTGTGTGATACAAAAGAGCTGGGGAATGTGTGAGGCCATGGCTTAGCCTTTTTGTGTTTGCCATATTATTACTTTCTATTTTTGCACAGTGTTCATTGGATATTGTATTATTTTTTGAGGGCATTAAAATACCTCGGTACTGTTATCTTAGAAAAGGTCAGAAGTGTTTAAAATGAGGTTAAACTTGCCTGCAGGGAAACAGGGCTGTGGTGGCAGGAAGGAATTGAGTGTAGATAAAAATATATCAGGAACACATTAACTTTAATGAAGGTTAGGGAGCAAAATATTGTAACCACAGACAGAGACATAATAGCTCTATATGCTATATACAACACAACCAAAATAGGCTGCCGAGACATCGAAAGAGTAATGGCTCTTAGGAGTTCTTGGGCACAGCGAAACTTCGTTTTAATCAATACAACAGATAAGGTTTGTGGGAAATTTTATATCAGTATTTCAAAGAGTTTTTGGCGATAATATGCGAAACTAAGTGAAGTTTTATGCTGATGGTGTTGCAGGATGGTGAGTAAAAGATCCTGCAAGTTATTTATTCATACTTTTGGCTACATGATCGTCATCACTTATTTAAACGCAGTCCATAATAGATAAAAAATGATGGACTGGTGAGTTTGCAGTACTTAGTTTCGACTGGTATAACAAATTCATGTGCATTTTCAGCTGTTTATGCTTTCACTGTTCAAACAGGATGTCTATGCTGTTTGCGTCTAATGTTTCCTGGCTCCATATCCTCCTAATGTGGCACATGAAGTAAACCTTTCCAAGGGTTTTATGTTCTCGGCAGTCTTTTTTAATATGTTTAAATCACACCCTTACAGCTTATAGCCTTCTGATGTTACAATCTTTGAAATTTAAGCCCTATAATGGTGAGGCAGGAACATTTCTGGACTTTAGACTTTGATATTCCCGTAGTGGTGAGTCAGTTTTTACCATTCATATTGTATTAGACATATCTTTACCTATATCTTTACCTGTTTCTGACTTTGTTAGTGGATTAAGGATCCTGAGTGAATGATATCCCTTTGTTAATGCTAGTACCTTTGGTTATTTTCTGTTTATCATCACAAACAGAAGAGTGTCTGTTATAATCGGGAAACGATTCTTATATCATTTGGCACATAAAATGATGATAAACATGTTCACTTTAGTAATAGACCAATAGAAAATTGAGCTATTTTTCATTTGGGTTCTTTATGTACCATGTGGTGTGGTTATTTGAAAGAATGTAGGTGTCAGACACTTCATGATTTTGATTTTTAACATTAAAAACTAAAGATTATCATCAGTTCTCAAGTTAAGATGGATTTGCCGCTAGCAAACTCACTGATACCTTCTCTTAATTCTTCAAAGGGCACCAGGACTTCCCACGCCTTCCTTACGGGGCAAACCTGAAGATGAAACTCTACCAGCACCATTCTCTTCTTAACATCGTTTACATACCCAAATCAGACAACCGACCGCGGGCCGTTCTGGACCAGGGGGTCCTGGTGACCCCTCTGGACCCGATGCTGGAGGGCAGGCTGACTGTGGAGGGATCCGAGCTCTCCATGAAGAAGCTCCATGTGTCCGACGTGGGCCTCTTCAAAGTGACTGACCTGGCTGGGTTTCCTGTAGCGGACGTCTATGTGGAGGTGGAAGGTAAGAGGAGACATGGATGATCAATTTAAAACCTGATTTATAAGTAGGAAGATGAAGTTGTTTGCTCATTACGGATGACTTTTCACAATTTGTGTTTCTCAAAGGAAAATGATAATACAAAACATATGAGGATGCTTTTAAAATATGATATAATGACCCCAAAACAAATGAAAAAGTTGGAATTTAAAGATGAACATTAGCAAAACTAAACAGACACATTAATGCAGCTGTTAAATCGAGCAGAGCACCAAATTGCCCATTAAAACTAAGCGGTTATTACTTCATGGATGAAGCAGCTGAACTGTGTATTTCTTTATGATGCTGTGTCACTGAACTTTTTTCATCTGTGATAAATGTAAATAAAGACACAACAGCGACAACTTAGTCATAATTTATTTTTGTGGTTTTGTTTTTTCCTTTTTTTGAATTTTCTGTTTCCATTTGGGTTTAAAGTTCTCTTGTGTTCCTGTTTCATGTGTTTTTAGTTTGCCTTTTGTTTATTAAACTTAAGAATAAGGAAAAATTAAAGCTGTTGATACTTCTTTGTTTGCAAGTGCATGCGCTGTGTAAAAAAACTGCAAGTATTTACTGCAAAGTCTGCCACAACAAGGATTTTGCAATCTTGTCATTACCTCCACTCCGTTTTGAGGCTTTTCAGAACTGAGATTTACTTCCCCTACACTGACGCATTCATGGTGGTGGAAAAAAAGTATTAAAATGCTGTGATTTGTGACCAACAACAACAACAATAACCTAAATTCAAACTTGGACTTTTGCCTGTCTGGCTCTGACACTTCAGAGTAAAGCTATAGGAAAAGTTAAACCTTAAAGCAACAGCTTCAGACGAGTTCATTATGGCCATGCAAACTTGTTAGAAGGAAGAAAGAGGGTAATAGAAATAAAAAAACAAAGATTAAGTTCAACCACGAACCCAAAATGAACACCAAGGAAGCTTTCCAGAACATTTATTCTGCAGCCACTGAAGACTCATAACTCTCCCCTGTGCTTGTTTCTGTCTCAGCCTATAAACTTCCTCCGCTGACTGTCGCCGTCCTCTCCTTGCTGGGTCTGATCGCCTTCATGCTGCTCATCTGCTTGCTGTCTTGTGTTTACAAAGTGCACAAAAGGAACGAGAAGAACAAGAAGCTGATGCTCATCGCTCAGCAAGCGGGCAAGGGAGACGGCGATGCTTTCAGACAGGTAACACCCACCCACCCAGTGCATTACCACCGTCCTTTGTTTTGTCTGTGGAGGAGGGAGATTGTAGATCACAGGGATAAGAAGGAGAAAAGCTCTTGGAGAAGGTCGAGCCTGGAGGCAAATTTCTGCTTCACACTTGGGAAGAGTTATGTTTGTGTTTTGGTATTAACGCAGGACGGTTCTGTTCCTGCGGTGGGTGTCAGATGGTCGGCTGGTCCTCCCCCACAGTGCTGGACCTGGCATGCATGGTCACAGCCAAAATAAAACCACAACCGAGGACAGCTCACGTTGAAGCAGCACTTTAAATCTGGCTCCCTTGGTGCGGTTTAGCCTCAGTCGTTATAATATTTTGTACACAACCAAAATACAAGTCTGTCAATCTGTTAGTCATTACCAGGTGCTTGTTAGGGATCGAAATATTTGGATAATCCTCCTGCGTAGGATGTTGGAAATCACACTGAATATGAGGAGTGACCAAATGCTCAAAAAGAGTAGTAATATAAAAATGATGGAACAAAACAGACCACTCCAAATTTTATCCACAAATTAAAACTTTGCACACGGTGTCAGTGACTTTGTGTTGCACTTTCTGTTTGTCAAACAACTTCACGAAAGATGATTTTAACCTGTTATGTTATTTAAAATGACTGTTGATAAGTATTCACATTATAAAAGATATTTATTAAAAGGCATCGTGAGTGAGACGCCGCACCGCAGTCAGAGGGAAGCAGATGGCGGCTTCCAGGACTGCATTAGAGCCGACATGATCCGTCCTCCTTATTTTAGCTCAGACTCTTATGCAGCATTCAACCACAGCTTGACTTTTTTTCAATAACACTCAGGCTGCAAACAGAAACCAGAACAAAAACCTGTCCCCCGCCTACAGATTCTACATTTATCTGCAGAAAAAAAACAACCTCTGTGATATGTCAGGAGACTCAGCTGGAAATGTACAACAAGTTAGTCCATCAGTGTGGGAGCCATCCTTGTATATATTGACTATCTAAGATGTCATGTTTCGTGACAGATCATAAACTTACTAAACTACTAAACAACAAAAAGTTTATACAGACAAATATCTTTACAAAGTCCAGAGTAAAAAGTGCAGCAGAAGATCTTAAAACACAGGAAGGTAAGATGAGCACAAAAGGAAAGATATACCTAAACTATTATCTACACTACAAACAGGTGAGGGAAACACAAAAAGATAGGAGTTAAAACAAAGTGTGACACACAAGAGGCAAGACCAGTAAGTGCTGTAAACTAAACTTAGGAATCTAACTCCCGGTTAAGTGTCATCAAACTCTCTGATGACGACTTTACAACAAAAAACAAACTTTCCATGAGTCTGCATCACCGTGAAATCATATCCCTCCTTTCTGCTTTAAATTCCACAGAGCAGTCCAGGTTCAGTTAAAGACCAACACTTAACATGTTTGATTTTGTACAGCCGCCCATTATTTATCATCATTCAGAGCTATCGATCAGTTTTGAGAGTCTTTGAATGAATGATTGACCACTAGAGGAGCGCCCTGTGAGGCCCCGTAATTACACCTCTTATTCTTAAAATGTCAATTTTGACTAAAAGTCTCAAAGCGTAGTTTAATCAATGTGAGCTCCACTTTTACTGAGCCCATTTACACAGAAAGGAAACAGAATAAAAAAAGCATCGATTGTTTTCATTTTGATATCTTAAGCTCTGCTCCGCTTCTTATCCGCTCAATATGAACTCAGGGATCGGATGATTCAGAGGAGCTGATGTTTAACTTCAGCCTTCACTCAGTGTCAGCATCTGAAAGATTAAACTGAATTTATAAAGCAATCAAAACACAAACACAACATCAAAATATCAACAGACGTTTTACTTCAGGAATAATAGAGGTTTATTCAAGATGTCAGGATTTAACGTCAAAGTAATGTCAAAATACAACAATTTTAATGTTTTTACAGAAAGAAGTGAGACATAAAAGTGATTTAGACGGTTTAATTCACAGGCAGAAATATCCAAACTATCTCAACTATCTAACAAAGGTTTTACTTTAGCTGTTCAAATTACATTTACCAACATAAATGATTGGGGTGAGATGATTGGCTGAAATTACAAAGACCATGTTTCTCTAATCAGGTATTAGGGTCATCCTCAGTGTATATATTAGCAGAACTGATCTTATTTTAGGTACTATAGGTTTTTTATAAGTACTTTCATGTAGGGCTGGGTGATATGGCCTCAAATCAATATCACAATATATTGAGCAGGTCACCTCGATAATGATAAATGGACGATAACTACTCCACAAACTGCTCACCCCCGCCCACATTAACTTTGTCTACTTCAGCCGCTACAACTTTTGAACAGTCCTCCATCTCCTCACCTGTCTTTACCTCTTTGTTACGACGTAGGACAGCGTCTTAAAGGGACATGAGACCATAGCCTACCTACACACATCCAAAACAAACTTGTATTTATTTACTTTTTTGACGTGGGCAAAATGACGTTGGTTATTGTCATAAATTTCAGTATCGGTAAATTTTCGGTTTATCGCCCAGCCCTACTTTCATCTGACTATAAACCTGATTGAAGCTCCCTGTCAGTGTCATATGTTTGTATTTATTAATAATCAGTCATAAATCTCATGAATGGTTGAAATGTTTCTCCAGTTGATGATGTTTTTCTGATGTGAATCTTTGGTCCAGTCTGAGTGTTTGGTGTTGAATCAGTTTCAAACCCCTGCTCTGAAGGAGGCGTCTGTGCTCACAGCTGCTTGTTTCTGATTGGAGGCTCAGCTAACGCTGTCGCCTGTGCGTTACGTTTCTCCCTCTGACTTTAAGGAGCCTCAAACGGAGCCTCTGCTTGGTGAGAGACTTGAGTCCTGGCCTCTCTGTATCTTTATCGGTGTTTAGAAGAATCCGCTGCTTCCTTTGGCAAATAAGATCTTTGATCAGCTCGTTGTTTGATTGATTATTGGTGACAGTTTCAGAAACGAGAGTGAGGAATTTTATAACATTTGGTACTTTTCCAAAATTACAATCACATTTTTGAACTCAAGCACTTTGAGAGAAAACTGTCATCAGTTTTGATGAACACGCAGAAGTTAATCAGAGACCTAATTTGACCAAAAGTTGATGAATTACATCAGATTGATCCGGCATCAAAACTTGGTACAAGCTGTTCCTGTGATCCTCACAGACGTTTTGACTTTCCACAGACTGAGCAGAGCACACATTTATCTCTTTGCACAAACTAAATTTAAGCAGGTTTCAGATTCATTCAGAAAGAAGTAAAGAAAAGTGCAGTTTCAGTCTGTCCTTCAGGATCATGGTCACAGTCTTGTTCCAGGTTTGGGTGAACAAAAAACATCCATTTTAACAGGTAATTTAATCCAATATTTACTTTAAAAATCTCGAGATTTTAAACCTGAATATAGCGACTAAATGACCTGTTGAGATGGTTTGAACTCCTATATCTAAGTGTGTGTAACTGCAGCTGGGCTATATAACTCGAGAAAGTCACACGGATGTTGTGTGTGACTTTCTTTCCTCGGCTTCTTCACCTCCCTCTCCTCTCCTCCCTTCTTCCTTGTCCTCCCGGCTGCTGAGCGGCTCAGACGGAGCTCTGCAGTTACTCAAACACACTCAGGTTTTGATAACTGCCGGCGTGCAGCTTCACCGCCGTGTTTAAGCTCTCAGTGTGTGGTGACTCGGCGAGCTTCGCGCACACACATGCACATATCTCCTCCTTGTGTGTTGTTGAGTTGTGTGGGGTGAAGTTGCAGGTAAATATCTGATGTGTATGTGTGGGTTTCTGTGCTGACTCTGTGCGTGGTGTCGTGTTCAGGGCAGTAGTGATTAAACCGTACAAAGAGGTGTCAGATTTACTTCATAGAGAACTGTCTCTGTGTAATCATCTACTCGCCCTGTTTGTTATCGTGTCCATGTTTTGTCGTCATTACCAGGTTTTGAAGACGTGCGGTATTGTCCAGTAGGTCTTTATCTAACACATCATGTAGACACCTCCCCCTCTTTTTGCTGGTTTGACATTTATTTCCAAATGTCACAAGTCGCCTAACACTCCATTACACCCAAACATACTCACGCACAAGCAGAAATCCATCTGATTATAATTAAAGTGAAGGCGTTTTAATGAGCAGTCATTATAAATGTATTTTTCTGGTTATACTCGATTAAATTTCCATAAAGACTTTTCCTTGTTCACATGATTCATGACTGCTTAGAACTTACATTCAGTTCAGCTGATGTTTGCTCTTTAATATTTATCTATTAGAGCTTAACACCAAGTTTGATTTAGCATATTTGGACTTTTAGTTGTAGTATTAAAGGGATATTCCGGCGTAAAATTAAGTTAGGGTCAAACACACCATAACACCGAGTTAGACACCCCCGTCGAGAAATGAATGTTGCCGACCGCTTGCTTCTTTAGTTATACCAACTTTAATAACGACCGCACGATAGCAATACACAGCAGTCTGAGGAGCTGTAAACAAACCTCAACCAAAACGCCACTCTATAGCCACAAATAATGCTCAGAACAGCACCTAACTTCATCAACAGGACATATAGGGTCCCGGCCATAGTACTAGCCATCTAACATCTTTTTAACTTTGACTAATTTCTTTAGCAAAGAGACTAAACACAACTCACCTACTCTCTTCCAGCAGCCACTTATTTGTGGGGGAGCCCTGACAAGTCAATCACCGAGTGCAGCGGAGTTTCGCAGTTCAAGGAAGAACATTTATGATCATTTCTTCGTGGAAATGCAATCAGAGTTCTTTTGTATCTTGTATGTGCACTGCAGACGCAGTAGTTCTTCTGCCTTAGCATCTCGGTCTGATTGCATTTCCACGAAGTAATAATCATAAATGTTCTTTTTTGAGCTGCGAAACTCCGCTGCACTCGGTGATCGACTCGTCAGGGTTCCCCCACAAATAAGCGGCTGCTGGAGGAGAGTGGGTGAGTTTTGTTTAGTCTCTTTGTTAAAGAAATTGAAATTGGCTAGGACCCTATATGTCCTGTTGATGAAGTTAGGTGCTGTTCTGAGCATTATTTGTGGCGATAGAGTGGCGTTTTGGTTGAGGTTTGTTTATGGCTCCTCAGACCGCTGTGTATTGCTATCGTGCGGTCGTTACTAAAGTTGGTGTAACTAGAGAAGCAAGCGGTCGGCAACATTCATCTCTGGAGGGGGTGTCTAACTAAGAGTTACAGTGTGTTTGACCATAACTTAAATTTACGCCGGAATATCCCTTTAAGACAAAACGAACTTGTATTAAATGTAAAAAGTTCTTAAATTGGTTTGACAGAAAATTTTAATTTTTGTGTCACTGCTCCTTTAAATGAAACATGAACACTAAAAGTGACAAACAGTAAAAAATAAATGTTAAACCAGCAACCTCTTACTCGCTCCCTGTGGTTGTGTGTTCATGTTGTCTGGTTGTGTGTAAGTGTGTGTATGTGTGTGTGTTATATCTCCTTGTTTTGTCAAGCTGTACATCATGCCCACGTAGCTTTACGCGCTGCCTTTAAACTTTCATGTGCGTCTGGGGACTTATGATGTGTCTTTGTGTGCGCTGACAGCGGAGGTTGAGACGACAGCAGTTGCCCTTGAGGACGGTCACTCTGACATGTTATGGATTTCCTCGTAGATCAGAGAACAGAGTCGACATGTGTACGAGGATGTCAGCGACTCCTCGGGTCCGAACCCAAGAGACAGACATGAAAAACAAATCAATCAAACCTCTCAGCGTCCTCCAGTCCCCCTCTCACTGCTCGGATGTTTATTTATTATCATCAGCTTCCTCTCTCTTTACTTTCGTTTCCTCTTCTTTTTCTTCTTCTTCTCTGTCATTCTTCGAAAACGAGGCAGATTGACCAAATGAATGCATAGCCTTTTCACCAAACATGTGCAAGTAACAAAAAACAAGTTAATTTCAAAATCACACGTACATCCAATAGCTGTGCTGCAGAGAAAGGAACTTTTTGTTGATTTGATGCTGTTTGCACATATTTAAATCCTCAAATACTGAAACAAACATTCATAAAAAATGTATTTATTCACAAGTTTCAGAGATGACTGAAGATAATTTGAACTCTTAAATTCAGTTGATTTGGTCACATTTGGCAGCTTTCGACTTAAATGTTGAGGTCAGTCAGTTTTTAGATGCTCTATCTTCTCCTAAATTTAGCCTCAGTCTCTCCATCCTGTCCTCTCTCTCTCTTTCTCTCTCGTCTCAGTCTGTTTTTTTTTTTTCTGTCAAGGTCTCCCTCTTGAAGCTCAAGGAGCTGGCACTTTTTAGATTACAGATTCAGCCACGGCTCTGTTTCCTCTCAACCTCCAGACAAACAAAAACAACAGCCTCTCTCAGTTACGTAACTCAAACTTCCTCTTCAGGAACGTGTCGTATGTCTGAGTGCTTTTCTGTGCAGTAATACATCTGTGTGTGTGCCCCCTCCGGTGTGTGTCTTTGTCCCCTTCAGCAGTGCCTTTGTACTCTCAGTGACCACCTTGCAAATGCTCAGCTGCTGGGATGGATCATGTAAGTGGACACGTTTTGACATGCCATTTGTGTGTGTGCGTGTGTGTTTTGATGCAGGTGGTCCATGAAGCGTACACCAGGTTTGCTGAGGAGTCTGTGATGCAGTCTGTGAGTGATAAGACCCCGGAGACCTCAGAGGTGACCATAAAGGTGAGAAGGTGCAAACAAGAAGAACACACGCACACATACGGTGATAAAAAGGACTTTAAAAACTATCATCAATTATCAAAATGCCCAAAAAAACATAGCATGAGTTTAATTTATTTTCAGCACTTACGAAAATGTCACAAAATTTTTCAGCCTGTGACATTTGGACTCTTTTGGAGGAGATGAAGTCAGTATCTCACAACTGCAAAAGTGGTTTTCCCTTTACTCTGTTCGTTTGCCCTCTTTTTTTGGATGGTATGAACTCAACTAATTACTCAAAGCAAATACACTATTTGATACTATTCAAAATTATTGCATGTTTTAGATATATGGTATGTTGGTCTGAGCCGGAGAAGTCTACACTTGTTTTGAAGAAGGAGAGTTCATCTGTGAAAAGATTTTTAACTTCCTGTCAGGAACTTTTAACTCGATATGAAAAAATCTCTCATTCGCTGCTGATGTCTCCCCGTCACCTGCAGCAGCGAATGAGCCCATCTGTGTGAAGATGAGCTATTTCTAAATAGTGAAAATGAGAAATACGGGAGCCACAAACGAAACAATTCAGGGTACTCAGACTAGATACGACATGCGAGTTTTTTCTCTTTGTCTTGCACTGAAATCACAAACGGTGACAACATCCTGCAGCCAGAGACTCCTGCAGACACCGTGTCGTGCTACAGCTGCAGACAGACAGGCAGAGCAGCTCTGTGCCGCTAACCTCAGTAGTCCTGCTGCTCCACGTCTGTCTGACACTTGCTTCCCATTTTAAATACATTTACAAAGCAGGTTGTCTCAAACTGCTCACAAAAAAGTTCGTTTTTGGAGCCACAGAAGTGTCTTCACGACAATATGGGCTAAAACACTATTCCGCTTTTGTCCATGGTTGCCGCCGAAATCAACAGAAAATCGAAATCTCCATCCAGCTGCTTTAACTAACAGAAGGATTAATGATTATTCAGCAAAGTAACCGCCCTAGTCTTTTTGATTACAGAGCAAAAACTACCCAATAAATGACGCCGTGTTGTAATTTAAAAGTGATAAACTTCTTTATGAGACAGAGTTGAGGAGCAGATTAAAAAGGATTCATGAGCTTTAGTGGGTCTTAAAAAAAGTTTAGTTAAAGAAAGAAAGTGACTAAGAACTTGTTAGAGATGTTCGATTGGAGCTGCTACAACCTTCATGAGCATTTTAACATTTTCATTCTGGGAAACATCGGAAAGTATGTGGCCATAAAAGAGTTTGAATGCACATAACTCAGTATTAAATATTTACCAAACACGGACTGGAACAAGCCTTAAATAGTTAAACCATTTTTACCTCCATGTCTTGATGTAGCTCTAACACAGCTGTTTGACAATATGCAGAACAGGTGTATCTCTTCATCTTAATAATAATCATAATAACTGCAGTAAAGGCTTCACTTCAGCAGAGAACCTCGACTCTGCTCTAAATTATGAAGGTTTTTTCAGCTTGTGTTGCTTATTTTATCTAAATAATGAAATTTGGTTTCTTTAAACTCACACACATCCGTCCCTGCAGGTTATTGGATTTGTGTTTTTTTTTTTTTTTTTATCTTGTTGTTTTGTGTAGTTATGTACAGCACTTTGCACAGCTGTGGTTGTTTTAAAGTGCTTAACAAATAAAGTTGAGTTGAGTTGAGTTGAGTAACAGAGACAATAGTGTTGGCTGTGTAGCGGTGGAAGGTAAATCTATAAATACAGTCCTAGAAGTGTGCATGAATTATTCACGTCACCACCTCTCTTCCTTTTTCTCTCTCTGTCCTACATCACCATCCTTCTTCTGTCACTCCTCTTGCTTTTCTTCTTCCCTTTTTCTCCCTGCTCCACTTTGGTTTTGCTGAGCGTCTTCTCTCTATTTCTATTCTACTTCTCATTTTGTCCTTAGAATTATTTGTACCGTATTAACTCTGATTTTATCTTTCCTGTCCTCCAGGGCCTCGAGGTGTCCAAACCCGGCCGTTACCAGGCCCTCACATCGGAGAACTTCATGGAGATGAGCGACTCTGGAGTGGAGTTCACCCACTCCAGCCTCCCATTGGACAGCGACACTGATGGTGGAATGACATACGCCTCCCATAAGCCTCTCCTGAATGCCGTCTCCCCCACAGCTGTGACCACAGGAGTTCTCTCCGACAGCCTGGAGGCCACCTTGACACCTCACGGCGACCTTAACGCCACTCGGACCCCTGACTCCGTCCTGAGCGCCAGCCCTGCTTCCAATCCCCGCTCGCTCGCCGCCGCCACCCCTGATGGCAGCCTAGGTGGTGCTGCGTCGCCAGGAGCGGGCTCTAGGGGCACCGCTGGGTCGGATTCAGCCAAGACGGAAGGAGGGGCTGAGGGCGGAGAGGCTGGGCAAACAGGGTAAACAACTCACCTGAGAGGATGCGCCAGTGTGTTTATTTTTTTTCAGCTGATGGTCCTTCGACAGTAATGACATCTAAACCCATCTGGCCGTGCGTTTCTACAGACTCTTACCATGTCAAAAAATACACAACCAAACCGCCGCACCTGAAACACAACCACAGACGACATTCTCACGCTTGGATCTGGATATTATCACAGCCCAAAGAGAAAATAACAAAAGGGCAGCTGCACAAAAACCACAATGCAAAATGAAAAATCCACCAAATAAGATGTAAAAAGAGAAACCCCCCCGAGCTCTATCTGAAGACGGACAAAACAAATCTGTGCTTTTGGAAACATGCATGCCTTTAAACGAAATATTAAAGTAGATATCGTAGTTCAGATCGACTGCATGCAGGAGCACCGAGAAGAGATGATGATGATGATGATGATGATGATGTGGAAAGGTTTAAAACACTCTCAGCACTTTTAGGAAAACACTTAAAGGAGATCAAATGAGTTAAACTCTTGTTGAAAAGCTGTCAGAGAGGATTACAAGAGTTTGACGGGCAGAGTGAGAACGCTGAAGGAGTCAGACCGGGGGCTATTAACAGCGTATAGGCTCTCTTGTACTGCAGCGGATCTCGACGTGTTGCCTCTGACAGCACTTTTGTCCGCTCTCACCGCATCAGACCAACACTGCGATGATTGCGTTTCATCCCGCCCACTCGCAGACGCTATTATTAACAGAACAAGTGTGTCAGGGAGCGTCGAGATGCTTGCCTCAGCACTTGTTTCTTCCCCGCCGCCACCCATGAGAAAAACCCTCCACATATTTTCTGAAAACACTCAGCGAGCGAAAACAAGCACTGCAGATTGAATAACATCACTCTCATGTGGGTGACGGCGATTGTTTCCCCCCTGGGTGTCAAATCCGCCACGTTTAAAGGCGTCATGTAAAGAAACTCTCGAAAGAAAGAAAGACAACACCTTACTGTAGAAACATCCTCATGTGTTTTTATTTTCCGCCTATTTGGAGTCGTCATAAGCCCTGTCAGAGCAACACCAAACTCAGACGATGCTCCCCTCTCTGTAATTGGATTCACGGAGACGAATTCACGGACATGGTGAAGGGAGGAGTGGTGATAAAAGAGACGACGGAGATGAAACGGGGGGTTACTATTCAGGGAGCAGATAAATGACTTGCATGATTTAAAGCCTCCTATTTTCATCTCAGCCCCCCCCTCATCTGACGGACGGCGCTCTGATTGTCGGAGCCCCGGTTGTTTGCCAAAAAGAAGCGAGTGGAAAGACTCAGTCAGATCAATCTCTGATAACCATGCAGCCTGCAGCCCCTGCTGGAACTGAATACAGTGATTATAACTGGTGTGTGTGTGTGAGTGAGTGAGTGTGTGAGTGAGGGTTCTTACAAAATAACCAACAATATCAGACGTTCAGGATCCCTTTCAGTTCAGGATTTTTAGAGCTAAAGAGTTGGAGTCTTATCAAAAACTGCACATACGCTGCTGGTGCTGCAGAAAAACCTCAAATACATTTAAGTTTTACATCACAGTGACAGTCAAACATACATCTCTCTATACACCCGTTTAACTAAGGAAGGTCAAATGTTTACAAAAACTTCACGTTAACTGTATCCAGCTGCTCTGATATGCAGGTCACGCCTCTTTTTAAGTGGATCCCCCAAAACAGGAAGTTTGATCCGTAGATTCATTAACCTGTCGAGCAAGTGTTAGTATGAAAAAAGAGAATTGAGGAGTTTCAGGATGATTTTTACAGATGTTAGAAAGTTATTTCAAAAATAATCCTTCGACTGGTTCAAGATTGAGGCGCTTAAATGACCAAGAAAAGCAGATCAGCGAAAGATTGACGACCGATAACGAGTTATTTTCAGCTGTCTGGTGAGATTTACAGCCAGAGGAGCTTTTTCTTTGACCTTTTCTTAGGCTGGAGATTCACTAGAACTGCTGTTAACTAAACAGACATGCATAGAAACACAGAGCTGATCTGCCCTACAAGCTCAAATGCTTCACATCCCCCATGATGCCTCTGTTACAACCTCCAATGGTGGATTCGAGGTGAACATCTTTGTGCGTTACATATTACAGATAGAATACAAAAATCCTGCTTTGCTCCAATGACAATTTTTACGTTTCTATTGATGACATCTGAAAACAGGTGGATTTGCAGACATCTTTGCTCTCCTCTGGTTAAAGATAATTTCTTTCATTCAGACTCAGATGTTAAGATTCATCTCACCGGGTTTCTGTTCTCGGTGTGCGCTCATTTCATCATTCACCCCTGAATATCTCCAGCTGTGTTTTCAGATCGACTCGCCCTGAGTTTGTGGGATTTTTACCTGTGGGCTGACGGGGAAAAGTGTGGACAAAGTCAGGGTGAAATTTTCTGGATTTTGGGAGTTCTGTGTGAATACAGGTTTAGATATCCTTTAAAGCTAATCAGGAGATCTTTAACGCACAGGACAGATCAGTAAAGATACAAGACCTGCTGTTTTGTTTGCAAAACTCCTCACAGCTTTTAAAAACATCCTAAATGGATCAACAGTGGCATGTTTATTTACACTCTAAGCACAAATAAACACATATTGCTGGTAAAAAAAAGAGAAAATAAGCAGCTATGGACACAAAAAAATCAGATAAAACTAGAAATACTGATTATGCTCCAGTTTTAACACATCTGGAAGTAATTACAAGCAGACGGAGGATGAAACTCACATCCTGAAGCACCGCTCCGTCAGAGGAAGTCTGTGGGATGATTCAGATCACATCATACCGATTTAAACCAAAGACACTCCGACCGTGCATGTGCTCCCTCCACAAGGCCGAAAATAGTCTGCGATGTTAAACTGTAGAGCCACTTGTGCAGCACACTTGCAGCGGTATCCATGGCAACACTGATAACTCTACTTCAACTTGTCTGTAACAAAGCTGTACTGTCCCACCGATCCCATATCTGCAGGGATGTTTCTGCTCACAGCATGCTGACGTCTTGCTGTAGCTGGACTGATGTCAACCTGGAAAGTCTGGACCTAGAGAAGCACAAAATCCAACACACCTGATCCCTTTTATTTTTATTTTTTTGAACAAGAAAAAGGTTCTCGTCGTACTTTAAAGGAGGTTAAAATAAGTAGCAGCTATTGTAAATACATGAAAACAAGGATCTGCAAAAAAAGGGAAGCGAACAAGCTCCTTTCTTCTTCAGGAAAACGTCGTTTGGATTGAGATGTGTGCTGCTAAAGGTCATAAGTGTGTGAAAGGACATGTAAGCCTACTTACATGTTGTTGAATAATTGATTTGTGAGGCTGTTTTGTAGGGCAGTGGCGCGGGGACTTCTTGACACAGTTAGATTTTTATATTACTCTCAGAGTCAACAACAACAACAGGCTCCTTTACCTGACGTTATTATCAGTTTGGTTCAAGAAGCCCCGGTAAAAAAGACAGCTGTGTGGATGACAAGAAAATCATCATGTAAGGAGTATTTTCACTTAAAATCGAAAGCAATATAAATGATAATGGCACTGAGACATCACGAACATCGAGAAGAGGAATCCGACACATACTCTGTCACTGGATTCCTCTTTTTTCCACTCTTGTAAATATGAAAGATATGTGATCTGCATGTGTAAAGTGTGAAATTACTAATATGTTTCTTACTGCAATGCTTATGCAAGATTTGATACTATCGAACGCTGCTTTGATCCTTTAACCACACGTCCACACAGTCAGTAGAAAACTCGCACACAGAGCAGGAGACGCCTTCAGCTGCGAAGACTCTCCGCTCTTATTCATGTCATGTTTACACGGTTGAGTCTCAGTGACGCCGGGAGAAATCCTTTCATCGCGACGTTTGAGGATGAGGAATGCAAATGCGCCTCGGGGGCGACAATTTCAAACAGCAACAACTGCTTTTGTTGTGTTTAAGCATGTACGCAGTGTTATAGAGTTTTTATTAGAGAGTCAGGCTGACAGAGACAGATGTATCCTGCTTTTCAGAACAGATGTAAGACTGATTTTTGAGGAGAAACACCAGATTTAAAGGACTAGTGCGTGAAATTACAAGAGAAACAGTTTCAGAAATTTTCACCAAATGAGAATCAGACTTTCTAAAACCCTAAAAGCTTAAAATGTTAATCTTTTAGTCTTTATTAGAAAGTATAAACAGGCAAAGCAAACACTGCCTCTGCAGAGAGCCACAAGTTTCTCAAGTGTCCTCTCACGTCTCAAAGGAAAAGGTCAGGAGAGCCAGGCTGACAGAGACAGATGCACGACTGATAACTGAGGAAAAACACCAGATTTAAAGAGCGTGAAATTACAAGAGAAACATTCTTCACCAAATGAGAATCAGACATTCTCCTATTTTCAGTGAACCCTTAAAGCTTAAAAACTTTAACTCTGAAGGAATATTTTTACATCAGCAGTCATGTTTTTAACAGAAAGTATGAACAGATAAAGCAGACACTCTGCAGAAAGCTTTTAGCCTGTTTCACAAGTTTCTTTCACAAGTATCCTCTCATGTCTGAAAGGAAAAGGTCAGGGGGAGCCATAATCAGCTGGATGCAGTCTATGACCGGACCACTAGATGGCACTCTAGCTTATGCACTCCATCCACCTACACAGAGGCAAATGAATGTTTGAAATGTGGTTTGAACTTTTCAAATCTGTGAATCTGTCGAGGAAATATCTGCTTAGAGTCACAGCAAGATAAAACAGATTTATTTCACTTCTTATTAATCTAAATATTTGATCTCTAGAGATTATGAGAAACTTCTGTGGACAAGATACTTAACTCCTGCGCACAGTATAGTATCTTGTCAATACACTATGATTCGCCTGTAGTTCAAAGATAACTAACTTGTGCACTTAACTTAATATCTTGAGCACAATACTGTATCTTGTGCGCACAAAACCTTTGTCACTTGATAAATGTAAAATTTTAGCACACTATACAACATCTTGTTCACTCAATATAATATCTTGTTGTCACTTGATAACTACAGAGTGTTGATGAGACAATTATAGTGCGCCCACAAGATGTCTAGCTTGGTTGTTAGAACAAGATAGTGTCTTGTGCACATAAGATAATCCACTTAACTTTATTATTAACCTCTTTGCTCCACATTTTATCTTGAGCGCACAAGATCATATTTTGTGTCTAATAAAGGGTCTTTTTGGCATTAAACGAGGATGCGGAAGATAGTGAGGATCCTACAAGAGTAAATAGATCGCTGTTGCTGTAATATGATAATTGTATGTCATTATCTTGTGCGTACAGGATAAAAATGACTCGATTGTAAAGTCTTGGTCGGACTATTGAAACAAAATCGACTGATGAAAACAAACACTGACCTTTCACGCAGAAGAATCGCTGCTCCGAGCATAAACCGCCTCCGTTTAAAGGTCCCTGTAATTTATGAAGACTTGAAAAAATTGAGATTAAAATGTGAATTTGCTCCTGAGCACAGGAAGGATTTTTACGACAACGCCTGAACTTTCCATAATAGGCGGATTTGACATGTCCTTATTATTCTTCTTTTTCTCTCTAATGAATCCTAAGGATACAAATCAGCGTATTACCCACGAATTGCTCCAATGATAGGAGGGAAAATGGTCTAGATTTGCAGTGTAATACAGTAGGTGACATCTATTATAATACGCAGACCAGCAGAGGCATTCAACAGATCCAGGCTTTTGAAAAGCGTCAGATTTATTGGAGAAATAATCATCAAATTCCAGCTGATGAAAGCTTTATGAAAGGATTTCTCCTTCTGTCACTCATCCTCACCTGATGTTTCTGTTTCATTTCACATCAGAGACACTTTCCTGGTTTCTCACCGAGCAGAAGTGCTGATCCGTGTGGGAGAAGAAGATCGAATAAAATGTTCTTTCACCTCTTTCAGATTCAGTCAAGGCTAATCTACCCTTCTCTGTTCCTGCAGAGGATAAAATAAGAAATATGAGGCGATACCTACGGTGTCACATTTTGCTAATACCTCTGATTATAACAGGTCGCCTTTATGCAGAAAATCACAGGAAGTGTCAGCTGTAATTTCAACACGGAGCTCAATTAAGTGAGTCTTTGGTGATTGAATTTAGTCTTATCTTCGATTCATGACAGACAATTATAGAAATTAATTAAAAGACTCATCGGTGTCACTCTGAGCTCATTCTGAGACACACAGTAAGAACATTTTAATGAAGAAGAAACACAAAACTCTTAATAAGGCTGATTTAATCCCAGTTCAGCAGCACTTCTTCTTCCTCTTCTTCTTCTCTACTCTCTCTCCTCTGCTTTTTGTATCACACATTGTTCCCACGGCGACGCTCTCGGCACTTGAGAATGTTTTTTATACATGAAAAGACGTGAATCCTGACGATAACTTTCATATATTCAACGTGTTTGCTGTCATTTCGAGAAAAAACAAGTGCATTCGCTGAAAAAGAGACTCACCTTTGAATGACCTTTTTTTTGTAGCACCACATTTAGCACCAGAAAGACTTCTTGTCCTGCTGATTATATGCTTTGTCTGTCCTCTGATATTCTAGCCTTTACCTGCTGTCCCGGTGTAAAGCTAAGAGTTAGTCTAACTGCAGCATGCTGACCTGTAGATTGCTTGTGGGACGGCAGGCGTGATGCTGATCAATATTTATAATAATAGTAATAATCATATGAATTGCACTTTTCTGTACAGACGGCCTCCTGAGTCCATCCTGACTCCTCCCTCCATCGTTTGTTTCACTGCTGTCAGTCATCAGGGGGGAACTTTTTAATCCCTCACTGGTGTCAACATGGGCTAAATTATAATTCGAGGCTTTGGTTGATCCATAAATTGAAGGAGAAGATCAGAGGAGCAGCAGCTGAGATGGACCCACATGAGTTTCTTCTAAAAGAAATCTGATATCATGTCAACACTCACAGCAGGATTAACCGAGTCTGTTACGAGGAAGGGATGGTAAACAGGAAGCCTGTATGTGTCTGCAGCTGCTGTTGATTCTTCAGAAGATGACACACCTTAATCATTAGAGTGCGAGCGTTCAGTTTCTCTCCTGGTCGTGTTATTGATTTAAGATTTTGCACAGCCTGAACTTCTTATAAAAACGCAACAGAATTACTATTTTGTCTTCGAGAATCTCGTAAATTTACAACTGTATTCTTCTTGTTTTTGATTTCTTAACTTTGTAACTTTATTCTTGTAAATTCACAGATTTATTTATTTGTTAATTTGCAGCTCTATTCTCATGAGTAACTTCTCACTCTTAAACTGACTCTAGTCATTCGTGACTCTAGTCACACATTCTGACTTTTTCTCCTCATACAATCACTGTCACTGTCACCGCATACAGTGTTGTGTTTTTGGACAAACTATGAGCTCAACCGCTTCAATGTCATGACGAAAAAAATTTACTTTTTATGACACCAGGAGATCTGAACAGGTTTGAAAGTCAACTGTGAGGCTTCATTATGACCAACAAACCCCAAATCTGACTTTTAGGGACACAGCTGATAATTTTAATGTCGTTCTTTATTCCTTTTTTTTCTTTTGTAATTGAAGTTTTTATTCAACTTTTATATATTCAACATTATACAGAAGATATCCAACTTCAGCACGAACAAAACAACCATATTGATCAGAATGACACATACCAAAAACAAAATAGGCATATATATTCACACAGAGCCCAACCCATAAACATAACAGCACATTGCTCAACACTAAAACAGTGTCTATAACAGAAAAGGAATATAAGATAATAAACCTACAGTATATATACACTCATGTACCTGCACATATCTACATACACGCATAAGTCGTCATCTCCTCACATGTCATATGATTCTTCATTCCTGGAACTGCTGCAGGAGTTTAGGTGTCTGACAAACATGCTAAAAAAACACAGCTCCCAGTTCCTGGTTTAACTGGTGGTGCAAGTCCACCGATCTGAAACTGTCTCCCACATTTTAAAGCTACATTTACACCGGTCACAAGACAGAGATTACTGAGGAGTTGGCTGATCTGTCTTGTGTTTGGAACACTGACCTACTTTGTAAAAGTGATGAAACCAGAAAATCTGGCTCTTCTCAGCGGTTAAAATTCCTAATTTTGATTTTAAAGTTTGAGAACAAAAGAAATATTCTCATTTTGGCGTGTATTTCCTCTCCAGATGTTTATTTCTGGACTGAATAGTCTGTTGTTCACTGAATGCATCTGGTGGTGGACTCTTTCTGGTTTTGGAAACCCCCAGAAACAGCTCCGGGGTCAGGATGGCTCATGAGGCTGAAGTAGATCATTTTGGTAGTTTGAACTCGTGACTCAGGCAGGAGAAGTATTGTTAAAGTCTATATTACTGCAGTTTCTTCTCTAAAATATGCAGACAAAAATCATTTTTTATTTGAAGTGCAAATTATTCACCACCTCTTACCGAATCATTGTGTCTCCATTCAGATTGTGGAGCAGGTTTGGTTTGCAGTACGATAAATGTGATTGGGGACTTTGTTGTGCCACATATTGGACGTGTATTTTCAGAAAGTCAGGTGTGTTTGTATCGAGTGAAACAGAAGTTTTTGTGTACTGAAATGACATCTCAGTGTGCTCAAAGGACCCTAATGTTCAGGTAAATACTTTCATGTCATAAAGATGTTGTTGTTGGTCTCATGGAGGCATTTTCAGAGGGCTTTGTTTGTATTTTCAATCACCAAATGTTGATCGAATCTAATTTTCTCCACAGCTTGGTAATCATCGACTTTAACAAAACTTCAGGACACTGCCATGAACGAGCGATCACATCTTCACGTTTGCTTCATGAATAAATAAACCTTTATATTCTGGTACCATGTAAAACCTTTTGGCATCCTGCACAGACTTTTGTAAAGCTTCTCCTTTTTCTGTAATGAATGAATAATTCCAATTAAACGACTTTTCAACAGAGACTAAATCAAAGGGCTTACTTTCTTGTGTCGGAGCTTAAAAACTGTTTGAGTAAACCTAAGTCTGGATTTAAGTAGTTTTTTAAGAAGCACATTATATATGTATATACAGTATACACTCACCGGCCACTTTATTAGGTATACCTGTCCAACTGCTCGTTAACACTTAATTTCTAATCAGCCAATCACATGGCGGCAACTTAGTGCATTTAGGCATGTAGACATGGTCAAGACAATCTCCTGCAGTTCAAACCGAGCATCAGTATGGGGAAGAAAGGTGATTTGAGTGACTTTGAACGTGGCATGGTTGTTGGTGCCAGAAGGGCTGGTCTGAGTATTTCAGAAACTGCTGATCTACTGGGATTTTCACGCACAACCATCTCTAGGGTTTACAGAGAATGGTCCGAAAAAGAAAAAAATATCCAGTGAGCGGCAGTTCTGTGGGCGGAAATGCCTTGTTGATGCCAGAGGTCAGAGGAGAATGGCCAGACTGGTTCGAGCTGATAGAAAGGCAACAGTGACTCAAATAACCACCCGTTACAACCAAGGTAGGCAGAAGAGCATCTCTGAACGCACAGTACGTCGAACTTTGAGGCAGATGGGCTACAGCAGCAGAAGACCACGCCGGGTGCCACTCCTTTCAGCTAAGAACAGGAAACTGAGGCTACAATTTGCACAAGCTCATCGAAATTGGACAATAGAAGATTGGAAAAACGTTGCCTGGTCTGATGAGTCTCGATTTCTGCTGCGACATTCGGATGGTAGGGTCAGAATTTGGCGTCAACAACATGAAAGCATGGATCCATCCTGCCTTGTATCAACGGTTCAGGCTGGTGGTGGTGGTGGTGTCATGGTGTGGGGAATATTTTCTTGGCACTCTTTGGGCCCCTTGGTACCAATTGAGCATCGTTGCAACGCCACAGCCTACCTGAGTATTGTTGCTGACCATGTCCATCCCTTTATGACCACAATGTACCCAACTTCTGATGGCTACTTTCAGCAGGATAATGCGCCCTGTCATAAAGCTGGAATCATCTCAGACTGGTTTCTTGAACATGACAATGAGTTCACTGTACTCAAATGGCCTCCACAGTCACCAGATCTCAATCCAATAGAGCATCTTTGGGATGTGGTGGAACGGGAGATTCGCATCATGGATGTGCAGCCGACAAATCTGCGGCAACTATGTGATGCCATCATGTCAATATGGACCAAGCTCTCTGAGGAATGCTTCCAGCACCTTGTTGAATCTGTGCCACGAAGAATTGAGGCAGTTCTGAAGGCAAAAGGGGGTCCAACCCGTTACTAGCATGGTGTACCTAATAAAGTGGCCGGTGAGTGTATATATATAATTTATGTGAGATTAAATAGAGTGGTTTAGTTTAAAGTCATATAAACACAGTTAGCACATTTACAGCCTTCTAACAATAAGTGGTAAACTGTAAGAAGAGAGTGAGAGACCAAGTGTTACACAACAGACATCTGTCCTCAAACAGGAAGAGGAAAAAACAGTCTCTTTTGTCTGTCTGACATTTGGACTCAAATACCCGTCCTGCTCCCGCTGAAGGCGCCTTGGCCGTCAGCCAATCAGGGCGGAGCAGGAAGTGACGTACGTCGAAGCGCAAGGAAGCCCAGGGACTGGCGCGCCAAATTTCAAAGGACTTCCTCCTGGGAGGAAAGGAGACGAAAGGTTGGTCCGAAGTCCGGTGAAGAAAGGCGAAATAAAAACCTGCAGGAACATTTGAATTTTATGTAAAACTTGTAAATTAACTCTGAGAGCTGAGAAGTCGACGCTGTTGAAGGATTAAATCACGTAAACGACGTTTGAAGCGGTTTTATTGTAAGTTTTTACTTTGAGTTATTCAAGGAAACAACGTCAGTTAGCTTCACCCTCCGAGACTGACAAGATAATATCACGACCAGAGACCTGTTTTAATTAGATATAACCCACGTTAAAGTAATTAGATGGTTTTTGATTATAAAGATGAAGTTATTGCATGTATGGATAAAGTTTTCTGCTGTTTTTGTTTCCTGCTTTGTGTGCTGATCTCCGGGTTTGTCAGTGGGATTCCACGCAGCTGTTGCATGCGGTTTGACTGCGGCTGAAACTCAGTTTGTCACGTTAATTTTGCAGTTTTTATCATCAAAGATTCATTTACAAAGGTGTGTTTACACCATTTAACCTGGTATTGGCTTTTATTTAACACGAGCCTGTGATGTTATAACTATGATTAAAAACGTGTTATAATTTTGCAGTTTATAGGTCAGACTGATTCAAAGGGCTGATGGCGTTTTCAGATGATCAGCTGATGCCTTTGCTTTTGAGTCTGACAACAAATATAAACAAATAATGTCTTCAGACTCTGCAGGGAGCCTCATCAGTGTCTGCTGTCCAGTCATTTTAACATTTTACTGAATTAAACCAGATTTTTCCAACCTTAACAACAGTATTTTTAATCTTAAACAGTTACTGACAGATTGAAACTATATTTTTTTTAATGATATATAGAGTAATTTTCTATAAATCAGTCAAGATTACTATTATTAGCTATTGTCTACTTCAAAATGTACCCAAAAATATGTTCCTGTCTGAGATAACTATGTATGAAATTGTTAGTCATTTAAAATATTATCGCTTAATCAAAATACAAAATAAACAAAAGTAACAACAACAACATGAGAGCAGTATTTATGACAGACATTATTGGTTTTATGTTTTTTTTATTTAACACGAGCCTGTGATGTTATAAATATGATTAATAAAACGTGTTTTAATTATGCAGATTACAGGTCAAACCAATTCAAACAGCTGATGCCTTTGCTTAAAATAAGCAAATAATGTCTTCAGACGCTGCAGGGAGCCTCATCAGTGTCTGCTGTTGAGTAATTTTAACATTTTACTGAATTAAACCAGTTTTTTTCAACCTTAACGACAGTATTTTCAATCTTAAACAGTTATTTACAGATTTAAACTGTTCATCCTGTCATAATATATAGAAAAATTCACAATAAATCAGTCAAGATTACTATTATTATCTATCATCTAATTCAAAATATACCCAAAAATATGTTTCTGGCTGAGACAACTGTGTATGAGATTGTACTAACCATGAAATAATGATTTTTAGTCATTGAAAATAACACAACTTCACCAACTTTCAAGGTGCTTGGAGAAAACGAGGTCAAAGATCTCCAGCAACATTTGTAGTTCAGGAAAACAGCTTTATTCAACACATTTCGGCTTGTGTCCTTCATCAGGGTCATTGTATCAAAATACAAAATAAAATCAACAATCTGATAGCGGTATTTTATATCAGACATCAGCAGACCTTCTCCCTGTCTGAATCTGTTCTGCCAAAGAAAGGGGAAACAAAAGTTTAATAATTTCTTGTGGTTCTTCTTCTTTGTGTGTTTTTCTTCCAGATCAGACAGTCCTCGGCGTCACACCCTGTCAGGTTTCCACCTGTGAGACGGCTGATGTTAGTCGATGTCAGGAGCCCGGGTTTTTAATCTCACACACTCATCCCTGCACACACAGACAGGCTCAGATGACAGCTGTTCAAACCTGAAATTATTAAACTTCAGAACCATGAAAAGCTAAAAGTCACGGCTGTCAAGTTCTCTGGCAGGTTTACTTTTCACTGTTTCAATGTTTGCTGTACCTTCCCATTTAGCAGAGTAATAACACACAGGCTGTCCACTTTTACAGGAGCTTTTTAGTCCCAAATCCACCTTCTCATAGCCTCCACTTCATGTCGGATTTAATGTGTTTGAGTTTGGGCTCATAACTGTGTACAGAAGCTCCTCACTCTTCACCGGTCTATTCACACTCTCTTCATCCTCATTATTTATTCATGTGTTCACAGCAGGACACAAGGCATTCCCTCCTCAAATTAATGCAAACATCTGCTGCTTTAAGCCGCCGCACCTGCCTGTAACCTTCACACTCGGCGCTCAAAGCCTCCGTTAGATTATTTTATCTTTTATAATAGCTTTGTGTCAGCAGTCAGGACTCTGCTGTACTTTAAATGCTTTTGATTTAACACCAGTCAACTAGTAAAGAGTTGTGGCCCCCACGATGGATCCCAGCCTCCTGTAGCTCAGGGTCTGTCACAGACCGGGTGGGGCAGGTGAGTGGCAGACAATCAAACCCCTCAGTCATGCTGTCCGGGGTGCAGCCATGCTTCCAGTTGCTACGCATCGGTTCCTCCGTCGGAGACTCGGCCCGGGACCTGTACACGTTCAGGCCGGCGCTGAACCACTCCGTGTTCCGTCTGGGCCGAGCGGCGGAGTTGTGCGACGTCACGCTGGACTCCACGTCGGTGTCCCGGATCCACGCGGAGCTGCACGCAGAGAGGGAGGGGAACGGAGGTGATGCGGCGCCACACGAGGAGGGCTGGAGGGTTCACATCAAGGACAGGAGCAGTCATGGTGAGAGAGAGGCTGAGTCACACACACTCAAACACACACACAGAGTCAAGATATGGATTCACCGTCACACCCTGTACTTTCATTTTGAGCCAACAGAAGAGTCAGACACCAAATTACAAGAAAATCTGAACCTCTACAGGGAAAAAAAACAGACTTCTCACACTAACAGGACGTTAACTTTTTTTTTCAGACTCATAACTCAACTTAACTGAACTTTATTTATAGAGCACTTAGAATACAACCAAACCTGACACAAAGCGCTGTACATAATAACATAGAAACATAAAACAACAATAAATAAAAATATAACAAATCGTAAAACAAATGCCGTCTCATGGTGGGTCACAAGCCAAGGAATAAAAGTGGGTTTTTAGACGAGTTTTAAAAATGAACATTGAGGGAGTTTGTCTAATGTGGAGAGGTAAGTCATCCCACAACGTAGGAGCAGCGACAGAAGAAGCTCTGTCTCCTCTGAGCCTCCGCTTAGACCTCCACTTAGACCTTCGCTTAGACCTCCGCTTAGACCTCCGCTTAGACCTCGGTCCCTCTTAGACCTCGGTACCTGCTGGAGCAGCTGGTCAGCTGACCTGAGGCAGCACAGACCTTAGATTTAGTGTTATTAAATCACGTCCAGTTCACAAAAACAAAATCAGAATCAGACTAGTGAAGCTCCCTTCTCTTCTCTTAATCTGTTTCCGTCTCAATAATCCACGTCAGTGAGACCTGTCATGGACTGGTTTTGAGTCCTCATCCTTGTTATTCCACACCTTTCACTGACATGATCATAATCGTACAAAAGAAGTATAAAAAAAAACCCCACACCTGCTGAGGTATGAGATATAAAATACGGTTATTAAGCCTGTTTGGATTAGAAAGAACAAATTTACTCAACCGCCGTCTCTCTGGCTTAGAGATGTTATTACTTTTCTTAAATTAGATTCAACAGTCAAAGACTGTTCTAATGAATTTAATTAAAAAATAAACTCTTATCAATCTTACCAACATTACTCTGCACCCCTTCTTTCCCTTTTATAGCTATTTGATTAGTTTTATTATCCTTTATTGACCTTTTTTCCCTCCTCTCTTCGATGTGAAGGAGATGCCTCCCCAAACAAACAAACAAACAAACTGTACTCTGCTGAATTACAGACGGAAATATCAAACTGAACACCTGCAGCTTGTTTCAAAATCCAACGTGTGCTCGGTTATTAACCACCAACACAGCTGCAGACACAAGCAGAAGAAAACCACTCACATACTTTGGAGACGGTGCAGCCAAGAGCTGGTGCGAATAAGAAATTTTAGATCGTTTTTTAACAACCTTGAGTAAAATATCTTTCAGTTTCAGCCCAGAAATTAGAGAGTGAAACAAACCGATCCTGTCTGCCTGGTAACTTTGATGCAAATGTAAACAGACGGGCTGTAATCAACCAAAGAAATTCTTGCTCGACTAAAACCCTGAAATTTTTGACCAAAAATTGACTAATCGACTCGGACAGCAAACCCCTCTGATGCGACTCGACGGAGCGTGATTTTTTTATTCATTTATTTATTTTGTAGGATGGTAGGGAAAAGTCCCGCCTCCTTCGCCTCTGATTGGCTAGAAAAGCTGGAAACGTCATCACATGCTCAAGCCAAACGCGGGCTGTCGGCTCTGTACATCAAACAGAAGGTTACAGAACATCATCACACTTCTGAATCGCCTAATACTAACCCTAACCCGACAGACGATGATGTTTCACATTCACAGTCATAAGGAATAACCAATCGGAGCCCAGCACTGAAAGCCAATCAGAGGCGAAGGAGGGCGGGACCTTCCCTTACCAGCCTACAAAAAAAAATGGAGTGCGGCTCGACGGGGTGAAAATAAACTGATATCAGTCCAAGAAGGCAATTAAACACAAAAGGCAAAGTTGAGACGCTCAAAATAAAATAAATAATTAGCAAACCACCGGGTGTTGATCTCCAGCTGGTCTCCAGTGGGTTGGGTGAATCCAAAATGTTGAAAACAAGGGGGTTGTTCTGAGACAGGCTGTTACCTGTGAAACAGGTTTGCTTTGAAAACACCCCTATTAGCACTTGGTACATTCCTCCTGGTGAAATTCACCACATAGACTAGTGCTAGGCGATAAAAGGTAATGATATATAAACTATACATAAACTAGTGTTCACTAGTGTAGGACAAATGAAAACTCACCGTAAAACACAATATGACTAAATGGTATTTCAAATGCAAAAGGTTACAAACCCTGAGCGGAGTAAAGAGCTGAAACAGCCGACCGTTCAGTCCGCTTTCTTACGACAAAACGTCAGAGACACAAAGACCTCACAGATGCTCCCAATAAGCAGTTTTTATTTCTTTTTTTTATATCGTAACATGTATCGATATCGACTGATATGAAAAACATATGTCATGAAAAACTTTTTCCTGTATCGTCTAGCCCGACCAGAGACTGTAAATTTAAGCGGGAAAAAAATGAGTCGACCAATCAGAATTTTGTCGACTCGTAAGTTTCGAGTTTGTGTCACATGGACTGACTGACTTTGAGTAAAAGACACTCGATCCGACCCGAAAAACTCTCAAAATGAACTTTGTGCGACTCTGTGACTCCGCCTCCGCGTAATCGTGTCCTCTTTTTGGAAAGTCAACATGGTCACTCTATGCTAGTGTTTAGAGTAACACCTCATCTGAAATAAAACATAAAACAGATCTGGTGTTCTGGGTGAAGATTTAGACAAACATTGAATATTTAGTTCATGTTAAGGAAAATATCCAGGATTGACTGCCGGTAGACGACCTTTTAAGGTGAATCTAAAGTGCGCAGGAAACAGGAGGAAGAGGAGCGTGAGGGAAAGTTTAGTCTCCGCTGAAGGCCGGTGAACTGTGTCTGACAGGCTGCGACTCTAAACCGTGCTCTTACTGCCTAATTTTTCAAGTAATTTCACACTCTGTTTCACGCATTTTTCACCGCCGCTATTAAAACTACATCTTAGTATTCACGGGGCATTCCTCATCCTAAGCCATACTGTCATGGCCGTTTGATTGCCTTGTAGCCTTCCTGCTCCTCGATTCGGGCTCCATTTCACAGCCTGTTTTACATTTCCTCTCAATCCCGGGAGCTGTAAACACACTGATAGTCCACAAATGACTTTATTTGGAGGCTCGCTTAGATGTTCGTTTGGTTATTCTGAAGTTCTGCGAGGATTTGTCCTCAGGTTACCGTGAGAAATCTTGGAATGAAATCCTCCTCTTCTCCTCCTCGTGTGTTTGAAGGTACCTGGGTCAATGAGGTCCGCCTGCAGCCCGGCGTCCAGTGGGAGCTCTCCGACAACGACACGCTGACCTTCGGTGGCGAGTCTGTTTCCGGCAGCCCCGAGTTTTACTTCCTCTTTCAGAAGGTCAAAGTTCGCCCGCTGGATTTCGATGCCATCACGATTCCAAAAGTAAGTTCGGGCAAGATCCAGCGGGGATCCAGACCGCCAGGAGCCACGTGGTTAATTCTGTCTTATCTTTTCTCCAAGGCGGGAACCTTCTCCTCTGATCTACAAAACCGCATCAGGACCAACCTGGACCGGAAAGAAGCCGCCAACCTGGACCTGTCCAAGCTGTCCATCAACCGCGCCACCGTCATCCTCAACTCCATCGGCAGCCTGAGCAAGATGAAGGGCAGCGCCTGGACCTTCAAGAGGAGCCACAGCGTCGACGGAGGAGCCGCCTCAGACCCCGGCTCCTCCTCCTCGCCCCCGCTGGCTGTGGGCTTCTCCTCTCTGCTGCCCCCCTCCACGCCCCCGTCCTTCTCCTCTGCAGCCTCGGCGCCTTCGGCGAAGTCTCTCCAGCCGACCTCCAGGAGCAGGAGGAAGTCCGCTCACACGGTGCTGCTGGAGGACGACAGCTCAGACGAGCCCAGGAGTCGAGGAGGTGAGGCCCAGCAGAAACAAACTTCACAAAAACGAGGGGAGATGTTTGCTGACACTTTAAATGGCGGCGTTTTTGAAGAGGATGTTCGTTTTTTATTGGAATGAGAGAAAATTAAGTCTGAGTGTAAAATGAGGAAAATCCAGAGTCAAAGTTTTTTATTTCGCTGTTTAGGCTTAAAAAATCCTGGAAAAAAAGCAGATAATTTCAGTGAATCTGTAAATAATCTTTTTTTTTTTAATGTTCAGCCGTGTCGGGTGTCGTGGAGGACGGACAAAGAGCGAGGGCGAAGAAGAGACGGCGGCTCTACAAGTCTGAGTCCGAAGGTTTCAGCTCCCCTCCTCCTCCTCCTTTGCCGCTGCAGCCAAAGAGCCACAACGAAGTCCGGCGCCCGCTGGAGGCCAAGCCCTTCCCCGTCGGCATCAGGACCATCGGAAGTTTCCACGGCGCCATGACAAACAGCCGGCTGAACCAGCACCTCCTGCAGGCGTCGTTCACGAACCCCGCTGTCCACAAACAGGAAGTGCAGACGATGCACCGGGTCCAGACGGTGATGCACGGTAACATCACGGCTTTCCGTCAACAGAAACCCGCTCACTGTTCCCCGATGGCGCAGAGAGGCAGGCGGAGAGCGAACAGCTCGCCAGTGTTCTCCCCTCTGGTGGTGGGAGGGGAGAACTACAGCTTGGCCTCGCCGTCAGTGAGGATCCGCACAGAGGAGAGAGGAAGAGTGACGTTCAACAGATATCACCACCCGGCAAGGTGAGAGATTGACGGAGGTGTCTCACCTGCTGAATGTACCTGTGTGTGAGGAGTCTGCTGTTAAAAATCAAACACAGACGAGGTGATAATTAATCTGAGTCAAAGTGGTTCAGCAAAGCGACACGAAAGATCTCTGGAAGAGTCGGCTTCCCTTTTCTGTTTCTGATCATGTCGACACACTCGAAGTCTAAATCTCAAACTGAGAAGAAAAATGTCAAAATGGTCAAAGGTTCATCTATGTGTCTGTGTTCTAAGAACTGGAGCCATGCTCTCAATGCGCCTGCTATTAAAGGGATATTCAGGCGTAAAATTAAGTTAGAGTCAAACACACCGTAACACAAGACAACCTCTCGAGAGATGAATGTTGACGACCGCTTACTTCTCTAGTTATACCAACTTTAGTAACGACCGCAGAATAGTAATACAGAGAGCCACACGCTCAACCAAAACACCACACTATAGCCACAAATAATGCTCAGAACAGCACCTAACTTCATCAACAGGACATATGGGGTCACAGCCATAGTACTAGACACCAAACATCTTTTTAACTTTGACTCATGTCTTTAGCAAATAGACAAAACACAACTCACCTTCTCTCTTCCAGCAGCCCCTTGTTTGTAGTGAGACCTCAGGCCAGTCCATCGACAAACATCGGGGTGACGCAGCTCAAGGAAGAACATTTATGATCATTACTTTATCATTTCCTTAAAGTAATAATCACCATATTAATAATTTTGCACTGCAGACGTGGTAGTTCTTCTGCCTTAGCGTCTCGGTCTGATTGTATTTCCATGAAGAAATGATCATAAATGTTCTTCCTTGAGCTGCGTCACCCCGCTGTAGTGCGTAACGGACTGGCCTGAGGTCTTGCTACAAACAAACGGCTGCTGGAGGAGAGTAGGTGAGTTGTGTTTAGTCTCTTTATAAAGAAATTAGACAAAGTTAAAAAGATGTTTGGTGGCTAGTACTATGGCTGGGACCCTATATGTCCTGTTGATGAAGTTAGGTGCTGTTCTGAGCATTATTTGTGGTTATAGAGTGGCGTTTTGGTTGAGCGTGTGGTTCTATGTTTTTTTATCTGCGGTCATTACTAAAGTTGGTGTAACTAGAGAAGCAAGCGGTCAGCAACATTCATCTCTCAAGGGGGTGTCTAACTCGGTGTTACAGTGTGTTTGACCCTAAATTTATTTTACGCTGGAATATCCCTTTAAACACCTCATACAACTTTAAAAAACTCCGGACTGTCCCTTTAAATTAGTCCTCACTTCCTCCTACCATCTAACGTTTTCGTTTTCTCTCCTCTCAGTAAGCGACGAGGGCGCCCCAGAAAACACCCCCTCCCTCCCCGACCCTCCCTGCCCTCTCCATCCTCCTCGTCTTCCTCCTCCACCTCCTCGGCCTCCTCCTCCTCCTCCGGCTCCTCCTCCTCCTCCTCATCGGACGAAGAAGAGGAGGAGGAAGAAGGGGTGACGGGCGGGGGTGTGGAGCCGTGCGCGGCCCCTCGCTGCCGTCTCCCGCAGCAGGACACGGTGCAGTGGATCCAGTGCGATGTGTGCGACGCCTGGTACCACATAGACTGTCTGCATGTGGACCGCAAGAAGCTGCTGAGGGACCCGAACGCGGACTTCCACTGCGGGTGTCACTGACCTGACGGGGGTGAGTTCCAGGTGTAGAAAGATCACGCTCCAGTTTAGACATTTGTTTTCAGAAACTCTTGTTGACTTTTCCTCGAGGACCAGCTGCTACCTTCTCCTCATGTCCGTTGAGCTGCTCTTCTCACGCATGCAGTCGTTTTTTTTCATACCTCAACACAACTTTGCAAGAACAGGAAAAAGGACTCTTCCAAACGTACATCCCAACCTCTCTCGCCCACTCGGTTTCCAGGCTCAGGAAACCGACGGGGGTGAATCTTTAATAAAATGTCTCAGGCTGGATTTCATTACGGCTCCGGCTGCCCGGAGAGGCGCGATCAGGGCGGGGAAAACATGATGAAATACTTCCACGCTCACTCCCACGGTGGCTGTCGTTGATCACGGGGCTGACGGCGTTCAGGAAGATTAATGAAAAGTTTCAGACCGGGCTGCTGCTGCTGCTGCTGTGTGAGACCGAACAGGTCCACGTTGTAGCCGCCATCACTGTTTCAGCAACCTGCGCTGGATGGGATCATCGGAGGACATAAACTCGGCACAGTTAGCAAAAAAAAAAAAAGAAAAAGAAACTGTGCTGCGCTTGTGTTTTTTGCGCCTCTGCCAAAACAAAACTTGATGAAAAGTCTCTGCGCGGCTCTCCCCGGTGACAGCAGCTGTCTGGGAGTGGGCGTGTGATGTTTCAAGACAATTAAACGGCAGAAAAAAGTGTCAGCAGACTTCCACAGCGGCTGCTGATGAGAGGTGCTCTCGGGACGCTAATCAAATGTTTGAAGACACTTCAGCAGAAGCAGCTGCTGGGTTTCAAGGAGAGGAGGGTGACGTCTGCGCCATTTGAAGACGTTGGAGAGCGAGCTGGCGGGGCGTCTGCTGCAGGTGGGAGAGGAAATTACCAGGAAGTTTCAGCCGATGTAACGGGGTAATCAGAGGGAAAATGAAGTCATTGATGTGACGTCAGGGGTGCATTTAAGGTCTTAAGAGTCGCTCCACACTACTGAAATCTTGAATCAAAGCGGTGAAACAGACCGGACTTGACTCCTCTGTTCTCTCTGAGGTCTGCAAAGTGGACTCACCTGCGTTGGAGCTCAGGAGCCGCTCAGATAGACTCAAATCAAACTTCTCAGAAGCACCTTTAATTATTTAATTCAGACTGTTTTACTTCAGCGGACAGAAACACAGTCACAGTTTAACCATTTTGATAAAAATCAGAGTTAATCAGCTGAAAGGAAACGGTCAGATATCATTTTTCTGAGCCGAGTTTCTACTTGTCCTGAATGACCTCTGACGGACCTGCAGCTTTAAAGTGGGAGGTGACTTAGTCGAGGAGTACGTGGAAAAACTGATTCTTGAGCAATAAGATAAAAAGAGAGAAATCAAAAGAAAACGATAAAAACTTTTATGGATAAAAGTGAAAAAAAATCAAATCAAACTGAATGGATTCATCTTAAAATCCAGAGTGTGCTCAGTTTAAACCATCAGACTGTATTTAATGTGATGAATAGATGTAGTTTTATATTTGAGAGGGTTCGAGTTTCACTGGGAATAATTTTATTAAAGCTATAATCACATATCACTGAATTTTACCAACATGAGACGTTTCATAAGTGCAGTAATTCAGCCTCAGCGGTGTAAGATTCAACGATCAGAAACTGCTTTTCATGGCGGGTTCGTTTGCTCAGCTCAGCTCGGGAAAACTCAAAGAGTGGCTCTTTGTTCTGGTTCAGTATTTCTTTAAAAATGGAGTTTAACGTTTTCATCTGCAGTTCAAAAGTTTGTTTTTAATGTTTTCTGTGACTCGAATCTTCACCTTTTAATGGAAGTGAAAGTCTGTTTCTGTCTCCACCTCCGGAAACCTCCGCTGTTTCTCTCTTTGAGCGAGCGCTGTCACCTTCACCCCTCAGTGCCGAACAGTTTTACATATCTGTTTAAAAAAACATGCCTCCACTAAGAGGGTGCTACTTTTTAATTGGTGAGAGACAGGCAGTCTTACACAAAAACAAGCGAAAGAGGATTAAACTTGAGTTATTGTGTAGGGAAAAAAAAGCTGTTTTCCTGCGCTGTTATTCCAAAAATGTCTGAAAGTCACTCATTTTAGTCTTACACTGCCAGCTGTATTTACACGAGTACAGTTTCGACCTAAAACCAACAGGAATTCAGGTCACATGATCACAACTTTCATATCCATACATTTTTAATTAAAGCTCCTGTGAGGAACTTTCTGTTGTGTGTAAATTATGGCGCCCTCTTGTGGACAAAACTGTTTATTTTTAAACTGAATGAAGTTGAAAATGTGTGAACGGGGCTGTTTCATCAGCTGCTCAGCAACACCTACCCCTTAAAATTACGCGACAGAAATCGTTAATCTTGTTTCTAAAGGTCTCGTTTACTTCTGGATGTCATGAAAAAACATCGATATGAATTTCAGTCTTTTTTAAACGTCGTAAAACTCCTCACAGGAGCTTTGATAAAGAAAGAGACACCGAGCTTTAATGAAATGTGACTGCAGTACCTTCTAGGCTCACCAGGGGGCGGTAGGAATCAAACAGGACAGACAGCAGCTTCTCAAATTTGCAGCATTTTCCTCTTTCATCGCCTCAAAGAAACAACTTCAAAGTCTTAAATTTACTCTTAATCGCACCTTTTTGATCATTTCAACGTCATTTTACTCAAACATGAACTTTTCAGAGTTTTTCGTCCTGATAAATGTTCAAAAACGCTCAACTCTCTGAGGTGAGAGCAGCCTCTGGGATAATCGTCATGTCAAAGATGTTTTTTAATGTTGATGTTTGTAAATCAGTGCACAGCTCATAAATCACTTCCTTCACTCTTCCTTCTCTTTAATCATCACATTCAGATGCAGACACAGCCCGGTGTCTGACTTTGTTGTTTGTTTGGGTTTGTACAGAATTAAGCCAATTGTCGTAATTCTCTGAGATGTGATCGGCATCAAAGTTATCAGAGAAGAAATAAAGACTATTCAGAGAATCTTCCCTCTTTGTCTTTGTGTTGTGGTTTTTTCCCCCTGTGTCGTGTCGTGTTGTCAAACAGATTTCATCCATAAGAGATTCTTCTTACGCCTCATGAGTCTCAACTGATATTAAGAGTTTGCCGTCTGTTTTCCTCCAGCCTGTTGCGGTGTCTGAACAAACTCAGCAGTGATGAATGTGATAAAGTCTCGGTGTTACTTCTCGAAAGATATCCGAGTCGAGTTCAAGTCAACAAGCAAAGACAAAAGCCCTCGTAATTGAAGTTCGTTATCTCCCATCGTTTGTTCTCCATAATGAATTCATCTTATCGGAGCTCGCCATGAATGAAACATCCACTTATTCAAACACGGTTTAAAGAGACAACAGGGTTCGTAAGCTTCTGTGTAATTTACACGTGCAAAAATTCAGATAGAGTTAGTTCAGGCAGGCTACAAAGTCCAAATCAGCCCCACTTTGCAGCTTGAACAATACATTCAAATTAGAGCTAATAAGAGGCAGCCTAATGTAATAAAAACAAGGACACAGTGAGGTTAATTTGTACTCGTCTTAAAATGAACAAAATGTTAATGAGGTTCTGACTGTGTCTTGGATCGTGCTTGAGTTTGGAGAGATGCGACGGTGTGTCATCGTGTCTGTTTTTCTCCAGGGTTGTAAAGATGCAGGATCTCATATTAGAGCGAAATAAGATGTGAGCAAACACACACACATGTCCACACACACACAGACACACTTATATGATATATATAACCCTTTATATTGTACTGATATATGAATCCTCATGTTTGTAATGGGTGACTCCAGGAAACCTATTATACACTCACAGGCCACTGGGCAGATGTGGAGGAGATGGAGAGATTATGGTGCTGAAATGCCCGCTGCCTTGACCTGCAAAGGTGGAGGTAGACAATTACATTTGTCTGAACTGTTTCCATAGCAACATACCTCTCTTTTCTCTCTCCGAGTTTTTTTTATATTTTATTTTGTGTTTTGAAAGTGCATCCTGTAATACCAGCCGACACCGTCTTTTCCCTGATGACGCACAGTCAGATAGATATAGAGTGTGTTCGTACGTGTGTGTGTGTGTGTGTGTGTGTGTGTGTGTGTGTGTGTGTGTGTGTGTTCGTACGTGTGTGTGTGTGTGTTTGGGTGTTCCCACCTTGTTTCTGTGCTGGTAAAGGGAGGTCACAGTGAGATGAAAGCAGAAGCCTGATGACTGGAAAGCTTGTGTTCCTCCTCCAACAGCTCTCTGCTCGATCTCTCTCTCTCTCACAAACACACACCTTAATTTTTCCTCTGTCTGTCATCAGAGCACTGCAGCAGCACCGCTTGTACTCCTGAATCTGAGTTGAACACAGTCTTGGTGATCTGAGATTTCTGCCTCAGACCTATCTTCTTTCAACACTTCATAGCTACACCTGATCTTTGAATCTCTCAGACGTTAATTATTCACTTAATTTATGATCACAGCCTGATAGTAATATGTAGCTTGTTAGTAACTTGAATCTGGTGCAATAAATTAACATGATTCGCATCCACAGGCTTCCAGTAAGTTACACATGTGCATCTGATCCTTTTCAGTACAAAGACATACAGTAGAAGCTACTTGAGAGATGATGAACTGCCCCTTTCCCCCTTTCACTGGGTCTTGATGAGCATGAGCGTGAATCTTAATTAATCACTGAGTATAAAGCTGTCTGAGAATGGATCTTTGCAGGAGAGGCTGAGAGTTGAAGAGCTTGGACCTCTTCAACTGGTGCATTTTTCCTGTCACTCACGAAACGCAGGTAAACAGGTAAGTGATATGGTGCAATGCAAGATGGCAACCTCATGTTAAGTTACTTTCTGCTAATACTGCACACTGTCCCTTTAAACCCCACATACAGGTGGATGCTGGGGAGGTGATTAGACTGAAAGTTTGGGTGCAGCAGTTTCAAATAGAGAGGTGAGTGGAAATCTTGCAGCTAAAGACGACTGCTAAATTTAGAGGATATGATACCAGGACTGGGCTAACGCACAGGTGTCACTCCATTTTTGTCTAATTTTGGAGAAGTGGATGTCATGCACCTGTTTCTTCCAGCTGCAACTCCTTAACAAACGAATTCAGCTTTAATCAGTGAAGTACCACTTTAAGAAGACGGCTGAATCACATGAATGTTGCTGCACATCATCATTGGGACCTTTGAGTACATACAAACACCGAGCACAGCTTAGAGGCGAGCCAGAGAATATCAGACTTGTTCATCATGCAGTATGTGTTTTTCCTATTAGATTTTAGCTGTTGTTTCTCTGGGGTCCAGCAGGGGGCAGTGTTGGCCCGGCTCAGTCCACAGAGCACAGGGTGAGCAGGCAGCAGAGGATGAACAGAGATGTGAGGAGCCACTCCCTGCACATTACAGCCCGAATGGAAATCATATGATTTCATTATTCCTCTCAGGGAGCTCGGTCAGGGCGTGTGTGTGTGTGTGTGTTCAAGTGTGTGGAGTCAGCACAGACAGGTGGAGGTGAGCAGGTGGGATTTGGGTGGAGGGTGAAGGTTTTAGCCGGGTGGTTTTCATGGATCAAAAAGCTCAAATTACTGCGAGTGCTCTTATTCAGATCCAGCTGCACACACACACACACACACACACACACACACACACACACAGCAGCAGCAGGTTTAGCTCACCTACATGTCTTCATCTCCGTCAGCGTTTTATAATTCTATTGAGATGATGTTTGTGTGTGTGTGTGTGTGTGTGTGCGTGTGTGAGGTGCTCATTCTTCTGGTCGAGCTCTAATGTGATCTTAGGAGCAGCTGTCAATCTGTCCCAATGGCCGCTTAATTTCACATTTCCCCTCCTCTCCTCTTCTTACTCGTTCTCATTTCTCTCTCCCTTTTTGTCTTGTCTCCTCTCACCTCTCTTTCCTACTCTTGTCTCCTTTTATCTCCTCTCATCTCCTTGTTATCTTTCTTCTCAAAAGTCACCTCTGAGGACACCGGGGAGATTTGAAATGATCTCTTTTATCGAATCTTTAATCTTCTCTCTTTGTATCATCTGGAGACTGCAGCGAAAGATGGATGAGACAACAGCTCCTTAAGAGTAAAGCAAAAAATATAAAAGAATTCAACTTGAAGAAAAAAGCTTCTCTAGATTCATGAAAGTGGCAAAAAAAAAACACGGATTTGATCGTCATGTGTGCAAATTAACGATTCCGATCACTCTTAAAGTGACTACTACGAAATAAAACGGCAAACATTGAAAACTAGAACTGAGGAACAAGCACAAGAAGAGCAGGAACACAAGGGTACAAAAAAACAGGAAATTACACAAAAACACAAAAACAAGAACTCATCACGACATCCTCCAACGTCTTTGGTGCCACACTTAAAAACAGAGCCGTCAATCAATTATTAAACCGTCAAATAACTAGTTAGATCAAAACTTCATAGGCGAACAAACTCTTGCAGATAAATCAGCACGAAAAGAACAAAGTGAGGAGGAAGAATGAGTGTTTGAGAAAAATCTACATGACGAGTAATTTGAGTTTCTAGTTTTACTCATGTTTCATCTGTTAACATGGAGGACACCTTCAGCATAACTCATTTTCCTCCCTTTTGTCTCTTTTCTACTATCCCCCTCTCTTGAACCTCTCACACTTACACTCCTGACATTTTCTGGACATTTTCACGAGTGCCATGGAAGTGTGTTGACAGTCCGTCAGCTCCAAGAAGCTTGACAGACCTATTAACAGTGACCAAGGGGGGCGTGGCTTCGCAATAGGTCAATTCTGTCTTCACTTTTACAAGTAAGTAAGTATGTAAGTATGTAAGTAAGTAAGCAAGTAAGTATATAAGTAAGTATAAATGTAAGTATGTGAGTAAGTAAAAGTGTAAATGAGTAAGAATGTGAGTAAGTAAGAATGTAAGTACGTAAGTAAGTCAGTATGTAAGAATGTAAGTACGTAAGTAAGTCAGTATGTAAGTAAGTAAGTATGTAAGTAAGTAAGAATGTAAGTACGTAAGTAAGTAAGTAAGAATGTAAGTACGTAAGTAAGTATGTAAGTGAGTATAGATGTAAGTAAGTATGTAAGTAAGCAAGTAAGTATGTAAGTAAGTAACTAAGAATGTAAATGAGTAAGAATGTAAGTACGTAAGTAAGTAAGTATGTAAGTACGTAAGTAAGTAAGTAAGAATGTAAGTACGTAAGTAAGTATGTAAGTGAGTATAGATGTAAGTATGTAAGTAAGCAAGTAAGTATGTAAGTATGTAACTAAGAATGTAAATAAGTAAGAATGTAAATAAGTATGTAAGTAAGAATGTAAATAAGTTAGTAAGTATGTAAGTAAGTATATAAATAAGTATGTAAGTAAGTATAAATGTAAGTATGTAAGTTAGTAAGAATGTAAATAAGTAAGAATGTAAGTAACTAAGTATGTAAGTGAATAAGTGGCAGGAAAAGTTGTGGATAAATTTGGGGTTAAACATTCACCTGGTAGCAATCATACATGCAGCCCAGTCCAGTTAGGCAAAGTCAGGACATCTTCAGTAGTGCAGTACATGTGTGAATGGAGCTCTTATCTCCTCCCTTCTTCTCTTTCTTCCTGTTTCTTTCCTTCCCTCCTTTCCTCCTTCCTTCCCTTCTGTATCTCTGCTAAACTCCACCTCCAATCACACTTTTTCTCTCCTCACCTCTCCTTCTTGTTCACCTTTTCCTCTGTTTCCTCCATCCTAAAGTCGATCAATGACTTTTTCCTCCTTACTCCCTCCTCCCTCCCCTCTTTCTTTTTCCCTGTCTCTCACTTTTTCTCCCCTTCAGCTCACAGGAAATGAGATTCTGGCTTATTGGCTTATTTCCACCTGTCCCCGGTTTGACCTTTGCATGTCTCTCTCTGCCTCAAACACACACTCTCTTAGCCACCCGCTAACCTTCACACACACACAGTCATATATACACCGAATCCATCTTTTCCACACACACTCACACACACTCTCTCTCTTGCCCACTCAGACACTCCACTTTTCC